ATGATCGGCAAATTTTCCCTTCACAACATATGAGCTTGGGCCTGGTGTTGCATTATGGGTTTCAGGTGGGTTGTGAGCCTGCTTCTGAGTAACCTTATCCTGATGTTTTGCCAGGATTTCTCGCTGCTCAGCAGTCAGATTACGTTCTGCAGCCCTAACTGTAGAAGCTTATTCCTTGGTGAGCTTCTTTGCTTTATGCTGCTCCTTAAAGCGAACTGCATTCCTACTCAGGTCATCCAGACTCTGAGTACGACAAAGCCTTGCAGGCCTTGCCGGTTGAAGGGGAGTAGGTTCCTCAGCATCAGTCTTACTAGATGCTTTCTTGGATTCCATGCTACTACTAGAACTAGATGTATCAGATTCATCATCATATTCTACATTACTACGAGACAAATTCTTCTTTGAAATACCTGCAGCAGTCAGATTCCCTTGGGAACTGACATCCTCATCATCCTCCGAGTCAGAAGGAGATGATTTCTCCTCCTCCGCTTGTACATGAGCAGAAGGAGGGTTCCTCAGTGCGGCATTGCCAGACGCTGGAACATGGCTTGCAGCTGGACCAGGAGCAGAGCCCTGAGCACTCGCAGTGCTGGATTCTGCCGGGATTTTAGTATTATGGATATCTGGGGACAGCTCACCAGATAACTCGGATAAAGGACTCTCCACCCTTGGCAAGGCTGGCCCTGTTGCAACAGTGTTGTGGCGGCTGCGCAAGGCATAACGAGACATCCTAATAGGTATACAGAAGATACAGTGTCGAAATCAGAGTGGCCTCGGGTGATCAAGCCTCGGTTTTCCAGAGATCGACGAAGAGAGAGAGAAAGAGATTTAAAGAAAAAAGCGCAGATGTAGTTGAGAGAGAGATATAGAAATAAGCAGAGAAACAGCCAATGGAGCTGTCAAAAATATGAGAGGGTGGCGAAAGTCATGTACTCTCACGAAGGAGTTTCACGCAGTGTGTGACAGGTGTAAAGGCTGGTCGTTGCAAAAAACCCGAGCTGCTACAGCAGTACATAGCTCTTATATACTACTAGCTAATATCAAATAGATCCTATCAAATGCGTCGAGAACGGTGGAGCATGTGGAGCGACAACGAGGGGGAGAAATGAAGGGTAAGGACCAAGCCAAAGGCCGGCTCGTTACACCCTAAGATGGTGCCAACATAAACAACGACTAGTTGTCCCCAGAGAGTCGCCAGACTTGCTATCCGAGTTGCTCTTCCATGAGTCGGTAGGGATGATCGTCGAACGCTCCGGGTCAATTGCGTTCCAGAGAGGGCCGGCAGAGAGATGTATGTCAACGAGGTCCATATCCAAACGGGAGGGATCCCTAGAAATCGTGGTCGAGGCAAGAGCTGTTCCCGCGAATTTCGGATTTCGGACCGTACACTGTTACCGGCGTACCACCATCATTACCGACGTGACTTCTATATGCTTTCCACTACTCGGCTGTCTCAAACGTTCTCGTTCTTTTGCGATCATAATATTCGTGGTGTATACGTGTACACTCATTCTCTGTGGTTGCTCCGGACGACATTCCAGAATCCAAATTAACCAAATTTTCACCGCGTTGAGTTCAGCATCCTTGGATCGTCGTTTGATTGGCGCGTGGGATACAGACTGCCGATTTGCTGCGAGAGAAGATGAATCCCTCCCTGACAGTGTATTCTAGATAGTGGGATCAACCTGTAATGCCCCTACTCTCTCGAACCGCTGACCTCTTTCTAGTGATAAGTAGCGGTCGGACCACACATTTAACATCAAGCATGTATAGCACCCCGATTCCTTAGGTTGAAGTGCTCCTGAAGAGCTCAAGGGATTCGTCTTCCAGATTACTGGAGGAAACGACAAGCAGGGTGGGCTTCTTTCCTACCGTGTTTGTCTGTTCTTGTCTGACGGTCACTCACCGGAAGGGAGCGAAAAGTCCGTTTGTGGATGCCATGTTGAACTTGGTCATTGTGAAGCAGGGAGAAGCTGGTGCGTACACTTTCTCTTTGTTTCTACTTGCATTAACGCGAAAACAGAAATCCCCGGCCTCACTGACGCCATCCTCCCCAACCGTCTTGGTCTCAAGGGAGCAATGAAAATCCGCAAGATGGTCAACTTGTCCAGGAAGAATGATGTCCGCAAGTACGTTATCCGTCAGGAGGTGAGGAGCGGGAAGAAGGAGAATGCGAAGCCTTACACCAAGGCTCCAAGACCCAACGTCTCATCACCCCCATCCGTCTCCAGCCCCATTGTCACCTTCGCTCCGTTAAGCGTAGAAAATTGGAGCACCGGAAGGAGCAGAAGTCTGAGTATGAGTGAGTATGAGTGAGTATTCTGTTTCTACTTGAAGTTTTTTGTCGAATCATTTTTTTCTCAGTTCTCTGATTGCCAAGCGCGTCTCTGAAAAGAAGGCTAAGGTTGCCGCAATTAGTAAAGCATCATACCACAAGTTCGTCTTTTACCTTTTATCATTTGTTTCCATATGTTTACATGCTAGGGCGACTACTACCTAAACTCCGGTGACTATTGCGACACTACCAGAGCTTGGCGCTGCGATCCTGGGTGTACTCATCTATGCTATGCTGTTATACATGACCCATATGATGAATTACTGCAATCATTGTCGTGTCAGAGTTCAGCATGATATTCACTGGAATTATATCTCTTTTATCTCATTTTTTGTTCCGAGGCAAGCAGTGAGCCAGCTTGGATTCGGCATGCACTCAACCTTTAACAGCGTTCAGTTAAACTATTGAATTTCACGCATACTGCTTGCCTTATATTCCTGGTCTCAAATTTGAACAGGTGGATGCTCAACGGTTTTGGAATCATAGAGAGAGGGAAGCATATAATACAGTACAGACGAATAGGCTACAAATCCGAAACGTCCCATGTTCTGAATGACTTGTTGTCCTGAGTAATCACCCTAGTCCCATCGGCAGTGACCAAAATATCGTGTACAGAACGCCCATGCCAACGGTGAATTGTCGTACTCTGTCCGCTCGTAAGGCGCTGAACAACAAGATCACAACAGCTCAAACAAAGGGAATGTTCACATTGCCATCCTCGAAGGTAGGCAATTCGATCGCTATCAGGAAACCACGTCAAGCATTTCACGTTTCCGAGTTTTATGGGCTCTGAGTCCCTGATATCTCTTCCGGACGATGTTGGTATTATGGATGCCGGGTTGAAGTAAAACTCCGAACCAACAAGGGCGACCTTCGAGCCGTTGGGTGAAATTTGGATGACCTCAATTGAGGAAGTAGGGTCCGACTCGAATCCTGTACCCAAATAATCAGTGGTATTATTCATGACAAAGACTGGAACCTGCCATATGTAGAGAGTAGAGTACCGGTTGACGTTTCCCACTCTTGTAGTAAGAGCTGGTGTGTTGTGCCGTCCCTCAAATTGACGGCCAATCCTAGTAACCTAGATCCGTCTTCTGTGACAGTGAAAACATTATCGACAGGATATGTAGGGTCGTTATCTGTCCAACCATCGAGCCTCATCCATTCCTTGGAACCAGCCTGAGTGCCAGGCTCGACTTTTTGTATAGTTCCCGAACCCGCATTAACGAAGCATACTCCGTGTGCATATTGGACTACAACGTGACCGTTCCACCCAAAAAACAGATAATTCTCGCAGTGAGAGGTCCGAGTATTGAGGATGGAGATCAACACATCGCCATCTACCAAATCATGAGGACCGTTGCTTCGACCATCAACGACTTCACATCGTGAACTATGAGGGGACTGAAACCCTACATTCTTATGTTTTTTCAAAAACACGAACCTAACGATCTGAACGCTAGGATCAATTGCTTGGTAGGAAATTTTGGTGGAGCAGGAGGCTGGCAATGGCACTTGGTAGAAATGCTGAAGTATTGATGGAGGTGTTTTTTCTGCTATCCGTCCTGTATCAAGATCAAACCGCACATATCCTAGGGAGTTGACCAGAACAGGTCCACTGGATTCGAAATGGGGGTCGGTGGGTAATAAGAGATTAGCGAACCGGCGATGGTGTAAGCGCTCAAATTGAATATACCGAGGGTCTGGGAATATGGATAAATTCGTGCGCCGGGACTGTAACATGCACTCAGGCTCTGATGTGCTCCAAGGTATAAGAGCTACCAGACGCTCCTTATCAAAAAGGGAATGAACCCTGCCGCTCCTCCCCCAATCTCTGCAAATGAAGTTTGTGGAAGGCGATAAGAACATCGCAGTGTTGTACACCAACTTTTCAGGGTCGTCGATTCGACCTTCCCTTTTCACGAAGTTGTAGGTACGCTCCCAGAATGTGAAGGCATGATAGACATATGTGCGAACACTTTGGTCTGTAACTTCAGCCTAGATGGAAGCAACTATGAGGCCATGTATATCATGTGTAGAGCATGAACAGCTTACATTGACCCTGGAAATTACCTTTAGTAGTGCCTTGTAAATGAGATCGAGATCCTTAGACCGATTGCTTGAGCATGCATAAGAGATTTTGAGTGAGGACAGGAAATAATGCTCAAAGAAGCGATGGTAAGCGTTCATCTCAAGCTCAAGCAAGGCATCAATATGCCATTCTAGAACATTCAGAGCATAGTCTCTGATGTGGGATGGTACCACATGGTATAGAGCCACGTTCTCCCTCGGATTGCGGGAGTTTCCAGAGGAACGAGTAGGCTGAACCTGATCTTCGATGGCCTGAGCATTGGCTGGTGGTGTCCAATTTTCCGCGAACTTCGCCAAGGACAGCATACATTGCCGAGCAAGCTCTTTTTCACGCTCCTTGACATCGATAAACCATCGATCCCCACATCTGCCATGGTCCCGGAGAAAATCATCGAAAGATTTGTGTATAAGCACCAGGTTCCCAGATCTCTCTTGTGTTACTACACTTCCTAATTTGTCGGTGATGAGCTGCGCTGAAGGGTCGCCTTCTTGCAGAACAAGCTCAAGAATAGGCACTGTCATGTCGCCTTTACGAACAATCAGGGCACCCAACACAGCAAGAATGCATTGTCGAACATCTTCCTTCGTTCCATATACTTCCGAGACGATAGTATCCAGCGCGGTTCGATATAGTATTGTCAGAGCCTCCATTGCATCTGCTGGAATTGTAGTTTCAAGGACTGCCTTGAGCCTCTGGAGACTGGGAAAATCGCACAAGAACGAACAGACTGTGGTCGCCCATATGAACAGCCCACTCGCCCGCTCAGCCAGTTGAGTGACAACAAATTGCTCATTGTACATGCCCCAGACACGTTTGTTTTTGATGCTGGCAAACCTCTGTCGGATGAAGTGCCGTATGTCGTGTTTCACCTCATCTGAAGATGTATCCAAAGGACGGTGATGGACGTGCTGGCAGTTCTTGAAAACACAAGAAATCCTTTCTTCGGGTCGACTGGAAACAATGAGCCGCATGAATGGCAGTGTCGGCCCAAACCCATCCGCAAGCACTTTCAGCAACTCTTCCGACGCATCACTTTCATCAAGAGCGTCGATGATGACAACCAAAGGCCCTTCATCTTGTAAATCCCGAATCGTCTCCAATGGTTCCTGCAAGAGGAGTCGAAACTGAGTACGTGATTCGGAAGCCGTCATCCGAAGTGCAGCACGAGATACGCTCACAGCGTTAGCGATGGCTTCACCTATGCGCTGATCGAACATGCCCAAGGAGTAGGCAATGGACGTGATGAGTTCTGACGAATCCCGATATTCGGACCTGTCGTAACGAATGAAAGCAGCAAGGCGACTGCGACCACTCATGTGAAAGCAGAGAAGGTCATGGAGAGTGCCGACAACCGAGCTTTTCCCCGTCCCCGCTAGCCCACTACGCCAAAGGACGCCATTGTCGCATTCCGCAATCCACGAAAAGAAGGAATTGATCGTTTGCATGCGTGTACCACCCATACACGTCGATTTGGGACCAAGCACCCTTCCAGGTTTCAGTTCCTGAAGCGACATCCGTATATCTACTCAGACTAGCGTTAGAGTATGCTTGTGGGCGAATCGAAGAGATGTACCGAATTTATCAACACGGACTCCGACACCTAGCATCACGACAAGTGCGTCCTTCGCTACACCCGAATCCAACTGCTCCCGCAATTTTGCAAACCCTTGAATGAATTCTTCTGCTTTCTGTGACATGTCCATGGAAAAGAAGCGTTCTGATATCAGGTTTAGATATTGCCCTTTCAAAAATGAAAGGTGACGCACTGATGCGGTTCTTGTTCGTATATCTCTTGATGAGCATCCCGCACTCATTCGTGGTCCGGAACAGTGATTTATAAATGGGTTCCAAATGTTTTCGCTTCCACAGCAAGCGATCGTCACTGGCTTCCTTATAAGTCGTGAGCATAGCTTCGTACAGTTGAAGCATGGTTTTATCTCGTTCTGTCTGTTGTTTCAAGACCTATCCGAAACGGCATGGTCAGCTATTCTTCCTGCTACCGATAAATGTTGGTACTTACATTAATAGAAGAGGTAATGATGCCCCATGCTATTGAAGCAGCAGGATGTAGCTGGCAGTACTTAATTAGAATGTAGAAATCGACCGCGGAAGGAACCTCCCCACATCTTTGAATGCATCAATCACGCTCTTCACAGTATCCACACCATCGATCAATTCGGAAATCCACTCAGAGGGCTCTATAGGCTTTGCAGTTTCCTCGACGACTTTTCCTGCAGTTGCCCAATACTCTTCCACCGACTTTGCAGAGGTTGCCACGAGTTGTGAACCCGACAAATCTGAGGTTTGCTGACTTCCGGGAAATCCACTTTGGGTTGTGGTCGACATGTCGGCGTCTTGGTCTTCACCTGCCGATCCCGCGATCGAAGAATAGTCGGTGGCACCTTCCCGGAAGATCTTCAAAGAGATGTTGGGACAGGAAGAATTGCTACTAATGGACAGGACAATAACTGGAAGAAAATGTTTAGACACTGACAGCACAGATTACAGATACTCACTGTCGGTTTCACCGATCAAAATATCCCGGATCGACGTTCCACACATGCCGAGGCATTGAGACCCCTTGCCCCGACGGCAGTATACATCTACCGTAAATCTCTCAGATTCACTAATATGGCTCCTGGATATGCAATGAGCTATGATTCAAGTGATATGTCGGTGCCCTTACAGATCAAAATTGATCGTCCATTTGGGTGTCGGGGTTGTCCCACACTCTTTCTTTTTCACCTTGAACGTCTTTGTCTTTTTGTAGTCCTCTCCGGCAAAAATCTTGAGATGATACGATCGTTTATCCCACTCCGGGGGTAGGTCAATTAGCTCGATAGCTAGGTTATTCCGGCGCTTATTGAAAAGACAGCGAACGTGAAAGCAGAAGGGACTGCACCTTTGATCCAACGAAAACGATATCTACCATCATTCATGAGCGAAAACAAATCTAAAAGTCGTGAAGGGGGCTCACCGTTTGTCCATCTCAGTGCCCATACACTCGACGATGGAGGTACAGTGGAGGAGAAGACACTGCATATATGTACCACACAGTGGACGCCCGTCTTACAGCATTCCAACCGCTTCGATCCAAAAATATGCTGTACTATATGCTGTGACCTTCGCTGTGTTACTGCTGAGAAAGAGAAAACCACATGACATGCCATAGTCATGAATCGATGCTCCCTAGATGTAGTTTCGTAATTTAAAAAAAGGGAAATAGCGAGATGAAAAGAATTGCAGCACCCGCTGAATCAGCACGCGGCACTGGACAAGGATACATAAATTCTCACCGCGGACTCTACAGACTCCAGTCATCCCAGGTGGTCTGCTGTTGGGGGCAGTGCCTTTTAATTTTCCTCGCGAATGTTAAACACCGCAGTTCGAAGGTAAAGCATCAAGGCCCAAGTCTATGGATATGGAAACTGATGATTAACGCCCGATTAGATTTCAACTAAGATGCACACTTGCCCGTTCGAAAAGGTCGCGAGCAAGGTCAAGTCGAGAGGCATCGAGGGGCTCCATGTATGGTCAGTGGGGAAGCATCTGAGAAGACTTGAGGGGAGAGGGGGCATTCGTCGTTGGCTGCGGACGCTAATTGATGGGTGCAGGCTACTGGGGGATCGTTATCACCGGCAAAATGGGGATTCTCTTCCCACAGTCAACGTGTCTCTGCCCACGATTCTCCCACTTATTGAGTTTTGTGAGTGACTTGAGTAAGCTACAGATGCCGGATAATCTTCTAGCTTGATCATCTGAATAACATCGTATTACCAGTCAAGATTAGACAGATGCCAATCAAGGGATTCAATTGTGTGGTGTAAACATAGACGATTACAAGAAAGGAGTCCTTCGCCGTTGTTCGATTACTACGCGGACAAGGCGTTATGAAGACGAAGCATGATGCTGTGCCGCAGTCTTCGAGGACGTTAGTTGGTCATCACTGCGAAAAAAAAATATTCATCTCACGTATTTTCAGGATAGAGTAAATGCTACATACCTCATTCAAGAACGGAGGGGTGTCTGAGTCATGTTAAAGATAGCACTGAGATATTATCGGTATCTGGATCAATTGTCAGGTATGTGGTTATCGTAAATTGTACTCACCTTTACTACATCACTTTCCCGGCCAAACCTCGCAGCTGGAGAATTTCCTTTATCTTTGCCCAAACGTACATCTAGGCGACACATCTCAGAAAGAAGGTTGCACGTAGTCGAAGTAAAGAGAGGAGTCTGACTCCTTCAAGTTGGTGACGAGAGTCAATTTCTGCATCATCCGCAGGCATTTTTCCAAAGTCGTCGATAGAGAGTAGAGGCGGGAAGCGTCTAACCGACAGATGTAATGCGGATTCGTGGAAGTCGTACGAAGCGCAAGGCACGATGTAACGATACTGGTTCATCCCAACGACAGTGTGGCGAGGACAGTCCTTGCATGCTGATTGTGAACAACCGCCACTGGTCTGCTGAACGAAAGCCAACTAAAGATCGTGACTTTTAAAGTCGACCATTGCATCGTACAACATGAACCTCGATACTGCCAGGGTGGGCGACCATAAGCTCGCTGAAACGCAGGACGAGTACCGGCGAGCTTGAGTTCCTGGCATTGTCAGGATTTCCGATAACGTGTACCGTATAGGCTCATCACCAGGAAGCCCCAGGCCATTGCATCGACAACCAAGCTGAAGTACGCCAGCGAGAGCGGGATCTTTGGCAGTAAAGGAGGCTGCATCTTGAAAGCACAGTGTCGTTATCAGAGGGTATCCACGAGATTCATTCAGTGTAGCCATATAGCACAAAGCAAGGGCTGAGGCAACGGAATGCCGGAGAAAGCAAAAAGCAACCAGAAACGAGACAAGAAGCCCGGAGCTATCCGGTCCGCGCAACCTCTCCAGCGAACCACCACCTTCTTTCTTCCTGATACTCAGCCGTCGGACTGCTCATTTAAAAATCAAGCATATCTACGTCAATAGGAACCCCAATACCTCAGGTCGAAGCACATCTGACGAGCTCAAGTGATACATCTTCCGGATTACTGGAGAAAACAACAAGCAGGATTTCTCGATGAAGTGCTTGTGCTCCTCCCCTACGGTGCTCGTCTCTTGTTCTCCGATGGCCACTCGCAAGAAACGTGAGAGGAAGCAAAAGTCTGACCGTGAATGCATAGATCGCTGTGTTGAGTTTGGTCATCTTGAAGCTGGGAGAGGCCGGTGTGTACACTTTCCCCTTCTTTTTCTACTTCTATTGACGCGAAATCAGTGATCACCGGCCGTACAGGCATCGTTCTCCCTAAGCGCCTCGGTCCCGAGCCAGCAACGAACATCCGTGAGATGTTCAATTTGTCCATGTCTGCAAGTACGTTTCTTGGGAAGTGAAGAGCGCGAAGGAGAACGCGAAGCCTTACACCAAGACACCGAAGATCCAATGTCTCGTTAATTCCATCCGTCTCTAGCACTATCGTCACCTCCACTCCGTCAGGCGCAGAAAATTGCCAGAGCACCAGAAAGAGCAGAAGTCGGGGTTTGAGTGAGTATTCTGTTTTTAATTGAACTTTCTCGTTGATTAATCAGTTTCTCAGTACTCTCATTGCTAAGCGCGTCTCTGTAAAGAAGACCAAGGTCGCCGCTATTAAAGCATCATACTACTCAAGTTCGTCTTTTACTTTGCCGTGTTCGTTTCCATGCTCTTACGCACTACGTAGGATGACTACTGCGCAAATTTCGGTGACTACTTTTGCAATACTACCGGAGATTGATGCTGCGATCTTGGGGGTATCTATGTTATGCTCCTAACTGTATGCCCCATCCGATGTATTATCGCAATCGTCGTCGTCGCGTCTATGTTCAGTATGATACTCAATGGAAACACATTGCTTAATTTTTTTTTTTCTTCGAGTAGGTTCGAGCCCTTGGCTTCAGCGAGAATCGATGCTCAACGTTTAATTGAACCTGTGGATTTCGTACATATTTCTGATATTTCTATGCACTGTTTGTTTCGTAATGCCTGTATCAGTGGAATTATGGGACAAAGAGTGAAGCATAGATATACACACTAATACAATACAGACGGATATGCTATAAATCTGAAACGTCCAACGTCCTGAATGACTACACATGGTCGCACCAATCGTCGACCAAAGATGGAGAGATAACACGAAAATTCTATACGAGCAGCCGCTGCCGTCAGATATCATAGATATTGTAAAGCGACCAAGAACCATGAAGACGAAGAAATAACAGGAGGAAGAACACCAAGAAGAGCAGAAAACCCACCTAGAAATAGGTCAATGAAACACGCCAGTTAGACTAACGACGCACTCACAATGGACATGAGATGCCCATTCATACGCGTTGCAGAAGTTCTGAGCCATGGTGTCAACGTGCGTAGTGGCATCGTTGTCACCATCCCGGTCTCTGCAAAAGATTGTAGCTTGAGAGTTGATCTCTACGGGAAGAGCCTTATGTCGGGTCCGCGTATGCAACGTCTGGAGTCCAAGTCTCGACAAGCATCGATAAGGCCAAGATGAGCTGAGCTGACAGTGCGAAGAGCGTGTTAGATTGGTGAACCTATGATGCATCCCAAAAATCATATTAGCAGCGGATAACAGCCTCTGAAATTGTGAACGAGTAATGCACCAATTAGCCATCTATATGGTACAGGGCCATGAGTCGCGCAATGGTCACGACACTTTCTCTAAACGACCGTTGAAACTCAAGATAACGGGGGCAGTCATGCAGCACTCGCGCTTCTGCCGTCTGTTAAACCCAGCCTATGCTCCTAAGATAGTGCAAACATCAATAATGACTGGTCAGTGTCCCCAGAAGGGAGCTAACAGCCTCGCTATCCGAATTGCTCTTCGATGCATCATCGGAATCGAAAATTTCTGTCGAAGGCTCCATGTGAATTGTTTTCCAGAAGGATGGCAAGGAAGAGTATGTCGACGAGGTCTATATTCAAAGGAATCGTGGTCGAGTCGGGAAAAACTGTTCCCACGGTTGGCATTTTGGACTTCGGACCGTACACCGCGACCTCTGAATTGCTTTCCACCACTCAGCGCTCAGCGCTCAGCTGTCTCAACGCTCGCATTATTTCGCAATATTAATATTCGGGTACAGTTATCCTCCGTGGTCGCTCCGAACAACAAACCAAATAAACCAGTTTTGCACCGTACGTTTACTTAGAGAAGACCGTCAATGAAACGAGGATAAAAGGATGCGGACTCTCACATTCTCTTATTACAATAGTACATCTGAATAAGGTCTATACAGGACATTTCCTCAACCTCTGGGTACCTCGGCAGTGTATAAGTCCGAAACGTCCCATGCTCTGAATGACTCGTTGTCCTGAGTAATCACCCTGGACCCGTCGGCAGCGACCAAGATATTGTATACAGAAACTTGCCCATACCAACGGTGAATTGTAGTACTCTGTTTGCTCGTAAGGTTTTCAATAACAAGGTCACAACACTTGTGACAACGTTGGTGCTTACAATGCCAACTTCGAAGGTAGGCAATTCGATCGCTATCAGGAAACCACGTCAAGCATTTCACGTCTCCAACTTCTTTGGGGCCCGTGGCATTGATATCTCTTCTGGACGGGGTTCCCAATATGAGTTCCTGCCCGAACCAAAGCTCCAAATTACTGAGGGCGACCTTCGAGCCGTCAGGCGAAATTTGGAGTTCCCTAATTGAGATGGTAGAGTCATATCGGAATCCTGTATCCCAAACAGTCAGTGGTGACATTCATGACAAAGACTGAAACGTGCCATATGTAGAGAGTAGAGTACCAGTAGATGTTTCCCACTCTCGTAGTAAGAACTCGCATGTTTTCTCGCTGGTCAATCCTAGTATCCTAGATCCATCTTTCATGGCAGCGAGTACATGGTCGCTGTCTGCCCAGCCATCCAGAACTATCCATTTCTTGCAATCTGCCTGAGTGCCTGGCTCGACTTTACGTATAGCGCCCGAATCCTTATCGACGAGGAATAATTCATGTGCGTATTGGACTGCAACGTGGTAGTTCCATCCAAGAAACAGATAATTCTCGCAGCGAGAAGTTTGAGTATTGAGGATGGAGATGAACGCGTCGTAATCTTCAGCATTGTGAGGACCGCTACCTTGCCTATCAATGACTGCATATCGTGAACTATCGGCGAACTCGGATCCCTCATTCTCACTCCTTTCCATAAGTACGAACCTAACGATCTGAATACTAGTATCGATTGCTTGGTAGAAAGTGAAAGTGCAGTAGGAGGGCGGCAATGGCACATCAGGAAAACATTGAAACGTCGATGGAGGTGATGGATTTGCTATCCTTCCTATATCAACATCGAACAGTGTAGATCCCTCGGAATGTGCCAGCACAGGTCCTCTAGATGTGAAACAGGGATCGATGAACAGGAGGCGATGGGAGAATCGTTCATGGTGTAAGCGCTCAGACTGAATATACCGAGGGCCTCGAAATGTCGGCAAACTGTCATATTGGCGGCACTTAGGCTCCAGTGTGCTCCAAGGTATAAAAACTAGCAGACGCTCCTTAGTAAACGCATGAACCCCATGGCTCCTCCCCCAATCTCTGCAAATGAAGTTTGTGGAAGGCGACAAGGACATCGCGGTGCTGTACACCAGCTTTCCAGGATCGTCACCTCGACCGTTCCTTTTCACGAATTCGTTGGTACGCTCCCAGAATGTGAAGGCATGATAGACATATGTGCGGAGGCTTTGGTCCGTAACTTCAGCCTAGATGGAAGTAACTATGAGGCTGTGTATAATCATGATATGGAGCACGAACAGCTTACATTAACCAGGGAAATCACCTTGAACAGTGCTTTGTAGACTCCATCGTTGGAATGATCGGCTGAGCATGCATAAAAGATTTCGAGCCAGGATAAGAAATAACGCTCAAACAAAGAACGGTAAGTGTTAATCCCAAACTCAAGCAAGGTGTCAATATGCCATCCTAGAACACTCACAGCATAGTCTCCAACATGGGATGGTATGGTATGGTATAGAGCCAGCACTTTCTCTCTCGGATTGTCGGGGTTGCCAGAGGAAGAAGTAGGCCGGACCGGACCTTCATCGATGGCATGAGCATTGAGTGGCGTCCAATTTTCCAAAAATGGCGTCAAGGACAGCATACATCGCCAAGTAAGCTCTTTTTCATGCTCCTCGACATCTATAAACCATCCATCCCCGCATCTGTTACGATCCCGGAGAAAATCATCAAATGATTTGTGTATCAGCTCGAGGGTCCTCTGAGAGGCGTGATATGCTCTGGATATCGTATACGAGTCTGGTACAGAACTCTCCTGTACAACACTCCCTAATTTGTCAACGACGAGCTGCGCTGGAGGGTCTCCTTCTTGCAGAACAAGCTCGGGAAGCATAGGTACCGTCATATTGCTTTGCGAACGATCACGGCCCCTAAGACTGCACGAATGCATCGTCGGACATCTTCCTTCGTTCCATATACTTCCGAGACGATAGTATCCAGCGCAGTTCGATATAGTATCGTCAGAGCCTCCATAGCATCTGCTGGGATCGTAGTTTCGAGTGTTACCTTGAGCCTCTGGAGACTGGGGAAATCGCACAAGAACGAGCAGACTGTTGCCGCCCATATGAACAGCCCGCTTGCCCGCTCGGCGAGCCGGGTGACAACATCTTGCTCATCGTACGTGCCCCAAACGTGTTTGTCCGCAATGCTGTCAAACCTTTGCTGGATGAAGTACTGTATGTCGTATTTCACCTCATCTGAGGAGGTATCCAAAGGAAAGTGACGGACTTGCTGGCAGTCCCTGAAAATACGAGAAATCCTTTCCTCGGGCCGACTGGACACAATGAGCCGCATGAATGGCAGTTTCGGCCCAAACCCATCCGCAAACACCTCCAGCAAATCTTTCGATGCATCACTTTCGTCAAGACCGTCAATGATGATAACCAAAGGACCTTCATCTTGTAATTCTCGAACCGTCTGCAATGGCTCCTGCAGAAATAGTCGAAACTGGGTGCGGGATTCAGATGCCGGCATTTTAAATGCCGTACGGGATGAAGCCAAAGCTTTAGCAATGGCAATGCCTATGCGCTGATCGAACATGCCTAAAAAGTAGGTGATGGACGTGATGAGTTCTGACGAGTCCCGATATTCGGTCCTGTCATAACGAATGAATGCAGAAAGGCGACTGCGGCTGCCCACATAAAAGCTGAGGAGGTTATGAAGGGTCCCGACAAGGGAACTTTTGCCCGTCCCTGCCAGACCACTACACCAAAGGACGTCATCGTTGCATTCTGCAATCCATGAGATGAAGGCGTTGACCATTTGCACACGTGTCCCACGCATACATGTTGACTTGGGGCCCAGCTCTTGTTTGGGCTTTAGTGTTTGAAGCGACATTTGCACACCTACTCAGATTGAGTTTAGAATCCAATTATGAGAAAATCGAAGAGGTGTACCCAAAATATCAACACAGATTCTGACACCCAATGTCACGACAAGCGCGTCCTTCGCTACACGCGAATCCAACTGCTCCCGCAAATTTGCAAACCCTTTAATAAATTCTTCTGCTTTCCGTGGCACCGTGCACGTTCAAGGAAAAGAAGCGTTCTAAAATCGATGTTACATATTGCCCTTTTGGAAATGAATAATGGACGCACTGAAGCGGTTTTTGTTCGTATATCTCTTGATGAACATCCCGCACTCGGTCGTGACCTCGAACATTGATTTATAGATCGGCTCTAACTGCCTGTGCTGCCACAGCAGGCGGTCGTCGCTCGCCTCCTTGTAAGTTGTGAACATAGCTTCGTACAGTCCAAGTACGGTTTTATCTTGTTCTATCTGTTTTTCCAGGATCTATCCGAAAGGAACGATAAGCTAGCTACCTCCAACGAGGCTTAGTACTTACATTGACGCAAGAGGAAATGATACCCCACGCTATTGAAGCAGCGGGATGCAGCTGGAGAGGTTCAATTACGACTCAGAAATGAATCAGAGATAGAACCTGCTCACATCTTTCAATGCAGAGATCCATTCAGACGGCTCTTTAGGTTTTGCGATTTCCTCGACGACCTTTCCTGCAGCTGCGCAATCATATTCTGCCGATGTCGCAGAGATTGCCCCTAGTTGCAGACCCGAGAAGTGTGAAGCATCCTGACTTTCGAGATCAATGATACTTGATGGGCCACTCTGAGGTACGACCGACATGTCTTCGTCCTCACTTGCCGATTGTGTGATCGAAGAGTAGTGGGAAGCACCTTCCCGGAAGATTTTCAAAGAGACGTTGGGATAGGGAGAGTTGCTACCAATGGACATGACGGTAGCTGGCACCAAGTGTTTAGATCCTGACAGTGCAGATTACAGACGCTCACTGTCGGTTTTACCTATTAAAACATCCCGAACTGATGCTCCACAAAAACCGAGGCATTGATACTCTCCCTTGCCCCGACGGTAGTATACATCCACTTGAAATCTCTCAGATTCATTGATATGACTCCTAGATAGGCAATGAGCTAGGAATTACGTGGTACGTTGTCGTCTTTACAGATCAAGACGGATCGTCCACTTGGGTATCGGGACTGTCTTCAGCGAGTTCTTCAGTGTGTATGTATCGGTCTTCTTAGAAACACTTCCTGCGAAGATCTTGAGGCGATAGTATCGTGTATCCGATGTCGTGGGTAGATTAAGTAGTTCGATAGCTAGTTAGTAAGAGCGCTTAGCAACAAGACTGTGGGTGCAATGGTAGAAGGTACTGTACCTTTGATCCGACGAAAGCGATATCTACCATTTCATGAGTACAAATAATTCTAGAAACTGCGATGAAGGGAACTCACCGTTCGTCCATCTCAAGGTTCGTCCACTCGATAATGGAGGTGTAGTGGAAGAGAAGACGCGGTATGTATATGCCACAAGGTGGATGCGTGTCTTACAGCTTTGACTTGGGGATGTTGGCACAGGTTCCTGCTGCTTCGATCTGAAAAGAACCTGAATGCTGTGGCCGTTGCTGTCACTTCCGAGAAAAAGAAAACCATAGGACTCCGATATGTTATAGTTATCGCTTGATGCTCCGCAGATGTAGTCCCACAAAACAGTAATGGAACAATGAAGGAAACTGCAGCACCGGGCAAGGAAGCATAAACTCTCAGTCCAGACTCTACAGACCCCAGGTAATTTGTTGTTAGTGGCAGTGTCTTTCCGTTTTCCTTCGCGAGCGCTAAACACATCAGTTCGAAGTTAAAGCGCCAAGGCCCAACTACCTCCGAGCTCATGGATGAACTTCTGCAGGTTTGGTGTGACAGCTTCAAGGTCGGTTGGAGCATCATAAAATCCAGAGGCGCTACTGCAGTAGAAGATGACGAACTCGAAAGTCTCCCGTTTGTGTCGCAGCCTTGAACTGGTTCCAGAGTTACCCATCCCAATATGAATATTGCATGCAATACATTAAGAGCCGTGCTGGAGGCTTGCTGATGTCGATGAGCTCCATCGAAACCTTAATGGGTTGTCAGAGAATCACCAAAAGTACACATGTGTAATAGACCGTACTGAAGCTAATCGGGAGAGCATTTCCTTGACAGTTAAGGCACCGTCTGGGCTAAGACTTGTTGTCCATGTCCATAGGGTCACGTAAACACCGCCGTCTAGTAGTTGCCGTCTAATATAGATGCCAGTCAAACAGGGAGAACAGTTTAAGAGAATAAGGTACGCACCATGAAGGGACTTTTTACCAACAACGCTCGATTATGTAGAGCATGAGCCGAACTTTCCCAATCACAAAAAACGTCTGCGAAGCAATAGTCACCACTATGTTCGCAAGGGCCGATTTCGTGTAGACCTTCCTGGAGAATCACTCGAACATGTTGCCGAGGACACAGCACATTGACTGTCTTTTCTCTGTATTTGTGACGTCAGTGTTGTTTCTGGAGATGCGTAGACATATCCCGTGCTTGGTTGTTGCTGTCTCGCAAGATGAACGGATAGTTGGGTGATTGAATGAGCTTCATAATCGTTCTTTTGAAAGTCTGCGATGGCAGCGACCGGTCGGACTGGCTTTGTAATGGTTGAAGGCATCTTCTAATTAACTATGACGCTGATTCCGGGTATGGCCATTCTAGCATGAGCACTGAGGAGAGGGTGAAAAATCGGGAAGAAGTGAGCCAAATGAACTTGGAAAATTAATACTAGTGTCCTTTCTGCATCATTTGAGAAAGAAATTACCTTTCCCAAGCATCGCAACTGCACATAATGCGGAGAGGATAAAAAGACGCGTTCGCGATTCGGGATTGTTTACAGACGCATTCAAGTTGATTTTACTGGCCCCCATCATACTCATCCTTCTTTTGATTTTCGTGTCACTTAGCACCTGAACAGCACGGTATGTCGTTCGCGAAATCGGCCACACTTAACAGAGTGTTATTAAGATGAGGCTTCAACAACGTACATTGTGATGAGGCAGTGAGGAGATGAAGGCAGCGGCCGAGGATGGCGAGAGCTATTCCCACGATTGACCTTCGGACCGTACGCCGGTATCAGACTACCTCTGATCTCAGCCTTCTAAGCTTTTGTACCGTGCGTCGTCCGCATCGTTTCGTTCTCGTTTGATATCACTGGATCATTTATGCAGATTACCGATTTTCCTGCAGTTGTAGAAAGCAAATCTCTCACTTATCGCAATAGGCTGTAGTGTTTCCTCTTGATTCCCCTAGGTTTGCTGCCTGACACCCACGTAACTCGCTCGCCTATGTCATATTTTGCAGGTAAAACGTACCGACCAACTTCCGTGTGCGACGCCCGAATATTCTTAACGATTTAAATGAGCAGCTATACCTTCCTTCCACCAATAAACCATGGTATTGTGCCCAACCTCGTAGATGCTTCATTCAAGTCAAGCATGTTTCCGATTCGAAGGTCAGGCCGCTGCTATTAAAGGATCACACCACTTCGTCTCATTTGTTCTCATACGCTTACATGCAACGTAGAGCAATCACTACCTTTGTTCTATTGGCTGTTTCTGTTACCACGTCGGAGCTCGGCGTCGAGACCCAATCTATATCCACGCCATGCTGTTCTTTGTATGCACCTTGCGATGGTTTATTGCAATCGTCACTGTCGCGCCCGAGGTATCTTTGTGGTATTTCTTGCAAACGAAGATCGCTTTCTTACCCTATATTTTGGCCGCACTCGTGATTGTTGAGCGAAGCAAGTCTTCAACATACTGCTGCGTGGAGTCAAGCAGCCGTGTCCATGTTCACAGAATAAGAGAACCGACAGTGACATTTGAGGACCTGGTTGAAGCGGTTGAAAAGGAACAGCCGGCCTTTGACTGGGCCGGGAGATGGATCACAATAATTGAGGTTATGTGGGGACTGTACATCAGGGACGTGGCCAGTGTATAAATCCTGCGTTCCCAAATTATTCGAGTTAGACGGGAATGGCCAGAATCTGTTTGTGAATCGAACCGGGGACAGTGAAGACTTCTTCTATCTTCCAGCTTTCGCTTCCCAAAAGATCGATAGATGATCCGAGTGTGCGTTCCTCACCTCCTTGCGACGTGTACATCTGGAAGGTTGAGTGTAAGGGAATTATCCACCAGCGTAGAAAACCAAAAGATATGCTTCACCTGTAGGTCTCCGATAACGGTAATCGAATTGGCCCTTCCCAAGTTGGCCAGCAAAGGAGGGGGAACGGGAAGTTGACCTGCGCCTTTGATGCTACTAGTCAGGGACTGTGTTGTTTCATTGGGACGCGCATATGGAACAACCTGAGGTAGAAGATAATGAGGATCTGTGATAGAGACAAAGGAAATATAAATTACTTGGTCAATGACGAGAAGTTTGGTGTCCTCAGATGCCGCAGATCGCAATTGCTTCAAGATCTTGGCTGCAACAGACTTGCCGTAGTCGTGGAAGATCATCCGGCACATAAACACAGCAGGTGCTCTGACTTGTTGCGGCGTGAAGAAGTCATGAACTGAAAATGGAAAACCATTAAGGCACAATGTTTCCGGAGGTAAGAAGATCGTTCACCTTGCAACGTAACGGAGCCACTAGAGACAGCGTCGGCCGCATTCGCGCTCCAAAACTACACTGAATCAATTATGAATAAACGAGAAATGAATCGACCTGAAGAGGAATACCTGCTTCACTTGCTCGATAACCTTGGGTTTATCTTGAACCACAATTTTCAAGGATGGGTGTTCTTTGTGGATTTTGAGCATAGTATGGCCCATACCACCGCCGACATCCACGACAACGGATCCGTTCGCTAGACTTCCCCATTGAAATCCTGACCAAACACAGTGAGGTGAAGATCCTATTGTGCCATTCATTGTGTGCTTATCTGCCAGGATTGCATTCGGAGGGTCCAATTTCGCCGCTCCCTCCATGGCAGAAGCAAATCTCTTGAGTCTAAATTCGTTTCCCGGCTCTTCGTACCTATCAAACATCTGCTTGTCGGTCTTGAACACGTACTAGTTATCGAGTAAGTCTATGTAAATGAAAGGAAAAGTAAAGAGCTTACTGAGAAAGGACAGTCTTTATGATCATCCGAATGGCATAACCGCTTGTCGAGCAAGACTTCAGTCAAGTACCCCGAGCTCTTGAAGACTTCGTCGGCACTTTGGTAACGACGTCTCAGTGAGGAACAATCACGGATGTATGAATAAAATTGGTACCCACGCTCTAGCAAAGCGGACACTCCAGGAGACCCAACATGCTTGTTTTCAGGACTGTATGATTCTCATGAGAATGACCGGTCTTCCCATGGAAAAGACGAGCAGACCTAGCCTTGATATCGTCCACAAATTTGAGTGTATCCATTATAGATGAAATCCTGTTGTTGCTGAACGTGTCAGGCGCCGTTTCATTGAAGCCTTGACTGTGAAAGACACAGTGACGGTACGGTAGTTGTATCTCATGCTTTGAGCCCTAATTATGCACCACGAGCAACCATGAAGCGATGTCATTGTGCGAACGTTATGAATCTCCTCGTAAGAAACAAACACAGTACTGATCGAAATTTGCTCTGAGCGCTGGCCTTACACTTTCGGAAAACTACCATGGCTACCATGGCATATGACTGACAGATCGCTTCCTTTGAGAATAACATGGTCTTCGAACATGTCGTCAAAAACGACATGATATAGATGCGGAACGTCTGGTAGCAAAAAGACGTGTAAGCTCGTTTGCAAACGAGAAGCAGCACATTATCGTACCTGGATGTGATTGCACCGGCTGCGTCACCCGATAATCCACAAAGATATACTGCGTCATATCTCCTTCCTCAAGCCGTTGCCCGTAGTTTTGGAACCGCGGATCACGACCGCCATCCAAACGATTCCCATCCCTAGTAAGCTCAATACCCCACTTCTTGTGCGCCAAGAGAAAATCAATCCGGCCTTGACTTTCACGATCTGGATTGGTCCCAAAGTCTGGAGACAAAACGATAGCACCATCTGTCAAAGCTGACGCAGCTCTGTAAAATTCCGTAAGATAACGACTTTCAAGTGGAGTACCGAAGCGAACTGGCGGGTCGCGAAGTAAGGAGGGACGGAAAAGCGCCGTGACTTGACAGACAAGATCGAGAGGACTCTCGAAAGATGCCTCGAGTTCACAAGGAATGAGGTGATACGAAAACCAGCATTGAAGAAGAGGAGTGGAGAGGGAGATAATCACGGTGTTGGGGAAATTTCCGCACGCAGAGGTGAATACCCATCCTTGGCGGATGGCTGTTAGGCAAGTATCGCCGTGAATCGGGTCATCAAGGAAGACCCATTGGTCCAAGTCGTCGTATTGGACGTCCAGGATTCTTCTTTCGGTGCAAAAAAGAGAGCCATGTCTTAGCAACCGACGGAAAAATGCCGCAAAACTTGGGCGCCCGACATCCGTAATCAGTGATTGAGGAGGAAGTCCCTTTTTGAGCTCACAAGCTCCTCCGAGCTCGTGAACGAACTTCTCGAGGCTTGGCGCTGCAGCTTCAAATTCGGCGAGGGAAAACTTGCTGCTGCGAGGTTGAGCCAATATGTTCTGGAATTCAATGTTCAAGAGTTAGTATATCTGCATTCGACTTCATTGGACAGCTGACCGCCGTTTGCAAAATCCCGTAGAGAGCAGTAATCGCACCAATATGACCACTGGTCCACAAAAAGAAGCATCTCTCCAGTTCCTCATCGATGCAACAGTCAGACCGTTGTCGTACATATTCAGAGAATTCTGTTTGAGTGAAATGAAGTCCAACGGGAGAATGGTCTGTTGGCCATAAACCCATGTGAGAGTGCTTGTCAATATATATCCTATATGAGGGGCCCAGTCTGGCAGTGGGGTCATCGTATAGTCCAAAGACAGCGCCATATCGGCAGAATATGATGATCCGGATGTCTCTTACTAGACGTGCGTCCTTGATCCAGTTCTAGAGTTGCCTGTCATCATACGAATCTTGCATATCGTCCATCAATAGCCACGCCGGACGCTCACCGGCTTCAATGAACTCTATGGAAACCTTAACAACTGACAGTCAATACCTAGAAGCGTGTGTGAACAATAGGCCTTACCGAGGCTATTCGGAAGAATCTTTCCTTGAAAGCTAAGTACCCTGGATTATCGCCCGCTGTCCATTTCGGCACATAAAAGACATTGGCGTTTGGTTCTTGCTGTATTATATAGTTGGATAAAAGATCCAGCAGCGTGGATTTTCCACTACCCGGAGGGCCGCGCACCTAAGCCTGCCAGTCAAACAGACGGAACACTTTGAGAGAATTAAAGTGTGTACGATAAAGGGACTTCGTCCCCACCACAATATTTGATTATAAAGTGCACGGATCGTATCCTCCCGCTTGCAGAAAACGTCTACGAAAGCAACAGTTATCACTACGCAGGTTTGCAAGGGCAAAATTCGCGCCGACCTTTCAAAGGAATCACTTGATTATATCGCCGAGGATAGGCATACACAACACGTAGGCCGTCATTTCTCTGCGGCACTTCCGAAGCCAGCGCTACGTCTGGAGTTGCGTAGACATGGCCCGTGCTTGGGAGGTTGGCATCCAGCGAGATGAGCGGGTAGTCAGGTAGTTTGACCGCATTCATAATTGTTTTTTGCAAGTCCGCAATGGTAGCGTCCGATGGTACTGTCATGAAGACCGATTGTCCAGGACGTAAATATCTCTCAAAATCATCTTCTAAATTGACCAAAAATTTAATTCTTTGCATGGTCATTCTTGTACTAAACGGAGGGTGAAAAAAAGATTCCGAGTGAACCAGGGACGGGAGAACTAGTGTTTAGAATTTTATTAGTGTCCTTCTTCATCATTGAGATTGTTGTACATTACCGTTCTAGGTTTTTGGGAATTAAACGTCGCAAGTGCACGTCAAGGTGAGAGACAAAGAAAGGTTGGCCGCGAGGTCTGAGACGAGCTTATGACGAGCTAGCGCTATCATAATGTCTGACTGATAGCACTACACTGACCACTCCTTCGTCTTTCTCTTCACTTCATGACATAGAGCCTGAACATCATGATAAATCGGTTATGAAACTAGCAACACAACAAAGAGTGATTAAGATGAAGTTTCGGCACTTCAGCATCGTCGTGTTGAGTGAGACTTCGGAGGGTGAGGAGATGTTCCCACGGTCGACCTCTCGGCCTTCGGACCGTTCGCCGGTATGCCCTTCTCTCTTAGTCTCTCTTCTATTCTTTTGCGATCCTGCCACCAAGTACTATAGCACCTGCAGCATAGACATATTCCAAACAACAAGGCTTGTACCATGTGTCTAATTCGTTTTTCTTCCGTTTTCCTTTGATGTGCCCTCCAATATTTAGAAAGTGAATTTCTTGCTGAGAGTCACAACCTGTAGTCCCTCTTCAGCTTTCTCTAGGATCGCTGCCTGACACCCATGCGACTCGCTTACCTATATAGCGCTGCATGAAAAGGTATATCTCATGATCCACCAGAAAACCATGACCTTGGCCCCAACCTCGTAGATGTTCCTATGTTCTCAAACGTAGTATCGACCTTCGTCTGGCCTCGAATGGTGTGGGCGAGGAGGATTGATCAAGGTTGAGAGATGGCCTGTCAACTAGTCACCATCCACGAAGTGAAAGAACGGGCGTATCCCCTATTTGCATACTCTCTCTTCTTCGAAGGGGTCTCCCTACATACATAATAGGCTGACTGTGAAGCGATCTGGAAACTCTCATTGACTCTCTGATGGCCTATCGGAGAAGCGGCTTCGTCGCTTCCCGTCGCAGGGTTCGATTCCTTGCGGGACTTCCTCGATGGCATATGTTGTGAAGCCTCTTGCTTCAAGATCTTGTCTTTGGGACACTAGCTATCCCGTAACTTCAGACAAGTTCTCGCATTGTTCTTTCTCGCGGCTTCGGCCTCTAGCCATCGCTATCTAGAGCCTTTCAAGTATTCTTCGTCTTCGCGTCGTTTTATTAAAAACTGGGGCTGAAGACGGCTGTATCTCGAGGACATCGATTCGAGATATATGCTACCCACCAAGTCCCGAGGCGCCATGTACTTCGCAGTTGCAGATCCATTTACCTAACCGAATCACCACGGCGATATGGGACCCGCAACGCGGCCTATATTCAGCTCTCTATTGGCATATCGGCGAAGCGCAAGCTTTGAAGGCTGGGTTCGACCCCGTCCTAAGAACGGGAGGGTGTGCGCTGCGAGATTTTTTGTTTTCATCTTAGATTCGATGCCTTGGTCCTTGGACGGTAGGTTTTACTTTTCTTTTCATTGCATCTAGTTTCAAACAGTCTATTTATATACCAGTCTATACCTCCCAGATTGTCGCTACCACATCCCTTCCCGTCCCTCTTCGACTCTAATATGCAAGTTCCCATGCTCTGGCGGTTCCTCTAGACGATCAGCGTAACCTTCGCCTGACTTCTCCCTTTCTCGAAGCCTCAGGCCTCAAGCTCAAGTCTTATGCAAGCCCCCAAATACATCTTCGGAGCAGCGGCAGGGCACTCTCCTCGACCGTTTACATAAATGACGGACAGCATACAGGAAGATGTATTACGATCTAAACAACTCTCTGATGGCATATCGGGGAAGCGTCTACAATACTTCCCCGTGTTGGGTTCGATTCCCAACGAGGGAGATCGCAACATACGCCCTCCTGGCAGCCGAGAGGACGTATGTTGTGTTTTTTTTCTCTCTTATAAATGCTCATCAAATGACGCGCCGTTTATTCTTTCAATACGCTGGGCTCAAAATCGACTGCCTTGGAGGTTCAGATATTCAAGCATACGTCTGAGTCTGGCTGTGACTCAAGTGATATTAACGAACATGAATAACAACCCTCTGGTGGTGTATTAGTATGGTCAGTGTACCTGGGTTCGAGTCCCGGCCAAACACGAGGAATGGAATATCTGTGTTTGATGTTTTTTGCCAAGAGTGATCAGAGAAGATCCTCGAGACTCGAGGAAGCTACGTAGAAGCGCCAAGCTCGAATCTTCAACACAACCATCGAAATGAATTTTCGGCCATTCTTTGTCAAATAGTTAAATAAGTATAGTCTAATCCAGTCTAGTCACAGAAGGAGGTATCATTCCACTCGGCTCATAGTATGCATACGCAACGAAGAGGAATAACCGAGTTCTGCCAAGTTCGAAATTGAAGTAGCGCGATTGGTCTAAGCAACATACGCGACACCATTGGCCGCTCTACAGTTCATCATGCCGCACCACTTCCTCGGCATCTACATCTGCGCGCAAGAAAATCGCGTGGCTCCCACCTTGCATCTCCGTCCCAGAATATGCTGCGACTTCGCGTATCCCACCTGTATCCCAGCCGTCCCATTCGAGTATGCGTACACTCGCACAGGGTTCAGGCGCCTGCGTGCATGGGTCGTCGTCTGTTAAGACTATCCATAGGGACTCGGCTGGGATAGAGAGACTCCTGGTCCGTGGTCAAGGTGGTAGACGACGAGTCAGAAGCCTTTGGGAGCAAGTCGATAGCGTGGGCTTTCCCTCCTGAGGTCGGGGTCTCGTAGTACTCGACTTGGCCGCTAAGCAGACCGGATGAGGAGAGAGAAAAGACAGAAATGTATCCTGGGTCGAGGTGCGTTGCCCTACGAGCGGTCGCAAATATTTGCTTAGCTGAAGGCGCGAGTAGCAGTGTGTCACCCCTGTAGGAGCGCGATGAGCCGGAAGCGTAGAGGGGCTGCGAAGAGGACGAGTTTGAGAGATGGTGTAGGCGCCGTATTAAAGGTGTATACGACTAATTTGTTGCCTGCAAGAATCTCAAACAGTCCGATTTTCGATAAAGGCAGTGAAAACGTACTGTGTTCAGTCACGCAGTAGACAACCTCTCCGTTTGGATGAATTTTAACGTGCCGTGGACCGTCTCCTGCATGACCTTTGGATTTCGCTACGCGTTCGAGTGTCCCGTTGTTACCTCTCTTAAAGACATGGATCTCTTCCGTCCCGAGGACCGGAACAAAACCATAGTTTCCGTCTGCCGTGAACTCTATCGCATGGGAACCGTATCTCAGCGCTTTCCTTGTCTTATCGGCTTCATCCAGTTTTCCTGATTCGACAAATAGAATCTCTTGTATTTTCTTTTTCCATGCTCCGGTTGCAGGGTCAAGAGTGTGAATCTCTCCTGTGGGACCACCCATTGAGTAGGCGTGAGAGTCAAGTATCGTGATATAAGACGATGTTGCCGTTATGGGAGTACTGCCGATGTGAGCTAGCGAAGGAAGGGACCACGCATGCAGGGCCGGTGGAGAAGCCCATGTCGTCGCGTACACGGCCTGAGGGGTCTGTGTAATGTACTGGTGCGGGCCGATGGCGGGTACGGTGCGGAGAAGCCGGAGAGAGCGGTTGAGTGGCGAGAAGGCGAGGAGGAAAAGAGAGAACGAGGTGAAGGAGCCGGAAAGAACGTGGATGTCCATTAGATGGGGTAGGAGTTTGCGGGGACTGATTATGTATATCAGCGGAAAATAATTAAAAATCAAATATAGAAGCGGAGAAACTACTCTCCGGCTATATAAGGCATCAAATCATCGCCACACCTAATCCCCCGCGATGATCCTCCTTCCTTCCTCCTCCTTCCTCCTTTTCTTTGCATTGCTGCCAGCTGCCCTCGCCCACTCAAATCCTAAAACGAATGCAGAAATAGAGGTCCAGCGTTCCTTGCAGCAGGCAGCGTACCACTGCGCACCAGCAGTAGCTCAGTTCACCGCTCAGCGCAAACGGGCTTGGGCTCAAAAGGTCCTTGCCGGTAACCCATCGCTACCCGCCTACCAGGATCTATTCACCTCATACAATAACGCTATCGATGGAGAGAAATCCGTTCCAGGCGAGGAGGGCCAGGAGCTCATGAGCTGCACCCCGGTAACAGAAGAGGCCAAGATGGAGAACAACTCCTGCGTGTTGAGTACGTCTAACCTATTCCCTATCTTTTTCTATTTCCTGACCGTCGTATCCGGTAGCCCCCATCGTAACGGAAGGTCCTTACTATCACCTTGCCGGTCACCCCATACGCCAAAACATCGCCGAATACCAGGCCGGCCTCCTCCTACTCCTTGACATCGGAGTCATCGACGTAGAAACATGTCAACCACTCCCCAACGTTCTCGTCGACATATGGCAAGCAAACGCTACCGGCCACTACGCAGGACACCCCACACCGAAACCTGAGCTCGTTAACGAGAAACCCCAGGTCGGTGGGAAACGAAGTGGTCTCCTCAGTGCTTTCCCCAGAACAAATGATCATGAGACATTTCTACGAGGTGCTTGGCCGACTAACGAGAATGGAGTCGCACAGTTCACGAGTACGTTTCCTGCTAGTCTTTTCGGTTTCACTCTAACGCTATCTTTACGTAGCTATCTTCCCGGGTTACTACACAGGTACGCAACCCCCATCTCGCGATACATCACATTATTAATCTTTCTGTACAGGTCGCGCGACACACGTCCACACCAAGGTCTTCCAATCATGGACAACCCTCCCGAACGGCACGTTCGAAGGGGGCAAGCTCTCCCATGTCGGGCAGTTCTTCTTTGACGACGAGGTAAACCTTCAAGTTGACAAGGTACGTATCCCGACCCACGTATTTCCACCTCATCTCACCCCAATTCCCTCCCAGATGCACCCTTACACTACAAACCCCATCAAAGACACTATCGGCCGCACGCGGAACTGGCGCGACTCGCTGAATATCTTTGAAGACTCTCAAGGTCCGGAGGGGAAATATGATCCCGTGTTCAAGTATGTGTATCATTTTTGCGGTCACCTGCTCTGGGTGTGCGATCCCGTCGCGCTGGCTTCTTTTCTATTATAGTGTACTAACGGCGCGCGTGTTTTTCTTTAAATAGATTGCATCTCCTGGGTGGGGTTATCAACCAGGGTCTTGCGGGGTTCATCACGATGGGTATTAATACGAGCGTTGAGGTCGATAATTGGTGGAAGGGCTAGATTTAAGCAACAGCTGGATCATGATATAGGCATGTATGATTATGCGCTACAAACCAATGGATATTGCACTGTGGTGTGCTCAGATTAACGTACAGTAAAACCAGTGAGGCCAGCAACGCGAGGGGACCAAGGCGTCAAACTAGGCTTTATCTCGCACCTTATTAATAAAACTGTGTTTATTACGCATCTTTACGGGACTACATGAGACAATACGCGGTGCATTAGGTCTTCGGTCTGAACTGGCAACGGAATTTCAGTTTAAGTACATTTTTGGAGAAGAAACCACAGGATTCCTTTCAATATTAAACATTAAGATTTCATGAGATGTCATATTCAAACTCGAACTTGAGGTTCAGAATTCTGAAAGTGAAGTTCCTGCGGCTGCCTGGGGCTGAGTCTGAGCTTCAGTCGGCCTTTGACTCCTGGAGTTTCAGTGTAAGGTAGTGCACGAAAGCTAGCTTTTGATACACCGTTACCCGCCACGGCTTATTACCGGTAAGTCACCCTCCTTGCTGAAGGGACTGTTGTGTCAGGTAAGAAAATGTACTGATGGCACTACAGTCATCCGTGACTACACTGAGCACTCTAAGATATCCTGAATATCATGAGGGAAGAACAAAAATCGAGGACAGTGCTTTGCATTAAAGGGGAATCGAACCCCCGGCGGGTCGATGGCAACGACCCAGGTTACCACTACCCCATTAATGTTCACAGTAGTTGCAATGTTATGTATCTAAAATGAGGTTCTTATCAGAGCCTCAACCTTTTTACTTTCTTCCTCACTTCCTTAAGAAACAACGACCATCTCGCTTGGCGGAGTCGCGTTGTTCCCGCAGACAATAGCTCCGGGACCTATCGATAGGAACTGGTGAGCTGGGCAAAAAATCATGTCTCAAGCAAGTTGCAGGTAAATGTTCCACATGCTAGATAATCCTCCGCTCGAGCTCATCTCCTTAGTCGCGAACATCCGGAATCAGAGTACTCTAACATCTCAAGAGGTCTGTCAAGCTATGGTACAAGTCAGCGTCATGGTTTGCGAAAACTTCAAATTCCGTTCCTGTGTGTTCGCCCGACAGGCTACGGATGCTTGTTGTCTCAGCTTCTTGTTCTTCAGGCGCAGAGACTTCGAAGTTTGAACGTTTATGCGGCTCCACGGTCTGTGAAACTTATTTTCTCAAGCTCTAAATATAAAAACAGCTTCAACCATCTCGCGGTGGTGCGGCCCCGAAGGGCGGAGGCGTGTTATCTCAGGCGATAAGTTCTATTTATGATTCTTAGTGGGCTCCTTGGGAATAAATCGGCGACCATGCTGCGCATTTGCATATCTCGAACATCTCTTGTCACCAGGTACAAGACTCTCAGGCTGGGACGTGACCTTTTTTTTTGTCTGGCCCGAGATTCTTTCTTTCACGAACTCGGCGAGCTGACGCCGACAGTCTACGCACGGCGTCGAACGTTCAACACTAGGTAACAACGGATATCGATTGCTCCGTGTCTGTGTCGTAATCTGGGCGTTTAGACAGTCCTAGACGTCTATTGGGTCTATTCGGTGTCTTTCGGTGGGTTTCGAAGAGACAATGTCTAGCCTGTGCCTTTTAATTCTGTCTATTGTTCAGACAGCGGCATAATTTGCGGAGTCTGGGTTTTCCGTGTCTACAATGGTAAGCACAAATGGAAAACTAATGTTCCCATCAAGAAGCTGACTGTCTGTCGAGCCCTTGGGGCATGGTACAAGTAATCATTCTTACGTATGGTCAAATATCAGGCTGCATATTGCAGTCTTAACGAATCGAGGCGCGAATTCCAAGTTGCTTCGACTCGTTCATTGCGATACCACTGAAAAATGGGGAGGTAAAGAGGCTACTTGTTATGCTGCGTATTCAGGGCTCGGAGTGTCTTCTCTCGTTCCTGACTTCAGTTATTCCCTGAACGCGATATATCTCATTAACATCAGAAAGCGTTGAAATCCAGCATATCTCCCGAAGGTTGACATGGGACCCTTACGCAGCTACATTCTCAGCATGTCGTAAATGCAGGAGAATATCTGTCGACACGGATGGACTTGATGAAGATCGCCACAATGGTCCAAGACTCATACTATGTCCAAAGGACAACCGACGAGGTGACACTGATTGTGCCAAATTATCCCTGTCTACCGCATGTGCAAGACCCGAGGCCTGCGTGTCCAGACTAGCGCAGGAATTTAATACTACCGTTTCTCAAAACCCTTTTGGCACTCTTCCAGATTCTTTCAATTATCGTGGTCTCGTGTCTACTGATGCAGTTTATACCACAGGAACGTATCGCGGGAAGGCACATATAAATTATGGGCCTGGTCAGCTGAGACTACCATCTTCTGTCGATCTCCAACGGTACATTTTCGACGTTTCGTGAATGCAACTAGATACTAACTTCTTCCATACGCGGTCCCCGGAACATCTGTTACCTCTCGAGACAGACGTCTAGCACTTCCTTCCGATAGAGCATGTTTCTGGCCACAAAACTTAACAGAGACGAGCGATTCACGCACTAGAACCTTGTAGGACCTCAGGGTGACTCTTGGATTCCACGCTTCGTCGCACACATTAGCCGATCTCAAGGATGCCCCGCATGGACACTGTTCAATCAGGCACAATTCCCCGCCATCGGCAAATACTCGCTGGATTTCCCACTGCACTCCATTCTCTTGGCTTTTTTATGTACACAAATTCAGCATTCCAGTCTCCTGCTCTTCAAAAATGCCCTGTTCTTTTATCTACGGTCGCTGATGCTTGAACGTGGACTGACGAGGAGACAAACGGGACGACAGACGACAGTCGCGCGTTGTGGGGTAAACTCGGACCGTCGGGCCGTCCATTCCCCACATCCGCTCCTCGCGCAGAGCAAAGCGGGTTGGTCAGGTGGGGAAGTATAAAAAGTCGTGACTGCTGTACACATGTTTGTGCTTTCTTCCCATCACATACGTATCGCACCATGGAGGGAGGCAGATTCCAGAATATCCGGGTTTATTGTCAGTTTTTAACCTATCTTTTCTGTTTTTATCCTCACGGTGTGCTGTAGGGCTCGCGTTCGTCGTGTACTGGGGGATCGTGTTATTCGGTTATGATACGTGCGTGGATATTCTTGAATATCTCATTTCGAGCTGTGGTGTTTATGCGGTGTTTGACTGTCAGTGGTGTCGGCGGCGGTGTTGTTAATAACCCGTACTTCCAGCAACATTTCGGAATGTACAACGCCGATGGAACGCAGGACACCCATAAAGTAAACAACATATCATCAAATGTTGTGTCCGTTCTCCAGGCTGGTGCTTTCTTTGGCGCCTTGGGTAGCGTGCCGATATCTCGTGAGTCTGTATCCGACGCTTCTTTTATCCGAAAAGTTCATTCTATATCAGCCAAGCTCGGGAGAAGATACACTTTACTCGTATATTCTCTCTTCTTTTGTATCGGTGCGGTACGTCAGGTTCTTGTTGCATCTTTGTTCTATCCTCAGATACAGCGCTTAGATTCTAACGACCATAGCCGAGTCCCCTTCAAATGGTCTTAAGCTTATCTATGGAGGGCGAGTCATCTCTGGTGTTGGAATAGGTGGGATTTCGGCTATAGCTCCAGCCTATGTCTCCGAGTGTTCCCCCAAAGAAGTCCGAGGACGGATCACAGGGATGTTCCAGATCATGGTGGCCACTGGAGTCATGCTGTCCTACTTCATTAACTGTACGTGTATTCAAGCTATCCACCACTCGCTTTAACTAACAATGATACATCCGAAGATGGTATTGGTATTCATATTGCCGGCGGCACTGATGTATGGAGGATCCCATTCGGGTTCCAGCTTGTACCGGCTGGTATCATGACCTTTGGATTGTTGACCATCAAGGTGTGCTCGTTCACATGCGTTTGTATTAGATACCGATCTGAACGAAGAAAATCCCAGGAATCGCCTCGTTGGCTTGCGTCAGTTAACCGAAAAGATGACGCCCTCAAGAACCTCGCATATCTGCGACGGCTTCCACCCACTTCTGAACAAGTGCTGCACGAGATGGCCGAGATAGAAGCCGTTGTTGAGGAAGAGCGCTTAGCTCGCGAAGGTCTGCATTGGAAGGAAGCCTTTTTCGGAAAAGGCAACTTCATTCGATTCGTGATCGCCTTCGTCATTTTCCTCTTGCAGCAATGGTCTGGTCAAAATTGTACGGTCCCATTTTTCTTTCTTTTCTTCAGCTGATGCTTATCCTTACGATTACAGCTGTGAACTACTACGCTCCCCAGATTTTCGCATCCATCGGTTATACTGGTACCAAAAATTCCCTTCTAGCATCAGGAATCTACGGTGTTGTTAAATTGGTATCCACATCCTTATTCGTCTTCTTCGGCGTTGAATGGCTTGGACGAAAACTATCCTTAACAATTTCCGCATTTGGAATGGGTATCTTGTTCTATATCGTTGGAGCACTTCTAAAGACACACCCACCACCCGCGACTAGTTCCTCCGATACCTCGGTAGTATCCCCTGAACCAGCCAGCCAAGCCATGGCGGCTATGCTGTACATATATGTTTGCTTCTACTCGATGGGATGGGGACCACTACCGTGGGTTTACGTATCAGATATCTTCCCAACAAGGACAAGGCATTACGGCTTAGCATTAGCTAGTGCTTCTCAGTGGCTGTGGAGTAGGTCTCCCGCATGATATTTATGTTTGCACTTCGCTGATCGGACGACAGATTTCGTGGTATCCAAGGTCACTCCAGATATGGTCACCAATCTGGGCTGGAAGCTTTTCGTAATGTTTGCTACCGTAAACGTCGGCGCAATGGGCCTATTTGCAATGTATGTATCATCACGGCATGCATGTTTCAACCTCCGTGCTGACTGTCTTCAACAAGTCTAATCCCAGAGACGAAGGGCCGTAGTCTTGAAGACATGGATGTTATTTTCGGTGCGATCAGCAAGGAAGAGCGAGACAAGAACATCATCAAGCAAGAACACGGTCAGTCGATTGCCCTTATAAACGCTTCAGAACTTGCTGACCGGAAACGTAGAACTTGAAGCGAACGATCATTCAAGCATGCACCAGAAAGTCTGAGCTTCATGTTTCAAAATCATGACCAAGAATGCTCCCAGACTCTATGAATGACTCTGATGATATGCAGTTCCTGTTTTGTATTTTTAATCAAAATGTCCACGGTTTTCGGGCGTTCAACGACTAGACCATCCAAACTTGGCAACTTTTTGGTTTGAGGGACCATGAGTGTCAGGTAGATCGACCACTCGATCGTTTACACTCGATCGCCTTCTGAGATCGAGATCTTAACGAGGATGAATCGACACCCTTTTCAATCGTTGTAGGATCGTTTTTCAACTTACCCGGCATGTAGTTCCATGCCCCTCAGCTAGGAAATCCTCAGGGTCCCAAGGAGTGCTACGTATGTCAATTTATGAGGAACGGCGGGAGCACAAGTTTGACGTGACGTTACTGCCAAAAGCACCCACCCCGCACCCCAAACCAGTGACATAGATGGAACCCAAAAAAAGCAGACGATGTCGGAAGTGCATCACACCAGCGCGATTGAACCTTCCTTGGCATGGAAAATCTGGACCATGACAGCCATGGAAGCTGACCCCAAGAGCCAACTACCCCCGAAGAGCTGTACAGGGAGAAAATTGATCTTGCCAGTGAGGGGGTTGGTGTGAGAATCAAGAATAGCTCCTGAGATGGGAGGACCAAGAAGTGTTCCCGGCTGGCAAGAAGGTCCGTCAGAACATCAAGATCCTTGGAACCGTGATATGTATGTACACACCACAAAACTGGAAAACATGATTCCAGTGATGCTTGCTAGGCCTTCAACGCCGTACAGATCAGCAGCAACTGGATCAGCGTTGATTAGCGCCACGAACTAATGTATTTGGAGCGAACAACACACCAACTGGATACAAACTAACATAACCGCCGGTGAAAAATCCATAGATGGATGAAAAGGCCATCAAACCCGACAGGCTGCCAGCAAAAGGCCATATCGCCATTTGGGCAATACCACCCATGCATTGACACAAGGAAAGCACAGGCAAATGACCCAGCTGATCGCCGACTATACCGACAAGCTGTATGATAATAAGCGCCCAGTGATCCCCGCATGGAGATCGAAGCAATGTATTCTCCACGCCTAAAACCAGCACTTACCACGCGGCCTACGGCGGAAAAGGCCGATATGAGAGCTGCAGCATTTGCACCATCCTGAGCGCTGCGCTCCAGCTTATTGATGGCGTAGTCTAGAACAAACGAGTTGAGAAAAGAGAACAAGAATGATAAAATGGGCAGAAAAGTGAGAATCGTTGAGCCTGTCATTGTGATACCGCAAAACGTACCCGGAACATAGAAAATAGGAACGTAGAAGCCAGGACCACTGAGCAATCCAATAGAACACAGAAACAAGAACACGTTATCCGTCAGCAATGTTTTGTCCACCTTCGTGGCCGGCTTGGCCGATGTACGGGGCCGAAGGTAAATATCAGCTACCCCAAGGGCTGAAAAAAAGGAGGTGGTTCGTTAGTGCGGTGCAAGCTTGAAGAAGAAAGATGCCGTAGAACACAGGATGAAAGCGGAACCCCGCAAAATCCGGTGGTGATGAACAGGAAGTTGCATCGCCTTTGAAGCATAGCATTGAAGATATGTCACTGAGGACTTACCAACCAGAGTCAACAATCCCGTGATTCGAAGAGCCCAGCGGAAGCCCAGGAGGTCGATGAGTCTCTGCGTAACGGGGCTGAGCAATAAACCCCCAACTCCTACAAACTCTGATATGTCAAAGTGAAAGAATGTCAAATGAAGGATCGAGCCAACCGTAGCCGCTAGCTGCTATTCCTGTGGCAAGTCCTGGATAAGATAACAAACATCAATGCTTCCTGTACTACAGCTTGGTGTAACGATCACCTCTGTGTTTAGTGAACTAGCGGCCACAAGGTAATCACAAGTTAAGAAGGCTGTGATGCTGATATGCAAAACGCTCACCCATTGCGAAGGGATACAGACGGCAGGAATGAATGCGAAACCACTCCCAACGCCGAATAATACACCTTGTGAACATAGTTTAAATGGCTCCAGGTATGGAGTATGTCTGACCGACCTTGAGTGAGGTATAAATGCCATATGTGAGTACTACATCAATGATTAACTTAGAAAACACCCGTCAATGCAGACTACTACTCACGAAAACGACGCGGAGATCAAACCGATGCACATAATGCACGTGCCGATAAATCCCGTTAGTCTGTAGCCGATACGTTGGGCCAGGATTCCAGCCAAACTGTGCGCAGTGGCGTAAGTAACACATGGGAACCGCTATTGGATACTAACATTCCAACGAGTGGTTGCCCAGTTGCTTGGATGGACCCTACCCAGGCCAGATCTGAGTTGGAAACAGGACCCAAATCGCATGATACGAAGTAATGGCTTTGGTACACTCCCCAGGAAGACTCGATCCTTAACAGATAGTAAAGCCCCATCGATCTGTAGATGTTTGTGAAACGTACCCAAGGGCGAAAAAATGAACTATGAAAGAACAGAAGACGCAGATCCAACCATAGCCACCGTCGGGCGAGGAAGCTTTGTCAGTATCGACGAGATCCGGGTTGGATACTCTGGGAACAACCAAGGTATCGGACGACGAAAAGGCTCCAGAGTCAACAGGTGGACTAGGGTCGTCTGCTGAATCTGGAGAGACTTCTGAAAGTGTCATATATGAAAAGTGGTTGAAATTCGAGCGAGTTAATGAGGGAAAATGAGAGGTAAGGAGGAAAGAACTTCAAGAGGTAACGTGCGTTTTAAGGCTCCTACGTGAGAAGGAGTATTCTGGGATCAGAACACCAACAAGCACGGAGTCAATGAGGAATGGCGACTGTCAATGTAATCAAATTAATGGCAGTGACAAAGAGACATGCCGAACGTCCATACAAGAACAGGGCTCGAGCTGTGTACAAAGAAGCGCCGCATGGTACTAAATGATCTGGCGCTTAACGCTACCTGGCATGACCTCTGCGACGAAACATTCAGCTGCATCTAACGCCGAAATTTGTGACCATCAGATCTGTATTTTGATTTTAAGCGCCCACATATTTTATTCGCTGATTGATTGGATATAGTATCCGACAACGTGCCGAGCAACAATAGAGTAAGGATTAACCCAAAAGGTGATCCTGTACCATAAATGATAACGAAGGTTCTCTATGAGGAAGAAAAGAAAATGTAGGCAAAAAGCAACTGGATTTAGATAGGACTTATGCTGGAGTTGATGGGTGGGGAGAAGGGTAGGATAAAATCTGCCGCTGGAGATTTAAGTTCCGCCCTGGGCCCCCGTATTGAGCCGTCCCGATCTCTCGTCTCCTTTGAGCGTGTACCAAGCTGCCGAGGTAAATGCTACCGGGCACCATGACTTTGGTACTTTTGAGCATCAGTTTCCTATCTACTATCCATCTCAATGAGCCCCAATCCGGATCCTACATACTTCACAACAGAGTTTACTTAAAGTGCAACGTATATTGGACAACAAGTCACTCATCTGTTGTTACTAGAAGAGGATTGCTTAGATGCTGTCACAGAGAAATCGTGGCCAGACGTTGCCCGCGGTAAGCCTTGAGGTCAGGTTCAGGCCTCATGGTAGTCTGACTTGTCCCATGAAACGGCCTGAAGCTTCGAATTCGAGGTCACACATTCACAAGAACATGAAATTTCAAGCTTGGAAGCTCGTTTCATTCAATATGGATACATTAATGAATGCAAGGGCTACAAATGAAAGCTCCTTAAGAATTTCTAACATCAAAGGAAAATGAAACTCGTTCGGTTTGCAATGTCTTCATTCCGGGCCACTTCCACCAAATTACGGCCTTCGTCCACTCGTTGCAAAACGACGACACCACCAACAGTATTAGCGCCCGCGACGATGAATTCGTCCCCACCATCTTCGACTTTGCCGAGGCTCATGCTCCGGATCTGTTGTAATCCGGTAGGTACCTGGGCCAACAGCTCCAGAAGTTCTGTGCTCCGCTTTGTGATCCTGTTTACACGCTTCATCCGCCGTTTGGTACTCTCCGTACACGTTGAATTAGAACTTGTTCCGTTATTGAACTGAAAGATTGCGATTGTATCGCCCGCAGGATCGATCGTCGTTCCGATATTGCGGTTACTCACGTATATTAGTGGTGATGGAAAGCGTTCAGTCGGAGTGGAAATGAGGATCTCAGCCGCGGCGAAGGAGGTTCCTTCGAGGGGATTGGCCGGTACAACAGAAACATTAGCAAGAAGAGGCAGGGTTGTACCGTTAGGCGCCTCGGGTATACGTTGAGCAGTCAACGTGGAGGTTTTTTCATGCACTGTGAAAAGAATGTCATCTAGAAGACACAGCCTTTTCATCAGATTGTAGTTCCGGGGACGGAGGGAACGAGTGGGGTTCGAGACGTACCGTGAATAGCAATGTGTCGTGGTCCAGCGCCTGCATCGATATCTATTTGGCCCTGGACTCTGAACTTTCCGGGAGCACCGTCATTTACGATTCGCCAGATTTTGTCTGCGCCCAAGTCTGGAACGAAGACTTCTCCGTTGTGTTCAAGTGACATGTGAGGGTTAGACGGTGCGTTGGGGCCCACGGGGAAGTCGATTATCGGGGAATCCTTTTCGAAGTGAAGGGGATCATCGGCGACGGTGGCAACAAAAGAGCAATTAGGAGATCCAAACTGGATATATCACCACAGCCTTTAGATGTGGACCTGGTCAATAGTAAACCGGTGGCTTACATTCATGCCTGTTACTTCTCCCGTCGAAAGCGGATTGGTGAAAGTGGGCCCATTGCCGCCTGTAGATACAGTATCCACCAGTGATAGAACCCCTGCGTCACCAACAGAAAAAGACTGCAAGTTCCCTACGGGCTGTATTTCATTAACCGCACTAGATGAAAAGAAGATCAAGACATGGTCAGTTGAGCGATAGACGGGACGTACTATATTATGAGGCTGTTATTAGGATGCTGAGCAATCCATGATGGGTTTTCTCCTGACGGACTCTGTTGCGTCAGGGTAAGAGACTTGGCGCCGGCGTCAAAGAAATATGTGGCAATCGCGGAGGAGAAACCTCCGGCAAGGATAGTGTAGTTGACCATTGGCAAAATTGCACCAGAAAGAGCGAATGTTCAAGGAAAGAAATGAGAAGAGGGCGCTAGGCCTGTAAGTTGGGGGGGTTCAAGTTCAAAGTAAACGATCATTGCCAAGACCCAACGCCATCTTTTATAGGCATAAAGCATCGCATTCGAGCACCCCATTTTTTAACAATCATTAGGTATTGTTGTTTTGGCCATTGTCTTGATGGCGGTTGCCCTACTGCCATTGCTCCGACAAAGCCGAGCTGAGACCATCCTGTAGCTTCGCAGAGAGATGCTTATGCCTCTGAGATAGGCGTTACACTCATGTGCAGTAGCAGCGCTGGGTGGTCATCAGTTAAGATGGCTGGAGTGGCGTCTTTATCATGATGGCGGTGGTAGAGGCGGATGATCGGTGACATAAACGGTAATTGGATTTCTTGGTGCAACACAGTGGAAAATGAGGAGGGGCACACAGCATAGCACATTCTCACCTAGTAAGCCGAGACAGTCGGCGCCTGGCATTGCATCAGGAGTGAGGGATCTTCGGGTTTCACTGGAGTGATTGCTCCATGACTCCAGATCTTACTTAGCTTCAACAATCAATAACACAAGCATCATGTCGCATTCGAACCCAGCGGCAGTTGATATTCGCCAGATTTGACCCGCATTTCATGCGATGAATATCGGGCAGTACCCGAACAGACCCTGGGCAATATCAATCACCAAAGCCCAGCTGCAGTAATTCAATTAAGGTGAGAAACATATTGTCAATAATCAGCCGTAGCATTGGTGTGAGAGTGTCGCTGAGACGAAAGACATGCGAACAGAAACATTTGCGTGCCTGTGGAAGGCTGTGGAAAGTGCAAGTTTTTCGTTTCTCGTGAAAATCGGTGTTTGTCGTCGCCGAAGACACGTTCTGGCGGAAATGACCAGGTGGGCATTCAATAAGAAAGATGCGGTCACATTGCATGATTATTATACCCTTACAGCAGTCAAAGTCTGCCCTCCACATACAGCGACAATGCCTCTCATTCAAATCTCTACCTCCCTCGAGCCATCCTTGTCTACAATCTTGACCTTGTATTGCCCGGGACTGACAACCACACGCTTCGCCACTTCGGCGATGCATCGCTTGAGGGTCGCGAGTCCTTCTTCCAGCGACGCCTCAGGATTATGGTACCTATACGTACGATCCGAATAAGCCGAAGGTTCACAACACAATAACAGCCACCTCACCGGTCCAACAAACTTAGTACAAAGTAACTTCCATAACCATGAGCGGCAAACGGCACCTCCGTCATTGTTCCAAGATAATCCACCCAGTACAGATGAGGTTCATGCTTGGTAGTATCGTACCCTCCAAGTAGCAGGTTGACGGCGTACGGTTTTCGCGAACGCAGAGACTCTGCCACAGATCTCCGAATCCATGACGCGGCTGCTGAAGGGCCTAGAGGGTATGTATTGCGTATTTGGAAAAGACGAATGTTGCGTTCGACATATTCAGAGAATTGAATAGTGTCGCCTATACAGTATATTTGTAAGGATATATCCACTAGCAAAACGAACGAGTTACAAACCTGGTTCACCAGAATACGCCATGAGTAAATGGGGACTGAGGACTTTGATTTTGTCCTCGTCGACCTTCATTTTTACGATGGAGCGTGCAGATGTCGTGTCTGCAGCAACGATAACATATCCTTTCCCGGTGATAGCGAATAAGTTCTCCATGGCAAGAGCAATTGGTGGTAGGTAGTAAGTTCTGCAATGGGAGGGCGTACGCGTCAAGGGGGTGACGTGACAGAACACTTTCCCAAATTGGTCTAAGAGACCGGACCGCATCGCCGTGTGACAATAACGTGACCGAAACGAGAACGTGACATTTGAATCCCGAAATCTTGAAGTCCAACCACCACGACCTGCAATATACCTTCTCCATTTCCCTGGTATTCCTTTTCGAATCACTTTGTTGGCCTTGTCGAAAGCTTCTGTATACAATCCACTAGCAGGGTCTCGCCTAGGCAGTGGCAAGCTCATTAATGAGATATTGAGGTTCTTAGAAGCACTCATGAGATTTGGAGTCCCCCGCTCCGTGGCGCCCTCTCCAGTGAGGGAAAGGTATGTGCATTTTGTATGCATGATATAACTGCTCAAGAGAAGAACAAGGACGTCTTCTTCCACCTTTGGACTGCACCACGTTGTGGACGACGTTTACGAAGATGACGACAGCGACGAAACATCTTCGATATCAAGTTCTGAAGAAGATTCTGATTTATCTGCATCCGACAATGAACTCTCCCCCCAATGGCGCCATCGGAGTCAAAAGAAATTTCAACCTCGTGCCCCCCCCACTTCGTGAGTCTTGTCGTCATGTCTTTGTGTTATCTTCTTTGAAGAAAGTCGGCATAGGTCATCTTTGATATCTACTCATGTCACTCCAAAGTCGCCGTCGAAGGCCCTGTCAGAATCAGAACAGCGACAAATGGAAGAAGCCCTGGCGTCTATACGATTACGGGCTCGACATAATGACCCTTATGAAGATTGGGAAAGAAACGTTAGGCGAGAATCTTTCGTACGTGTCCAGTTCCGTCGCAAGATGATCTAGCTAAACTATAATAGCGAGCTGCCCGGAAAAATCACACCACTTCCCAGTCACTCCTTCACGATGCTCAAGACAATGCCAAACGACAACAAATGGAACTACTCCAAGCGAAACACGCGGAGGAACAGCGTGCCGTTGATGCGAAACTGTCCGAATGGCGGTCTAGACATCAGCAAAACGAAGCTGTAATGCGTCAACGGTGGAAAGAACGACAGGATACATTGTGGCAACGCATAGATGCGGCAATTGCTCTAGACGCTGGGAAAGTCAAAAAGAAATTGGAAGAAGAACAGCGTATACGTGATGAGGAGCAGAGAAAGATCAAAGAGGCCGAGCTGAAACGGCGGTTGGAAGAGGAGAAGAAACGTGCAGACGAGGAGAAGAAGCGTCAAGAGGAGGAGGCTGAGAAGAGGAAAAAGGAGGAAGAAGAGAAGAAAGAGAGGGAGGAAACGGAAAGAGTAGAGGCTGAGAAGAAGGCTAGGCAAGACAAACTCGAGGTACAGAAAGGGACAAGAGAACAATTGGGCATGAGTACTGCAGACCATGATTGGCGCGAGGCTAGGAAGACTCTACAGGTGAGACGTTCTCCGGTGTTCGGTTTTCAGCTGACTGTTCTTTGATTTTGTTAGGCGCTCAAGGCCGAAGTGCTTTCTGTGGCTAAGAACAAGCACGGGAACTCGGCGGAGATGAAATCGACATGGGGTACCTTCCGTCGTCAAATTACCCCCAAGATGGGACAGTTAACGCATGATGAAGCTACTATTAACCGCATTGTAAGTTTCAGTATGTACGTCCCGTGTCCTAAATCTGCTAAGGGGATATCATAGACAACACAGCTCGTCCAAATTATGCTACCTCCACAAGGACATCATCCTGTCATCTACGCCGCTCTTTTGTCCACTCTCGCCAAGGCCATCATTCTCCAGGCCGAAACCGAAGTGACGGCTGAGAAGAAATCCGCTTATCCACTATCTAAAGTCGCGTTCAACCTCCTTGAGACACTCGACGGTTTTAACCAGGTCTTCTGGGCGCGAATTGTGGCTCGGACTGGGGGATGGGCTGTGCCTACTCTCATCGGCGATCGCGATTGGGATGGGAAACCATGGAGTAACGTGGTCGAGAAGAAGAAAGCGATGGGATATCGGCAGCAGACAGCTGACAACGGCGATCTTGTGTGGGAGACTGAGGAAATGTACATTTTGCGACTAAACGGGGTTATGAGAGTATACTTTGGTGTACTGGCGATTCAACCACAAAAGGGCCCGTTGAATGGGCCCATGTGGCGGACGCCGATGTTTTGGGTGTGGATCGCTAGGCTCCTTGGCTCAGACGGCGGAGGACGGGCTATGCTGGAACGGGCAGTGGGAGCGGAGCTTTTGGCTAGTACGTATCTCGGTGCTTTCACTCCGACTACTGACTAAACTTATTGGTATAATGGCAGCTGGCTTGTCTGTTCTCGGATCCGATGCTAAGGATATGTGGGGTCAGCAGTTTGTGAAAATGTTGGCGCTTATCCATGAAGGCAGTACCACGGGGATGGGCGATGGCAAGAAGATTGGGGGTAGTACTACGGAAGGTTCTGCCGCAAGAGCGAGAGTCTTACTAGAAGTGGAGCGAATTATGGGGTCATAGGTACGAGCTGAGCTCTATCACTGAGCCCCTCCTTTGAGGGTGTCTGACTACCATTTTCACAGTGCTGTTCAGATATATTTAGAGTTTGTGTAATCTAGTCCATCGTGAACTCAATATGTGCATAGCGACGACGGATATAACGTTCTCTTTGAGTTTACATTCCAAACGTCAAAAGCTCCCTGGGTCACATTGACAAAGAGCGTCTATTAGAACCTCCCTCGTCTTGAAAAAGGTCCTCTGAGGCTGTTGCCCTTTCTATAGCAGGTATCCACTATCATACCCCACGAAATGGAAGCGATGGCGTGCTGATTACAATGGCCTGAGTGACGACCATCTGACGCAAGTTTAAGGCAAAAGTGCCTGTGGTCCATATGATTCTGAATGCAGTTGGAGTGGCATGAATAAAGACGTTAGATTGACTCTTGTACTTATGGGGCCACCTAAGGAGGGTGAAACGAAGATAGCGTACTGCCTGAGGGCGTCGTAGTAGATGGTATACAGCATTCCGCGGTGTGTTCTTGATTTAAAGATGGAACCACCCCAGATAGTTCTGTTGAGGGTCGTCCCCTCTATTTACAAGGTTCAAAGCATAGAAGTGCGTCGTTAAAGCTAGCAAGAAGTTCATTTCATTTGAACATGAGTTACACAAGAGGACTTGGCAAATGAAGGGATGGTAGCACCGTACTGCCTCGCCCAATCCTCGTTACAAGCAAATGTGGATATCTCAATAACTTGAAGTTCGTATCACAAGTCAGCCCTTAATTCGTGACTTATGTAACGATTAGGTTAGGCGCCCATGAATTTCCCACGTTGACGGAGGCAACCACTATCAACTATTCTATGTTAGGAAGACGCGGGGCGCCTAAGGGCGGCTATCAGCACTTTGGTGGATACCATGTGTCGAGATTGGAATTCTATAGAACGATACAAGAAGTAAACATTCTTGGTAGATAAATAGCGAGTAAGAGTAGTAAGAGTAATAATAAAGAAAGGAATGGCGATGTCTACGCGGAGTAGGACCTGCCTACGGAGATTCACACTAAAAAATGTCCATAAACTATCGTCCCATCGGCATAGTTACTTGGATGAGTCAAACTCGACGTCGATATCCATTGGTTCCTCTTCAATCAGGTCCAACTTGAAGGGTTTTTCTCGCGATCCAGGTGGAGCTGACGGACCAGCCTCGACTTGAGGCGTGTTTTGACGCGTAGGAACAGGCGTCAACTCCTTCCAGTCTTGAAGCGCCCCATCGTGCATCGACGGACCCGCTATGGGACCAGCATGGAATGATTGGGGGGTGTTTTCGCGTGTAGGAACGTCGGGTGTCAATTCCCTCCAGTCAAGTGCCCCAGGTTGCGTCGACGGACCCGCCACTGGACCAAGCACCGGCGTATTCTCCCTCGTCGGCGGCCCAGCGAACAAATCGGCTAGAGCAGGCGTGTTCTGGCGACTACCGGTAGGCGTGCGCGGGAAAGGACCCAGACCCATACCCAACTGCATGGCGATCACCGACTGACTGCGTGCCCTAACGCGCTTGCGAGGCTTCTCCCTCTTGGCATCCAACGAAACGCGCATGTTTTTCATCTTGCCCTTGTCGGTGTTGTGGGCCATCTTGTTCCTGCTCTGACGTCGCTCGAACAGATTCAGAGTCTGAAAGGCCTCCTCAAATACCGGTGCATCTTGTTCCATAGACTGTGCCCCTGCCAAGTTGTTCCTGATGACCTGAGTAGATGAGCGAGCGAGGATGGGATTCCTAGACGAAGTAGACTGGATGGACTGTCGATTGGCCACATTCTTGGGCCCTGCCTCGCTTGCGGGAATGATCGCTTCCTTGCCGGCTGATACAGGTCCTAGAGACGCAGCAGAAGCCAAACTAGAAAAGAATAGTCTCTTTGCGGAAGGGACCGAGGAGGAGGGGGTGCTAGAGGGATCGTCGTCGCCTTCATCTTTAACCTTCTTGGTCACTTTGATGGGCTTCAAAAAACGTTTTCTTTTTCTCCTCGATGAGTTGAATTTGCGCGTGCGTGGCTCGTAAAACCGGGAATCAATATGAGGACCAATGCGACTTGAGCGACGAAGGCCTTGGTACGCCTCAGCAAGTGTACGTGTGGCATCGGAACGAGTCTGTACAGGCATGGGAGATGAGAGGGAGAGGGAGAGGGAGGCTGGGAAGAAAAAAAGTGAGTGGTTAGCGGTTAGCACGTACAAGGGAGAAAAGGAAAAATCTATGAATGGTCCCAACCCATGCAGGTATGCTTTATATATGTTCAGAGCTTGTTAAGGGGATTTGGAAACTTCGCGAGCCATTTTGTGCCTTCATTGTTCGAAATAGCAGGTGGCACTGTTGAAATGAAATATATTTAATTGAATCACGACAAGACAAGATGTCGTTACCGGATTCATGGTACAATCAGCCTTTTGCATACATAATGGTCTTACGTCGACCCTAATATACAAAGGACCGGTCAATGAAAAGACAAAGGACCATGCAAGAGGGGCCAATGTTCATTGTTGACGCCGTTTGAAAATGTGGGCCCGTAACTCGTTTGAACGAGTGGCCACCGGCGGATGTTCGAAGAATGGTTTCATTCGGTTAATCCTTATCCGCCAGTGAACCAAGGTATCTACTATCGTTCCTGCAAATCAAGCCAAATCGAGTGAGTGCAGAGATACACATCTCCAGATGGAAAATTCTCTCAAATGAGCTTGATTCAGCCACCGGGAATCGCAGCAATGAAGCTTCCGTTCAATCCTTCGAAAGCTCAGACGGTCCTGCTCCGTTTCCAGCATGAACTTGGGACCAGCATCAGAGCGAGTTTTGCATAGTTCATAGGACTGAGTTGCGTGAAAACGAGAAGTACTTGAGTCCACCTTAGTTGCGAACAACGTTCACGAGAAAAGGGGAAGCCGACATACCGAATCCAAAGGTTTTTCTACGTCCAAACTTCCACCATCGCGGTCAGCCCTCTCGGTCAGGGAAGAAGTACCAACTACCTCCTTGTTCCATGGCGAAAAATGCGACAATAGCAAGGTCGCTGTTATAAAACGATCAGCAAGCCTCGGATATGCTCGAAACAAGAAGTCGCCCCTGGAGACCAGAGTTCAAAGATATTTTCACCTTCCTGGTCGCAAAGTTGATATTGATTATCTTCTGATTCTGCGAAAAGAACTCCAAATAACGAGAAGCGTTGGCTTCCAGGCCCCAAGGCTGTTTGACACCTTCCGAAATTTTTATAGGTAGCCAAGGTGTTTGACAGGATCCACGAGGCATGAGTGGCGGCTACTGACAGCACGAGCAACTAGTGAGCATCTCTCAGGCATTGGTAAAGAGATGAGGAAAACAGCCGTGAGCAGGAGTGGTGGAAAAATTGAAACTGACGTTCGAATCCCACGATCGGAATACCGGTTTGTGCCGGTTCAGAAGAGTCAAGTGGGACCCATAAGCATCTACCATCATGGCACGACTGTCGGACGCGTCTTGCACCTCCTCCTCCCAAATTTCAGAAGAATATCGAGTCACCAAAAGCGTTCGAGGAAGACACTGTTCTACATGTGTATTATGAAATGTTAGACGTAGAAATTTTCTTCGTCTTCGAGACCGATGATAGAGCCTGAGGACGTACGCCGTTGCTATGATAATCATGCATCCGGCAAACTGACAGCGAACACAACGTTGCCCGTACCCCCGCTCGAATCATATAAAAGGGGTGAGCTCTCTGCAAGGATCCTCAGCACCAACATGTCTGCCCCCGAAACCGCTACCAAATTCTCTTCTGCTGAAACCTCCTCCGTCGCTGGTGGACAACTCGTCGGACGCTCCAACAAGGGCGCCGTCGCACCCAAGGAAGCGTTGAAGCTCCGTTTAGACCTGAACCTCGAGGTGGAGATCGCCATCCAGGCCAAGGTCAACGGCGACATCACCCTCTCCCTCCTGTAAGTGACCTTTTATCTCCTTGAGCGTCATGGTGCTGACCGTTCTATTTTCAGTGAGTAAATGCGCTCGCATCCGAGAGATGATATTGGAACGTAGTCATCGGATTGAGGTGAGATTTGTCTTTACGAGTCCCGTTCGCTTTCAAAATCTGATGTGAAGCTAGGACAACACATCTTTTGTACCTTCGTTCCATCTTCCTTGCATCCATATGATTAGTATTTAGTGGTATTCAATGCTTGGTACATACGAAATATCAGGGTTTTTAAGGTTTATACAGCGAGATATATACTCACGCCCAAATGAAAGGCCAGTGTCTGCCGTGTACCAATGTGGTCAGATCATGAGTAGTCACTCAAAGTCAACTGGAATAGTTGTACTCAAACTCGCAAGGAAAAATTACTATTGCAAGGGCTGTCTGAGAAGCCAAAAAATTCACAGCGCACACCTTACCATTTTTGAGAAGGTGTGCGCTGCGATCTCTCTAGCTGGGAGTCGAACCCAGCCTTTAAAGCCCGTTAACGCGCTTCGCCGATATGCCAACAGAGAGCTGAATGGGTCTAGGGAAACTAGCTTGACATTACCGCAAATTCGTTTACGTGATGGCTTCATCGCCTGTGAGCAAACGCGCTTCCAATTGTTGAATAGCGAGTGCCATCCATCCTGGAGCTATGCTTTGATTTAATTGAACGACTCTAACTGGTAAGCTGGATGTCAATATCATGTTATGTTCCACACTGCTCTACAACGAAAACGTACGTCTCTTCAACAAACGATGATTCTCGAGCGGAGGCAGGCCATGTAGCCCTATAATTTGAACGTTGAGAAGTCTGCGACTAGAAACAAATAAATGAAAAATGAATGCTCAACGACTAACACCAGAGATAATCGACTGTCGAGTCGTAGAGTTTCTGAACTTGAAGGAGAGACGATCCTCTGTAAACGGTAGACATATCAAGGGACATCAAATGAACAATCCTAGATGAAGAGCAATGCCTAGAGATGGATGAAGGAGTAAAGTTCCTGGGTTCAGTTTAGTACTGAGATGAGAAAGAAAAAGAATTGCGCAGCATACACCCTCCCGTATTCGGGAGGGTGCACGCTGCGATCTCTCTGGCTGGGATTCGAACCCAGCCTGTGACGTCCGTGCCAGCACGCTTCGCCAATACACCAATAGAGAGCTGAGTATATGCAGTGTCGCCCCAGTCTTATTGTCGTAGATTCGTTTATGTAAATGGATTCGCGCTGGCAAGCGACGTCTTGGGGTTAATAATACTTCAAACAGGAAATTGCACTGCATAGTGTCCCGGGGCATACTGGATCTCTCTGTGTCGATGCTGTAGAAATATCACTGTTATTCTTTTTTTGAAGGAGTCATTCATGAAGCGTTCAAAAATAAACCAGAGCCACAGTCGTTGTTCATTTGCCCAAATTCCGTGTTTCGTTAGAGAAGCTAGCATTGGCATCACAGTGATCAGATAGCGTATAAGAGCTTGCTTCGTGTTCAAAGAGAATAATAACGAGGGATCAGAGCGCGCAAGGCTTTGTTAGAGTTAGAACGAGATCGGAGAACCTTCAGTATAATCTTTGGCAATTCTAAATGCGAATACCGTGCGAGAGGTATTATATGTGAAGAAAGGAAAGTCCCAGACACCAGTAGACACCCAGTGAGCATGCAATCAAGACGGAAAATGCAATAGTGACGGACCTTGATTGTCGCCGGAAATCCCCGAGATTTGACAAATTTGGCCACATTTACCAACTCGGACCGCCATGCAAGGTGAACTTTCAACATTCAATTTCGAACGCCCCCGATTACTGCCAATATTTCGAACGAGATACATCTAAATAGTTGCTCTTTCGCCCATCTGCTTGGGACGCCTTCAGAACCACTTGCTCCTCCATATGTGACGTCTAAATTTCAATCTTTGCGAGGATGTAAAACACTGCTTTGAATCGTAGAATTCGTCGTCTTTCAATCGTCTTGATAACACACGTCCCGTCTCGCATTCGTATGTAACTGCATGGATGGCTTGGGCGCATAATTGGATCAGTGGCTGGGGTGTGTTTGATTGATACGATTAGTTCAATTCAATGCCTTGGAATCGAAGCTCTGTGGGCGCTTAAAATCGTACTCCGTACTACACGAGGCCTTCGCTGTACTTAACACTCACTTTCAGCGTGATCCCTGCATACTGTAGAGTGAGCTCGCCCTACTCTTGTAGCCCTTCTCCTTCTCATTCCGTCTGCCAGACAGAACAAATCAACAATGGTACGGCCTGCCGCAATCAGAGGGTTGGTCATCGGAAACATCGTGGCATTGACACCCGTCCTTGGGCTAGTCTTCAGTGTCTTCGAAATACCTTGTGAGCGATACCTTACTTCCTTTCAATGGGCAAGCAGTTCTGAACCGATGTCGAGGGCGTCCTTTTGTTTTCCCCTTTGCAATATATGTGACGTATCTGGGCGCCTACGACAAGCCTCTGCCCAGCTGGTTCATAAAAGCATGTGCTTTAGTGTACACCCCCTTTTCAGCCCTCTCCCGTGTTCGAGTTCAGCGTCTCTTCATCGAAGACCCCGGTGTCATAGCTCCATGCTGGTTTTCACGGCGAAGCATCGACACTTTTCATGTCCTCGCCCAAACACTCCGTATCATCGTCCTCATTATTCTGGCTCCCATTTACATCTATATCCCACATTCAGTCTACGTACAGATATCAAACTTCGCCAGCTCATCTTGGGCCTTTGAACTGACGTCTACACCCGATGCAGTATTAACCGCCGCTCCAGGCGGCGGATCCGGTGTATACGCCCCCACTGGCTTTACTCCTCAGTGGTTGTTAATGGTTGAGATCGTAGACGGCACCATTGCACTGGTGAAGCAGGTCCGCTGGTCGGAGGAGATCAGAAACAAGGGATACACAGCACTGAGTTATCCCATGGATAGCGCAGCGGTTTTATTCAGAGAAGCCGGTTTGAAAGTGCAGGACCCGCCCACTGAGAAACGTGCTTTCTCCTTAAAGGACCGAAAGCGCATCGCTGAGCGGCTCCTCATTGAATACTGTTCTGCGACTCGAGACGCTGGTAACCGCACCGAGTATATCTGGCTCGACGAATTTTGCCTGTCCGACGAACACCTGCCAGACAATACCCCAGAACGGTCCAAAGAACTCGGACGTCTTCCTGATATTTTCCGCAATGCGTCTCAGGTTGCCGTCTTCTGCCATGAAGAGGGCTGTGATCATAGCTCTATTTCGTGTGTTTGGGGTACCCGTCTCTTCACGATCGGCGAGATACTACATGCCGCGACTGTCATTCGTCTCACGCGGCAGAAAGACGAGAACCACCTGCATGCACTGACAACGCATGCATACCGAGAGCCTGCTCGTGTATTCCGTGAACGTATGCAGAGAAAGGCCGCATTGGGGAACCGCTGGCACTTGTACGCCATCATGCAGCACTCTGCCAACGCCGGCTCCGTTGCATGGCAGAATGCCATTCACGCTCTCGTAGTCGAAGCCATCATTCGAAATCGTCAAGGTGGATATGAAGAAAACATGCTCGGGAGGGCACTGAATGGGCTACTACCCCGCCGGGCGCGACTTGAGGACCTGAAAGGAGAAGATGGGTGGGCAGACCTTGCGTGGTTGCTGGAGTTGAACCAAGGATTTTACAACGCAGCGAGTTTGGCAGCGGTGTGTCGATTGGGGGATGGCAGCTGGCTGGGTCCTCCTATTGAGCCTGTTGCGGGGAATGAAAGGTTGGAACCGGTTGTTCACGCGTTTCCAGTGGGAGTTCCCGACAGATCGGGAATTAAGACACCTCTCAGCATCATTGGCAGCCAAACGATAGGGTTGCGAGCCTCTTTGGAAAGAGATTCGTTCGGACTATACACCAACGAGGACATGACTGGACTAGCAGGGTTGTCAGTGGGCATCCTTGTTCTGGTTTGGTCCATCGGGTTGTCTAAAGGAAGGAGCGACCCATTTCTTGGCATTGAGATCATTTGGCTCGGCTCTATCTCATTCGCTATCTTGGAAATGCTAGTCGGAACAATTTATCTGCAGCGGGATGGATGGATATTCCTCAGCGACAAAGTTTGGGGACGCGCGCCTCAGCAGCGCCTTGGTGAGCAAGACCCGAAGCTGGCAAAGCTTATCACATGGGGGAAACGTCAGCTCATACCGAGCTGGAGCTTCTCTGATGAAAAGCCGAGCAACGGGACCCTGGTGGATCTGAATAGCCGCGTCATGGTCAAGGTCTTGGTGACTGACATACCGAACGCAATGATCATACTTGCAATCCATGGTAGCGGGGTGACTTCCATGTTGGTAGACCGCAAGGAGGAGCTGCATGAGTTCGTGAGGAAGGTTGGGATGTGTAACGTCCCGCCGTATGTCCTAGCGCAGACGGTCCGTTCGGGGACGATATGCGTTGGAATCCCTTCTGATAAGAAGAAATGATTTCTTCTGGGTTGGCTCGCTAGATAATACGTGCATGGATATGTTCCTCGTGAATGCTGGCATTTGGTTTACTGACGATCCCTGGATTGCATGCAGATGGACGATGAAGATAAGTAAGCCGCATCCAATGAGTTTAACTGCTGACCCGACTTTGGCGTCGATGTTGGAGAAAAGCCTCCGCTATCGGTCTAGTTATAGATCTATTCCATGGTGGTTCTATTCATCAACGCCAGAATCTTCCAATGACAAGAACGTGAAGTAGTGGTTTCTGTACACGATGGAAGCATCACCCTATCATGGTAATCGTAAGCACTGCAGATGTAGGTGTTAGACCATGACCAACTAGATTCGGTACCATGAAAGCGCGTTATTCATACTCGTCTTCACCGGGGACCACGAAACCGCCAACTCTGTGATCACGCAATTTGTCCGAAACTCCATCGCCGCCGACGCATCGTAAGAAGACACAAGCGCGTGAGCATAGTGGCGTTGATAAATTCAGAGCCTTTCCCTTTACGAGAAAAGCGGTGTCGTAACTAGAAGAAACCATTGAAATTTTACAAGCCTCAAGGCAAAACTAAGGCTCACGAGTCGAAAATCTGAATCTTCTAGGCGTAGGGAACATCTCTCTCATCACGCTTCTGCGAAAAAAAAAAGTCTGATCCAGACTCAGGGCTGCTTGACATCTTCCGGAATATTTCCTGGTAGTCAAGGCGTTTACTCGTGTTCTGTGAGAATTGACAACAATCGGGCACGGCCGAAGCCACCGGTGGCGAGAGGGAAAAGACTGCGAGTGGTGGGAAATAATGAAGGATGCTGCGACAAGAAATTGGAGTCATCATTCTCACGGTCAGCCTGGACCCACAATCACCCACCGTACAATTTTACCGCGGCACGGTGAGAAACTGACTCGTTCATGTTCATCCGACACCATCCTATCAGCGTCCATGAATCACCTTCTCCCGCGGGAAGAGTCGATTACGAGATAGGATTGGTAGGCGCAGAAAGCTTCTTCACCTTCGAGGCCATCCAGGCAGCCGTTATGATCATGCATCCGGGAAACGGACAGCGAACATAACGTTGCCCGTACCCTCTCCCAAGCATATAAAAGACTTAGAATTTCTACCAGCATCCTCAGCACCAACATGTCCGCCCCCGAAACTGCTACCAAATTCTCTTCTGCTGAAACCTCCTCCGTCGCTGGCGGACAACTCGTCGGACGCTCTAACAAGGGCGCCGTCGCACCCAAGGAAGCATTGAAGCTCCGTTTGGACCTGAACCTCGAGGTGGAGATCGCCATCCAGGCCAAGGTCAACGGTGACATCACCCTCTCCCTCCTGTGAGTGAACTTTCATTTTCTTGAGCGTCCTAGCGCTGACTGTTTGACTTTCAGTGAGTAAATGCACTGGCAATCGAGAGATGGTATTGGAACGTGATCGTAGGGTTGAGGTGAGATTTGGCGTTCCAAGTTTTATTCGCTTTCAATAATGTCGCGAACCTAGGACAAATGCCTTCGTTCCATTCTTCTCTTTTGGATTAGTATTTACCGGTGTTCAGTGCCTAGTACACACAAAATATCAGGGTTTTTCGGGGTTCCATACATTAAGATTTGAATACACGCACGCTCATCTGAAAGTGAAGAATACACCGCAGTAGACAGATCGCAAGGGTCGTACCGCTCAGAAAATAAATGACTCAAAATGCTTTCAATTTGATCGTAAGAAATAACAATTAAGCAGCCTTTGGTTTATAATTAATAATATGACAATCCCTTGCCGTATATTCCATTTTGTCCAGATGAAGGCGACCAGATGATATCCCAGGGCTCTTCAAGTGCACAGCAGAAGTAGAGAGAGAAAGAAGTCAGCGACAATCAAGCAAGATGGGGGTTTTTTAGACCATGCAACAACGCTAGCATTCGATGAACACTTGCTGATATCAACGTAGGCGCCCGCAAAACCGACCCTTCTACGGGTCGTGGCGCTCACGAAAACAGTAATGTTATGAGTCTGAGGTAGCGTGGGCTGGTATTGTGAAAGGCGTTACGTTTTGGCATCGTCCAGCAACATCAACTTAGCACGCCTATGTTAGCAAAGGAAGAAAAGACAAGAAGAGGTAAGAGACACACCCATCAGCCCACTGAACCGCTTGAACATCCTCGGTATCTCCACCCTTTGCGCTCCCGCTCAAGATACGGTCCAAGCAAGCCTGCTCCAGAGGCGCCGTCGAGACACCGCTGCTACACCTTTGGGCAAATGCACTTGCACAGGGAGCGTCAGCGAATCAAAGACTCGGGGTACATGCTAAATTGGTGTATGGAGTGGTATTAATGTACAATTGAATGGAACAGAGAAAGGCATCACAGTTCTTCAAAAGTCAAGTCTGGTTCTTCATCTCCTCCGCAGCTCCTGAACCATCCCCCTAATCAACTGAGCATTAGATGGAGCTGAATATGATCAATCAAGACATACCTAGTTCTTCATCATGTTCTTCTAGCCATTTCGTGTATTCTGCGAGCACCTCCTTCATTGCGGCCCCGGCCCCGGCCCCAGCTTCATATTCTTTTTCGCAGGCTTTCCGAATTGAGTGGTCCACCTAGAGGGATATCCCGCCAGCCGACACCTTTCAGAGCAGAAATACATGAGTCTTGCCCAAAAGTCAGAGATTTCGAAAGGTACCTTTGGCCGGGCTGCGAAAATGCGAAGCTGAGGAGATGAATAGCATAGATGATTTGCGCCAGGGGTACATACCCCCCAGTTGTGATGGTCAACCGAAATTGGGTGCTCTTCTGGCGCAGACGAAACCTTCGAATCAGAGCTTGAGCGAGAAAGTGAATCTGATCCTAAAGTGATGGAAGAGGTACTTGAGTCGCAAGTTGGATTTGTGCTAAGGAAAGCAGCGTGACAGTGTGACTCGGACCTGGTCCGACAGGCCCCGCCTGAACCGCACCTACGCCATTCCTACTAGGCCTCTATCTATAGTCGTTCATTAATCATTTCTAAAAGCTCTCCGCAGCAGTACAAAGTATCGGGATTACTATGCGATGATACCTATCATTGCTATTCACTCTAGTCTATCGTGATCGTTCAGCATGAGGACGTTTACTTAACATCTTCAAACCCTCCCGCTCTTGTATTGAAATCCCATCAGACTCGGCTAATAGGCAAGATACATATCACTCTCTGATACAAAAACACTATTGATGCGCATCTGATATTTTGATGTTCACAGCATGCCACCTGCGACTTAGGTTCGAGTTATAATAGACTGTTCACATACAATCTTCCCAACGTTCTTACCGCACGCAAGTAATGCCTTGTACACTGCCGGTGTGTTCTTGTCTCGTTTACATCCTTCTATTGAAGTCAACTGCCGTCCATGGAAAGCTCGTCAATGTTACTATCGACGATCAGAGCCCCTCTTTGTTTTATTCTGACCTCTGGGAGGTCGGTGGGAGTTCGTGCCCAAGTTGCGCCGCAGTACCTAATGCGTCGCAGGCTATCTACGGAACATGGCATGATTCCACAGTGAGTTCTCTCTGTCTATTGGCTCAGGATATCGTTCGTTTATATCTGTAAGTAGCATTATGCAGACAACGAAACTAATCCTTATCCGACACCCAACGTATCTGCATCATTCAACGGTGAGTGTCACTTTCTCATAAAATACTAAATGAATCTTGCTGACTTAGATATATTAGGCACGGCCATCTATGCGATATGTATCCTCACTAGAGCCGCAGCATGGAATTCAGATATGAGCTTCTACATCGATGGCGACTTTGTTGGCGAATTCGTGAAAACTCCTCCCGGAGAACTAGGCTACGATTATAATTACACCGTGTATTCCAATACTTCTATCCCCCCTGGTCAACACAGATTCACACTCCAGAACGGACGTGTCGGCGCACCAATGCGAACATTAACACTTTTCGATGCTATCGTGTACTCGTATGTCAATCATTAGTACTTGTGCTACATAAACGCTCACTGGCTTTGAAAGCTACGACGATGGTCAACCTGACCACAACAACTCGGATATTGGTACTACCACCACAGACACGTCCACAGTAAGCCCGAACACGGGCTTCATCGTTGGACTCGCTCTTGCTGGGGTTCTTGCCATGTTTTGGGGTGTCATTGCCTTTATTCTATATCGGCGACAAAGGAGACACAGTTCGGAACCCAACCACTCGCACCCTCCGATAACGCCTTTCGTTTCGGCTGATCCTCATACACAAACTGCTGCTGTATCCTCTATCAGCAATCCTGGCAACTGCCGGCCAAAGCCTGACACCCGGAGACAGGACCATTGTACCACCCTGTCTCCACATCGTCTAGATGTTGACCCTTCATGTACCAGAGAAGCGCCACCATTGTACGAGCCTATGGCTGACTAGGCCCTCTGGCGTGGAGAACTAATAGAGGAGATCGTCACGGGCGGATGAAACAAATACTATCTTGAAGGTCCTCAGGTTTGGATTCATCCTATATGTATTTTCAAGATGACTTTATTGCACATGTGTAAGATTTGGACAGTATACAGAATCTGGAAGCACCTATTAGAAAGTGGAACAAACACGTCCTCCGGGGGAATCGACGCCAGCATCTTACTCAAGGTCAGAGTTTGCATCTGCACACTGAAGAGAGTAGCAGAGAGCCTTATCGCTTCATTTCAGTGTAGTTGCGTACATGGTTTCGTAAGGCGTTCACAAGCATGACAAAGGTAGCGGGATTCTGGATGCCATGAGACCGATGGAATATTCTGCGAAGGACGTGACCGCATTGGCGACATTCGGTCAAGTTGGTTTTCCCTAAGAAGTGAGCTGAGTTTCTAGGGTAAGCTTCGAAGGTGAGGCTGACTCCTTACGAGACTGCTAAAAAGATGTGTCTTCTCGTATTTTCCTGGTTTTGAAATCTGAGAATCATGGATGTCGAGATGTGCCACGGTCCGATTCTAGAAGGAAAGCCTTACCGACAGATGTCATAAACTCTGGCGCCCAGCAAGGATTTTCAGCTGTGATGCAGAAATTTAAAGTGTTTCTCGGCGGCCATGCTGGGGGTTGCAAAACGTAACAGCTGAGTCGTGCCCGAGATGGGAAATTTGGACCTACAAAGATCCATATGTCTTTGTATAAGCAACGTAAAGGCGCCGAGAGGAGACTCGTCGAATACTTCACCAAATTGCGCGCCACGTCCAGCCAACATACGACAGCCTTCGCACCAGTGGGTTATGAAATAGCACCAGCCTAAAAATTGTTTACGTGCTTAGCGCCTTCCTTTGCTGCACGAGTTTCTACCTGATTGAAGATCAAGTCACTACAACGAGGCGGCAGTATTATGGATAGTTGAAAATAATGTTGAACGTACCTAGAGATGTCGAATCCCACATAAAAGAAGAAAGTGACTTCGTCATTCTCATGGTCAGCCTGGACCCACAATCACCCACCATATAAGTTTACCGCGGCACTGTGAGAAACTCTTCCAGACGCGTTCATGTTCATCTGCATCCGACACCGTCCTATCAGCGTCCCTGAATCACCTTCTCCCGCGGGAAGAGTCGATTACGAAATAGGATTGATTGGTGTGGGGAAAGCTTCTTCACCTTCGAGGCCGCCAATGCAGTTGCTATGATCATGCATCCGGCAAACGGACAGCGAACACAACGTTTCCCGTACCCCCGCTCGAATCATATAAAAGGGGTGAGCTCTCTGCAAGGATCCTCAGCACCAACATGTCTGCCTCCGAAACCGCTACCAAATTCTCTTCTGCTGAGACCTCCTCCGTCGCTGGCGGACAACTCATCGGACGCTCTAACAAGGGCGCCGTCGCACCCAAGGAAGCTTTGAAGCTCCGTTTGGACCTGAACCTCGAGGTGGAGATCGCCATCCAGGCCAAGGTCAACGGCGACATCACCCTCTCCCTCCTGTAAGTGAACTTTTGACTTCCTTAAGTGTCCCAATGCTGACCGTCTGATTTTCAGTGAGTAAATGCGCTCGCATCCGAGAAATGGTATCGGAACGCTGCCGTAGGGTTGAGGTGAGATTTCTCGTTCAGAGTCTCGTTCGCTTTTAGTAGCGCTGAACCTGTCGCAGCCTAGGACAAATGCATCTCCTGTATCCTCGTTCCGGCTTTCTCTTTGGATTGGCATTTACCGGTGTTCAATGCCTAGTACATACGAAATATCAGGGTTTTTGAAGTTCATACGCACGTTCATCTGTAAGTGCAAAGAACGAATCAAAGTGTCCAGGTTGAGTGTCTGTCCTTGAGTGGCGCAACTTTGCAAGGAATCACCACGGTCAGAGCTATCCGAGAATTTCTGCTGTGCAGTCTGACACCTGATCATTGCTGGGGTGGTCACGATAACTTTATACAATGAAATTTTTGAACAATTCTGTCAAAAGTAATGTAAGTAAAAGCTGACATTTCGCTGCTTACAGTGATGTATTGGAAGACAACTGCGATGATCAATCAGGGCTAAGGTGACCAAGTGTTCTTCAAGTCTGCCCGCGAGAACTGCTGCCGCTGAACTGCCAAAAAGACCGAACCGCAAGACCAGTTGTACCGCGGTGTGCTCTACCGGCTTCTAAGGAAACAGGAGATTCTCAGAGCCGCCAGATCCCTCTCCCATATATGTCCGTCGTCAGGTGCTCTACCTTGCCCTTCCTCCTCTTCCTTGTCCCGGTGACCGGGAAATAATACAAACTCAAAAACCTTCATTTTGATCCTAAGAAATAACATTTAAGCAGCCGCCGGTCTATAATACAACAAATCCTCACCGTGTATTCTTTGTGTCTAGATGAAGGCGATCAAACGATGTCCCAGAGCTCTTCGAGTGCACAGCAGAACTAGAGAGAAAAAAAGTTCAGTGACAATCAAGCGCAATAGGGGCTTTCCGTACCTTGCCGCAAGCAACACTAGCACTCAGTGGGTACTCGCTGATACCTATTTTTTCGTCGACGTAGGCATCCGCAAAGTCATCCCTTCCACGAGCCATGGCTCCCACGAAAACAGCAATGTTATGAGTCTGAGGTAGCGTGGGTAGGTATTGTGAAAGGCGCTGGGTTTTTGGCGTCACCCGACAGCGTCAGTTTAATCGTGTTGGGTGGGAAGTGGTCGACGACGGGATTTTTGATGACTTTTAATAGCTTCTCTGGACCATTGACACCACGAATAAACAGTTTGTGGAGTAGTTGGACTGAGAGAAAGTTCATTTTAGTAAACGAAAACAAGAAGAAAAGAAAAGAAAAAATAAAGTACGTACCCATCAGCCCGCTAAATCGCTTGAACGTCCTCGGTATTCTGACATGCGGATTGACTTCGATGAGCACGCCTTTCGCTGTATGGATGTACACTTGAAGAAGGCCAGCTTTGTTTAAGGGCGAATCCAGGAGAGTCAACAGACACTAATCGCACAAAAAAATTTAACCATCAGAGATCACAAATGACAGACTAAAAAAATACGCACCTGGTGAGTAATATCGGGCCTAGCATCTGCAATGTCTCTTCCTGTCTTGGCGAGGATACCCTGGTGGTCGTCGCAGTTGAGCAAGGTATACTTGACGTCGCCCTCGCCTCCCTTACCATGCCTGCCGCCCTTCGCACTCCCACTCGAGATACGGTAAGCTTCCAAGCAGGCCTGTTCCAGCACGACAAAAAGACGTCGTTGAGACGCTGCTGCTGCACCCTTAGGCACATGTGCCTGCACAGGGAGCATCAGCGGGTTAGGGTTGGGCACGAAGGGCACTGCGGCTGCTTTGAGCGGTGTCGTTCCAGCAATTTTCTTCGTCCTGGATGTAGGAAGTGGTCGAATAGGCCTATCCGTCGTCGTCCTCGCCCTTTTCATGATAGTGACTCCAGCACTGCTACCGCTCCCCTCCTCGTTCATACTCTCATCGATCTCATCGATAGTCTGCATATCGTGCACCTGTTCCAGTGACCTACGGATAAGTTGTTCTGTCGTTGACGTTGCAGTAGGTGTGCGACAAGGTTAGATTCGGTCGTGGTGTTGGTGTTAGTGGTATTGGTGGTGTAGTGAATGCGACGCGTATTGGTGCAGAAGAAAAAGAGGTGTTGATGACATCACTCGGCTTACTCGGTCCGCGTGCATCCGTTATTTCTTCAAAGTTCCCCCGAGAGGTCAAAAAAACTAGTTCAAGTTCTCTCAGAAATTAAATAAACACAATATGGGAAACGAAAGTCATGGAACAAAGGTACCGTGTCAAAATTGACAAGTAAAGCATTCTCAGCGTCATTCTAACTGAAAGGATTAAAAGAAGTACGATAACTTGAAGTCTATCATCCACCATAGAGGATGACTCAATCACCGCTGAGAAAGACAGGAAAAAGAGGCGTATTTGAGTGTCAGTAGATTGTTTCGAGACTCGAGAAGAGTTCAAGGTTCATGGTAGCCAAAGATATATGTGGATGAGGTTAGAATAAGGTCATTTTACAAAGGCATACCGTGCCAGACCATTGACCGGTGACCAACGAGCCAACGGGATGTCGAGTGGAAAATAACAACGCACATTATTCATTGAAAATACATTCAGTCGCAACATAGCGCATCGGCAGTAGTCTCACAGTAGCGGAGGACCAAAAAGTCACAGCGCCTCCCTTCCCATCTTTAGGAGGGTAGGCGCTGCGATCTCTCTAGCTGGGAATCGAACCCAGCCTTTGAAGCCCAATTACCGCGCTTCGCCGATATGCCAACAGAGAGCTGAATGGCTGTAGAGAAGCTAGCTCTACATTGCCGTGAATTCGTTTATGTGATGAATCCACGCCTGCGAGCGAACATGCTTCAGATTGTTCGAGGGCTGAGACGATGCAGTATACACAAAGAAGTATCTGCACCAGATCTATTCAAAGATGAACTTTGTCAGGGAGGGAGGAACCTGGAAGGCATGGTTTTGATAGCCGCGATTAACCGAAACAAGACAGGCCGCTGATTCTGGTGTAACCCTAAAAGCTGAATGTTCAAGCTGAAGTTTGTGATTAGGAACAAGTGAATGAACGGTGAAATGTTTTAATGATTTGCACCAGATAGACGACTTCTGAGTCGCAGTGTACATCTTGAAACTTCTGAACCTGAAGCAGACGCAATTCTCTATGAACGGCAGACATATTAACGAATATCGGACGAGGAGACCTGTATAAAGAGTACTACCTAACGTTGGATGAAGAATTCTTCATGCTTCAATTTCCAAGTACCAAGATGACTAAGTAAAAAAAATCGCGCAACATACACCCTCCCGCATTCGGGAAGGTCCATGCTGCGATCTCTCTGGCTGGGATTCGAACCCATCCTGCAGCGACCGTAGTAGCACGCTTCCCCGATACACTAATAGAGAGCGAGTATAGCTGATGTCGGGGGTCCATATCGCCGTGGATTCGCTTATGTAAATTCATCTGCGACTGCAAGCGAATAGAGGGATGTTGCCAGCATCTACAGGGAACCGCGTAGTGAGTTGAACTGCAGCAAACTTTCTCTGTGTCAATAAGCAGAAACATCCCAAACATCCTTCAAGTTTCTCGTGAACGATTAAACCAACTGAGCAACAGCCGCTATTCATTTACCCAGACATTGTATGTCGACAGTAGATTATAGAGATGAAGCCAGTTTTGGTCGGAGTACAGCGACAGATTCGAGGAGTATGCTTGACGTGTCACGTCTCAGAAGAAAGGTGAAGACAGATGGTTGGCAATACGACCTGTGATGGAGACAAGGAGTCAAGCAAAGACAAAAAAATCGCAGTCTTCAATATTGCCTCTAGCAAGTTTTATCGCTATCGAAAGCGCATGAGACGGGTCGGATATCCGCGCTCAGCTGAAAGTAAGCTCGAAGGAAAGTTCAAAATGCAGCTGACCGCGACCCGTGAACAAGGAACATGGTGATGTAATAGGAAGTGCGCCACCGGACTGTTCCGCCCTGAGCTTTGATTCTTACTATAACCCAGACTTTTACTTGTTCAACGTATCGTTCAATCCCAAACCTTCCAATTAGTGCCCGACATTTTAATGGGGTTCGTATAAATGTTTGCCCTCGAGCCCGTCTGAAGAACTTTGAAATGCTCACCCCGTTGAATCGGCCCCTTTGTCAATGGACATATTCTAATAAAGGTTACAAAGGAAGTCAGTAGCAAGACTACACCAAATGAGGATATGGATGTTCTGTTCCGCAGCTCATTTCAGGACCCATGGTGCTAGGAGATTGAATTGGAAATCAAAGTTGATCCAAACTACCATGACCTCACCAACACAAAGCGCCGTCCGATGGTACCCTCCCTCGTTCGATATACGGGTTGAACAAGTTCCCGTTCCAGAGTACGTTTATCTGATTCAAGTCTTTCTTTGTACGAGCTGAAGTTGGTATCTATAGAATCAACGAACCAGATGATGCGATCGTGAAAGTAAAGGTGAGACCGTCTACTTGCAGCCTCGAATCCAAGATGCCCGTACTGATTGGGGATATAGTTGGCAGCTCTCTGTGGTACGCCGCCCGCTTCTTTCATATCGGACAGCCGATCAATGATTGTGATCAGGGAGCGATCTACACATCTATCGAGGACATGCGGGCATTAACAAAGTGTGAGTAGGAAGAATAGCACAGCAAAAGCTCGCCTCTAACACGAACAGCCATATCTGTGGACACGAGTTCATCGGCGAAGTGGTGAAACTCGGCTTGAGCTATGGAGGACAAGCCCAAGGGCGCCCAGACCTATACTCGAACTTGAAAGTGGGTGACAAGGTCGTCTCTCCTTTCACCGTAAGCTGCGGTGAATGCAGGTCAGTTCGATAAATTTTACATTCGAAGCTTTGACCAACGATATACCTCTCCAAGTGTTTGTCGGCTGGGATACACTTGTCGATGCCCTCACGGCGCCCTCTTTGGTTCCCCGGCACTCGAAGGAGGCCAAGCACAATATGTACGCGTCCCAAAGGCCGGGGGAACGCTCTACAACCTCAGTGATACCAGTTCATGGTCTACCTCTCTATCCGATAAGACTGCCACCGCAGCCCTCGACAAGATATCTGAGAGTTCGCTTGTCCTTCTCGCTGATATCCTACCAACTGGAGTATTCGCTGCCATGCAGGCTTTGAGCCATCCAAAGGTCCTGACGGCACTCACAGGAAGGCCATGTCCGTTGAATTTCTTCCCGTTGAAAGATCTCCCTTCCAAGCAAGACGCCCTGGTACAAGAGGATAGGACCCTCACATTTGCGATTGTGGGATTAGGTCCCGTGGGGATATGTGCAGCAGTCAGTCTGCTTGACTTGCTTTCCGCTGGACAGTACCCTTTCCGCGTTGTCGCGATCGATCCCATTGAGAGCAGGAGAGAGAAGATGCAAGCTGTTTACTCAAAGATCTCTCCGGATGGAAGAGGCTCGGGAGAATTTATCGTTGCGTCGATCGAGGATGCCAAAACCAAGGTTCAGGCTTGGACTTCAGGTGTAGGATGTACGGCTGTGCTCGAGGTGGGTTGAAGTCGTCTTGTGATGCTCAAAGCTAACATATCGTACTCAGGTGGTCGGTAATAATAGCGCGCTGAGCCTTGCCTATGATCTCGTTCGAGACTTCGGTGTTATCATATCTGTAGGAGTTCATGGAGCAAACCAAGTTCCATTCACAGGACGACAGCTGTATAACAAGAATGTATCCCTCGAGTTCGGAAGATGTCCTGCGCGCACCATGTTCCCTCCTGCGTTCGAGTTGTTGGGTGAGAATCTATGGCATTGCCGTGATTGTCACACTCACAAACGTTTCACAGCGAAGCGACAAGACGTGTTTGGAGGTGTCGGTGATCCTAGTAACCTAGTCGACAGAATTGCCGGATTTGATGAAGCCCCGGAAATGTATCGAGCTTTCGAAAAGGGAGAAGTTGGAAAGGTTATCTTTGACCCTTGGAAATAATTCTGCATCTTGTAAAGGCAGACGTGCTGCAAGTATCACACCTCATGGCACTTTCTACACTACCACGTGCACCAGACTTTGAGCGAAATAACAACCGGACTATCTCTTTGAAACGGGTGATACTCTAGCGGGATGGTCTGAGGATCAATGTTTGGCCATTATAGGAACCAAATGAAGGCATGATGGGTAGGTGTTGTAAATACTCAGGCGCAAGGTGGTGGACTCTAACGCATTGTATTGGCAAGCTAATTCTGACGGCTTGACGACTCAAATGCTAAGCAGGTACAGACCAAGAGATTTGTAGCTAGCACAGAGGATGCAGGGAACCAAAAGCAGAAGACATTGACGAGGACGACAAACGCCGCTATTTCAAGTTGTCCCAAACATGTCGCAGTTCCTAGAGGGCTCAGATATTTACTAGCTACTCCTCTAGAGTAATGAAAATCTTGATGTAGTGCGGGGAATTAATGGCCCGCTCCAATGCTGCATGTAGGATATTGACTAATAGATTTATAGATTGCTGTTACAATTCATAGCGACTCATCCATACCATTGTACCTAGTAGACAAGCCCCTGGCCCTAAAAACTGCAGCGTACTAGTAGAAGAGGAGTATAGTTGCATTACAGGTTTAGTTTCGCACATCTTGGTTGTGTTTGTAAGCTCAGATGATATTTCACCCCTCTCAAGCCAAAATGGCTTCTATCGAGGGCTTTAGTCCACAGTTTCTGATATCGTGAGGTTGCGTACGAAATCCAAGGTTTTGATGCACCGGAGATTCGGGCCGGTCAGTTACTGGTAACTTCACTGGAGAGGTTTAGTTGCCTCGCAAGCTGCACTGGGCGCTTTGGACTTGCAAACCGGCTGAAACCAAAACTCAGACCGACACAGAGGTTCAAGGAGACACCGCGTGAGGTGTTTGGGAGACTGATGCAGTGCAGAACTGGACATGCGCATATAGGTGAGTACTACGAAATCTTCAACATTCCAGAAGCAACTGACTGTGAATGCGGTGAACGCTTACAAACGCGAGAACATATCATATGAACATGCCCGAGATATGGCGACCATCGACACATCCTACGTGAAGGATCACAAAACCTGATCATGTGTGACCTCTTGGGCACAACGGAGGGCATCGAAGCAGTAACGAGGTTCCTGGCAGAGTCGGGAGCCTTCACAAAGACCGGGAACCCGAGGCGAGAAGTGGGAATGCCGCTGTGGGAAGAAGAACCAGAGCCGCGTGAACAAGAAGATGAAGATGGATAGAAGCGACACACACCACCTAGGCCTGGGACAGGTCTGACCCCCCCCTCCCATTATTTATTCTTTTCTCCTTTCTGTAGGTAGAAAACACTCTCACAGAGAAACACCCAACGAGACCGAAAACAACCACATAGAATTTTACCCGATAGTTACACATCCCATAGAGTCGAACAGTAGATTAGCATTACAACAAGTAGCGGTATAGACGTACGTAGCAGTAGGACTATACCCCCACGTCTTTGCCCATTACGTGGCGTGTTGCGGGTTACCAATTCAGAGCATCATCATCATCATCAGCCTCGCAAGCTGCTCACTGTCTCAGTGCTTTAATAGATACTTACTCTCAGGAACAAATCCAAAAAAAAGTCGCGGTGCGCACCCCATAACGCTCGTACGGATGAACGCACCGCGATCTCCCCGACCGGGATTCGAACCCAGCTTTTGAAGCATATCATACACGCTTCGCCAGTAGACTAACAAGGAGCTGAATATCTGAGGTGGTCACTTGCTATACAGGTACCGTAATGGATCAGTGCTCTCGGTTTAGTCGAACTCTGAAACTTGTGGGATAATTATCGTCGCTGCAGTGTGCACGGCACAATGCTGGCACTTGGGCACACCAGATGCAGGTAGAGGAGTGTGGGCCCCAAGTGTTAAGCAGGTGCCAGCTAAGAGATTTGTGGCTAGCATAGAGGATACAGGGAACCAGAATCAGAAGACAGCGACGCTATCTCAGAATGTTTCAAACATGTCGCAGTTTCCAAAGAGCGAGATATTTACTTGTTACTCCTCCAGAATAATGAAAACCTTGATGTGGTGTGGAGAAGTAGCGTTCTATCCCAATGCTGCGAGTAGGAGATCGAGTAATAGATGTATTTTGCTATTACAATTTATAGCGACATGTTCATACTAATTGCACCGGCTAGACAGGCCTCTGACCCTAAAAGCTGTAGCGTACTAGTAGAAGAGGAGTATAGCCTTAACTTCGCTTGTTGGAGAGGTTTCAGTAGCCTGGCAACTTGCAAGCTGCTTTATTAGATACTTACTTTCAGGAGCAAAGTCGAAATTGTCGCTGTGGGTTAGCCCGCCAGTACCATACGGACCAACCCACTGCGATCTCCCTGACTGGGAATCGAACCCAGCTTCCGAAACATATTTAGCACGCTTCGCCAGTAAACTAACAGGGAGCTGAATTTGGGGTGGTCACTTGTTATAAAGGTACTGTAACGGATCAATGCTCTTAGTTTCGTCAAACTGGATAATTATCATCGCTGCACGGCGCAATGCTGGCACTCGGGTACACCAGATGTAGGTAGAGAAGTGTGGGACTACACACAATGAGCCCGGCTCCTCGACTCCGAACGCGTAGAACAGTGAAAGATTGTTTCCCTATTGTTCCCCTAACAGACATCACAAAGTACTATTCGATGGTACCCTCCCTCGTTCGGCATACGAGCCGAACAAATTCCCAATCCAGAGTGCATTCACCTCGCTCTATGCAACTCGGAATCGAAATCGGTATCAACAAAAGAGATAATGCGATCGTCAAAGGAAAGAGACGACCTATCTGCGAGTTCAAAGATACCCATATTGATCTGAAATATAGTTAACAGCTCTCTGTGGCACGTCATCCGCAAAGCGCATATCCTTCGTGAGGTATCAATCCAACAAAAAACAAATTTACTCGTTAAGTAGGCGATGATATTCATCAGATGGAACTATATTTCACCCACACAATATATTGCTTAAGCTACTGCCGCATAAAACCAGAAAATGGGTATCAAGTAACATAATAAGATACCTTACGATGAATATATACAACACGGACAACATGCCCCGAAACAAGACGTATAATAAATATTCCATCGTAAATGTACCAGCATCTGAAATCGTAATCAAAGGTAAAAGGACTTGAATGAAGAGAAGACAGAGTGTGGATTATTAAATAAAGAGGTACAGCTATACGCTTACATGCCGCCGTACGCATCCTCGGGGTCATACACCGTGTAGACGGTGTCGGGCCTCTTGGAACTTACAGGGGCGGGGTTCCGGGAGGCTACGGCAGGGTCATTGGCAATAGGATTGGACTGCGCGGGAGCCGAAGCAGCCTGGGAGGTGAGAGGAGACGTAACAGTGGGCTTCGGATCTCCTGACGAAGGGATGGAAGACACGACAGCAGGTTGTGTCATGGAGGAATCGTGAGAAACCTCCTGAGTGGGTGTGGTGACAGCAACACCAACGGCATCGGCGCTTCCAACAGACGGAACCCTGTTCAAGTCTACGTACTGCGCTTCCTGCTGCTGCTGGAATGGATCAGCGTGATATACCTGGGAGGGCTCCCTATTGAGCTGCACCTCGTTGGCCATCTGAGAAGGTTGCCTGGTCAAGTAGGCATCATGGCTGATCACAGATAGATCCCTGCTATACGCAGCCGCCGCGAAAGGATCGTTATCGAAGCCACCGGAGGGAATGTCCATTTCATTGAAAGGCCCAGGTCCCACGATCTGACCTGGAGAGAAAGAGGTGGGCGAAGTCGGCTGCTGCGGACCATATCCATACTGAGGCTGAGTGAACGAAGCGGGGCTGTTATTGACGTGACGCTCAATCATGGTTGGAGGCCTCAGATGACTGTTCCATCCTGAGCCACCACGGCCGGAATCCCCTGACATTGAGATATCGTCATCCAGGAGTACAGCCGAGCTACGGAACTGGGATGCATCAAATACATCCTTGTCCTCTCTGTGGCGACGCCAGCGGCGCTAATACAATGTGAATGAGAAGACTGATGAGAAGAAGGGGGGGGACTTACAATGAGAAATCCAATGACAATTACAACAAAGGCAATACCGACTAAACAGCCAATACCAATACCGATGATAGTGCCTGTGCTCATACCGGTGTCAGCGCTGGCCGTAGAGCTGGCACTCGCACTGGCACTCGCCAACGAAGACGAAGACACATGGGTGGACTTGGTTACTGTCTCAGTCGTGAGAACTGAAGAATGGCTAGAAGTGGTCGTGGGATTGTAGTTGGTCACAGCCGTCTATCACACAGATTAGAATCGATCCAAATCGAATGAAAATACACGGACGGTAGCAGTCGTGATTGAACTGGTGTTACTTGCTGTAGAAGCGCTAGTGGCCGACGTAGTGCTACTGCTTGAAGTAGTAGAGGTGGCCGAGGTAGATGAGGTGGTCGAAGTGCTCGACGTAGTCGACGTCGTGGAAGGAGTCGTCGACGTCGACGTCAAGGTGGAAGTAGGGGTCGTCGAGGTAGATGAGCTGGTTGTGGTGATTTCCAAGGTCGTGGAAGTCGGAGTCGAAGTCGCCTCAGAAGTTGCAGCTAGCGAACATATGAATACCAGCTACAATTAAATAAAAGAAAAACATACCAGCTGTCCCCGACGTCGTAGACGCTAAGTTCCCGCCCATTGCCTGCCGATTTACGTGGATTTTCCGCCATTCGCGCCGTTCGAATTGATGATGAGACATGATATTGATATTAGATCGTCGAGAAAAAAGATAGGATTTTGTTGTATTGAAGAGAGCGTCGATATCTTGAAAGAAGGTGGTAGTACTGGGCCGTACCAGGACGTAGGGGACTGCGCCGCGAGCGGAAAGAGAAAAGGCGGAAAGGCGGATGATGGAAAAACAGAAACCTGCCTTGACCGTGACAAGTGTCACACAGGGGTTGAAAGATCACGCAGTCACGAGGCATATCAAATGCTGTCAAAACGTTTTCCCTGAAGTTATTTAAAGTTTCGTCGGCGGTAGCGCAAAGTTGGCGCTCAAGCGCGTTACTCTCCTGTTGCCAACAGAGAAGCATTCTTAAGTTTTGGGAGGGGAGGGGCCTGGGGAATGGAGGGGAAGTGCTAAGAATCACAGTAGAATCGATCCAAAGTTTGAATTCCCATTCACAACCCACGAATGAAACAGGGAAGTGGCAATAAGTAATGATGTTGATGATGCTGATATTCAGATGTTTTGATGACACAACCTCACGCAACATATCTCATTAGGCGAACGTACGGGAACGTGGTATCCTCCGACCAAGTACATCTTGACTACATCACACGGAAGACACGCATCACGGTATCATTGTGATGTAGGAACTTAGGAAGATTCTTTGTTCTTTAACTCCTTGTTACCTGCGGAATCAAATGCGTCCTGCGGGACCGTACGAGGGATATTGGCACGCAGCTGTTACCTTGGTATTGAATTTTATTCTTTCCGGAGCTTGTTTAAATTTCAATGAGTACGCCAGCCTATCACGATGCAAGGGCGAACAGAGGCCGTAGAAAATCGTGATTCCCATGACATGGATGTAATTGAACTGAATGCTGTGAAACGTCGCGAGTGGGAGATCCAGGTACATCCGTATGTCGCAGTTTACGAACGCAATTACTATTCTGCCCATAAATTCATCCTTTCTTTATGCCTGAAAACAGTCTCAACTGAAGATGAATCACCATCTCCTGATGTCGCTTCCGAGGACTTCGCTTTCAGTCCTGATGCTCTTGAATCTGCAAATAAGCTGTCTTTTGAAGACTGTCTGACGCATCTTATCAAGCTCCTGCTTGACGACTTGGCCAAAATCACATCAATGGAAACAATCTTACCATATGTCACCAAATTATGCCGGCTTGAGTGCCACATAGCAGAGCTGTTTCAATTGTGAGGACTTAGACTCAAATTCAAGCAAATGAGCATCTATCTAGACCAGATTCAGATTCAGAGAAGGAGAACATGGTCTATTCATGGATGAGGTAGGCAGTATACACCAATTTCCTTGCCGCCTTTTCTTATATGTTGTACCAGCAGACGACCTCATCATTCCGTTCCACAAGCACCAATCTCATCGTGAAAATGCATCCCTGCCTGGACAGCCCCAAGTGCCTCTGGCCCGATTATAATACAATTTTCTCCTTTTTTTTGGAATGTATATTTTGAAACAGCAAGTGCAACCTGTAATGTAATTATGTACAGAGCCTGGAAGCTCATCCATGACAGGGGTGGAATCCAAGAATGCGCAGATATATTTTGAGTGCAGGTTAGCACTTGAGTCATGTTGCAAGGGGCAAAAAATGCAGAAACTAGTATGATTGACAGTCATTGCTTTACTTTAGCCACAATAAACATAGTTTTGAAATTGTTAGAAGAGAAACATAAATTGGCCAAAGGCTGTCACGAAAAAGCACACATCCTTAGTGCATACAAGTATTTCATACAAAGGCATTATAGAACGGACTTGCTTGGCATGTACTCCGAGTGCATAGATTCATCCTCACCTGACATCAAGCTGGGAAAACACGGAATTACCTGGTGCGAAATCAGAGTCGAACAAACGATTCGGGTACTTGTCAATGACAATCATCCGGACAATCTTTGGACGATTTGATCAAGGATAAAAGGAGCTACGCTAATTGTCAACAATCCAGCTGGGTTTTAAGCAGAAGAAACACAGACTTTAGCGTATATGTGTGGCTGGCACCATCAATTTACAAGGACTGCGAAGAGTCGATGATTTCCAAGTTGCGGTTACATGTTCCGTGGGATAATATTTCCAAACAAGTTGATGACGTCATCCGAACAGACCGCAGCGCAGCTTTGCCACTACCAACTATCACCCACACGAAGCAATGTCGCTGGTGCGAGCTATACTGCATGAAAACGAATTTTGTCTCATCTACGACCTTTGTAACAGATACATGCTCTCGTGGCGCAGGGCTCAACAATCCTTGCTGAACACAAAGCAGGGAAACGGGATTTCTCTCAAGGTCAGCAAGGAAGGACTTCAAGTTGTAATGTTGTCTATATCTAACGTGTTGAGTAGCCACGCAAACCATACTGTCAAAGATTCCACCAAACAACAGGTTAGGCCCAATCATCTTCGAGTACCGCTGTTCTGACGAAGGAAACTACCTAGTAAACTCACCTACGTATGGGAACAATACCTCTTCCATTATGTCTCCGAAGGAGGATTCACATACCTGGTCATGGCCGACGACTCTGCTGGAAGGTACGGTGATTGTCAATGTCTCCATATCACTGCAGTACTGAACCGAGGACTGGCAGGAGGATGCCTTTTGCATTCTTAGCCGAATTGCAACGGAAGGTACATCCATAAACTACTCCTTATCCCCTCAAAAACACCAACATTATTTCTAGTTCACCTCAGCGCCCTCGTCCTCGTCTTCTGATGACATGCCCGCCTATGGCCTCCAGGGCACGTTTGGACCTATCATATCATCGCTCATGCACACTTACAACACTGCGCCCCCGTCCGACGAACTTACCCGAGCTCAAACAGAGCTCAACCAGGTCAAGGATATCATGGTGCAGAACGTCGAGCAGATCCTAAGCAGGGGAGAACGAATCGAGCTTCTTGTCGACAAGACTGACGCCATGGCTGGGCAAGCGACTGCGTTCAGACGTGGAGCGAGGAATGTACGGAGGCAAATGTGGTGGAAGAATAAGAAGGTCCTAGGGACTTGGTATCTTGTCGGGGCTGGTGCGTTCCTTTGTTTGAAAGATAGTTGATTGGCTAACAATGCACAGGTCTTGCTGTGGATCATATTGGCGCAGTTTTGTGGCGCCAGCTTACGTTGCGCGCGCAAGGCGAACACCTAGATCATACCGGCTATCTGTTATCTCTTATGTTATCACTGGAATTCTATATCCACCTGTATTATCTTTCGGCTTATCGACTCTTTCATTCTTGCGGAATGCCTATGTCTACCGTCCGCCGGTATCTTCGGTTCCGGGTGGTATTCTCCTTTGAGTACGCGAGGACCTGGCTCTCACGGAGGACCTTAGCGCTGCTCCTGATGTAAGGATGTCATTGTAGCTTTCAGGGTTCTCGGTGTATCACCATCGGCCTCGAATAGCTGCCAGATAGCTGTCGTGCTGCTAGTATCTATGATGAGACGGGCATGTGCGCGCGCGCGGTGCATATCATACTACACTAATGGGCTAACAGGATCCGGTTACTTCAACTTAGTAACCGGAGGAATGATGATTGGTACTAAGTATCTGAATCAACGCGTTTCTACTGTGGCCTCCTCGGGCTTTGATCGCGCGCGGGAAGGTCAGATACCAAACTACGTCTTCAATTTATAAGGGAAATCCATTGGCTTTTGATACATATAAACATCTTCCGAAACGGTATGTCTTCAATTTCATTTTGATGTTTCTCCATTCTCATCATGTTAGGCTCTAAGGATGACACAGTCGAGAAGCTATGTGCTGTTCGATATGTGAGATATGCATCTCCAGAGAATGATCCGGAGGACACCTATACAAAGGGTTCGTAGGACTGCCTTGAGGTATGCTGACATCGAGCTCGGTTTCGCAAAGTCTGATATCGTCCAGGCAACTTCAGCCAAGACCTAACATACAGGACGGACAATCCCAGAAAGACGCTCTTTACGGGAGCGGTTAATAGATTATCAGGTTCGAATCGAAGGGTTGGGGGAGAGGAAAGTGGTTGTTTGTTGTTTGGTCCATGAATTACATGTCCCTCAACAGTTGTACACCATTATTATCCAAATAACCCTCAACGGGATAGGGATGTGATCTGGTATCATTTTTATGGCTACTCCACTTCGACAGAGGAGGCAACGAGTACAACGTTCCATCAATCTAGGGCCTTCAATCTGTCACACAGCTCGTAACATTCCGGTCTGCTAAACGTTTTGCAAGTGCCCGCTAATCAAGTTAGGTACAGATACTTGGCTTGGTACCTGTACCAGCAGCCAAGACGGTGGTGGTATACGATATACCGCGGCCACGTGCGGGTATAGAGGGCAACAGTTTTCCTCCCTCCCCCGGTCGACTTTTCTTTTGGTGGTTGGTATGGTGGGTCTTGAGCGCTGAACGTAAAGAATTTTGGACAATGAGTGCGAACTCCTTCCAGCGCGGACCACACGTAAAAGTTATGTTCCTCCGCGTAGCGACAAACAAGCTCGTGGTGACGTCTATGTACTTACGGTGACCCGTTACGGCGAATCCACTCGTATCCTCCTCCTACTAGGCTAGTATAACCGACATCCGTCTCTCATATGTATGGCTCTGGCAGCGTATGAAGGACGTTTTCCTTCAATCTATTCCCTCATCTCTTTCTTTGCACATCCCGACGTTAGAATCACATAAACACCCTTCTCATTCATCCTTATGGAAGCACTGCATCTTGACGGTATTTTCTCCCCTTCTACGCCGTCGCTCCTTGTGCACATTCCTTGCTCAAGAGAACGTGCACTTCGGGCATCCATTCTCGGTGCGCTACCATCTTACGACAATGCTGGACGAACATGATAGGGCAGGGTCTCTCAGTTTGGTATATGTACTACCCTACTGCTCCCCCCGGCATTTAAGGAGGGCTCCCCGATGCAACGACGAATGTACGCCCAGGCCATTGTGGGTATAACACGGCTCGCTTCACCATGTGGACAGTCCTCCCACAGAACACGGATCCCAGAGTTTGGCGACCATAGGGTAAAGTCATTCTTACGGTATTGCAACGAATCAACGATCAGACAGACGCCTGTTTCATTAAGAGTGTACACGGCGGCAAATCCACGACCAGACCCACATCACTCGAATGTTTCGAATCACTGGCAGGCAAAACCTTTCCATCGAAGTATTCTCCGAGTTGTTCTATAGCTGATAGAAATCACTATGATTACTTCCCAGACTCGGTAGCTGTCCGCCAGAGTTCCGCTGCGGACATGCTTTTTGCTCTTGTGCTTTGCCTTTAAAACTTTATTTCCTGCTCCAGTAACTTCAGGGTTTTTATTGCGTCCCTGGTGTGCTGTGATTGACAGTGGAGGTGATGGTCTACGCCACTTCAGATGTACAGGCCCCAGGTGTTGCCTGGGGTCGAAGATGGGTGCGAAGAATAAGGGTTTAAATGGACAATGACATTTCGAGATACGGGCCTTTGTCCTTGTTACGCTCGTTGGACCCTTGGGTGGGTGGCCAATCCGTGTCGTTAATGTAAAGTCAGGATCTAATTCGTTGCCTTTCCTTTTTTTTTCTCCCTCCGTTTTTTTCTTACAGACTACGAACCGAATATTCCATAGTCGGGATAGGGTGGAACTAGTGTATATAGGTAGTGCAGCCGCGATGTCTTCTGCACCCGATACATATGAAGCCGAGCATTTTCATTTCGATCTTTTACGACATGTCGGATGCCTGAGCTCCACACAGGAAAGGACTTGGGGGGTGAGGGAGCGTGCAGTGATCGACGCTAGAAGCAGTGTATAGAACAGATTCTGTCATGGACAGGCCGCATGTTTTTCTGGACTATAATGGAAGGGGTGAACGAATTTTCTAGGTGGGAGACAGATAAGACCATTCCACGGTGGTTTAGGATCAGCTTTGACCGGAAAAATGTGGTTGGTCCTGGTTGAATGGGTGGATATCATTAGAAGAGTTAGACCATAGAGCCTGCCAGTGTACTGCCATTCAAGGACAGAGAAAGGCAAAAAGATAAGCGCTTGAATCCGCGTTGGGCGGCCGTGAAGAGTTATTCCGTTACAGGGCAGCCGTTTAGGCTCTCGACCTCCGAGCACGCAGCTGACGATATGGGATATATTGTGTGTCAATCTACGTTAAGTTTATTGAACAGAAAACTGGTAAAGCCTCGGAAACGAAAACGTTCGAATATGCTAAGGGTAGTACACAAGCTTTGAGCCTAGAGTTGGTCTGCAGGCAACTAAAGAGCACCACAAGGCACACCGGCATATCATCGCATAGAGCAAACGCCGCCGCGTCGTGAAGGGTACTGAGACTTCGGAGATCAAGGCAGCCGATGCCGATCACGCCATCCTCGAAATCGAATGTGTATTTACCCCTTTTGGAAACCGACCAGGACATCGGTTCCTCGAGCTTCCTTCCCCGCCTTTCATCCACTCCTGCCACGAATAATTGACGACTTTACGGAATCGTACTTCGAATTTGGGCCACTCTCCCGGTTGTTGCTACCCGACAGCTTTATTATATATAACCTGGACGGATACGCTGTCACGGTAGAGGGGCCGGCTGTTTTCAAGGTCCTCCTTTTTCTGCTCTTCTTCCACCATCTTTGCTGCTCGTCTTGGACCCACACAGACTAGTTCTAACATGGCCACCACTATTACTTCGTTAGACTCGTTCCCAGAGGAACTGGTTGAACGTATCCTCGCGTACTGCGTCGTAGCCCCGCCCACGCCAGCCGTGTCCTCCCCAGCGTGGGCCCCAGTCCATCCACCCAGCACAGCCGTACGACCAGTCTGCTCCCGTCTGGCCCCTCTGCTCGTCTGCAAGTCCTTCTACCGAATCTCCCTTCCACATTTCTACCATACCATTCATTTGACACGCCCTTCACAGCCGGCTCACCTTCTGGCCGCCTTGCACAGCTATCCCTGGCTCTCCCGTTATGTCCGCAGAGTTGTCATCACCGGCATCTTTGATGGTGCAGACCAGGTCTTCCGACAGTGCAGGCATGTAAAGGCGCTCGACATTACCCTCGATCCTCGGTTTCCGGAACAGGCGTACTGTCCCGCAGTAGAGCGCCTTTGTGACTCGCTGGAAGCTCTTGACGCGATCACGCATCTTACTATTCGCAAGCCGGCCCGTTTATACCTTACCCACGCTGGTGTGAAGCGCCTCATTGTCCGTTTGGCCACTGCCATCACCGGTTGGATAGATCTTGTCAGTTTAATTTCTTGTGATCCAAAAGACTCCGTTCCACTGATATACCTATCCAAGCAATCCTGCCCACCTGGCTTTCCGTATCTCAGACGACTCGGTTAGCGCACCAGGAGCTCAAACAAGGGGCCCCATATCCGCCATTACACACGCCCTATCCCTTGCACCATCGTTGCACACCTTTTCCACTCAGCTTCCGAGTCTCTGGAATGAGGCTATACTCTGTGTCAGCCGGAACCCCCGCCTCGAGCGCATCAGACTAGGAGGTACCGACTACGAAGATGGCTGTGGCATCATCAGTGGCGGCGGACTGTACATGATACAGACGCGCAAACATCCCAGACTAGGCAGAATTGATCAGGAACGGAACGTACGTTGCCGTCTTTCTCTCTCCTACTTGCCGGCATTAATCTAACCTCCTCGCTTTTAGACCGATGATCAGGTCGAGGGCGCATACGATGACTTCGCAGTCCCTGGCGGCGTTGTCGTATGCTAGTACTTCAAGCCACAAGAAGGATGACGGCACACCAACGCCGCACATCGTAAGGCATCACAGTCTGAAGAGGCAAGGCCGGGCGTATTAAGCCGACGTACATACTGTTGGATATGGACCTTTGTTTTGAGTGCTCAGTGTACATTCGTTGCGGTGGACGCTTGTGGTTACATGATACTGTACGAGGTGTTATAATTTACATGTTACAGTTCTTGCGCGTTTCGGCCTAGCATACTTTTATTGTACATACAACGTTAATCCCATTGAAACCTGCTTCTAGGTATTATAAGGACCTTTGTTGAAGGTAACGTTCCGTCATCCCGCGACTTGATGGATAATCAATCCAACAGTGATGAAAGATAGAAGAAAGGGTTTGTGATGACGGGAGAAAATCGTCAGTGGCGCGCAACCAAATTCTACGTACTCTCCAGAAAGGCCGTGCTGTGAGTAAATAATTTATGTAGCTCGAACCTTGAGCTTGATGGTCTCAACAATATTTGCTCGTTCATGTACTCCACTAAGTATCGAGGAGTAATCTAACAAAGTAGCTACTGGTGGTAGCCAGGATAAAGGTGCGGGAAACAGCCCTATTGTAGGAAATGTTAGTGCTATTGAGCGAAAGTTACCAATCGTCAGAGCTCCGTCAAGTCTGATATACGAGATTTAGTAGGGTTGTTACATGTGCAAATTTTCGATGAATAAATCGTCTTTGTATTCGTATCCAGAGAATTCGGAACTTCCTTCTAAAATGACCTCTGATAAGAGTATTCCGATACATCGCAATAAAGGTGTAACTCGGCAAAGCGGCCCCGTTACAGTGAAATTTTGAAGTCCGCCATTGCCGGCCACGTCATCTTTCGCACCGGCAATGCGGACTTTGAACTTTCCGCGTCCGTCTCCGAGTTATTTAGGGGCTATCGAGCTTTCATGGACTGGCAATTTCGGTCAGTCTTGGCTGGTCGAAGGAACTTGAACGGTAGCAATATTCCATCGCGGGGAGTATTACAACTAAAATTGAACATGTGGGGAACTCTCGGGTTTTTTTCCCTGACTTCCTGGAACTACTTAATGGTTTCAATACATTCCTGTTGAACTCCTATACGATACGTGATCTACTGCTGCAAACTAGAAGCTAGTCCGATTACTGGCTCCTTGTACCACCTTGGTTTGTCGCGCCTCTTGCCCTCTAGGTTATATAAATTATAATTACGCAGATCATTTGTATATATGCATTCATCATCCACGATGGCAAACTCTGACCGGAACGTCAAAATTTGCGCATGTTGATCATTCGTATCATCATCCCGCGACTTCGTGGTATTACTTATAGTCATTTGCATACTGGTTGACAGTCGATGGTGACTTTGTGGATCAGATAAGAAGCATCGGACTTTGTCGGAAACCGAGATTTTGCGACTGGCAAGGAACTCAGAGATAGTCTCAAACCGCCATAAGCTCCCATCAAAGGCGACATAACCTGTTTACGACGAGGTTCAGATCTGCATCTTCACTCTCGAAAAGGGTACATCACTATGCGCGTTGGCTATAATGATAATCAGTTAGAAGAGAGAAGTAAAACGACTTTGCAATGGCGGAGAGAAAATCACCAGTCGTGGTTTGTGGCGGGCAAGCACTGCAGATTCCACGTTTCAGCGTCCCAGAATACCATGTGGATTCTTCGAAGTATGCAAAAACGCGTCCAACGGAGGGTACGAAAAACGGTGTGGCGCTGCCCATTGCCCAGGTAGAAAGTCCCCCCGTAAGAAAACGAGGGTCTTGGCGCGTCGAAAGCCTGACATATTGGAAGAAACATTGCGTTGGACTTGTGCTCGTGAAGCAGTGGGACCCACACTTGGAATAGCATACGATCGACGGACGAGATCTCGATTTACAATAGGTGCCGCGGAAGCAAAGTTTCTACTTGGTCGCTGGTGTGAGGTCTACGCAAGGCCAGGTAGGAGCTAAAAATCCCAACGATAAGAGAAGTCTGGGAGTGAAGCGTGCCGTATGCACGAGAGATAAGTAAGTAGCAGCCTCGTGGTCCTCGCATGTTGAAGGGACTCGGGAGAAGAGAGCTTTCCGGCGACTTGCTTATCCTTGAGAACAAGTCCAGTCTCCCATGATTGCTAGAGGAAGGGTATATTATGTACGAGCGTCAGCTCCGAGTAACACCTTGAGAATAGTCAGAAGTTGGAGGTGTCCAGTTGGAGCACGATCATTAAAGAGTGAACTTTAATCGATCGAGGAGAGCTGCAATCGATCAGACCCGGCAGGAAAGAGGTGCTAGTATGTTCGGAGATTATAGTAGGCAAATGACAGTGGACCCGGGAAAGAGAAACGAGAGTAAATGAGTAGAATAAAAGTGCGAGTTCGGTGCCGGGAATGAAACTTGGACTTGGAGCTATAATAAGTCGCGCCACTGAATTCGAAGGGTTTCCTTGCCATTCAAACGTCGACGGAGGAGAGCGAGAGAGGGGTCCAAGTGGTAAAAGGATAGATATCAAGGTTGTTGATGATCAATCATCGTCATCACGATTCGGGTTGCGCAGTAGCCGAATTCACATGGAAAAAGGTTCCACCCGTTTCTAAAATGAAGAATTCATTTCTTCTAGTCGGCGGTTGGAAGAATGACTCGTTAGGCGTCATTACCAGTGCCCGCGGGGTATCATCGATATCGTAGTTGGGGCCTTTCATTCATATGCAATCGGCGGTAAAGAACGGCCTCGAATGACTCGACAGATCCACAAAGGCCGAACCGAGCGCCCATCACTTAAGCCGCTTGCAAATCAACAATGGATCCAAGAATAAAAAGTTCTGTCACCGAACTGGATCACGATATCTAGTTTACAATGGATATGACTCGGTTCGTTCCTTGTGGTTCCCCCCTCCCCCCTCTCTAAAATATACCGAACGAGAACAGGGTGAAGAAGCCAGCATAGGATCTAGCATCATGCTCGCCTTGGGAGAGAATGCTCTCGATCTCGTGGCAGAACGGAGAGGGGGCGAGTTGGGCAGGGGGTTTTACCAAAAAGGCGGCATGCTTACGGCACACCTTCTTAGATCAGGGTCTGTCCAAATTAGGAACGCATAACTGTTTCTCATAAGTACCTCGCATTAGGGTTGAGGGCAAAGAACTTTTTTTTTCTCTTCCCACTTAATAATTCCTGGGGACAGCTCCGTCAACGGTAACAAGATGCTGACTCTCGCTCCTGGTTCTGTGTGCGACGTCTGCGCTGAGGAGTACGGTCCCCAATGTCTTCCCCACTCGATTCCCTGTGGTGAGTCATATTTCCGAGGGGAGAAGCCAGCAAATTTTCTGATGACTTTCTAGGTCATGTTCTGTGCGCGAGCTGCAGTACTACTATTGCAGAGAAGACACCTTCAAGGCTCAAGCCTGTTTGTCCCTTCTGTCGCGAAGAATTCACGGCCAACGACATTCGTTTAATACGCACGGATTTCAGCTCGGGTAGTTCGAGTGGGTGGACTATGCCACGACGCTTTCCTCCCCCAATGGAGGCCAGCAAGAGTGATTCTGCTACCGACTTGTGGGCGCGTAAGGCTGAGAGGTTTTTGCTTTCCGACATAGGTTGCTCGAGAACTCGTGAGGAGGCCCGAAGACTCGAGGACAAAGTCGCCAAGGTCGCGAATAAAAAGTGTTCTGTGGAAGAGGTCTCTACTCTCCACAAGGAACTGGAGGAATGGTTGACGTCTGCCGTCAAGTCTGGAGATCAAGTATGTTGTTCTGATCCTTTCTCTGTTGTTCATCAGTTGATTCTGCCACTCTAGACTTCCTCGCTGTACCTCAGTGCTGCTCTTCTACGCGCTATTCTAATGAATCATGTAGCGCATTCCGAAGCCAGTAAGACTGCAAAGCACACTGAAAACAGCCTCAAAGGCAAGCTTGACGACATGGAGATCTCGATGGGTAAGCTAGAAGCTGAGCTCCGCCGGTAAGCCATTTTCACCCTCGACTCGTGTATTCCATTCTGACGACGTTCATCCTTTTCCTTGTCATCCCATTATAGACAAGTGAGTCATCTTCTTTTCTGCTTCTGATCGTCAGTGCTGACGGCTGCTTCTAGCGCGAACAGTACTCCCAAAAATCGCATGAATGCGAGAAACTGCGGACGGAGCTCAGCCGCTTCAAAGGTGTATCACCGCTTTCCTCGTCGTACACAGCATCTCCGCCACGCTTCCAAAGCCCGGCCTCCCCGACACCACCGGCGACACCTACGCCATCATCCACTACCACTTACAGTCCTTCTGGGAATTCCCCTCTTTCACGCTACAACTCGCTTCACATGAGGTCCTCCTCCATGAGCGCCTCTTCACGACCTGTTACGCCTGCTCAGCCTGTACGATCTCACACGCCCTTGATACGATCCCAAACGCCCTCTGTACGATCCCAGACGCCTTCAGTACGATCCCATACTCCGGCACCCCCGGTGCCCGCTCTACCTCGCTCTGCGATACCAACCGCCGTCTCTCGGTCCCAGACCCCCGCACCACCCAAACCACCCAAACCCCGCCGCTTATCCCAATCTTCACCCCCAAAAATGGTCCGCTCCCTCTCGGAAGAGAAGCAGGAGATGCATGAGCGTTGGATCCCCCCAACGCAAGAGGACCTTGATGCGTATCCCATTCATCATCCATTGAAGTATTCTTCGACGCGGTATACAAACTCGCGCTTAAGGGATCTCCGCTCACCCTCTCCAGGGTAGTTAATTGACCAAACGCATCTGCTTCTGGAAGCCCAGACATTGCATTGCATTCCATAGGACTCTGTTTACGCTAATACTTGCTGTTAGTTTTTTTCTTCTCATCGTTGCTTTCTTCCAATTTTTAGTATATCTCTTTCTTGCTGTGTTTTTCCTTTTTTTGCTTGTACCCGTCCTGGATCATACATACATATACCTCGTTGCTGGCCTTCGTTCGCTTCTGCACATAGTATTACCATCCGTTTTCACTAATAATCGAATGACTACTTTTATCTTTCCGTACAGTCATTCGTTTTTTTACCTACTTTTTTTTTTACATAACTCTTATCGAGAGCAGCTGCTCTCATTCATCTTCTTCGTTTTTTGGATGTCTTTTTTGTCGTTTCCTTTCACTTTTCCGCAGAAGAAAACGGTAGAGAACGGTCGGAGCGAAAACTTCGTGTAGCCATTATACATATCTCTTTTTTTGCGTATTTTATACGATACGTATCGATTTGAATGACCATTAATGTTTCTATCCATTAGCGCTCCCACAGCCTTGACTTGTGGCGCGGGAAGGGAGATGGACGTGTGATTTGGGAGGAAGCGATGAGGGGAATGCGCGGGAGAATAGCTAGACTAGGATCCAATAGATTTGGCGAAGAGGGGGATATTAAGGAGGTTGTGATATTGGCAAGGCGGGTACGAGAGATAGTACTGTCTAGTCTTCATCCGAAGGCAAAACACAATATCCCAACCCTACCTGCCTATCTCCAAACACGAGGGTTTGGCGAGTCAGATAACCCATATCTCTACATGAGGGTGTCGCCTGTAATACATGTACATGTAAGAAGATTGAAAATTTCCGTCGACGGGATTAATGAAATGGAACCTATACGGTGTAGAAGAGGCCCCGGACGTGGGTGTCAAGTCCTGGGATTCGAACGCCACAGTCGTGTTGAGTCAGGATACATGTGTCGAAGGGTCATTAATGTGGCAGGAAGAGGCAAGTTAGATGTACATATCCAAGTTCAAAAGGAGCACCGGTTATTGGTTGATGGTGACGTCAGAGTAGTAAGGACGATATGCGGATCTCTCATAGATGGTACAGATCTTTCGTGAGTTACAAGTATGGTACAATTTCTTATTTGCTAGTGGTACAGATTGAGATATACGACTTCAAGCTCATCCGGAGGTGGCATGTGCGCCGTCATGTGGGGCCTATGGACCGTTAGACGGGAATGGAAACGGGGAAGGAGAAGAATCAACGTACGCTGGCAGACGAGACGCCGAGCACCTGCGCGATAGCGGTGAATTCGGTAGAGGTCGCTTTGACTTTGCCGGTACAGACTGCTAGATGTCAGCGAGTATTAGAGCAGATACGGGTATAGCTACTGACTGTCGATAACACGCTGCTCGGAGTCGCCGATCTGCGAAGGCGATAGCGGCGTAGGAGATACCTGTGTTCGTGTGGTGAGCAGGTGGAAAGTGAGGTGATGAGGGAGTAGTACGTACCTTTCCTCTCCTTTGCAGCAGCGAGCGCGGCACACTGGGGGTTGGGAGCCATGTTGAGTGAGGGATTGGGAATGATGGGGAAGAGTGTTAAATAGCCTGGGGTCGAGAGGATCTGATGGGTGAAGGTGTGATTGCTTATCGATGGCCTGGGGGCGTGACCAGGCAGAGTATTCGGATCTAGGCCGTGTGTAGGTTACCGGCACGGGAAGTGGGTAAAGACGAGTATCATTCAGCTAGACTGTAAGAATGGATCACGCTGAGAAACAATTGGATTCCATATCCTAAATCTAGGTGACACGGGGTGGTCAAGCGTACATATGCCGGTGGGTGCATGACTGTTACATCGAGGATTCAGGAAGGTATAACGGTTCCGATTTGAATTTGTAGGATGTTATCGATGGCCAATGACAGAGCTTAAATTTCAGTTAGTGACCAAGAGCGGGATAGAGGAAAGGATGTCGGGTGACCAACACTGATGTAAGTACTTTACTTGGCTCTTTCAATACGTCCTACTATGAACTAAGTGGGCGATCTATTCTATGAGCCTTTTCAAGTTCTGACATTCGAGTCTCGACTATGGGTTGTCGTAACAATGATCATCAGGAAGAAAGGGAGGGAGACGAAAGCAAAGATAGAGATGCATGCACGGCAAGTGTAGCGAACAACTTTCGATAAACGTGTTTGTACCTTAGGGTATTAGAAGCAAAAGCGATGATGTCTTGCAGGTAGTCCGCGGGGTTGAATACGCGAGTTTCCAACGTGCTTGTGCAGTTAACGGCAGGCAGCAGTTGAGCTAAACTGCAGGGGTCCACAGGAAAGTCTTGCGTAGTTTAAACTACACCAAGTCAGGAGTTAGGGGCTGAGTAAGATTGATCCCTCATGATCAAATTGATGTCGAGTCCGAGTTATCGTGACCGTAGACATTCAAATCGAGTACACGAGCCAAGCAGAGATAGGAAACTTTCTGATGGATCACGATTACAGCGAGGACGTGTTGCGTACTCCTAGGCTCAGAAATGTGTGATATGTAGAAAGAAACTCAGTGTGGCGTTGGAACAGCCCGAGATGCCGTGCTATAGGCCAGGATGCTCGTTCAAAGTCCAAGGTTTAACCCAGTCTGTCCACGGAAGGAAAGAGACCCTTTTACATTCGCTGATTGAAAGGTAATCCTTGCATCGAGGGTGACAAGTGTACGTAGTCCGAGTCCCGGATATCATCATCGGTGCCATGAGAGATGAAACGGTAATGACTGAGAAATATGGTCTAGAAAAGAGAGACACCTTGAGCAGACAGACATCCGTAGAAGACCTGTCCAGTTTCATAGGAGGAAATGAGAGAATCAGAGAGCTGTGGCCGTAAGGCGCGTTTCCAATCAGAGGCAGGATTGAAAGGGGAGCGACAGGATGGTCAGAGCAGAGCGTCCTGGTGGTCTGGTCGAGCCCTAGAAATGAGCTGTGCATGACAGTAGTAGCACAAAATTACTTCGTCACAGTGAGGGCGAATCGCCAAGGTCGTCGCACTCAGGAGCTCTTGAACGCGCCTCGTGTGCCACATTTAGCTGTTGTGCTTTGTTTGCCATCGCTGTCAAGAGCGCCGAAGAAGTTCTTGCGACTCGTCCCTCAAGCCATCCTCAAGCCCTTCAACTCGTCCATACTAAAAAATGGTATGTCCTATTCTTCCTCTAATGCGGCCGGACTGCGTATGCCTGTATATTTCTTGAATTTTGTGGCATTTTAAAGCTCAGGAAACGATGGATGGCCCGAAAGTAGTTTGGATGACGCTGACTGACCTTTGATATTTCTAGCCTCCCAAGAAAGTCAAGGCACCCAAGGAAGAAGCCACCGTCTCGCTGGGACCTCAGGTCGCTGAGGGCGAGCTCGTTTTCGGTGTTGCACACATCTTCGCCTCTTTCAACGATACTTTTGTCCATGTTACGGATTTGTCGGGGAAGGAAACCATCTCTCGTGTTACCGGTGCGTATTTTTGCATTGTTTTATTGTTCTGATGACTGAAGGCGGTATAGGTGGTATGAAGGTCAAGGCTGACCGTGATGAGTCTTCCCCCTACGCGGCCATGTTGGCGGCCCAAGATGTCGCTGCACGGTGCCGTGAGGTCGGATTCACTGCTCTTCACATCAAGCTCCGTGCGACTGGCGGAACTGGCACCAAGACCCCTGGTCCTGGTGCACAGAGCGCTCTCCGTGCTTTGGCCCGTGCCGGAATGAAGATTGGGCGTATTGAGGATGTCACTCCCTGTACCCACTGACTCCTACCAGGCGCAAGGTCTGTAACAATGATTATTCTCTTTCTTGATGTGTTGCTGACTAGGGGACTGATTAGGGTGGTCGCCGTGGTCGTCGTCTCTGATTGCCTTTGGGCCTTTCGTTGGGTACTACACCTATCAAAATGAGCTGGTTGTTATGATTGTATGTAGATGCTCAATTCATATGTCGCCGTTCGACGCGCATCAGGTTTTCTTTGACCTGCCCCGCGGTCGTCACCTCATACTGTGATGTTTATCGAAAAACTTAAGACTGAAATTGACTGAAAAAAAGAGCCATTAATTATCTCCATGTTTTTATTTGAGTGTCCCTGTGGCTGTACTTTCGGTATTTCTTTTCTTCCTTTCTCACCACTTCTAGGATTCAGCTTTGCAGTGGTGACACGTATGTCAAGAGTTCCGTTGCTGGGGCAGCGGTGGCAACGGTGACGGCGGTGATGTTTTCACATGACTGGGTCTCAGTTTACTTGAACGACGACAACCATGACCTTGAAACTCGTGTATCGCATCCTTCGAAAATTGTCGGACTGGACAGTCGACGGATTCTACTCTGAGGTATACGTCGAAGGCGCAGAGAACGTACCTAAGGATGGACCACTTATCATGTACGTAGACCTCCATATATGCTCCCTTCTTGCTGAGAAGGACTTCACAGTGCCGCGACGCATCACAACGAAATTATCGACGTCGCCGCCCTTGGTGTGTCGCAGAAGTTCTTGCTTTATCGCCGTTGCTGAGCATGTCATTGCAGCTGTAACAATACCCTATCGACGTCACCTCTGTTTCTGGGCAAAATCCACGCTTTTCTCCAACCCCATCTTTGGTTCTATCCTCGCTTCGTCAGGCGCCATCCCGGTTACGCGGAACCCAAACCGCGACGACGGGACCTCCAAGGCGGTGTTATTCCAGTCGACTACGGCAGTAATAGCCAAGGGCGAGGTGGCTGGTGTGTTTTCGGAGGGAGCGAGTTATTCAGAACCTACGATAGTGCAAATCATGAGTGGGACAGCAGTGGGCAGCCGTCGAATATACGAGGTGGTGCAGGGAGCACGCGAAAGACGAGCCTGAGCTGGTCATCGTTCCCGTCGGGCTGGTGTACACGGACAAGGACACGTTTAAGAGCAGGGTGAGTCGCGAAATGCTTCATGTTGGCTGGTAGACTCATTAGGAATCGTAGGCGCGAGTACAGTGCGTTGCGTTCCGGTATTCTGACGCGTGTACTTACACGCGTACACAGTTATGGCCCTCCCATCTCTATGGCAGATTACACCCAAGAACTGTTCGATATATCGCCTGGTGCAGATCCTAATGATGCCGGCTATGCAGTCGTACACAACATATCCAATCGAATAGAGAAAGAGCTTTTTGATATGACCATCAATGCCAATGACTGGTGAGGAATTTCATTCACCTCTACCTACACCCTCACGAGTAACGCTAGGGAGACGTTATTCGCAGCACAAACAGCTCGTGCAGTCCTTTGGGGAGACGATAAAAATGTCGACTTGAAGAACTGGAGAGCAGTTTCACAGACGTAAGCCCTCTTAAGTCTGGGCGAGTATTTCATCTCAGCATTATACAGGCTAGTAGACCTTTTGTCATACCATCCCACCGCAGAACCACCCCCAGAACCCATACGACTTGCCAAAGCCTTCTCTCGTTGAATATTTCTCTCTCCTGCACTTACACTGGTCTCTCCCACGCTATCCTTGAGAGCGTCATTCCTTCTACCTCGCATATTCCGTCAATACTTCCGTCTCTGAAAACTGTACTCCTCTTTCCGGTGGCGATACCAGCGATGCTGCTTCACATCCCAGCATGCATTATGGCTGAGCTCACCCTCAAATTGTTCGCGCAAGAGGATGAGTGGGAAGGGTTTGCACAGTATCGTTCCGTAGGCGGCGGTATTGGGGTGGGTATTGGTGTCGCTACGATGTATCACTGGGCAAATCGTTTTCTGAGGGGAGAGAGAATTTGGCTGTTCCTGCTTTCGAATGGATGAGGCGCGCTGTCAGTGCACGTAACGGGAAGGTCGGGAAGGTCGTATCTTTCCTTGCCTTCGGGTGGACGATGATCAAGTGGTATGGGCTATTTTCTGGAGGTAAGATTGATTTTCACGTCAGTAGCCAGTTTTATATTAATATTTTTCTCCATAGGTATCCATCAAAGGTATGAGATCCTGTTTTTCCTACATGTCGTTGACAGCAGACTTGAAACTAGAGCAAAGACCCTCCTCACGGACAGTGCGGATCGTTCTGGGAATTCTTCTCCCTCCCTCCTCGTCTCTGAAGGCGGAGATATACAAGAAACTCCCACCACCTCCGCCATCTAACGCATTTATCCGCCGGAGGAGAGACGCAGGAGGTTTATCTGCTGAATTCTGGGACAAGAAGGAGAAGGAGGCAGAACAGAGTCGTCCTCCTCCCGTAGCCTCAAGAAAGTTGGTCAGACAATTGTTGGAACAGAGGAAGGAGACGATGGGGCAGTTGAGCAGGACCCTCGTAGAGTTGGAGGGTATGGAAAAGTATTCCGAGAAGATAGGCCGACTAAGGGAGATGGGTGCGAAGATTAATTAAGCAGTTCGGTTCGTCTGTCCCTGGTGTAATGTTTAAACCAAACCGAAACTTGATACCAAGCTGATGTGAACCACCTTTGAAGGTTCCTAAAGCAGGTTGTATTGCGGGGATCGTGGATGTCGAACAATAAGGTGGTGAATTGCGATCAAGGATTCTTTGGTCAGAGGACTCCTCTGATTCTCGGACGGCTCTACTTTTAGGTTTGCTAGCATGCTGCTATCAAGCTAGGTGTGGGTACAGTTCCGCGCGAGAGATCGGTGTATGAGGAGGGCATCCGTGCCTTTCGGGAAAGATTTCTAATGTCTGGTGTGCGTGCATCACCTGCTTTTAATGACCGAAATCTTATCACTAAGAATAGTAACTATTCGTTTTGCCGAGCTATAGTGGTGATTTAATGGCAGTTTCCGTTTATCGCTAGCCGGTGTACGAGCGTACGTGCATGTACTTCGATAGGGTATGAGCATACCCAATCGCTGGTCATCAGTACCAGGCTGTCATGATGTACCTCATCAGATAAATGCACTCGAGATCAGATGCACCAATCCCTCAACATCACTGTCACTGATGGTCATCACAGCAGGTATAGAAATGCTTGATATATTTCCAGTGTAACATACAATCTAATACAGGCTAATACAGGCAATCCGAGTTTTGGCGGTGTCGTCGCAAGCAATGAACAATAAATATTGCTTCTGGCAATATCAGCATCCCCGAAATCGAGAACAGATGTGGAGATCGTTGAGGATCCTTAATTACCTCGATCTAATCTATCTCGATCTACGCGGCAAAATATTCCTCGCTGAAAACCGAACGGTCAGCACCAGGGTGCCCAAGGAGCGAGAATTCGCTTACCGGTCCGGAGGCCGACACGAAGGTGGGCAGCAGGTTAAGTATAACATGGTATAGAACAAACAGCTAAGGAACGCGCATCGTCCAAATTTCTTGACCGATTTCAGGCAGAACTTGGTCTAACTTGGTAAGAATGACTCTGTGTAAGTGGGTGCCGCCGTTCAAGCATGAACTTAGCGTCGGGTCAACTTCTTCCGTCACACTGCCACGCTGCTCTCCTTTCTATCTCAATCATCATGTCGAATTCAACTTGCTCAGACTCCGACTCAAGCGCCTCTTCCATGACCTCAGGGTCAGATTCGCTCTCTCGCTCTAATTCTGAATCGGCGGCTTCATCCGCGCCGGAAGAGCACCTAATCTCGGTTGACTATTACAATTGGGGGGTATGTACCCCTAGCTCAAATTATCTATGCTAGATTCTGATGGAGTCATCTTCGCAGCTTCGCATTTTCGCAGCCCGGCCTAAGATACCTTTGGAAATCTTTGACCCCTCGGTAAGACCCATGTATTTCTGCTCTCAAAGGTGTGGGCTGATAAGATATCGCTCCAGGTGGATCGCTCAATTCGGGATGCCCGCGAGAAAGAATATGCAGCTGAGGCAGAGGCCGCGATGAAGGAGGTGCTCGCAGAATACAAGATATGGCTAGAAGAACATGATCATGAACTATGTATGTCTTGATTGATCATATTCAACTCTATCTAATATTCAGTTGATTAGGGGAATGGTACATGAGTTGTCGAGGAGATGAAGAACCAGACTTGACTTTTGAAGAACTGTGATGCCTTTCTCTGTTACATTCAATTGTACATTAATTCCACAGCATACATCAATTTAGAATTGTCACGTCTTCGCGTACCCCTCTTTAACACGCTGATGCCCCCTATGCAGATGCATGTGTAGCAGCAGTGTCCTCTGGAGCAGGCTTGCTTGCCCCGTATCTTGAGCGGGAGTGCATAGGGTGGCGATACTGAGAATGTTCAAGCGGTTCAGTGGGTTGATGGGTGCGTATGTCTCTCCGCTTTTCTTTTCTTCCTTTGCTGACTAGGCATCCCATTCAGTTCGATTCCTCCGCGAACTATTTATTCGTTATGTCAATGGTCCAGAGAAGCTGTCAAAAGGTCATTAAAAAAACCGCTATCGACTATGTCCCACTCGATATCATTAAATTAACGCTGTAGGGCGATGCCAAACCGCTGTTCAAGACCCCTCCAATATATGGGTGATCACCAAGCAATGACCAAGTATGAAACGGGACAGCAGAGATTTTCGGACAACCCTGACATCGGTGGTTGACCCTGTGAATCTCAGCGGAACCGCTCTAGATGACCACTCGCAATCTGCCTACTGTGATAGATTCTCCACTTTCAGATTAGCGTGCGTACATTCAAATCTTAAACGCATAAAACCCTGAAAAACCCTGAAATTTCGTATGTACTAGGCATTGAACACCGGTAGATACTGATCCAAAGGAGAGGAATGGAACGAGGGCATTTGTCCTAGGGTCGCGACATATTCAACATTACTGAAAGCGAATGAAACCTTGGAACGCAAAATCTCACCTCAACCCTACGACTACGTTCCAACTGTCATCTCTCATACGGAGGCGCACTTATTCACTGTAAAACGAACAGTCAGGTTTGGGGCATTCAAGATAGTGATGTTCAGCAACTCACAGGAGGGAGAGGGTGATGTCGCCGTTAACCTTGGCCTGGATGGCAATCTCCACCTCGAGGTTCAGGTCCAAACGGAGCTTCAAAGCTTCCTTGGGTGCGACGGCGCCCTTGTTGGAGCGTCCGACGAGTTGTCCACCAGCGACGGAGGAGGTTTCAGCAGGAAGAGAATTTGGTAGCGGTTTCGGGGGCAGACATGTTGGTGCTGAGGATCCTTGCAGAGATTCCACTCCTTTATATGATTCGAGCGGGGGTACGGGTAACGTTATGTTCGCTGTCCGTTTGCCGTCGGATGCTCGATCATAACGACTGCCTGGATGGCCTCGAAGGTGAAGAAGCTTTCCTCACACCAACCAGTCCTGTTTCGTAATCGACTCTTCCTTCGGGAGAAGGTGATTCATGAACGATGATATGACGGTGTCGGATGCAGATGAACATGAACACGTCTGGAAGAGACTCTCACAGTGCCGCGGTAAAATTATACAGTGGGCGATTGTGGGTCCAGGCTGATCGTGAGAATGACGACTTCACTTTCTTGTGACTTGTCACAACATCCTTCATTGTTTCCCACCACTCGCAGCCTTTTCCTCGTCCCGCCACCGGTGGCTTAGCTCGTGCCCGATTGTTGTCAATTCTCACAGAACACCAGCAACGACCTTGACTACCAGAAAAATATTCCGGAAGATGTCAAGCAGCCCTGAGTCTGGACCAGACCTTTTTTTTTGCAGAGGCGTGATGAGAGGGATGTTCCCTACGCCTAGAAGATCCGGATTTTTGACTCGTGAGCCTCAGTTTTGCCTTGAGGCTTGTAAAATTTCAATGGTTTCTTCTAGTTACGACATTGCTTTTCTCGTAAAGGCGGAGGCTCGGAATTTATCAACGCCACTATGCTCATGCGCTTGTGTCTTACGATGCGTTGGCGGCGATGGAATTACGGACAAATTGCGTGACCACAGAGTTCGGCGGTTTCGTGGACCACGATGAGTACGAATGCGAATAACGCACTTCATGGCACCGAATCTAGCTGGTCATAGTACTAAGATCTCTATCTGTAGTGCCCATGATCGCCATGACTAGGTGACGTTTGACATGGATACCGTATACAACCACGAACTTGTTATTTACAGACCCCAGCGTTAGTGAATTGAACCGCCACGAAATGTATCTAAGACTAGACAGATGATTGACGGTTAACCCCAACGTCGACGCTAAACTCAGGTCAGCAGTTGGAACTCATGAGATGCTACTTACTTATCTTCATCACTTAACTGCATGTAATTCATGGATTGTCAGTAAACTTAACTCCACGATTGGAGAACATAGTCTTTATACGACGCAACTGGGCGTGTTAGTTAACCAACAGACCCTGGGTAGGACATTACACATCCTAACCTTCTTATGAACTGCTGCAGTTCCTCCCTCCGGGCTACCAACATGGATGTCACCCGGATTGCAGGTATGATCATTGCGCTGGGTTGGCTAGTCACGAAGTCCTTGGCCATAACGCAGCTATTCAGATACCACAGAATTCTGTTGCTCGTTTTTTTTTTCATCAGATAATCCGAGTCTTCAGCTCGATATACACTGACCGACAAAAATAAAGAAACACGTGGTTTTTTTGATTGGAGTCGCAATAGCTCCTCAACGCTGCGATATTTTTTCAGACTTTCAGTGAGAGAAATGTAGCTTAATTGATGTAGTTTATTGTTAGAAAAAGAATGAGGTACATACATGAAAAAAACGGTGAGATATAAATATATTAGCCAAGAGTGTCATTTTTAGCAGTGTAAGTAAAATGAGAAAGCAAGATAATTGACCTGATGAAAAGTCCAACAACCTAATATCTAGTATGCCTGCCCTTTGCCAATATCAAGGACCTCACACATGATGGGATACTACCATATAATGCATCGCAATACTCTTTTCCAAGTGCAGCCCACTCCTCCTGCAGAACGGCAAATAATGTGGCAGTTGTTGTTGGGTGATGTGGTCTGTTGTTCAGACGATGTTCGAGAGTAGCCCAAGCATTCTCTATGATGCTTTGGTCAGGGCTGTTTGGCAGCCAGTCCATTACAGAGATGTTTTGGTTGGCGAGCCACTTTTTCGTAAGCCGAGCTGTGTGCTTGGGGTCATTATCCTGCTGAAAAAGGACATCATTGACTGAGAGTTCATAGTCCTGGAGGGTGCTGAGAAGTCCTTCATTAAGTATCTGGCAGTACTGGACAGCATTCATAGTGCCTTCCACCAAAATCAGCTGTCCGAAGCCCAAACTTGTCATGCATCCCCAGACCATCACCCCCCCACCTCCATGCTTCAACTGGGGCAACACATTATGCACATCTAGTGCCTCACCAGGACCCCTATGACACCACTGCACTCCATCCGACCCAAAGAAGTTGAATTTGGACTCATCTGAGTAGAGCACAGTATCCCATTTTTCTGCTCCCCATTCTGCATGTGCCTCTGCCCACACCCTTCGCTTCCTAACATGAGCCTTCATGAGCATTGGTACCTTCCACCTCTTGTAACCCTTCAGGCCCTCATCTGAAAGCCTACGCTGCACAGTATGCTCCAAAAGATGGTTGAAATACCCCCGTTGAATGTCAACCACTGTCTGGCAGTCATGACTATGGATTTTTCGCATGGCAAATTTAATATCTGTATCATCCATCTTGCATGGGTGGCCTTGCCCTTTGATGCGAGCATAGTAGTTCTCCTTCCCTTCATATTTGTGGCCAGTTTTGCAGACAGTAGAGCATGAACATCCAACGACATTGCTGATTTGAGTGCAGGTGTGGCCTTCATTGAGGAGAGTGCAAATGCGGGCTGCTTTTGTAGGGGTAATAGGCACATTTGGTTTGCGAGGAGGAGGTGAATACAAGATAGGAATTTCAGTGCAATCAGCCCTGGTGGTGGTTCAGATTCAAGCTGATTCTGACGTTGATGTGATGCCATTACATCATCAAAATTGGCATGTGGTTTCACAGCCCTCTTACTTTGCTCACTGACTAGTATTTTTGTCTCATTCTTTTCATGATATTAAACTACAGATATCAAGCTACATTACTCTCACTGGAAGTCCAAAAAAATATCACAGTGTTGAGGAGCTATTGTGACTCCAATCAAAAAAACCACACGTTTCTTTATTTTTGTCAGTCAGTGTAAGGCGGTGAATGTGATAATAGTAGGGCCGAGCCCAATGATCGCAATTCTAAGAAATAGGCCGTTCTTTATTGCAAAGGATCCGATAGACCATACCAGGATGAGGAAGCAGACCGGAAACACTGCAAGCCCGGTTATATCCTCATTGGTGTTACTTATAGTTAAGAGAGCTGACGCTGCCAAGTATTTGAAATCGGGAACGTCAAACCCTAACCTCAACGCGGTCACATGTTTGAGGTGCTTACCAAGACACGCGCTTCTAGAATTGCTATTTCCACTCCTTGCCTTCTTACCACCATCTACGACTGGCTCGTAGTACTTCTCTCCCATTTGCTCCCATATATCTGCATATATTCACCATTTCATTCTCTTCTACATCTTCTCTCACCATGTCTGCTTGCAATCATGCCATTTATTCTGCAAGGTCGACTATAGAGGCTAGTTGCCTTCTCTCCCATGACATACCCTAACTAACCCCTTTTACTAGTCTCTCTTTTCCTTCAAGGCAGTCGTTGGCCTTGGTTCCACATTCCCCTTCAACCTTTCTACTCGTGAAGAGACCCAAATCCCTGTCGCCACTCCACCCATATCACGCTCCAGAGCCAAATTCTGCCTCAATTCATCTTCTTCCGACTCTCTACCTTCTGCTTCATCCCCCGTTTCTCCACGTTTACTCCGTCGTCCTTCGAAGTCAAGTAAGTCGTTTCGTATCAGGAGCAATTGTGGCCTTACCAACGGTACCCCGCTAGGGCTGTACAAAGGGATAGGCTTAGGTCACCCGACTTCCAAAGGCGCACCTCTTGATGAAGGCATGAATTTTACATAATGATGCTTGTCATCTTCTGACCGAAGGACTTACAGTGGCTATGCCTGCGTCGAAATGCGGGGGCGTCTCAGACACTGGTGTGTTTACTATGACATCTGGAGGAAAAGTGGCCTCTTCCATTAGAGGTACGTCTGTGTCGATCAACAACCCTTCAACGTCTGACGATGGCTGTAGCTTCAGGTTCTGATCTTGAACGGTACACCGGACTGGGTCTCGGCGCCCCCCCTACGAAGAGTAGAGGCGTTACTCGTGGCGACTTCGGTGCCTCTCCACGACGTAACGAGAGCAACGCTATACCGGACGTGCCATCCACTTTTCCTGCAGAGCTTCGGCGAATTTCTCCCACAAGCTCTGTAACGAAACGACACTCTTGTAAAGATCCAGCTGGCCTGACTTTCGGGCATCCCTGCATCCATCATCCCTCCGCACTCCATCGCCACCGCCACCATCACAGCCGTCCGGAATGGGCATGCTCACGTCCTCGCTATCCATTTCTTCTGAACTCTGTCGTCTCACATCCCAAAGTTCACCGCAACCCCCACGACAGTCACAGCCTCAGCCTCGTGCTCGCGCTCGTCGTCTTTTCTCATCGAAAATGGCGTTCGTTACCCTTTCCAAGTTCTCGAAGAGGTCACTCTACACCATTCCAGAGTCGTCAACAGGTTCGCCGGATCAGGACCATAGTAGTTTTATTAGGAGGGAAGAGCGGTGTAGGGATGGAAAGGCTTTGGAAGGGAGGGTGGTTCCCTCATTTGGGCAGACATTATTTTGAGAAGATCGAGTTATATCACACCTACAAAAACATAGGAAAACACCAGAAAAACACACACATACGATTTACTTATTTACTTATACATACATATACATTTTCTTCATCTCTTACGCATTACCAATGGTCACTGGTAAATTATACCGTGAGGATATTATAGTCCCATGCTTGGGCATGGGAACGTGGTGTCGGCCGACGCAGAACAATTGTTTGGAGAGTTCATATTACTTTTCATGCTACTATACTTTGAAAAAATTTGTGAACTGACAGTGAGCCTCAATGATAATTTTCTACATATGGTACATACTATTAATACACATCCGAGAGACTAAAAAAACATACTAATGGAGAGACATGGTGCATATGACAAGAGATAAGTAGCATATGAGGTCTGGTTGGATAAATAAGCTACAGAATCGGATTAGAACGACCCAAACAAGTTAAAAAATGCGGACACCGGCTCCATCGTTTATGATAGAAGACAAAGTTAAGGAGGGGAGGTCCGGAAGGAGCGAGGAATAATTCATGGGGTCGTCAGCGGCATGATAACCCAGGTCCGGGCCAGATCCCCATTCATTGTAAAGGCTTCCATCAAGTTGATCAGTAATCATGTCGAGGTGAGAAGGCTGTAAGTGGTCATAAGCAAGCTTGTTCTCGTAGTGGAGATAGAATCATGACGAACATCAGGACGATATAACCTCGCCAAGAACTAGCCAAGGTCTTCGTTTTCATTCATAGTGCCGAGCCCCCAGTCTGAAGAGTATCAAGCTCGACGGAGGGCAACGAAGCAGGAGGTGTAGGATGATAAAGGCTCGGCGCCAGGTACATAGCCTGGATGGGGGAGATTTCCTTCTCGTTCCCGTTTGCCATGAAAGGTTGAGTTGGTTCGCTGATGGGAGACGAAACCTGGACTGTAGACTGAAGAACCTCAGGCGCCGTGGGGACTGAGCTCGGAGGAGCGTGGCAGAACCTCTGCGCATCCAGACTGATTTGGGTTTGCGACGCGTTAATCTTCATGCGTCCATGCGCTTTCTTCCCACCTTTGGAGCGGCGAGGGCTGTATTTATATCCAGGATGTTTGCGGGCATGCTCTTCCTTCCTGCGCCTGGCGAGATCCCTGTAGTGGGCCTTTCTCTTCTCGGGAAGCTCCTTCCACGCTGCGGCAGCCGATATGCTGGCTTTTGTTTGTTCCCGTGAGAGAAACTTCCCGTCAAGGGACAGAAATTCCGATCGGAATATAAAGAAGCAGTTCGATGGACGGGGTATGTGAGGTTCATCCGACTGGGTGGTAGGAAGATGGAGCTGGGGAAGACGCATAGGAAGAAATGGGCGTGGACGCATCCGTAGACGGAGTTCCAGCTTGGGAGCCATTGAATTCCAATTCAAAGCCTTGGAAGAGAAGTCAGTAAGAGAGATCGTACAGTGATCGAGCAGTACTGACTGTACGCGGACAGAGTGTGAGCCATAAGGACGCGATTTTTCGGGGTCAACGAGGAAGATAAGGTGCTGCAGGTGTATAGGACGTATCCCTGGTGGTAGAACTGGTCAAGTTGCGTTGGGGGGGCCCTCATTTTTCGCGGTCCTTTGACACCATCTTGGCAGGTTACTAGGTATTCCCTTTTATGGGTCGTTAGTAGTACGTGAGAGAGATGTGTCAAGGAGGACCCAATTCGTGTCTGCGCTTCCACGCAAAATTCTTCTCGGCTTTAAGAAGGCATTCCATTTTTGGCCTCGGATTTGCTACCAGATCTCGAGCCTTTGTCCTTCCTTTGTCTCCGATCCCCTTATAGACATTTCATCCGGATTTATAGTCTTTACCTTGGAATACATACCACAACCGTCGTTAAAGCTTAAGTGCGAAGACTTTCTCGATCTACCTCTGGTAGCAACGGTATTACATCCGATGACGAAGAGATTTCCCTGACGCAGCAACTTGAGTCGATTAACGAAGAGATGAAGGTCCTCGCTGAGAAACACGCAGATATACAGAAGAAGCTCAAAGATGAGGGTGCCTCAAATATCCCCGAGCCTGAATTTGGTGTGTTCTTTTCTCCGTTGGGTCTTCTCCTTCGCTAACGCGCGTCGGTAAACAGTTCCTCAGAACAGACTGAGAGCCTGCGAGCTAGAGATCGAGACAGAGAGGAAGAAGAGGATTGAGCGTGAAACAGTGTTGATGGACATTCGGCGGGAGTGTAGAGGTCCTTTCATCGTTCTGGCACTGCTGGATGCGTTCATTGATGTCTCGAAATCGACTACGGCTGCGGTGGATTTGCTCGACGCTGTAAAGTAACTATATCACGGACTTTCAAACTTAAGCATAGGCACCACGCCTATGTTAATAGTATAATGTAGCCATTCGTCACGTCAGGGATGACTTTACATGTGTCTAGTATGTGTTTGAGCAGTGCATAATAGTCATATTATAGTAGAACAAGTGGAAACAGGTACGCGAACACAGCCATGAAGGTCTTCTGCTCGAAAGGTGACTATTTAGTCTTGAAGGTGCGAGTCAAAGAATTCGGCTGTTGACATTTACGCTCTATAAGATAGGAAATACATCAAATAACGAGCATACGCACACAGAGACAACGCTGATCGCTTGAATGTTCGCTCCAGTGTCGTGTAGTTGACGTATTGAATTCCGAACCTAATTACATTGTAATTGAATGCGGGAGTAGAAAAGATTGCGACTTACCGAGCAGATAGGCCACTGGCCCATTCCGCATTGTCAACCATGGCTATGAATGGTCAGCATCTGGTATGTTAGCGGATGGTCATCGTGATCTTACCCCAAGCAAAAACACCTTTGATAGGAACACCGTCTTCCTGAATCGACAACAGGATTTCACCGAGATACGTGAGGAAGTAGTCTAGGAAATCGATCATTCAATTTCCTTGAAACGTCCTTATAAAATATTTCTTGCATACTTGTTCGAGAAAGGTCTTCCTTGATGCGATACAGATCAGTCCACTCGTTTTCGAAAGGTTCCGCAAACCCAATCTCGGAAACATACTTTCAAAACAAGTTGAATACGGGCTGAAGAACTGAGTATTGAAGAGCTTACGAGTTTATTCGTGGGCCATCGCTTATGAACTTCCTGTAGCAAAGCACGGACATTTACTGGAGTTGCCTGAAGCCAGGATGCCAACGGATCTGCAGAGGGCCCTGCAGCCCAGCCATACCCAGAGTCATAAAACACCGGGTCGTTGCAGACTGGCCATAGTGGGTGCGAAGTATTGGCAACGCAAGCATCGATACCTTCTGGCGGCGCTCGAATGAACTGCGAACGGTAGCAATCGATGGCGTAGAAGTCCGCTGAACCTAGAATATCTTTCTTTTCTTCTTCCGTAAAGCGTGGGAGATATTCGGGGGACAGTGTGTCGGTTAAGATCTCAGGCCAGTCACCGGTAGTGTATATCGGGTCGGAAAAGACACCAATTTGAAATGCTGCATGACGTTCGACAGCGAGTGCGTCCTCGGAAGAATTACTTCTCCATGGAGTACCTCTAGATAAATTTGCTTTTAGTGCTTGTTAAGTCGAAAGAACAAGGCGCGCTATACTCACATGTAATCGTCGTTCTTGAGAGCAATTTCCCCGGATATGCCCATCTCTCGGAATGCTGCAATGCATCTTTAGAATAACTCGATACGGGTAAGGATGGATAAAAACCTTTCACGGCTGCAGCATGTGCTTTCACTGTGAATAGAGAATTCATTGCAAGGAAGCAGGAACGAAGAGGAATAAACGTACGCAGATTATACGAACACTGGTATGGGGCCATTGATGCATTGACGCCTGGAGCGAGCGTTGTATCTATTCTTGCGGTCAGTCCATGAATTTGACATGCTTTTTTTCATAGAACTCACTGAAGGGGTAAGAGCCAACTTGACCGCAATAAACGCGGGGTTCATTGAAAGTATACCTATATTTTGTGAGCTAACGTCCAGGCAAAAGATTATAACGCCCTTCACCATGTCTTGACACGTCCATTGTATGCTTGGAAGATGGTTTTGGCATAGCTAGTAGCGTCTTTAGCTGATGAATAAATAGCGTATCACGGTAAAACATACTTAACGAAATCGTCCACGATATTCGGGGATGTGAAACCACCGTAAAAAGATTGGAGAGCGAGGGGGAGGTCCCAGTGGACTGTTGCCATACATTGAAGATACATCAGTGATAATGAAGAGGAACGACTCACATAACGTTACGACAGGCTCGACTCCATGAGCCAAATGATAATCAATCACTGTTTCAACTATCAGTACGACATCCTGCTTTCAAGAAAGGACATACCGTCAGAATAGTGCGCTATACCGGCAGGGTTGAGGGGCGAGTCCGCTGCACCGAAAGGGTATATCCTCGCCCACGATATGCTGGTAACTAGTCAGAGCTGTAGATGCTACGATACCCGCAATACTCACGAGAATGAATGAGCTTTGACTCCGAGTGCAGCAGATCGCTCGATATCTTCTTTGTACAAGAAGTATTGAAGGTCGACAACGTCCGCTATTGGGACCAAGTCAGCATTACGAATGAGAAAATACTCAAACTCAAGTCAGAATCTCGCCTGTGGTATTATCAGCGATCGCGTTCGGTTGCCTCGATGCCCAATCCCACATTGTTGGACCCTTGCCCTCATTCTTGGTCGCCCCTTCGACCTGATACGCGGCGGTGTCGACACCGAATGCGAACCCTTTTGGGAACTTCAAGCCGGGAAGGACGTCTTTCGGAGCGGGGGCATAGAATGATGGATACAAAGGTGGGGGAGAGGGAGGTAACGTAACGGATGCAGTGGGAACTCGAGTCGTAGTGAACGGTGGGGGCTCTACTGGTCCCACCTGAAATAGGTACTGTTATGTAGTGAATTTTTCCTAGGTGGAATGGCGTACTTACCACATCCCAGAGTCTTTCGAGACCTTCGGGCGAATAGTCACGGGGAATAGAGCCAACTGGAGGGAAACTAGTTGGAGTTGTAGCGGCTGTGGGGACAGCAGAATCTGAGGGTGAAGTAGTAGTAATAGTGGTACTTGGAGTGCTAGTACCCACAGCCGCAGTCGATGTCGCTGATACTTCACCAAAGTCCTTACTGAAGGTAAGGACCGCAAGGAGAAGCGAGAGTGAGGATATACCAATGCACATATTGGTTAAAAGTAAGTCCAGCGGGCTTGAGAGGTTCCTGCACCACAGACTATATAGTCCAAGTGTCGCAAAGATCCATATAGCGGTCCGACATGGACGGGTATCTTGTACTACTACTTCCGCTCGGCTGCGAGTAGCATCAAGGTAAGCTGCCGGATTTTATGCATTGTCAGCGCGACAATAGAGCATTGGAATGCCAGGCTTAGCGGCGAGACCTCCAAGAATGCTTGATGCTCGCTCCTTTTTGCTTACATTGCTCGAAAAGACAGGAATGACTCATCGCTACACGGTACAGTGAGGCCGCCCAGTGCTGGATTGCTCTGGAATGCAAGGAAAAACAGTATCGAGCCTAGGAGCGGATGGTATTAATTCTGTGACGCCGGTGTTTACGGAAGTGCAGGAATATCGAATAGGTACCTGATGATATATGATGGGCCGTCATTCCGCCTATGCCCGTAATAAAGTTCCGAGTCCTGAGTATACAGGATGAGTCGGTCTATAACCTGAGCATCTCGGTGGCGGTGCGTGGGTGATAGTCCGACAATTTACCGTGCCGTGCATGCCATAGTCGCCCGAGTCGCCCACGGTAATGTCACACGTCGCACTTGTTACACGTTCTTTTTTGAGCGTTGATTACGGGTACGGGGGGTACGGTAGGTACGGTACTGGTATTGATTACTCTTCCTCAGCCATCTCTTTACTAAATGAGGCTACGTGCACACGTGAGATACATGGATACTCTGCTAGCCAAACCCTTTCACCGGACTGACAGCACCCTCAAAGTGTGCTTCCCAGCTGAGCAGTGCACTGGTGGTGATGTTCCCTCTTGCGCGCGGCGCCGTAGCTCCCGTGGAGACCAACCACCCTCTCTTCCTCGTCTCGTCGACTTGATTCGCCTGGAGTTCCCATAAATTTCGAGAGTGCAAATGCCTTCAGCATTTGTTTATATTACGGTCCAGATGCCCTTGCGTGTGATATCGAAGAACGGTATCCAGAAACTGTGTCTCGTATTGTAGGCCTCGGCAGCGGACTTGAATTTGAGTGGAAGTGAAGTTGATGCCTATGGACCGTGACAAGATGAGGATTGGGGACTAAGGCTAAGGAGACGGAATACAATTACTATTCTGTTCTATTCTAACTTTATCGTGTTGTCATTGCATCGAATATGAACCTTGTGCCACACCCATGCAGAGCAGCCCACTCCAACTTCAGGGCTTGGATATGCCACTCCCTGTAATGGCCCACCCCTTCATAAATTCGATATCATGGTTTTGAATATTCTGGGATCCGAGTCGAGTCCGAAGAAGGAAAATCGGGGCACCACGACGTTGGTCCTCGTTGGACTCAGTTCAAGTTAGCCTGACAAGTCCCGGCTTTATTATATACTCGCGGAACTCGTATCCATTTAACTTTTGTAAGTTCAAGCTCGCGCCGGGGTCACGTGCGTTTCCCGGGCCGATTCGAGCGTCTTGTGAAATTGTTGACATTGCGACATTTTTTGGTCTCACCCTAATTATGTCCTTTCGTGAGATAAATCCCCCCTCGAGGTATGCCTGACATCTGTATATGTATCCTCAATTACCGCTCACCCAGCGCCATCGAAGATAAAACAGCTTTATCTTTCATCATTGCACATGGCCGGTCAGGGTGGGGGAAGATGTCGTTCCGTGTTTTTAACCGTCAAGATCACCTACTACCGCGGCAAAGAAAAGATTGTTGCTCCTGATAACCTCGAGATTGCTTGTCAAGTTGCCCGAGAGGACTCGAAGACCCTCAGTCTTCCACCGCCTTCGTATAGTAGCGTTTATGTCACTGGCCCTGGTGTCGCGGAGTTCCGCTGGTCGAGCTATGTGGACAGTGTAGGTGAACGTCTCCGACTAAGTGAACATGATATCATGGTATTCTTCTTATTTAGGATTTGCACAAAATTTTGAGGCGAAGAATCAATGGAGATCTTTTGATTCCTAATTCAGTACTCAACAAAGCATCTATGTAAGTGCGAGCCTCTAAAAATATCAGTGCATGCTTATTTGTGGTCCTGCATCAAGCAAGAGCATCGAACTTTATGAAGAGTAGGTCCTACTTAGCTTTCTCGTTCAAAGTAGTTGTTGCTAACTTAGTATTTATTTATCTTCAGAATCGACGGAACAAGGCCGGATGCAGACGGATACAACGAATCCCATCCTGCCGCTCCATATCAGGTCACGGTACAGGGAAATGGACTAAATCATCCCGATCCGAGGACAGGAAATCAGGCAGCTCCTTCTATTAGTCAGGGATTTGTCCTCGCGGTACCAGTACGTCAGCAATCATCTTTTCCTCAGCAACATCAAGTCCGGCCAGCCGCAGCTTCTACATTTCCCGACCGGCTTTCTGGCATCTTGAACAGGGGCAGAGAAGCTCTTAAAGCTCTTGATCGAGTAACAATGACATCTACGGCTTCACCAATGGTCTCCACAGAATCCAGGCACGAAAATAATCTTATCACAAATACGAATGCAATAGCTTCAGCTCTACCTCCCGTAGATCCACTGGAGTCAGTAAGGATCTCTCAATCTATCGAATCTGGAAGTTTCTCTGCTGTAGAAAATCGCGATGGTGATGTTTCCTCCGACACTGCAATAGCAGAAACATCGGGGGTGGGCGACGCCGGTATGAATGTCGTCGTTTCATCTTCTTTGAGCGATGAGGAAGAGGACTCCATTGCAAAGGTGATAGAAGATTTATTTGGGGAGGAGGCTTCCGAGCCAGATTCAAGACATGCAACCCCCAGTCTTCTTAATTTGCACGAAGCGTTTCCTCTGCACATGTCCCCCCTTCCATCTGTATCGAATGCCGAGACAAAGAAAGATTCCAATGACCGTGCACGGACCGGCTCTCCGTCTAACCATTCCATTGGGTCAACGCCTCCATGTAACCGTTCTGCCTCTATCCGTTTCACCCCGCCTCCCCCACGCGCCTCCTCTCACGATCAACATTCCATTCGGTCTACGCCACCGCGCAGTCCCTCACCCCACCCTCAGCCTGTATCAATTGAGGAGAAGCCATCGCCAGTATCTCCACCTGTCAAGACATCCGTGCACACGAAGACTTCTCCCGTATTCCTTGCTTCAAGTCCACCTCCAGGACTGAATTATGAAGAACGCGGCGATGAAGTAAGTGAAAGCGGATATGTATCAAAGAGAACTAGATGCTGATTCTATCATTGATCAGGACGGGAACGTGTTCAACGTAAGTTTTAGGGTCTTCCTCCCTTCTTCAACCTGACCTTTGCCGTCTCGTGGATTGTATCCCCACCCCAGCAAGGTAACGTAGAGGAGGTATCAATGGTCAGTGTATTCATTAATTGATCACCTTCCTGTTCATTAGCTCATTCATAGTTTGTAGAACCTGGAAACCCCGAGCACACTAGCATTACGAACACCACCTGTCAATGCTGTGGTAGGTCTTAATTCCAATGTTCTTGTATTTACACTGACACTGGTGTAAGACTGGCAAGCGATCTACAAGTTTACGTTCCGTTTCTCCTCCCCCTCCAGCCAAAAGAGTAATGCGAGGTGCTAGCCCCTCTGACAAACGAGCTGAATCCGAGGCATTGAGAGAATACAATGAACGATCTGAAGAACTCTTTACCATGGTCACCAACCTAACCAAACAAGAAGAATCACTGAGACGCTTAGGTGTTCCTCTTCCCGAACGCGATCCCACTGCAGATAATTTTGGTACGTATATTTTCATGTCGTGGATCTGCGGATCGTTATACTTCTTTCTCAGTGATGCGAGTCCAACTGAGAAAAGTGGAAGCGGAGCTGGAAGCTGAACGTATGCGAAGTCGGGAACTTGAATTAAATTTGAGTGACATTAGGCGGGAGTGCAAACAGCCATTCTTCGTTCCTTCGTTGTTCGACGCTTTTCTTCAAATTTCGAAGCTTACCACAGCGGCTACTGAACATATTCCATGACATGTCATTAATGAACTTCAAGGTCATTTCTTCTGTTTTGTGACAATTATTATATGCTTTGTTGTATTACTGTAGCAACTTGTAGCTATATGAATAATTTCGAAGTGAGTACACGCTCGTTCAGCCGAAATTTTGTACCCTATTGTATTTAATATTAAATTAGAATTAATTACTCCAATAGTTTCTTTCCCCTTACCATCGCCACTACCATCATCATCACGAATGGCGGCCCTGCTGCGTCCGGTTAAACATAAGTTTAATCCCTTTATCGTTGCAAGCTGCCTTTTGCCTGCCTGACAGTTCGAAATTCGGCAACGACATGTGGCGGAATACCGTGATCAGTGACGTCTATTCTCGCTATCTCGAGTAACTTTTGTTTGTAACCGCCATGGCGGACGAGAAATCCTTCTATAATGACAGCAAAACGATACCGGCACCAGCAACGACGTCGGACAAATGTTTTACCGCGTAGAGGGAGCATTGTCAAGCTAGTTCTTGCTCTTGGTATCGTGGTTGTGGCCCTTCGTTTTGTTCTGCGGTCATCGTATGTGCTCGACGCTGTCTTGCTGGATGAGCATCCCAAGAAATATAAGCCTCTGGTTGGGAAGCGGGCGGAGAATGTCTTTCTGTACGTATTGTTGTTCGTTTATCACCAGCGGTTTCTTATGCTAGAACGTTTGCAGGTCTGTACCAAACGAGGAGGTGTGCATAGCGACGTCGCAGCACTATACAGCGAAACCCCATCTGGCGGGTTCAGAAATCGACTTGTCTACCGCAAAAGACTTCTTGCATTTTCTGCAGACCGAGCTTGGTGTCAAACCTCCCGCAGAGGATCCCATTTACCCGGCCGGGTCCCCAGAATCTCAGAGAGCCACGCTGTCCCTTCCGAAAACACATACGGCACAGGCTTGGATTGATGTTTACTACCCGGTCATGAATACACCGCTTGATCGTGTTGTGCAGGCATTGGATCAAGAGGACAACGTTATTTGGGCCGCGGATCTTACGGAACACACTGATGACACTGACCCAGAGGCAGGCGAGTACTACGATTTTGTGCCTACCTTCCACGGATTGAGCAAGGGTGGTGATGTTACGGGAAAGGTGAGCCGTCTTTGCATAATCCTCCATGTGCCGCAACTGATCGTGTTTCATGCCAGCTTGTCTACGCGAACTACGGCTTGAAAGAGGTAAGCAGCTCCCCAGCTATGAAACCCCCTGCTTTTCCATTGGTACGCTGCTAGGATTATGATGCACTTATTGCGAAAGGCAGGTTCAGTGCTTCTGTCGTGCTTTTGCGCCATTTATAAGTTATCCTAGGCGTCAATCTTACTGGTTCCATTATTTTGGCCAGATATGGTGGCAATTTCCGTGGACTCAAGGTCAAAGGCGCACAAGAGGTTGGCGCTGTTGGTATTCTCATATATAGCGACACTCGCGACGACGGGGCTGTAACTGTGGAGAATGGCTACAAGCCGTACCCCGATGGGCCCGCTCGAAGTCCCACCTCGGTTCAACGTGGCAGCGTGCAGTTCATTAGCATGTACCCTGGTGATCCAACAACTCCAGGATATCCTTCGTATGAAAATGTCACGCGTATGGAGGCGCTCAACAGTCCTTCGATACCTAGTCTGCCTTTCTCTTGGGCTAATGCTCAAAAACTCCTGGAGCTCTCTGAGAAGGGAGAAATCAATGTCAGGCTGGTCAACCATGGTGAGCTTATTGCTTCTCATTATGCATCGAATCGCTAATCTAAATGAACGTCAGTTGATGATAAGGTTATTCCAATTTGGAATACGATGGCCGTTATTCCGGGCTACATCACTGACGAGATTGTGGTTGTTGGAAATCATAGAGACGGTAGGTATTATTTCTTTTTTGGTAACCTTTCATGTGTCTGAGTTAGTCTTATAGCTTGGGTATGAATTCCCTAATCGCTTTTTGTGGCTTTCTCTCACTTCAATCATGGGAACCAGGTTATGGGCGCAGCAGATCCCACCAGTGGTACTGCATCAATAGCCGAGACTATCCGAGGGTTTGGCGTTTTGGTGAGGAAAGGTTGGAAGCCGCTTCGTACCATCGTTATTGCCAGCTGGGATGCCGAAGAGGTAGGATTCGTCCTCTCGTCTTGTTGTCTATCTCAAATTTATAAACGCGCAGTACGGTCTTATTGGCAGCACCGAATGGGGCGAAGACTTTGCGGAATTCATTGATAAATATGTTGTTGCATATGTGAATCTTGGTAGGTGTACAGGATGTTTGCACGCCCAGTGGCTAATACTACGCTTAAATAATATAGATGTTTCTGTTGGCGGCTCTAGGTACGGTGCCCAGGCCTCACCTTTACTCGCCCATCTTGTACAGCAAACTGCTCTGGATGTTCCACATCCCACAGACAAAGGTCGTACACTTTGGGATGCGACCAAAGATAGTGGATCGTATTTCGGCGCAAGGGAGGACGGAGAAAGTGTTGTAGATTCGGATGTTATAGCTGCTAGTAAGGCCCGCGCCAATGCTGTTGATGCACTCGGTGTCGGTGTCTTGGGTTCGGGCAGTGACTATACGGTGTTCTTGCAGCGTCTTGGGGTATGATTTTCTTGTGTACTCCCGAACTCGCATGCTAACTGGATATCCAGATTGCTAGTACCAACGGTGGCTTCGGCCAGACGGTAAACGACCCGGTCTATCATTATCACTCTGTGTACGATTCCGAGCGCTGGATGGAATTATACGGTGATCCTGGTTTCTTCCGACATGTACGCATTCCTCGTGGTGTCGAAGGTGTTGAGTTGCTTATCATTTCTTTTTCTCAGACTGCTGTTGCCAAGCACCTTGGACTTCAAGTTCTTCGTTTGGCCGATAATGTCGTTCTTCCTTTCAACACGACGCACTACTCGTACGAGCTTGAGAATTATCTAGACAAGTGCGTCTCCTTTCTTACATTTGAGCAAACACAGCTGAAGATACATGCAGGGTGGAGAGTCTTGTATCGGCCCAATCCGTGGATATTGACTTGTCGCCTCTTCGGCAATCCATTCATTCTCTGCAAGCTGTCAGTTTGGCTTTGGATTATGAAAAATTCAACGCGGAGCGAGATATCATCGAGGTCATTAAAAAGTGGAGAAAAGAAGCTTCTAAGTTGAAGAAATTGAAGAAGAAGCTTCGAAAGGCGTACTGCAAGGTTCAAGAAGGCTTTAGGACATCCGTGCAAGCCTCGTCACCACCACAAGCACCATAACAAACAGTACCAACTTGCGGAGGAAGAACGTCGCGTTCACCACACTGGATTTGAGCACCGTATTGGACGTTTTCCCGCCTGGCGACAAGAAATGGCGGAGAACGAGATGCTGTATGGCGTCGCTCTACAAGCTGGCTTTGAGGAATCTCGTCGCGGATGTGCTAAAGCCGCAGTCCCAAGCCTTCCGCACTTCCCTATCAGCGAACTGAAGGAAGCCAGTGAAGCGCCTTCGCGCCGTCAATCAGAAGCTGATTGCCTTTGAACGAGGATTCATCTCGGAAGACGGGATATCGGAGCGCGAGTGGTTCAGGCACCTGGGTGTAGCGCCTGGAAAGTGGCTTGGTGAGCATTTTCTGTTGCGTTGAGGTATTTGTTCTAATTGGTTTTAGGGTATGGCGCTACTACGTTACCTGCCTTGACTGAGTCTATTACTATTGATGGGAACGCTACGCTGGCGAAGTATGAAGTCGTGCGGTTGAAGGATCTTCTTGATAACCTAGCGGAGAAGATCAGGGTGTAAATTAGTACGAGAAATCTGTTATCTGGTATAGCATCTCTGTATCTGGAGTTTTTTGTTTACAGGACGTCTTGAGTTAGTAGCCTGAGATACATAGTCATATTGTGCAATCGCAACAGTCTAGTTCGTCGTTTGCTGTGGACTAAAGAACAAACCATTGCCTTAAATCAAACCATCAGTTTCTGCTCGCCATTTCGTGTGTCCTTCCTAGCACAGCATTTAATGCCGACACTGCACGGCTTCTTCCATTTCCAATCTCACACCCAAATTCCTGTCCTCCCACCATGACCACGTTTCCTCCAGAGCTTGTTGAGTTAATCATATATGAGGTCTGGCACTCTGAAATGCCATCCTACATCCGAACAACTTTCATGACTACTTGCCCCAGCATTAACCGGACATGGAAAGCTGTCTTCGCCCCTATTGCCTCTCAGGATATATACATCACCAACCTCGCATACATATACTACTTATGCGACGTAGCCCAGCACCGAAAATCTATCATCTACCATGACTCAATACCCCGACTTACACACTTCTCTTTCGTGCTCTGGTGGACCATCACTTTTGCACAGATTCCGTAGCTCTGTCATATTCTCGTCTGTGTCTGCTACCACCGATACCTGTCTATGGAACCTGAATATGATGAATATCACAAGGGGAAAACACGGCTGGAAGCATGTCTTTTTGATTGACATACGGTACCCATGTCCAGCCTTTTTATTAAGGGCGCATGTTCCTAGGGACTTCTTGTTATTCCTAGATACAAACGATAATTATCTGGCGTCACGGAACGGCATCCGATGTTTCCATAAAATCGCAGGGATATATCAGGAACACGGGAATATCAGGGAAATCAATCGACGTTTGTGGATGGCTTCCAAAGGGCCTCGCAGTACGTGGCTGGTACTTCTTCTTTTTGCTTGGTCTAATATTCGTATATTTAGGATCAGGGTATCTTACCTCACTCTTCAATCACTTGGAGTATAAACGGATGCAGCGGTCTTTGCGTCGTTTGAACTGACTCCCACTGGAATCTGGATATTGCATGTGATGGAACATCGAGGCTAATGTACCCGCACTACTGACTACAGCTCACCTTGTGATATCGTTTCATTATGCTTCGTCCGGTAAGTGAACTCAAGTTTTTTTCCCGAGTTCAGTACCTTCAATTTCGTAACTTGCAGTAATTTTAGATCTAATAATATATCTCTGCAATGTATGCTCCCCAAACCTTCTAAATATTTGGCTGCCTAGACTCAATATTGTTGTAATTTGGACTGTATCCTAGTACAATGCTATTGAGACCTCTAGTCTCTGGGTTACAAACTCGTGAGGAGTTTGCCCATTTACTTCGCATATTTATACTAAACTACACCTATTCTAGTAATTTCCGTACAATCATTTCTTACCAATGTCTGAGTCAGCATGCCGGAATGCCGGATTGCCAGAATCATCTCGCACTTTCCGACAAATATCACCATCAGCAACCTTCGGCATTTCATCAGCAAGGATAAATTCAACACGACGTCTCGGGCATACTACCAAGATGTCTTACCATGCAATTTCCTTCATTCCGAGCTTCAGAACTTGCCTTTCAACAGAGTCCGCGTACCAGTACTGGAAGTCGTTCGGTTGAAGGATCTTCTTAACTTGGTGGAGAAAATATTCAGGGTGTAGTAAATGTATCTGAGTACGAGAAATGTTATAAAGCCTCTCTGTATTTGCATTCTTTGTTTACGAGTCGTCTTTGAGCCACCAGCCTGAGATAGTGATATTGTACAATCGCATGGCCTTCAACATATGAAGTCTGGTTCATCCAATTCTCCGCAGCTAACAAACCAAGCCCCTAATTAAATCATGAGAATCTTCAAGGCGAAATCATCAGTCAACACATACAGAGTTCGTGTTCATGGTCTGCTCGCCATTTCTTGTATTCTTCAAGTAGCGCCTTTCATCGCAGCGTCTGCTTCGGCTTCGTATGCCTTTTGACGTGCTTCCTGAGTTGCGTCGTCCACCTAGAGCAATATCCCTTTAGCCAACAGCTCTCAGAGCTAAATGCTACAGTAGCTTACTGATAAATCAAAGAGATCTGAAGGTGTCTTGGGCTGGGCCGCGAGAATACGGAGCTGCAATAACGTGAGAATTGGCTGCTAAGTTTCGTAGGGCTAGTGATATTTACCCCCCCACTCGCGATATTCAGAAGCAATTGGGTGCTCTACCGATGTAGATATCGGCGTCTCCGAGGTATTGGGGTTAATGTTAGAGCTTGAGTGGGCGACTGAATTGGGCATTGGCTCTAGAGGTCGTGGAGATAGTCTAAGTGTTAGAGAAGATGACCGACCTTTATGCATTTATGTCTCAATGTGACTCTTCCTTGTGATTCCCAGGGTTCTGTCTCCAACGGAGCGTATACTCCACTTAGGTGGGTCAATACGAACACCTTTCCACCGCTTTGTAGCAGCTGCAGGATGCGTCGATCTGATTTTAGAGACTAGGAAGGTTCCATGCTTCTATGCAACCGTGATTTCTAGACCTCCATTTTTCCATGTCTGTTGTCTGAGTAAACTTCATTCTGAGTATATCTTTGTCAGAGGCTAGGGGTACCAGGCTACCAACTCTATAGAAAGACTTTAAGGTTATCACACTGCCAATGTCATCTTCTGTACTCCTGGCCAGGTGGCAGTCATACTGACAACGAAACGATTGGGGAACTAGTACGATACAGGTATCTACATATAACTACATGCGAGTCATGATACATAATAGGGATCACTTCTATACAACTATATTTCAATCAGGCAAACTCCACATAAACGACTTTCCAGTCTCCTCTCCGTGGCATAGGTTCTCTCTACAACAAAGTAAGCTCGAAGTCTCTAAGAAATTTAGGAAGACTTGCCCTAAAAACTTCAATGCTGTCACGGCTGGAGGGCGAACGACGCCCTTATCAACGGCTCTGATCTTCATACTTCTGATAGTGACAAACTCCCACTGAGCTCGCTCATTCTCCGGGGTGCCGTCTGCGGTCCATGTGCGTAACACAATCGAACCGTCCGAGCCTCCCGTCGCCAAAATACCTAGATATGAGTATTCACGCTCGTGGAAGGCCATGGAGGTTATCGATGTTGAGCCGAGCGTCAAGTCCAATACTGCTATACACCGTGCGTTGATGGTATGGAGGCATAGTTTGGTTTTGGAACAGGTTGCTACGTATCCCTGAACCGTATTGTCAAAGATTCGTCTTTCGAGACATTGGCAGAATGCTTACTGTGCTCTCGTTGATTGACACAAGGCGAACGGGATTTAGTTCCTGATCGGAGGTGCTGTGCCATATAGAACGAACATATGTACCGCGATTCAGATCCCAAAGAGCTGCACTTCCATCTTGAGAGCCGCTCACGATAAGGGAACGCGAACGTGAAGTAGCTACGCAAATCACGATATCTGTATGAATACGCATGATGTGGGAGAGGGACAGCCGCAATAGGGGAGGGATTATGAGTTCGTGATGTTTTCCATATGCGTACCGTGTAGTCAGTGCATCCAGTGACTAAACAATCGCTATCAGCGAATGATGCGCAGTTGCAAAACGAGCCTTCAATCACTTGGACCACCTCGGGGGTATGGATCAATACGAGTAGGTCCAATAGACGAGTGGAAACCCTACCTTGTTATCCACAAGCAGACGTAACTCTCCTCCGCCAACCCAGCTGGCGCCCCATTCTATTTGTTCGTGTGGACGATGGGGTATACACAGAACACCATCAGGACATGGTATAATCTTTTCTCCGATCATGTCGAATATCAACTCTCGAACAGGGACAGCCGGGCCCAGATCTATTCAGAAATGTCAGACACAAATTACATACCGAACGAAAGGTCCACAAACCTTTGAAACATCGGCTTCCTTGGAGTAACAGGTGCGGATCTTCCTCTATTCCATGCAACGTTCCCAATGGAAGCGTATGAGAGGCGTGACCATACCGTTGTGGATGAGGAGCGTTGAAAAGTTTACGCGGTGTTTGGCCAACTGGAGAAAATAAGCAAAAAATCTAACTTGAAGTGATAGCTGACGTACAGTTGTGAATGATACCAACTGTGGCCTCTCTCTCCAGTTCGTCGGTAATAGAATCAAGGTCTGAGTGCCTTCAGGGGGATGCTAGCAACCCAACAAGAGAAAAAACTGACCAATAGAACCTTCATATGACAATGGATGGAAACAATTCAAGGCTTGCGAGTCTCGTTGCTTACAGCCCCAGATAAGATCGATCCAAGATGCAAGGTGTTCGCTAACATAGGAACTTTCTAGCGCCTAATGTAAAAGGATTGTTAAAGGTCACTCTAAAAGGCCGCCCTAGCATACCTTGCGATTCATGACCACGAACAAGAGAGGATCCTGCCTTGCCCAAGGAGGTAATTTGACATCATGAATTCTTTCCCCTGTATTTTGCTGGACACCAAAGTCGATGTTGCGAGAGTTCTCTAGAAATCTGATACAAGTCAAAAAGACGACACTAAGTCTATGAACATCAGAAGCTGACTCTGGGCATGTGTAGAACTCTGGGATGAGTTCTCTTACATCTCCACGCACGTCTCTAGCAGCTGAGTCATAGGCCCGCGCAACATCACTTAAAACCATCATGAGCTGTATGTTGGAACTAAACGATATTGATTCCTAACCTGAACAATCGGTCCGGCAAGTCCCAATCGCCGCCTTGCAATGTCTTAAACATGTTCGTGTACGGGGCTAACCGAATGAGAAAATGGCAAACAATCATTGAAGAACTGAAATGAGTGCCATAATGGAAAGGCTTTTCATTGACGCTCTCCAAACTCTCGTAACGAGTGATAGCTGCCTCTCGTCGAGCGTCTGTCAGCGCTCCCATGGGGTTGGTTAGACTGGGGTTGCCGTATTTGAGTAATGCTGAGTTGCATTCACATAGTTCAGATTCTGCGACTCACTCTCGGTAGGACTCGGGATCGTTGAGGTCCAGAGTCGGCGACGAGTAATCTTGCAACACCCAAGCTGAGAAAGTATTAGCCTAGTAAACAGCAGCAAAAGGTCTACTAACGAAACACGGGATACTGCGTAGCGTCGCTTGGTGTACGCCCTGATATCTGATTTAAGATACTGATGTAAGTGAACTGGAGTAGCAGCGTTAACTCGGCGTTCAGGATAACTGAGGTAAAGGTAAATCACGTTACTAATCTCTCTAGTTTGCCACTTCCGTTGCGCGATAGCAAGCTCGTCAGGCCGAAATCCAGCTAGAACTCTTGCCCCGATATTTCCAAGTAGAGGGGTGATTAAAAGGCCTGGCGTAGTAGGTACATTACTAGAATTATTGATCATGGTCGATAGCCGTTGATCGATGTCAAGACGCCTTTTCTTGTCCAAGAAGACTATTAGTAGGGAGCGACTGTCCTTGAAATAAATCTCTAAACTGAAGGCAAACTTCGTCAAAGACCACCGTGAATCATGATAGAGAACGCCACACTCACGCTACATCACGAAAAAGAAAGTTCTTATTACTGTACGTTCCGACTTGATCATGAGGCCTGCAAGATGTTAAGTAGAAAAAAACACGTTGACGAGACGTATCCCACCATCTCTGAGCCCGCTGGGGTCCGTCAAGCTCCAAGATGCTCCCAGGAACAAAAAGAAGTCGCTTAGGCGCATCACAAGCGTCAATCACTTCTCCTTCTTCGTTCTCAACCAGGCCATCTAACATGTATAGATGAGTACGACCAATGATGAGCAGACCAGCTAGACATTAGGTCATTCAGTTCACTGTAAGTACGAAGACACCAAAAAGAACGAACGTGAGGAATCCACTCCTGACACACGCGCGACTGTTGCCACTGCTTCAATGACATCTCCAGGTTCCAATTCATGCCGAACACGACGATGCTTATCTTCCGCGATTTCTTCCGCGAGTTGACGCTCTAAAGATTCCTGTAAGATTGAATCTAGGACACTGGTCTTCCTCGTTACCTTCCACATCTGTAGATGATATTTCATAGGTTTCAGCCCATGGAGGCACTTCCACTTGAACGATAGAGCTTGTTTCTGATTGTGGAACTTCAACGTCACGAATATGCTCGAAATCAACATCGATTCTCGTTCCTGGCTGGCTAATCTCAGGCTCCAGCTTGTTCCTATTATTCACGTTAGGTCATCATGAGGCACAGCTTTCTGTAACAGACAGATCGTAGAACTTACCGAACCCTGTGAGGCCCCTCTGTCTCATCCAACCTCCAAAGGCTTGGTTCGGCTTTGGGATATAGGCCTCGCTCTGACGATAGAGCATTGGTCCATTCGTATAGCCGAGAGATTTGTCTCCGATGTTCCCGTCTAGCGAAGGGGTTAATGAGGAAAGGCGGCGGAGCTTAAATAGGAGGGCATACAGATCTAGCATATTTTTCCGAAGTCGCTTCTGTTCAGATATTCGAATGGTCTTTCGCCACTCTAGCATCCTCGCAATGAGTTTGGTGACGGTACGTTCACTGACATGGGCGGTCAATCTTGCAGATGCTATTCTCTGGCGAAAAGACCGCGTGTCAGCAACAAGTTCAGGACTAATGGTTGGTTGCAGCTTGGCGGATGGATTCACGACAGTCTCAGCATTTTGAAGAATGTCTAATATCTGAGGGGATGGATAAATCACAACGAAGATGGTAAAAGGGGTGTCTTACTTCGCGTTTCTGAACACCAGCGACGGCGCCGTCTAGTGCCAAAGTCAGTCCAAAGTGTGACATCTTTTCTAGGATGCGGGATGTGCGCTGGTTGACGCTAGGTACAGCAGAGACTTGGGCGACAAATGACTTATAGGCTTCGACAAATAATTGGGTTGTCTGTTGAGATCGAAACACTTGCCGGAAAGTAGCACTTGACGCATGAAGATCAATGAGCTCTTCCACGAGTACTTCCATCGTCGATTCAGTGGCCCATGAAAAATCGTTCGGCGCTAGGTATTCATCAGCAGAAGAATAAACCAGAGAAGGCAACATCTCACTTTCATCCTCCTCAAAAATGGAGCAGTTGTTACCAACTGTACCCAAGCCGGTATGTAAGGCCGCGAATATTGCCGGAACCATTTGCGGACAAATCACGGCATTGTGCCCCTCCGCGTCGATCTTCGTGGTGCCGGTGCGTCCAAGCAGTATATCAAAGGCAGCTTCGTTCACACTTGGATCCCAGCATGTCGGCAGCACAGTTTTTAGGATACTCCAACCACTGACTAGTTCAAACTTCCTGGTGAAAGAAGCCGACATTTTTACGCTTATGCCGATGATCAGCAAAACCTGATTGGCTACAAACGGTTGCGGTTTGTCGCCGAGGAGAAGGAGACATATTCGGGTTACCGGCAGTGCAGTTATGAGTTTGTTGTAGAACGTCGGGACTAACAGAAGCGAAACCAACAATTCCAGAACTTGTTCCGCTTTCTGGCGAGTGTCTTTGTAATCAATTCGGGAGATCATAGAGCGAGGTGAGTCAGCCATGAACGTGGCTATTTGGACGGCATTTAGAATTTCCTGGTTCTCATATGGGGGGAAAGAAACCAGCAAACCTTCATTGAGCCTTGCCGCGATGTATGATACCATGGGCTTGATGGTCTCTTCTTTAGAAAAGTTGGCTTGGGCGGCAGTTTTCAGAACTTCTATGAGATGCGGAATGATATCGTGCTGATACCATTTCGTCTGAAGGACGAACAAAAGACGTCTGATCAAACCGAGCTTGGCCATGCGCTGCTTAATATTGAATGTCTTATATCGGCTGGTCTGCAAGAGAGTGATGAAATGCTCAAGATACACTCGCTGGACTTCCTTGCGAGTACGAGACCAAAACTCAAAGTCCAACGCAATGACTTTGTATGCAACGGCATTCACTATGGTGGATTGTCTACAGATCTCGTGAGTTCGTTTTTACGGTAAATTTGACATAGGTCTTACTCAGGGTGAGCGAAAGTTCAATCCAAGAGCTTCGAATATCGTTTCAAAGCTTGTCATGTTAATCATTTGGGCCTTAGACCGCAGGATATCAGTTAATATGTCGTATCCACCTGTAGGATAGGTTCAGATACCATGCGGCAGTCCTGTAAGTAGGTTTGACTCACGCAAACGTTCCATGTCCTCAGAGTTTTGCCAACTATTTCTTAGGCCATCCATCAAGATGCCTAACGCCCGTGAAATTTCATGGGGTGTCTGACATACCCTTCAGTTGCAAGTCGAAGAAATAGCCCATGAACCAACCTTAGCTACTCGCAATAGATGAAGGGGTACGGCAGCCCCGCCAATTTTCCAGAGCGACATATCCAGACAGGCGGCTTTTACGACAGTTATGTCACCTTTGAGAGTAACGTCCTTAATAGCGCTACCGTTCGTTGTTACACTGCGAACAATGCCTGACTCTGCAATATTGGAAGTAGACAAGGAGAAAATGATTGAAGAACTGCTGATTCCTAGTCCCTCTCTGACTGCCTTGACTAAAGGTAACGATCCCGCCGAAGATACCTTTGACGCAGCTGTGGATATGAACATATTCAAAGACGTCGACGCTTCGTATGTTAGGAACTTGACTAGCGCAGGATCCTGGAAATTCCCCTGATACCGAGGCCCGAGGTGGTAGATTAAACGGGGTAGATCGTCACCTAAGAAAATTACATCGCTGTTCAATAGCAACGTAGAAATAAACTAACCTAACGGGCGCGCGATCAGATAGGCAGTCGCGATGCACCAACTCATCTGAGCCTCGACGTCGTTGCTCCCTATAACGTAGTCCATGCTGTGCGCCGAAAGGTCAGGTCTGGGGTAAGCCCAGGTCAGCGTTTCGACAAGGATACCGTCAATGAACAGTCCTAAGTAAGTAAACAATGATAAGCATCGAAGAAAGAGAGCAAGGCGTAAAAACACACGGATACTGGGCTGTGAGGCCTTTTGAGGATAATGAACCAACGTAAGATGGGTCCACCGAGCGGTATGGATACTCGACTTGTCGAGAATAGCGACTGACTTGTGTCCAGACGTGTGTAACTCGAGTTTTCCGTCCGGGTTGAGGCCAAGAGCAACGATATTTGTGGATCCCGTTCGGATAATAAAAATAGGGTGAGGAGTCAGTTTTCGGAAGAGTTTCAATCCAGAACCATATCTATAACCTGAGATTAGTCGGAGGATACGGCATTTATTCAAAACAAACCGTAAAAGTGAACCCTGTAGCTGGTACACCTCTAACGCCGTCATGAACCATGGCAAATTCCGCAGGTGACTCCAAAGAAAAGTGTTCCGGCCACCTGGACTTCATAGCCGATCTCACAATCTCGAGCGTCTCTGGATCGAGGCTTTGCTCTCCAGGAATGATCGTTCTTTGGAACAATATCCTTGCTTCTGGCGTCGCTGCTCCTAGATCCAGTAGACGACGCAGTAGCTTTTGAACAACTTGTCGCTCCCCATCCCCCCGGGTCCTAGCATCATTGTAGTACTCCATCACCGACCTGACGATACCAATACTACTCAGTGTCGCTTGATTACGATGGCATGCTGCGCAGAGGCGATCAAATAGCTTGAAGAACGCGTAGTGCATAGCCGAGTCATCTGCACCAAGTTGCGGCCTAAAGTCCCAGAGCAGGCGAATAGCACCTGGCAGCCTGATGATGCCAAGACGAGATTCAAATTCCTTGATTTTTTGGTCAAGTTCCTCGATCGGAGTGCCTCGGAGGCTGGTAAAAATTCCAGAGACGGAGAAATCGTTGAGCGACATGGAAAGAAGAAACCCTAAGGTTACGTCGACCGTTCTACAATCGGCTACCAGATCTGCCAGAGCCAAAGCTAGTGAATCGTAACCAACTGAGAGCTTGAGTAAATGATCAATGAACATACACTGGACCAAGGATAACAAAATAGCTCACTTTGAAGTATTCGGCGTTTTCTGGGTGGTCATTGATGGCGTCAGAAACTATCATGAAGACCATCCGAACAGATTCCAGGACCTCGAGCAAGACTTGCTCATCGGGTTCGCGAACGGGGCCATCGTTGCATGACTGAATCGTCGACAGGACATTCATGAGGACAACGAATCCGTCCAACTCACGAAATACGGACTGTGTGGGGATAAGTAGTACTGTAAAGTTCCAACGCCAGAACGAACCTTTGTACACGCATCTTGCAGCATGATTTTTTGTATTTCAGTCAAAATCTGTGCTTCCTCAGCAAATGTCTCTCGACCAATTGCAAAGAAACGCACCTCTGTTTTCTCTCGCGTCCCTGCACTCGTCTTGAGGTTCTCCACCGCATTCCGCATGAGTTCAATCAACACATCGCGTGCAAAATCCTCCGGCGAAACCTCTCTATCGTGTCCAGGGTTTGGTGGTGAAAAGTCGAAATGAGCCTTCAACGGCGTGAGGAGAGTACGTAGCATAATTGATGCTCATGTATCATCTCATCTGGGGTGAAAACCGTTGCTGTGGCGTTCAAAGTATGCGTCGGTGTCGGTAGTTTCGTTCTGCCTCGAGACCGGGGCATAATAGGCAAACCGACGTCGATAGCCTACCGGATAGTCCAGACACAGCCACTTTTCTCATGAACTCAAAATCTGACCCAGAAATGTGTGTCCTCCATCTGAATGTAATCACTCACAAAGGCCTCAATAATGTTAATGACCTTCTGAAGAACCTGTATGACAAGTTTGAGACCAGGCACCCATTATCTGAGGAGTCTAGGGCATAGATAAAAGTGTGGTTCTGCCAAGCTATTGCCTTTGATGGACAGTCTGACAGTCCAATGCACCTATTATTACCCCATTGCCTCCGAATTTTATTTCTCCTCTTGCTCAATTTTTTACTATGCCTGGACATGCTAAATCAAACTTGAAAAAGTGCCAGATTACTCGCAAATGCCATGACCAGCTAATGGAAAAGGCAGTCATTGCACACAAGAATGAGCTTGCCAAACTACCTGGTGCTCCTCAGAAAGATGCAAGAAAAATCTGCAAAGATTTCAAGGCTGTATATCAGAGGGAGACTGGAAAGGAGATCTTGCTTTCTTATAGCACTCAACAAGTTGCTGACTAATGAGGTTAATTACTAAGCCATTCCTTATTGGGACCTTGCGCCGGCACCACGACTGCTACCACAAGCACGTTTTACTTTTGTTGAGGGGAATCGGCAGGCACTGGCAGCATGTGTGTACTTCAGGACAGGTGCACAAGCCTATATATTCTCTAGTCATCTCACACACTGTCTAATCTCTTGTTCTTTCTGCCCGAGACACCGCCTTTGTTGTCTTTGGCTAGTCTCTCCCATCTTCTCCCACTGAGAAGTCCCCCGTCTTCTGGTTACTATCATCTCATTGAAGCGATTCGAATGTTTGTTATCCCAGTTATCCCAGTCTACCTGAAATCTAACTTTTTTTTCAGTGAGTGCGGTCGATCCGACGCTGCTATCCTTCTTCAGTACGGCCTATTACGATTTTAGCCCACAGAACAGTTCCCGTTAAATATACCTCTGGGATATATCTTCCTCCTCTCTCTCTCTCTCTCTCTCAGCATGGTTTCCGGACGTTCCATCTTACTTACTGTTCGAGTAATTTATCTGCCCGGAAAGGCAGCAATCTTCTACCCCGGAGGCCTTGACAATGCTCTAAGGTTCCTCCTCGCTGACTTGACATCTCTCTCGCTTCCACATCCCGAAGGGTCTAATGTGCGGATACTATCAACGGGAGTCCTGGAACTGTATTGGGAGACAACTGAAGGAAGCGTACGTCCCCTACTCTCCTGATTATATTGACCCCATGTACTGGTAATAGACCTTACATCAGACTCTAGTGAAGAAAGTCGCAAGCACATCGAAAGATTGGTTGCAGAATTTAACAGGACAGTTGATGTACGAGGATGTACCCTAGTAAGGAAGGCTTACGCTGACACGAACTTCCTAGCCATAAGATGACATACAAACAAGAGTGAGATATCTTCCCCTCCCTGAGAGTCTCGCGTTAATCTTGACAGAGTCGACAAAACAATGAAGGACGTTGTCTCCACTCAACTGGACTCTGACAATTGTAACCGTGTCAACGTGAAGAGAAAAGGCCGCGGCCGCCCGCGAAAATCTTCTCTGTCAACGTCTAATTGTCGAACAGCTGCCTCTGAGAATGCTCTTTCGGTAACCTCCGCCAAGGTGGCCGAGTCTTCACTGACCAGTATCCCCACAACTGTTGATGCCACCCTTTCATGCGAGCCGTTGTCAAGCGTGTCGGTATCCCCAAGTGATTTGACTTCAACGGACAATGCTACAACAGATCAAAACCTTACCAAAGGTATCGCCGAAATAGAATTGTTAGACGTAGGTGTAACAACTTTCCTTAAAAGCTTTTCACTGAACACTTCTAGCCATTGCTTTCCCACAATCTAGCGAACCTGCGGCCACCTTCACCGCATACAAACTTATCAACTCAAGACACCCTCACATCTACAGAAGAGATGGCACCGTTGCATGTAACTTCCTTTTCATCGTTCCAAAATCTTATTACTTAGTGTTGCACCGCTAGACTCATAAACGGATATCATGCCTAGATTTTGTGGTGACGCCACCACCGGCTAAACGCGTCCATCGTGAACAAGAAGTGGCACAATGGATACAAGAACTGGAGCATCTCAACCAGGAGGTCGCCAGCCTTGCAGCGAGGCAAGCAGAGATAATGCAAAAACTGAAAAGTGCAGGCGCTATGGATATCCCAGAACTTGACTCACCTGTGGACGCTTTCGGTTTGTGCTGCTTGTTACAGAATTTTGCGTTCTTATATTTATTTGATCTCAGCTTGTCGAACCCGGCTGAGAGCCCTAGAGGTGGAGATTGAAGCAGAACGACAGAAGACGCATGAGTACGAACTGGTACTTGAGGACATTCGGAGAGAATGCAAGGCCCCGTTCATCGTCCCCTCTTTGCTAGATGCTTTTATTGAAGTCGCCAAATTGACTAATGCCGCCGTGAAACTCTGAAATAATGTACTATGGTATTCTGTTACGACCCGGGCGAAATTAGTTGTGCCTAAAGGTCACAGATTGATATTCCAATGTTCAGGTGATTGTTCTGGGTGATTGGCATACATATCTTTATGGCTGCGATGACGGGGTATCCACATGGCCGGGATAATGTACTATACACATACAAGTGGTCCAGATCACATATATATTGATATAATGCAGGGCCCTTTTGAAGTCCATGTCGAGCGCGCGAGTTTCAAGCTTAGCCGGAGGGCCGGGAAGCCTGGCTTGTAGTTGCAGTAATTGGCACATCGAGAGAAATAGTCTGAGACTACAACTAATGTTAATCCAGTAGGTATCATTATGATTCAGAGCACTCTCGAGCTGTACTAAAACTCTACTGATTCGCTTGTACTCAATTCGTATTGGATATTGTCGGAATTTCATAGGCAAGCTAAGTTTAGCAAGGCACCGGCTTACCCGCGTAGCTATGTAATTTTGCATGTGAAGCATGGCATCCAATCAGTGACTTTGAATTCGTGAAGCCTGACTTAGCAGTAAGTCCGTCCCCACCCCCTCTACAAACGAAAGTTGTAGCGCGCCGCAAACGAGGCTGCTATACTTCAAAGGGACCCCCTTTAATTAACTCCGATTTTTCGCTTGGTTGAAAAGATGACAAACACTGATCAACTCAAGGTTACCCTAACTTCCGTGGTGCCGTGTCCACGTATCATCTCTCCGAGTCCGATCGGCTACGTGATCGGTACCGGTGTATTTATAGAGAGTGAGTCAAGTGCCGAACATGCGAAGTAAACTCTTGCCAAGGACTATACCCATGGAACTTTCTGTGAGCTTTAAAAACTTTGCATAGGTCCACAATTTCGAACATTTCACTCGCCCGTCACAATGTTCAACCCACTGCATCCGCCTCCTTCCCCCCCTGCTTTTGCAGGTGACCATGTGTTACCAGAGGAGAATGCGGCGTTCGTGTTTGTACGCTGTATCGTCAATGTCTACTGAAATTGAACCACAGAATTCTTTCGAGGTTAATCTTCCAGTGGTTGGGCCCTTTTCTTACTGTCGGCTTCTCAAGGCCTCTCGAGAAAGAAGGTAGGGTTCTGGATCGTGTGAATCACGTATTATTTATCATCTTTTCTAGATTTATGGCGACTCCCCCAGAAACATACCACCGGCTCAATCACTGATGATGTAGAAGTTAACTTCTATTCTCGATGTCCCCCTGAACAACGGCCCGTTTCCCTTCGGCACAAATTTTCGGATGACACTGAAGATGCCCAATCCTCGAAGGAATCACTAGATGTTGAAAAGGCATCGCCTGGTACCAGAAAGAAACCGAGGCGAAGAAAATACGATTCATCTCTAACGAAGGCGCTTCATCGAACATTTCTTGTTCGATTTTGGTCAGCCGGTGTATGCAAACTAGCGGGAGGTAATTGACTATACAAATCATCATAGAAGGATCATATTCATCTTTGCTCTTCAGACACGTTGAAGACAGCTACACCTCTAGTGACAAAACTCTTACTTACCTGGCTGACTACATCGTATGAATACTATCGTCTGACGGACGAACAGAAGGCATCGGGAGTAATGGAACGTCCGAAAGGAATCGGTTATGGAATCGGACTTGGCTTTGCGATTTTTGTGATGCAAGGTACGACGACCCTAAGTTCATGTTCCTTACCATACTCACCTAGATCATAGAAGCTGCCAGTCTTGTACGGTAATATCTATGAAATTTCATAACTCTGCTCACTTATCCTTCACAGTTTACGAATCACTATATGCAGCGTACGTCTTCGTTCGTATTTCCATTCTCCAGACCAAGCTAATTCTAAAAACAGTGAGTATGACAACGGGTTTGCTATTAAGGACCGGAGTAAGTCACTGGCATCGCTCTCATGGTACTCGTGCATTGAGCCTTTCTTTATCAGATCATCGGGAGTATCTTTCGAAAATCCTTAAGACTTTCCGGACGAGCCCGGCTCGAGCATAGTGTTGGGAAGATTACAACCATGATTTCTGCAGATGCAAGTCGTCTTGACCGGCTCTGCATGTATATTCACAAGTAAGTCTTCTTGTATCGGTCACGTGTCTCATTGGCTGATTGTTGTATAGTGCATGGGTGGCTCCAATCCAGGTATTTATCGCTAGCTCATGCTTTCTATTGCTATTAAATACTGAGCGTAGATTGCGATTGTTATTGGGCTCCTCATCAATAACGTTCGTATGTTTCCTCTGTCACAAAATTCTTCTTCTTATAGAAACAGCTTGGGTATTCTGCCTTGGTTGGCCTTGGCGTACGCGTATTTCGCATCCCTTGCACACCCTCTCCTCATGCTTTTCATAGGTTCTCATTCTCAGTTTTCCTATGCAAGTATTCATTGGCCGTGTCATGTTTGACCTTCGAAAGAAGGGCGTGAAGATCACCGATGTTCGTGTACGGGGCACGACAGAGGTGCGTCTTGACCATTCTTTGCCACGGTCAACGCTGATCATTAGTAGGTTCTTCAAGGCATCCGACTGATAAAGTTCTACGCGTGGGAGGCTTTCTACTCGTTCCAAATCGGTAAACTCCGCCAGAAAGAAATTGGTATCCTCAGACAAGCGGCGTATGTAATCGTTAATGCTTTCGACTAGCAGCTAACGGATGCATCTAGGTTTGCACGGGCAGGGCTTATTGCCATCGTCACGTTTATACCTGTTCTTTCATCGGTCCTATCGTTTGTAAGTATTCTGCAGCGTGTCGAACATGATCTGAATGACAAGACAACTTTAGATCACTTATGGGCTTACTGGACATGATCTTAACATTGCCATAATCTTCAGCTCTCTGCAATTCTTTAACGTTAGTACCAGTATCCCTCCTCGTACTCGCCATTGAATCTTGTTTCCAGATCATTCGAACTCCTCTCATGTTCCTACCTCTGATTGCCACCGCCATATCGGATGCCTTAGTAGCGTTGGGCCGTATCTCCAAGTTTCTGACCGCCGAGGAACTTTCCAACCAATACATCGTCGATGAAGAGAGTAAACATGCCGTGGAAGTTGACGGGACCTTCACTTGGGAAAGTATAGAGCAGCCCGAAAGCGTCAAGCGTACACCTCCTCACAGCGGGAAACCCGGGAAGAAAGATAAACAGAAACCTGACAATGTGTTATCCCTCTCGAAGGCGGAGGTTGATGACGCTTCTTCGTATACGGCAGCTGACCAGCCGTTTGAACTCCAAGAACTTCAGATGACCGTACCTAAAGGAAGTTTTGTCGCTATCGTTGGCCGCGTAGGGTCCGGAAAGGTATACTGTCATGTTGCCGCGCTTATCTTCATCCTAATTCTAGCCTGTAGAGCTCGATTTTGCAAGCCTTGATCGGTGAGATGCGGCGGGTCAAAGGCGAAGTACGTCGTTCTGAATTATGTGTCATTACCTTACTGATGCCACGCAGGTCATTTTTGGTGGTTCAGTTGCCTACGCGCCTCAGACTGCTTGGATAAAGAATGCTACCTTGCGTGAGAACATCTTGTTTGGCCAAGACCTCGACGAAGACAGGTCAGGCACCTTCTCCGGTCGACTTTCATCCATCTTGCTCACTCCGATATATTGAAACTTAGATTCCAGGAAGTTATTAACGCATGTAGTTTGGAACGTGACCTCGCAATGCTTCCCCAAGGGGAAGAAACGGAAATCGGCGAGAAAGGAATCAATTTGAGTGGTACGTATTCCCATCTTCTTTTGGCATCCAATTAATCCTTATGTTCCCTTAGGCGGCCAGAAAGTGAGCTATAGACCATCATTTCGTATTTTTGCTGACACCAGCATAGGCCCGTGTATCCTTGGCTCGCGTTGCATACTCCCCTTCAGATATAGTCCTTCTTGATGATCCGCTATCAGCTGTAGACGCCTACGTCGGCAAAGCTATCCTGGATAATTGTCTGCTCAAGGGTCCACTCGCTTCGAAAACGAGGATTCTCGTCACTCATGCCTTGCACGTTCTAGATAAAGTGGACTACATCTACGTCGTCGACGAAGGCATGATTAAAGAACAGGGAACATTCGCGGTAAGTGCGTCAACATCATAGACAACTGCTTGTTGAGCGGTGAGCATACCGACAGGACCTTATGGACAGTAGCGTCATATTTTCCCGTATCATGGAGGAGTACGGTACGACGGAGATCGAGGAGGATACGACAGAGCCTGAGGAAATCGACGTCATCGACATCAAGGCAAAGAAAGCAAACACGCTGAAAGATAAGAAGGGAGTTCTCATGCAGACAGAAGAGAGATACACTGGCTCTGTTTCTTGGACAACGTATCGAGACTACCTGCGCTTTGCTGGAGGCATTATCTGGGCCCCGATTCTACTGTCCCTGCTAGTCTTGAATCAGTGTTCCCAAGGTCAGCACCCCCCTCACCCTATCCTATTCTCATTTATTCATATATGCAGTTGCAAACAACCTCTTTTTGGGTTTCTGGACAGGAGAAAGTATTCACGGATTCACCCAGGGACAGTATATGGCTGTCTACGCCGGTCTCGGTATGCCATAACATAGCTCAGAAACGGCCATTTTCTGATATAATTTCAGGTGTTTCCCAAGCAGTCTTTACTTTCTTGGTGACAGCAGGTTTTGCGTCAGTCTAATCTGAATTAATCTCCGCCTTACTCCCCCAACTAACGGTCTGCAATAGCATGGCTGCGCTAATTGCCAGCTTATCTTTGTTCAAAACTGCTTTGACAAGAGTCCTGAGGTCTCCGGTCTCTTTCTTCGACACGACTCCTATTGGTGAGATCAACGAATTTTTGTGGTCTTCGTAATCTTTAGCTCAAAATACATTGATAGGTCGGATATTATCAAGACTTTCGAAGGACCAAGACACTTTAGACAATGAACTGGCCACAATTCTCGCCCAGGTACTGTAAATCCTATACTGCAGCTTGATAACCGCATCTGATCACCTCTGACAGTTTCTTAACACGTTTAGTTCTGTCATTGGAACTATCGCCCTCGTCTTCTACACATTTCCGCTGCTTGGGATCATTTTTGGTCCTATGATCGTTCTGTACTACTTGGTGTCGATGTATTACCGGAGAACATCTGTAGAGACCAAACGACTCGACTCACTCATGCGTTCAGCTTTGTACAGTTCTTACTCAGGTCTGTGCTGATATCACACCATGACATGGAAATGCTGACAGTCCGTGTTAGAAACATTGACCGGTCTTGCGACGATCCGAGCGTTCCGTGAACAGGTATGACATGAGTTCTCGAGAATTATTAGCCGTCTCTTATTCTATATATTCTCAGGACCGTTCCGTAAGGAGCGCTGAATCCGGTCTCGATTTGGAGAACAGGGCTTATTACATGACAATTTCCATCCAACGATGGCTCAGTATCCGACTGGATATTTTCGGAAACATTCTCATCCTCGGGATAGCCCTTTTCGCCGCTGGCTATAGGAACACAGTCAGCCCATCCAAGATCGGGGTCGTCTTGACCTACACCCTGAACAGTAAGTCTCTGACTCGCTCACTTGAGGCGTCCTTTGTTTAACAAATTTTTTCCAGTCACACAAATTTTCTGTAAGTCGGCCCATAACTGAGAAGCATCCTACTAACGTGTCATTTAGCTGACATGGTGGCTCAATTCGCACAGAATGAGCAGAACATGAACGCCGTTGAGCGTGTGCTAGTGTATACCGAGTTACCATCGGAAGGGAATGACATTTCACCCGACAAGCCTTCCGCTGAATGGCCTGAGAAAGGCACTATCAGTTTTGAAGATGTCGATCTAGCCTATAGGGAAGGGTTACCACTCGTACTGCGCAGTGTCAGCTTCAAAATTAATCCTGGAGAGAAGGTGGGAATTGTAGGCAGGACTGGAGCAGGTGATCCCAAAATATCAGCAGGGTATACATTTATGCTGACCGAAATCGACAGGCAAGAGTTCCCTGCTACAGGCACTCTTTCGGTGAGCTTTCACTCCAGTCTTTTTCTATGTTAACTGAAACTTCCTGCAGAATTGTCGAACTTCAAGGAGGAAGGATAGAGATAGACAGCCACGACATCAGCAAAATAGAACTCGACACTCTTCGAGGCCGCCTGGCACTTGTACCTCAAGATACTACCATGTTCCTGGGAACCTTGCGGGATAATCTGTACGATACCTTTCTTGGTACAGTCTTTGTTATCGTCTAATGCCACATAGTGATCCTCAGGGCTCAAGAACGGACGCTGAGCTTATTTCGGTTCTCCAACGCGCGTGGCTTCTCCCGCCAGATGGCGTCAAGGATCCAGCCGCTGAGGCTAAATTCAGCTTGGATGCGACTGTAGGAGATGAAGGTAGGATCAATCAGTAATCTTAACGACGTGTATAACCGGCAAGCTTTTCTAGGGTCGAATTTTAGCGCGGGTGAGAAACAATTGCTGGCTCTTGGCCGTGCACTGGTCAAAAACAGTCGAATCATCATACTAGTAAGTTCCAAACGATCCTTGATGACAGACACTCTACTAACTTTGCTTAGGACGAAGCAACGAGTAGCGTGGATGTCGAAACAGATGCAAAGTTACAGAGGACGATCCAGACCGAGTTTTCTTCCTCGACGGTGCTTTGTATAGCCCATAGACTGAATACAATAGGTGAGCATCAAATGTACCAGAGCTGATCGCAAGCTCACAACCTTTCTTGAATAGCTTACTACGACCGTATCATGGTGATGGATGCCGGAGAAGTTGCAGAGTTCGACACGGTCATGAACCTGTTCGACAAGGAGGACTCCATCTTTAGGTCGCTATGTAATGAAGCAAACCTGCAACGGTCGGACATTGAGCGCATTCGGATAGATCACGGAAAGGCCGTCATATAATATAGATTTAGTAGCATATTCCACGTACTTTCTGGATACCATTAATTAGATATCTGCATTTTGCCTTCCATAACTTGAACTGCATTTCCCGCCAGCTCGACGGACAGCACTTTTCCATCAGACAGTGACGAACACTGTGATTTCGCTTCGTCGACCAATCTCAACCCCTTGTACGAGTCTGAAGCACCAAATGCCGTCACCATTCTGTTGTCCTAACCAGCCGCCCAATGCGCAAGTAGCCGACCCGGTAGCGGGGTCCTCGCAGTTCCCTTTGAACATTCGGGTCCGTATTGTCCCATCCGTCATTCGCACAAACGCGTACAGCTTGGCAGGCCCTCCCGCTCCTTTCCAGTCGCCTATATGCTCATCTGGTAAGCTAAACCACTGAGAATACAGCTGTAATTTTCCTAGCGCTTCAGAAGAAGAAAGCTCGAGCATGATGAAGGTCATTCCTTTGACGATAGATACCTTAAGTATCACTAAGAAGGACGGAAGATTTTTCAGAGGAATGAAACGTACCACCGGCTCTGCACCCTCTATGCCGTTAACATAGTCCTTTTCTTCCAAGGCAGGCTGTTTCCCCTTCAAGATATCGTTCAAGTACGGCACATGCACCTTGAAGTCGACAGGCACTTTCAAGCGCACGCCAGTCTCCTCACTGGATACCAGTACGTCCCCTGCTTTCATTCGCAATGTCATCTTGTCCTTGCTGGTTTTCGATAGCAGATAACATCCCGCGCCCACTGTAGGATGACCTGCAAAGGGTAGCTCTTGGGACGGGGTAAAGATGGAGATAGTGAATACAGCTCTAGAGTCTAGTTCTTGGTCGTGGATGAAGATTGTTTCCGAAAATTTGAATTCGCGAGCGATGAGCAATCTTTGTTGCTGCGATAGCTGAGATGGTAGATGGACAATTGCCAGTGGATTTCCCTGAAATGCCACCGTCGTGAACACGTCGAGAGTGGTATAGTGTAACGTCGTCATCGTGGTCGGGACGAAAGTTTAGCTGCAGCTCGTTGGCAGTGACTTCAGCAGCGGAAGAATAAAGACCGCCCTTGCCCTCATCTCTTGATACAATAACATACCGGTCGATGTCCAACAGTCGAGGCCGCCGCAGGATTCAAGATGGTCGATACGAATGGCGGTGAGAGTACGGAGACAACGATTCGGTCGCAATGTCACGACTCTTCTCGTTACCACCACCACCGTTGGCGCAGCTGATGGCCTAGCTTCATCTCTTTACCGCTATCTCGTTTTCGTTTCTCTCGAAGTATACAATTGCTAGCGGGGGACCTGCAAACCGAAGCCACAAGAAACGACCGCATACATCCAATACTTCTGCGACTTCGACCTCTTCCAACCGGTTGAATGGATGAGGATGACTCGGCAATGGTCGGTACGTTCAAAATCTCATTATTGATGCATTTTGGACTTTTTGCTGACGGCACAATAGTAGTACTGCACCCTTTTTTTTACCGTCTGCTCCGCCGCCACCACTGCGGAAATGCCGACATTGTCTAGGGTTCTCGTATCTTGAATATTCTCCAAAGGATGGTCCTATACGTGTACGGCTCCTTCCTAGGTTCTCGGAACACAATGAACTTCTTGAAGGGCCTCCATTCTCTCACACTGCCTGGAATGTCCGTCTAACAACCGTTCCCAATGCTACTACCTGTGAGCTCGAACCGGTGTAGAACAGCCAACAGAACTGCCGGAAAATCGTTGACTGCTCTCATAGCAACTGCTCTTCTCGAAGACTCGAAGAGGTGCTAGGTTCCTATAGCCCCGGAAGCTGATGCTGTTCTGAGTAAAGTGGCGGACGCTTACGAAGACGGTCTTTGCAACATGTATCCCCAACATAAAGGAACTCGGTGGCTGTTGAGTTGTACCATGAATTCGGTACCGTTGATCCCTCTTTGGGCGGGTGGATACGTACTTCAGCGTTCAGGGCGGACTGGACTTGAGCGCTAAGCCGCGTCTACCGCTTAATCTCCACGTCCTATGTAAATATCTTTGTTTCATTTCCGCCACTTCGTTTTTGTGTCTAGTACTTAGGGTCCTCCCTGTGTGTCGGGGTAAAGAGGAAAGGAGGTTATAGTGGGTGCAATCGGTACGTATCCCCGACTCGGCTTTCGGGATTCGGGCATTCAAGGATTCCCCATCGTGCATATGCGGTTGCGCTCGAATTTTGCGATGAAAGACGCCGTATCCTCCTCTGCGCCCCAATAATCATCTATCTACCTTTACATCACCCGGTGATTCAAAATTCATTACGGATTGAATGATCTAGAAATCCTCGTCGGGTATTGGTTCTGGTGAGTCCACTCCATTGTGATATTTGTACGTTGATCCTCAAGCCCCGACTCTTCTTTCAAGTTATCAGAATCGCAAACCAGTGAGCAACCCCTACCATCGGCAGTCCGATTTTTGGATCAGGGACTCGCTGTATTGTGTCTTCTTCGTAGGATGGCCCACCCTACCTGCCCACCCTTACGCATTGGTAGACCGAGGCCATGTCCGGAGGTTGTCGTAATCGTCGAATGCGTTAGAAGTGATAATGTCAAGCCCTTCATTCCTCCTTTACCTATCTCGTGGACTTTCGATTTTGGATCGAGAGGGAACTGCAAAGAATCATTTGCAAAAACGTAACCTGGCAGAAGGTATTCTTCGTCATGTCGAGCCGAAAAGGAAAACCGACGATTGCTCAGTGGACATAACATCCCGGCCTTTGTGGCGCTACTGCTCTCAAAACGTTCGGGCAGTCACTCATCGACGTCTGTCGATCGATAAATTTTCTTGAAAATAGTGGAGCTAATATTATCTCAGAGCTGAGGGTACAAAAGACGTCGTTGAATGCGAGACATAATCCTCAAATTTGTGCAGCATTCATCATCGAATATCTTGCGATCTTTCTAAATGTTCTCTCGTCTCTCAGCTGTCTCTCTTGCCGTTTTGGCTTTGCCTCTCCTCGCTGCTACTAGCGTGGTAATATCCAGAGAATCTACCAATACCACTGTATCCTGGGGCAAATGCAACACCGGATCCGCCCAATGCTGCAAGTCTGTGCAAGACGTACGCGTTTTTCCGTCTCAAAGTGATTCTAACTAATCGATATCGTTCATCAGCCTAAATCTAGCGCCGTTCAGGATGCCCTCGGTGTATTGGGGATTCCAATCGGCGGCATCACCGCTGGAGTGTAGGTCTTCTCGTGTAGCATATCTGTTCTTCTTGGGCTAAACTTGCTCTCCGCAGTGGTCTAACTTGTGACCCCATCACGGTCGTTGGTCTTGGTACTACCCAGTGTGCGAACCAGCCCGTTTGCTGTGACCAGAACAACTACGTGAGTATCAGGTTATCCTTCTCAGCAGAACCCAACGTTGACACAAACAACAGAACGGCCTTGTTGCTCTGGGCTGCACTCCCATCAACATTGGTGCTTAAGCCCTATCATGGGGGGTGGACCTATTGTTATTTCTTTCCTGGTTCATGCTATATCGTATACGATACGATACCCATTTATACCGCCTTCTGAGTCATCCATATACTCATTTTTTGGATCTTCCTCTTTTCGAACATGAAGAAGTGGCCAGAACATGGCAGTCCTGATGCCCAGCATGGAAGACTCCTCGGATCCTTGCCAACAATATTAGGTCTGTTAGCACAAGCGAGCTGAGCAAAGGGAGGTATATTGCTTCTAGTCCGATCATCATCCGCCTTGGACTTACCAGTACGGCTACCGTCCATGCGAATTCGAGGAAGGATGTCAGTTGGACCATTTCCGTCGACTACGGTACTACTAAGCACCAGCTTTTGTTCGACTCGAAAACATCTTGGTTTCTCTCTAGACAAACCACTCAAGAGTCACCGACATCAATAACAACAAAAATTATCCGCAAACCTAAATACTACAACCAAGGCACTTAGCTATATTGTCGAAATGAACGAGCATGACCATTGATGTCAGAAAAGAAGCATCAAGATTGATTTCAACTTTCATCAAAATACCAATTTAGGCTTATTGCACGACCCACTTCGTCGTAATCTTCGTGCATCGATGTTATCGATACTTCAGTGTTCGAGCACCTCTTTACTCTCACCGAGAGTCTCTGAGAATGCTATACGGCTGAATCTTCACAAAAGGAACCGATGCCGTACGCGTTACGCGACTTTGCGTCCACAATGACCCGACCGCGCCAAGTTGAAGCCGCCCTGACTCTGGTCTGTTGCCCCAGAGTCCAGGGACTATCACAATGCCGTTGGCCACCCCCTACACCAAGCCTATCCAGGTCACACAAAGCCTTATTTCTCGCGCGTGGGTTTCTGCGCAGAAAACTCTATGGGAACCGTTTTCTCGATCTTATCATGTGGATCCCTAACCGAGGACTCGTTCCTATTTGTATCGGTCCGCGCCTAGTAATGTCTCCGCATGGCGCCCTCGATCCGACTTTCGGTTGTCCTAAACTTGTTGCGAACGTAAAAATAACATATAGCCTCTCTCTCTGCGTCGACAGTTCGACTCAATCTTCCTGCATGAGAATGGTAAACGATATCACCCCTGCCACGAGGCCGACAGGACTAAGAGGGAAAAAGTCCCGGACGGAGTGTATATAACTTGGGGGAGCTAGTCTTTTTCGCTCAGAGTCAGTGTATCAGTCTCTTCCCATGTCCCGTTCTTCAGAGAAACTCGGCCAGTCCTCCGCCAGCTTGGGAGACATCACACCCATTGAGACCAACCTGGAGCCAGTGCCTATGCATGATGTCCAGGTTGAGCCCAATTGGTGGTGGAAGTATCGGTAGGCCCACCTCGTCAAGGATTCGGACGTCGACTGACTCGTCACAGCCAAATCCTCCGGGAACCAGCCGCTGAGTTCGCTGGTACAATGCTCCTTGTTATATTTGGGACGGGCGTCAACTGCCAGGCCGGGTTGTCCGCCAATTCAAGAGTAGCATCTTCTCCCAAAGGCGTGAGTAATTATCTCTATCTTCCAAAGAGAAAATGCGTGGTTACTCAACAAATCTTTATCATAGGACTGGGGATCAGTATGTTTGGGCTGGGGAGCTGGTATGTACTGATTCGGCATGTCGCTTGTCGTGCTTCTCATTCAATGATTTTTTTAGCTATCGCACTAGGCGCATGGGTAAGCGGTGGTGTGTCTGGCGGCCATATCAATCCTGCGGTATCTCTTTTTTCCTCACAGGTCTTGTGTGGCGCTAACTCGACGTTCCAGATTACTCTAGCTTTCGCTACATGGCGTGGATTTCCATGGAAGAAAGTCCCCGGTAGGGTCGTTTGACATTAACGAGATGAATCGTCATTTAATTTTGGCGCAGTCTACATCCTTTCTCAATTACTGGGAGGAATCGTTGGCGCGGGAATTGTTTATGCCAATTACTTCCACGCAATTGATATCGTGGAAGGAGGGCGGGGAGCCAGGACTCTACTCACCGCTGGAAACTTTGGTACAATCCCTGTAAGTGAATTCCTACTAACTGCGTAAGGTTTCTATATTCATTTGTTATTCCATCAAGCTCGACTACATGACGAATGTGTCCTGTTTCTTCTCCGAGTTTCTGGGAACTGCGATCCTTGTACTCGTCCTTCTTGCTGTCCTCGACTCGCGAAATGGCGCGCCTCCGAGTGGCCTCGTCCCTCTCGTACTTTTCGTGACGTTCCTCGGAATCACGGCTTCCCTGGGTATGGAGACGTGTAAGTAAGATCATAATTTACCTCAGCATGTCTCTTACAACCGTTGTCGCAGCATTTGCGATCAACCCTGCACGGGATCTAGGTCCAAGGCTTCTTACCTCCATGGTCGGTTACGGGAAAGCGGTGTACACGTTCAGAAAGTGAGCTCGTTTCACTGTATTGTATTGAAACATTCAACTGAATCTGTTTTTTTAGTCATTATTGGATTTGGTGTCCCGTTATGGCGCCAATCTTAGGCGCACAAGTCGCTGCTATGTTTTATGATGTATTCATATATCAAGGACACGAAAGCATTGTTAACAGGCGGTAAGTAACCTCTCTTCCGCCCTGCAATATTGACTAAGCTTGATTGTAGCAGCGGCAGGACCGGGAGGCGCACTGCGGACATGGTTTGAGTAGATGATATACGGTGGCTCCAGTCAGAACACCCGCAGCTATGGCTTGCACCAGAGGCGGTCATTATTTGTACCTCGTGTATGTTATAGGCCTAAAAGGTTGCCGAATTATATGCTCTTTGGCTCTTCCGGGAGTACCCTCATGAATTTACAGTCAATGCTTATTTGATCCGGGTGGCAAAATCCCTAGCTGGATTCATTGGACTTAACGCAATCGACACACTAGGGAAACTTCTTGTAGTATGAGTCAAACTTTAATGCAGAGTGCCACTTGCTTACCTCTTCAATAGTGACTGCGTCCTCCATGCGCCCGATGACGATTAAGTCAATGTCAGCAAAGTTGAGAAGGAGCTATCTCCCCAAACAGACAGTGCCAATGGTATCCTGTTAGGCTGTTAAGTTGTCTGCTTTGCTATCTGAGATGTGAACCAACAAAATTGCCAAAAATACCCTCTATAGAAAGCAACTACTACCCGGGGGAGCCAAACAGATTTTTTAATGTCTACTCGAGAGGGGAATGCGACATCTGTTCTCCAGACACAGCTACTCGCTCCGAACGCCAGTCCGTACTTGCGATGCAGCTACTTGCTCCGCGGAAAGCGCAGGAACGCTGACCGGGACCCTGCAAACACAATGTCGAAATGTTTGAGTTCGGAGTTCTGGACAGTTGAGGATAGCTGACGATGTTCGGGAGTTGGGACAATGGGAGTTTGATGGGAGTTCAAGATGTTTGAAAATGCGACCTGTGAGGACAATTCCAGGCCCCCAGAAGCTCCCACCAAACTTTGTCCGGCAAAAATCCGAAAATTGGACCTCAAATATGCAACTTTTGGGGCTCAAAATATGCTAACTCGGGCAAAGTCGCTTCGTCGGGCCTCCGGGCCGGAGTCCCGTCCGGAACCGGCCGTCTGATTCCACTATATCCGCCAGCACTGAGGTCTGTTTTTACCTGTATTCGACATGACTACAAATTTTCGTTGGAATTTTCCTGGAAAATATTGCGGAGAGGAGTCCGAAATCCAAATCGAGACTGATATTGGCTCAGATGTCAGGGCGATGGCGTCAGCGCCAGCCCAAAATATGCTAACATCCGGACAAAGTTCGACGCTGTTCGACGACATTTGGACCCAAAATATGCTAAAATCCGGACAAAGTTTGGTGCGAGCTTCTGGGGGCCTACAATTCCTTGCTTTATAGAAGTACACGGGGAGATCATGACACGAATACAGAATCAACGTTGTAAATGGGGGAGACGTAGCCTCTTAAGAATTATTTTTTCTAAAAACAGAAGAGCGTGGCTGGCAGCTACGAAAATTTTTTTGGGATAAGCACATGATCTCTGTCAAGTCTCCGACTAACCACCACGCAGGTTCACAAAATGGCAAGTCAGTCAACGGTATTAAACTTCTTTTTCCTCCTTCCTTCGGTGCCGGATGTCTATTGTTCTAGGGTAATGGGAGTTACTAAGGCCATATACAAACGCCTCTTAGGAACTTTTGATAGGCGCTCGGGTCATCTGAGAATGAGAGCTCAAACGTTTGGTCTGTCTAGGATGTTTGAAGGTACCGGTAAGGCTTAAGAAGTTTTCACTTTGGTCTCTGTCCGGTCTTGACGGTGCAAGAATACAGACGCACAAAACTCAATATGAACTCCGAATCTTGTTCTGGTCTTCGGTTTTGGTATCTTCCGTTAGTCCAGGAGAAAAGTCACTACCGGACGGTCCTTCTGCTGGGCTTCTATTGCAAATGTCCTGAGCTCTTCCCTCAACCGAAATTCATGCTCAAATGTTTTCCCGCCTCCAAACATCCTGAGCCATATTGTCAACCATCCTCACATGTACTCCATCCTCAAAGGTTTCAAAGCTACGTTTTCAAAATTCTCAGCTGCATCGTCAAGCATCCTGAACGTTCCTTCAATGTCCTGAGGTTCCGTTTTCAAACATGTCAAGCCTTTCCCCAAACATCTTCAAATGTTCCGGACTTCAACCTCATCTTCTTCCATCCCGACGTCGTATTCCCAAAGGTACATGCATTACCTGCGGAGTTACTAGCTATCCAGACGGAAGGAAAGAAGGAAGTTTTGATTAGACCAGGTACGAGGATGTCGCCGTCTCAAAATAGGCACACGTCCCGGACAGTTCAACTTCAGTCTTTCAACATGAAAAATGGTAAACGGCATCGCCCTTACCACGAAGCCAACGGGACTAGGGGAAAAGTCACAGATATAACATGGGAGGATTTCCAGAGTCAGCATATCAACACCTTCCCATGTCTCGTTCTACAGAGAAACCCCGCCAGTCCTCCGCCAGCTTGGGAGATATCCCGCCTACGGAGTCCAACCTTGAACCTGTGCCCATGCGTGAGGTCCAGGTTGAACCTAACTGGTGGTGGAAGTATCGGTAAGGCCACTTGTCAACCGGGCCTCAGACGTCGACTAACTTGTCACAGCCAAATCCTCCGGGAACCCGCCGCCGAGTTCACTGGTACAATGCTCCTCGTCATCTTTGGCACAGGCGTCAACTGCCAGGCCGGGTTGTCCACCAATTCAGGAGTGGCGTCCTCTCCCAAAGGCGTGAGTAATTATCTTCATCTTCTAAAGAGAAAGTGTGCGATTACTCAACGAATTTTCATCATATGTACAGGACTGGGGTTCAGTATGTTTGGGCTGGGGAGCAGGTCTGTACCGATTTGGCATGTCGCTGTTGTGCTTCTCATTCGTCACTGGTTCCGTTTAGCTATCGCACTTGGTGCATGGGTAAGCGGTGGTGTTTCGGGCGGCCATATCAATCCTGCGGTATCTCTTTTTCCCTCTCGAGTCTTGTGTGGCGCTTACCCGACGTTCCAGATCACTCTGGCTTTCGCTACATGGCGTGGATTTCCATGGAAGAAAGTTCCTGGTAGGGTCGTTTGACGTTAGCGAGATGAATCATCATTTAATTTTGGTGCAGTCTACATTGTTTCTCAATTACTGGGAGGAATCGTTGGCGCGGGAATTGTTTATGCCAACTACTTCCATGCGATTGATATCGTGGAAGGAGGACGTGGCGTCAGGACTCTGCTTACGGCAGGAAACTTTGGTACAATCCCTGTAAGTGAATTCCTACCGACTGCATAAGATTTCTATATTCATGTTTTATTCCGTCAAGCTCGACTACATGACGAATGTGTCCTGTTTCTTCTCCGAGTTTCTGGGAACTGCGATCCTTGTACTCGTCCTTCTTGCTGTCCTCGACTCGCGAAATGGCGCGCCTCCGAGTGGCCTCGTCCCTCTCGTACTTTTCGTGACGTTCCTCGGAATCACGGCTTCCCTGGGTATGGAGACGTGTAAGTAAGATCATAATTTACCTCAGCATGTCTCTTACAACCGTTGTCGCAGCATTTGCGATCAACCCTGCACGGGATCTAGGTCCAAGGCTTCTTACCTCCATGGTCGGTTACGGGAAAGCGGTGTACACGTTCAGAAAGTGAGCACGTTCCACCGTATTGTAAGGAAACATTTAACCAAACCTGCTTTTAGTCATTATTGGATTTGGTGCCCTATTATGGCGCCAATTCTAGGCGCACAAATGGCTGCTATGTTTTATGATGTATTCATATATCAAGGACACGAAAGCATCGTTAACAGGCGGTAAGCGACCTTTCTCCCGTTCTGTAATATTGACTGAACTAGATTGTAGCAGCGGCAGGACCGGGAGGCGCACTGTGGACATGGTTTGAATAGATGCATGGTGGCTCCAGTGAGCGCACCCGCAGTTATAGCCTGCACCAGATGCGGTCATTATTTGTATCTCGTGTATGTTATAGGCATAAAATGTTCCCGCATTATATGTTCCTTAGCTCTTCTGGGAGTAAGTACCATCATGAATTTATAGTCAAAACTTATTAAACAATTGGTATGCATAAGCTAGTAATAATAAGTATTTCTGTTCACACGTTATTTTCGATCCAATAAATTTGTGGTTATCGAACCTTCCACTTTGAATGCGATTCTAACGATGACCAAATGACGACATCATAGGCGTAGACAGTCGAGTAGTGTTTTCAAGGTGGTGCATCTAAAATGAAGCTTATAGGTGGATTAATGGTAAACAGAGTGTAAAATAGATGTATCTGACATCCATTGTGAGGCCTTGAAGGAAGGGAATGGACAAGCATCAGAACTGGCTGTGAAGGTGCAAAACGTTTCGAAGTCCCGAGTCATAAAAAGCGTGACCCGCTAAAACGAGTCTTTCGACCTCTTTCGGCGCTTTCGCCTGCTGGCAAATGTGAAATTGTGAAAAGCGCAGCGGCGGACGAAGCGCTGGCTGGTAAACGAGCTTAAATTAGTATCCTCCCCCCTCACAAGCAGTTAGTTTATCACTCGTTAAATTGAGATGTGCATCACCATTGACTTCATGTATTCAATCCGAGCACGTATCCATATAATTCAACGAAGACCGACCTCCCACAAGTGAAATAGAGGTTAGAGGTTAGAAACCCGGTATGCGGTCCCAATAAGGAACACCGGGGGTTCTGTGCCGCCACATAATGTGTCACAGACCATAGCAGTACCGTGCCGCTGTGATATTCACCAGGTGTCAGCTGGGAACCGTTCAACCTCACAGGTTTAATACTGCCATAGGGACAAAATCAATTCAAGTAAAATCAACGAGTACCCTAAGCAAGGTGACAACTCCGGGTCAAGTGTACTAATATGATTAGCTAGCAGATTTCCAGAGTGATTCCGGTGCGACGTATATCGCTGTCGCTCCAAAATCCTCCAGTACATGATGTACATATTGCGCTAATCTCGGCTCCAAGGGGGAAAGCTGCAACTAGCATGCCAAACGGTCATCAAACTCCAACACATCCCATGCAGCACAAAGGCTCGGAGACAATGCATGCGCGTCAGCGATGAATAAGCGGCGAAGCTCTACCAGTCCTGGAGCAATTGTAACGGAGCAGGGCATGTACCTCATCCTCAACGGCGATTTTGCAAAATCGACACAGCCGCCATTCTCGAGGGATTTTGGGGCGATAGCGTTCCCCCCAACGAAGGACCTCGACGGCGAGGATATGCGATGATACGAACAGACGTGTGAGAGCCTTGCGATGAGCGGGAACGATGGTTGTGAGATAAGTACGACGGTTCAGCGTTCTCCGACGTGGTTGCAAATCATGTACCTCCAGAATGTGCCTCATAGACAGTCTAAGAATGGCACCTTTCACCTTAGAGTCGATTTCCTCATTTATGGCAGCCAGACAAGCAGATTCCACTGACGCAATCAATGCGGTGACTGTCTCCTCAGCCAGATCGTTATGCACCAAAGTGACGGTGGGAGCGAGACGGGCGAGTATCCGTTGAAGGTCCCCGAACCAGGACGGTGAACGAGTCTGCCGTAAAGTGATGGCCTCTCACAACGCCAGATGTGCGTAATGATCTTCTGGCAGACCTAAAAGATAATGAAGATACCGAAGTGCAAGGACAAGGCGCCGATAATACAGTGGCATCACTCCTGTAAGCATAAAGGTTAGGGAGGTTGACATCGTCTGCAATGTATTCATGCCCACCAGTCTCCGCATGTATAAAAGCCAGAACCGTCTTTGAGTAGACACTCAGCAGATATCGAAGATAAGCGCTAGAGGCATGACGTAGTTCTCTGACACCCCTAGATCCACATCAAGAACAATCTCGCACCCTGCTATAAGATAAGGGTCTATTTTCGCCATATATAGCGCTATCCCTTCCTTCACCGGGAGTGAACCGACCCGATTTTCTATCCGAGAGAAGATGACGTCCTTCATGACCTTAGCCTGAGATCCCTTCACTTTATAATGCTTGTCATACACATAAAGGCATGACGAGTCGAAGCGGATGCCAACAAACTTATGTTCAGTCACATAGGAAAGAGCTTCACCCGCTACCGTGACCAAAGGGATCGCCTCGGGTGCCAGGGCAAGAGACGTCCACAGATGAGTTTTCGGGACGGATATCTTCATAAAGTTCGTTCGGCACCACTCACTAAGGTGGTTTAGGGCATGCTGCAATCCCTCCGGTGACAGAGATATCAATGCAACATCATCTGCATGCTCAACGTGAGAAATATGCACTCCGCTTCAAATTATGTCGTCTGGATGATCAGGCACGACGAAATCAGAGAAATAGATGTTCCACAGGGTAGGCGATAGTGAGTCGCCCGCAAGGACACCCAAGGCAGACGTGAATATACTCGAGCAGGATTGACCCACTTCGACAACATATTCCATGTCCCTGTAGATGTGACGGATCCAATCAAAGATTGGACCACCGACTCCAAGACACTGCAACTCAAGCCACAGGGTAGAAAGGTCTGTAGAGGGAAATGCATTTTCGAGGTCCACAAATGCAACATAGAGGACCCGGCCATTAGCATGAGCTCGATCAATCGCAGTACGAAGTATGAAGGAGTTATTGTGTGTCCGATTTCCACGTCGAAAGCCATTCTGTGATCGGGGGAGAATAAAGAGCCGCGTTAACATAGCCGGCGGAGATGATCACGTGATCGGATCTCCTCCTGCCTTGCAGTACTAGTAGTACCATCACGTCTGTACCGTCGCTGATTCCTAGAACGACGACGCGTTAACATATATCAGGAGAAAAATGAGCGAAACCTCAGTTCTCTTCACCCAGCCACCCACACCAGTATGAATATCTTACCTCACAAGTGGCTCGCTGACTGCTGAGACGAGCCATATGCTTAGGGTTACTTTAGCGCTTGCGCATACGACTCGACTCACCACAGGATCCCTGACGAAGTCAGTACCCTCCTTCTCCATCACAAGCAGTTAGTTTCAAACTCTCACTCATTAAATTGAGATGTACATCACTCACAACATCGTGTAGTAAACAACTACCGGTGATCTCTAAAAGTAGAACAAGTAACATAGAAGCGCCGTGTGAAAGTTCGGATGAAAGGAAGGAGGTAGGTTTTCAATGGACCAGGTACGAGGATGCTGCATTGTCAACATAGGCGCGCGTCCCCGACGGTTCGATTCACGACATGAGGAATCATCACCCTTACCACGAAGCTAACGGCACTAGAGAAAATGCGACAAGCATAATGCATATAACATGAGAGGGCTTCCAGAGTCAGCATATCACATTTTCCCATGTCTGGTTCTGCAGAGAAACCCCACCAGTCCTCTCACAGCTTGCGAGATATCCCGCCTAAGCACGACGACCACAATTTGTGGTGGAAGTATCGGTATGCTCCTCTAGTCAAGGCTCCAGACGTCAACTAATAAACAAACAGCCAAATCCTCCGGGAACCTGCCGCCGAGTTCGCTGGTACAATGCTCCTCGTCATCTTTGGCACAGGCGTCAACTGCCAGGCTAGTTTATCCACCAATTCAGGAGTGGCGTCCTCCCCCAAAGGCGTGAGTAATTATCCCTGCCTTCTAAAGAGAGAGTGCTCGATTACTCAACAAATCTTTATTATAGGACTGGGGTTCAGTATGCTTAGGCTGGGCAGCAGGTCTGTACTGATTTGACATATCTGTCATGCATCTTAGTCAACGATTCTTTTAGCTATTGCACTAGGGGCATGGGTAAGCGGTGGTGTTTCTGACGGCCATCTCAATCCTGCGGTATCTCTTTTTTCCCTCTCAAATTTTGTGTGGCGCTCACTCGACGTTCCAGATTACTCTAGCTTTCGCTACATGGCGTGGATTTCCATGGAAGAAAGTTCCCGGTAGGGCTGTTTGACATTAGCGAGATGAATCATCATTTAATTTTTCGTACAGTCTACATCCTTTCTCAGTTATTGGGGGGAATTGTTGGCGCGGGAATTGTTTATGCCAATTACTTCCATGCGATTGATATCGTGGAAGGTAGGCGTGGAGTCAGGACTCTACTCACCGCTGGAAACTTTGGTACAATCCCTGTAAGTGAATTCCTACTAACTGCGTAAGGTTTCTATATTCATTTGTTATTTCATCAAGCTCGACTACATGACGAATGTGTCCTGTTTCTTCTCTGAGTTTCTGGGCACTGCGATTCTTGTGTTCGTCCTTCTTGCCGTCCTCGACTCACTAAATAGGGACGAGATGGACGGGAGGGACGAGGCCATTCGGAGGTGCCTTCTCGTCCCTCTCGCACTTTTCGTAACGTTCCTCGGAATAACGGCTTCCCTGGGTATGGAGACGTGTAAGTAAATTATATGTTAAATAACTCATCACTTTTTTTACAATCGCTTTCGCAGCATTCGCGATCAACCCTGCGCGGGATCTAGGTCCAAGACTTCTTACCTCCATGGTCGGCTATGGAAAAGCGGTGTACACGTTTAGAAAGTGAGTTCGTGTTACCGTATTGTAACGAACCATTTAACCAAACCTCCTTTTAGTCATTATTGGATTTGGTGCCCTATTATGGCGCCAATTCTAGGCGCACAAGTGGCTGCTATGTTTTATGATGTATTCATCACCTATCAAGGACCCGACAGTATCGTTAACAGGCGGTAAGCAACCTTTCCCGTCCTCGCAATATTGGACTAAGATGGGTTAGCAGCGGGAGGCACTCTGCAGATACGGTTTGAGTCGATACATGGTAGTCCCAGCTACGGTCATAACATATACCTCATGTTGAGCATGAAAAGGTTCCCAGAACATGTTGCACGTACAAACCGATTTTCAAATATAATCCGAGATATATACGACGAGTTATACACGTTTAAACTGCAAACATGAAATCTTCAACGTCATGATCCAACTCCTTGACCAGGGGACCTTCAGCCGGCTTTTTCACCGTCGGCTTGACATTCGTGGCGGAAGATGTACGCCCAAGAGGAGCGATAGGCTTCCGCACGACGCGCAACTGTGTACCCCAAGCTGGTCGAGTTGGAGCTGCTCTTGACTGCGTTGAAGCCGTAGTAATAGACTGTGACGTTGTTGGCTGTGAAGATTTGGCAGGAGCCACTGGTCGTTGACGAACAGAAGCCGCCGTTCCAGGCCGCGATGTGGCTTTTCTGGTGAAAGCAGCCGACTTAGATCTAGCAGATGATGCTGCCCCGTTGCGAACGGAGGGATTAGGTGTTGATTTGGTCATGGATGCTGTCTTCCCCATAGTTCGTGTTGTCGTGGTTCGTGAAGACGTTGAGTTGGGCTTGCGCATTATCTTCTTTGAATTGTCATCTTCTGACATCCAGGTTAATAGTAATGCGTTAACATGACGTTAAGGACACACCAAGCTCTGGAAGAGGTAGCAATCTATCCCATGCTGTCATACCCAAATCATCGTCCTTTACCTCTGGCAGTGGTGGAGGCTCGTCTTCATAGGGCGGCGCATGAGAAATCTCACGAAGAGTTTTCCCGACAGACTTGTAATCAGGAAAGTCAAATTCAAAAGGCGGGACATAGGGCATGTCTGAAAGAAATCAGAGTCAGGCAGAAGTTTAAGAGTTGAGCAAACTAACCTAGGGTATTAGGCGGCATGTACTCAATCTCATCCAGATCATCCTCCATTACCAGCTGTTGTACTACGAGCTCGGGAGATCCTATGCTCACATCGCATTGCCAAGGATTTCCTGTGTTAACGGGGGTCTCGAAGCTCTTTGTGGCACTCCTGGGTACACGAACGTGCCGCCTGAGAGAGCTGGGTCGAAGAATGGAGTCGGGCGATGAAAACTTGTCAAAATTGAAGGTGTAGGGCGTTTGGAACTGTACATCGGTACGATTTGGAAAAGGCGTCTTGTCAACAAGTGGCCGTGATGGTGCATGTGTCGTCAGTTTTCCCTGCGTTCCCTCCTTATCTTTGGCAGAAAAGTAAGATATAAGTGAGAGCAGGACAACGCTGACTCACTGAACTTCCCTCCGTTGAATGGCGTTTGCAGGAGCGTGTTCTTGCCTTTTCCATGAACAGTCGCCGGGCCTCTGTTCGCGTTTTCGTTCTGATGGATAACACGCCCGGGAGTCTTGGCTAGTATTTGTCGCTGCCCGGTGAGGTCGTTGTTTCTTGAGATTGGACGGGAGGTCAACATGATGGTGGTGGCAGCAAGAAACCCGTTCGGCAATTCCTCGAAGTCTAAATGAACGTCACGTGATCGTGGCGAAAGCCGACTAAATCCGAAAGCTCTCGAAAATCGCGAGTGCTACTTACTTATGAGTACAAACTTCTACTTGTACATGTTATATCTAACATCTATCTATTCGGATATATACCCTTTGCCCTTCAAATAGTCGGTAATAATTCGGACACTCTCCGCGACATCCGTTGTGGACGTGTCAATGTGAATTTCTGGTTTCTCCGGAGCTTCATACGGTGCAGAAATCCCGGTAAAGTCTACAGCCAATTTTTGAGTGTGCTGTGAAGAAAAATTTTGGCTGCAACTCACCCTTGATCTCCCCGGCGCGAGCTTTCTTGTATAGTCCTTTGGGATCACGCTGCTCGACAACATGAAGGGGTGCATCGACGAATACCTCAATAAACGGTAACGATGCCTGCTCGTGTATTTCTCGAGCAAACACTCGGTCGGCGCGGTACGGCGAGATGAAGGCCGTAATAGCAATGCATGAAGAATCTGCAAACAACTTGGACACCTATCCCATCCAGACCATCAATACAGATATCTCGAACGAGAATAGAAGGACATACTTCGCTCGTACGGCGAATATTCTCGTTCCTCGACTTCTCGTCAAATCCCAGATCTTTGTTCAACCCGAATCGAACGTTATCACCATCGAGGCGGTACGTGAACTTGTGTAGATGAAGAAGGTGTTGCTCTAATGCACACGCGATGGTCGACTACAACGAGCGTGTCAGCACACAGACATCAAATGGTTGCGCGACGACCGTACCTTTCCACTAGCACTCAAACCCGTCAGCCAAATGGTCGCGCCCTTCTGTGTGAGGAGACTCGTTCGCTCTTCAGCAGAGACAGAGCCTGGAACGCGAATCAGTCTTCAACAAATCCACCGAAGAAAGACTGGTCGTACCAGGGTGGAAAGTGATGTTCGTGGCCATCTTGAGATGTAGAATATTCGTGTTGTAACGAAGTATTGCACCGTTACAGGGCTTTTATACAGGACATCAAGGACCAGAAAAAAAGCAGTTGGTCATGGTTGCATGTGCAGAAAGGAGGGCTCGTCATTTTGTCACCATAATTGCACGAAGAAAGTCACGCGCCTGACAAAGCAGACGCGTCAATCAGAATGCAATATAGCAACAATACGAATACTTGTCACGACTCGGGACTGTTCATCAAGATATGTACACAAAACTACATTCATCTTGAAGAAGCTACTAGACATGCTGTACAACATCTAACATACGTAAGTGAAAAGGGTGTCCAGCAAGAGTATTAGAGGGGAATTCCAAGAACAGTTAGATAGAGAAGGGTCATCCTAAATAAAATGATATAGATAGGTAAGTAATCCAAGCCGTTATATAGATCCGAAAGCATATGTACAGTGAGAGGAGATTCCCAGAGAGTGAAGGAAGAGAGATAGAAGAAAAGCCGCTGCGTTAACCCCAGTCAACAACCAGACCTCCAGGACCCGGAGCAGCAAGGCCAATTTCACGCTTGGATTCACGATCCATCCATCTTAGTGCCCGCTTATCATTCTGCAGCAGAGGCTTCAGTTTCTTGAAACAATCAGCATTGTGATCCTGTCAAACGATAAACGAATAGGTTTCCAGCGTGGGTACACATGCGACTAGTCGCACCTTTATCCATGCTCTCTCTTCCTTGGTCAGCATGCTATCCTTGATCATGCGCGTCTGTATAGGGACGCAGGTCAGTCGTTCAAACGAGAGCCAAATCGGGCCATTGAATTCTCCCCGGGTCTATACAAAGGGAGAAATTAAAATGATAGTCATGGGAAAGAGATGGACCCAGAACTTACCGTGACACGACGCACAGCGAGTGCCGACTCAATACGAATACCCCACTTCCCGTCATTGTCTACGTGAAAAATCAATCAGTCATCCGTCACCCGAGTATGATTGATCACGACTCACAAAACCCAGGTTCATTGGTGACGACATGTCCAGGTATCAAAGGCACATTACTCGAAAATCCTTGCGGACCCTCATGCACGGTCAGGAATGATCCAAAGCCGTGACCGGTTCCGTGCTATCGCCCCACCGCTGTTAGCACTGCATTGTGAACTTGGGTCACAAACCGCTTACCAGGTAATTGTAGCCTTCCTTCCATAGGGCTCGACGTGCCAAAACATCTAGTTGACGGCCAGATGTACCTTCCGGGAACACAGCGGTATCGATTGCAATCTAGAGATAGGAGCATGAGGACATTTCCTTAATTATAGAAGCAGACTCCAAAGACATACATGGCCCTGCAGAACCCTTGTGAACGCTTCACATTGCTCCACGTCTGGTCGACCAAAGTGTATGGTTCGAGTAGTGTCACATGTCCCGTCTAGATACTGTCCTCCCGAGTCGCTAAACGATATGTCAGACTCACGTGTCTGTTTGCGAATAAAAACCGGAGCTCACTTAAGATACGGAGTGATCTTGTCAATCATTCGTGCTTCTGACTTGCGAGGCGAGTAATGGGGAAGAGCAGCGTTCGGTCCGCTCGCGGAAATGTTCTGGTAAGCAAGGCCCATGAAATGCTCCTGTTTCCTGCGGAACTCTGTTAAGCGTTGTGCGGCTTCCCATTCTGTGATATCGTAGCCGGCGTTCAGCTTGTCTTCGAGCCAAGCCAAGAACTGGACCTATTTGTATGCGTCAGTCGGAAAAGACGAAAACGGATAACGGTAATCGCACGTAGGCAACCCCATCCCGCGTGTATGCTCTTCTGAGTCCCTTCAACTCTGTTTCGTTCTTAACGGAAATCATGTATTCCACGTGCGACGGCAGAACACTGCACCGGTAGTGCGACAGCACAAGCGAGATAGTATAAGAAGACTGCGGTGATATTATAATCTGCGGTACCGCTTCAATTCACCATGCAAAGTCCCAAATGGAAGAAGCGTCGTACCTTGCCTTCACCCCATTCTCTCTTGCGCAGGAAGGCCCAGATTTCGCTGTAGTCTCGCCGCGTTACCTTTAATTTATCCAAGTAAGAGGCGATGTTTTCAGGTACTTTGGATCCCTCCAAAAATAGGATAGCGTTATCAAGTCCGATGAAGAGATATGCGTGGAAAAGCGGATTGAATGGTATATCTGAACCTCGGAGATTCAATAGGTAAGCTGTAAGAAAAAAGGTCAAGGAAAACACGTAACCGAATAGATGAATGATACGCACCTATTTGAGGCAAGGCAGTAACGAGCGTCCCAACTTGATATTGTGATGGCTTTGGCTCAGAGCGAGAGTATGAAGGGACATCAGGAGGCTGGTTTTTGATCCACGCCTGCACCTTGGCAATCTTGGAAGAGGCTTCTTCGCCTAGCAAAAGACTGAGACACAAGCGTGCCGCGCCAAGGATAAACTTACCTGAATATTGTATTGGCTGCTGGAAAACGGGCTCTTTCGACCTAGTGGGTTTGCCTTTCCATATCAAGTCGATAAGGTTCTGAACAGGATACACCAATTTCCCTCCCATTGGGTTAATCTTGGAATTAATAAGCATAGCCTGCTCGTACGGCAGCATACGTCCGTCTATGCCAATTCTTGAACTCTGGGCGTGAGCCTGTGCAAGGTCACCATGGTTATTAGAGAAGCGTGTCAAAACGGAACCACTTACCACAAGCCAATCTATCCAATCTTTTGGCTCCCCTGAAGCACCGGCGCGAACCAGCTTCCAATTTGCATCCAGTTGCTCTGATGCTTGCGTCCAATACCGAGAATCAGTGATGAGGTAACCCTCCGTCTTAGAGACGATGGCCTGTCCCGAAGATCCCGAAAATCTATCCCACGTCAGTTGAGATGTCAGTTGCGAGAAACAAAAAACGCACCCTGAGATGTATTCTCTTCGTTTGTCGCTCTCCGCCACATATTCAGACCCATGAGCATCTTCGTTTGGTACAACGCTGAGTAAAGAGGACATACTGAGCTGTAATAAAGTGGAAGAGTAGTAGCATACGCACTAGAAATCCAGTTGTTCTTTCTCCATCTGTTTCCGTAGCTCCGCCAATCTCTCCGACGTGTGCACAACATCCCGCAAAGAGTCAGCGAAAGTGTTTTTACGTTCAAGCGCGGACCCGACAAGTGTACTTGAAGAATCATTGACTCCGCGGGGCCTTTCGAAGCCTTGACTGCGGCCTGAGTGATTCGAATTCGAACGATGCGCTGATTTGCTGCGGTGTGTGCTTTGCGTGTTCTGGGTGTTCTGAGTGTTCTGGGTGTTCTGGGTGCTTCGACTCGCCTGCGTCGATTGAGAGTTCTGGCGGACGGGAGGCTGGTAGATTGGAAGGTCGACAGAAGGGGTCCTCGATCGCTGCGACTGTGACATTTCCCTGGCAAGCTCCACTTCCTTCTTCTTCCCCAATCCCCACCCATATCCCCATCTGTTAGACAGTGTTGACTTCTTCGTGCCCGTCATCGTGTTTGAACGCTGCAGGCGGCCACTCTTGCCCGACTTTTCAAGCGGAGGGAGCTCCTTGGGGACATCATCGTACTTCTCGGAATCTGTTACGAAGGTGAGGTTGTCTACGGAGGCAGTCATGGAAGATGAGGTAGATCTGGAAGCTGTTGAAGACCTGGAGGCCGATGTAAAGGAAGCCTTAGAATGTTGTGACTGCGACCTATCCAGCTGTGATGCTGATCCAGCCATTGGCGGTACCGACATGCTCGAAAACGAAAGCCTCCGTTTTTCTTTTTTCGAGCCAAAAGGAAAGCATACGGGAGGGGGCGGAGGAGGAGGCGGTGGTGGTGGCGGCATGATGGTGGTCGAGAGGAAGAAGAGGGTATCGCTTGGCCCTGAGGCACTTCTGGTAAGGTGTCAATCCAAGTCCCACGAGGACAGCAAGAAAGCGGGCCACCGAAGCCAAGTCCAAACCCTTCCAGCACGGTAACGTAATCCTCTGGAAAAGGAAAACACATCAATGATTACACGTGATCACAGCCTAGGCTCGGGCTCACCAGATCACCTCTCGGACGTTCTGCCGCTTTACCTTGCGTTCACAATCCTAATCATTGGATGCTTTTATTAATGCAATGACAAGTGGATCCCGTTGGCGTGACATCCAAAGATTCATAGAGGAGAATTCCTGAAAGGTAGACCTCTAATAATAATTAGAGAGGAAGGCCGGAGTTTGGCAACTGGTTAGAACGATCTAGGAGCGACATTCCAGATGCTTCCGCTCGTCGTTCACATGCCTTGCAGCTCCTGACTTCCCCTCGGGAAATGCGCAGTCAAGGTATAAGAAACCGCCAATTGAAACATCGGCATCCAGGATTTCTGTATATTCGTTTGAGGTTACGGCGTGTAAAGACTACGCAGTGACGTACGGATGAGATATAGCCGAGTATATCCGGTAACGAGGCCACTAACCGAGCGTGCTGGAAGACCACAAAAAGGACCTGGGGACGGCCAAGTTCCTTGTTCAAGAAACCACCCTTGGGGTTCCGGTGATCAAATTGCGAACGGAAAAACCTCGAGTTAACCAGTTTGAGATAAAACCGTCGATGCGCATGTGGAAACCTCAACGAAATACCCTGAATCCTCTGGGATGGGATTTCAACCACGTCACAAGATGGCCCGGCGCACAGAAGGCCATCCGTCCCGCGTTGAATTGGTCTATTCCTTGCGTAAAGTATTTACCAAACATTCTCACTCACAAAGGAAAGACAAGACAAGACCCTTCGAATCAGGAGAACTCCAGAGCAGAATCAGATCATCAGATACCGGGGTCTGAGCACAACTTCAGTCATGATGTGAGGCGATATCCAGCTAGATCCTTCATGTCCGGAGACGGAAACGGAGAATAACACTTGGTAGCCGTAACACAGGGTCAATATAGAGGTGGGCCTGGATAAATTGATTAAACCTTCGTGGGCAAACCATGGAAATTAGGTTTGGATGAGCCGGTGGATTATAGCTCTCGCGGAACAGGAACTATGGGATTGATATCTAGAGACAAGTATTCTCCGTCAGCAGATCCCATCCTTCCAACGAGCCCGCGGTAACTCACCTGATGCATAAACGTGGTGACCTCGTTGTAATCTAAAACTCAACTGAACGAATAGAGCCATGGGGATATAGGCACCATAACGGCGCGACCTTCGAAGTCCTGTATGACTCGATACTTAAAACGGGAGAGACAGGGTAGAACTTTGAAAACATGAAAGCAAGGGTTGAGTAATAAAACACGCGACAAGCGCGTGGAAGAAGCGCCGAAGGTCGGCAACTCTATGGCTTTATAGACTGAATTGTTGGTACCTGTCGGCCGACGAGTAGCAGGCCCTGTATTTTGAGGGTAACAGAGTCCAGATTTTGGCCATCGAAGGACAAAGTATCACGAGTACGACGAGAAGATGCGCCACACTGTGGCGCTTGCAGTGAAGAAGACAAGACTGAAGCCCAAGAAACAGGTAACATCCGAAAGGAACAGACATCGAATCACTCCCTTCCTTGGGAATTATCTTCAAAGCGCAAAGAAAGTGAAGGAAGAGCAGCATAAAAATCAAGAATTTGTTAACTTGACGGTTAATTGGGTGGAGTACAAGTGTCTCAGAGTCAGTCGAAAGGAATGACGTTTAGAGCACGTGATACTAAACAGGTAATCACTGATCTTGTATCTGTCTATTTATAGAAGTCCCGTCTGTCCGTCATGTCGAAAAGTTCTATCATGTTGTCCTACTTGACTCTCGACGTATTCACAACAACAGGATTTCTTGGAAATCCACTCGCCATTGTCTTTCTACCTCATCCATTTTCTGCCCAAGTCTCGCAGCAACAGAAACAAAAAATCGCACGAGAATTCAATTTCTCAGAGACTGTTTTCGTTTATGACCGGGAGGAATCACCAGAATCTGGCGTGACTTTTCCGATCTCCATATTTATGGTAACAGATGAGATACCATTCGCTGGGCATCCTACCGTTGGCACGGGCTGGTATCTGTTGTCTAAAACTGGGTTGGACCAGATAACCTTACGAACCAAAGCGGGAGATGTATTGGCCGCTAAAGAGGGTGACCGGGTGCGCTTAAAGGTCCCTACAGACTTCAAGGTACATCAGCCATATTACAAGAAGATGCTGAAGGAGAAACAATTGGCATTGGAAGACAAGGACTATGTGAATGGCGCAGCAGGTGCGGAAGCTGTGGTCAGTACTTATTCCAAATTCACCCGGATGACTCTCCCACTGACTCATCCCAAAATGTAGGTCTCTATCGTAAAGGGCATGTCTTTCATCATGATGGAACTGTCCTCCGTGGAAGCTCTCGGGAAGCTCCAGCACTACGGTGAGCCCATCACGATACCTGATGAGCATCTGGGGGACTGGAAGGGTTTCGGTGCTTTGTACGCGTTTGTGAATACGCCAGATGGAACCGTCAGAACGAGGCTGTTGGAAGGCACATTCGAAGACCCTGCTACAGGCTCGGCCGCCTCCGCACTGGGGGGCTGGCTAGGACTGAGGAAAGGTGATGGTAACTGGAAGTTTGATATTGTTCAGGGTGTGGAGATGGGTAGACGCAGTGAAATCACTGTGTTCGTCAGCGTCCACCAAGGGGAGATAAAATCTATTGAATTAGCCGGGAGTGCCGTTCAAGTCATGGAAGGGAAATTGGCTGTCGTGTAAAGGAAGCGTGTATTAGGTGGCAGGAATACTGATTCCATCATACGAGAGTTATATGATCCAATCGGATTTACTGGATGTCAGATTTTGGCAGGTTAGCTTTGTTACACCAGCGTTTCACGGTCGAAAAAGGGTTCAGGCAGTACCGAACTCCGAACATCCATAATCCTGATGCAGCTCACTTATCCCGGCATCGTACGAGTACATTTGACAGAGTTCAGTCTGTATTCCCACTCTGACCACAATCCCCATTTTCCCACATCCGGAAACCGATTCCGAGTCCTTCTCTATAGGCCCAGTCAACGTTGTTTAGAAACGACCTAACTATTTTCGAAAACATCCGTCAAGACGGAAACGCTGTGTAAGCAAATATATGTTCAGTAACGTTCATGTTCTGCGGCGTGCGTATTGTAGGAAAAGCGAGCCGCTACGCTGGCTAGGACATATTTCTAGTCAGCAAGCACAAGTGAATAGAAACGGATGTAATTTCCGTGTGACCGTTGAGAGAACGTGAGGGAACGATTAGTTGGAGAAGAGGAGGAGAAAAGGTACTCCTTAGCGTGTGGACCAACATATAATTTTTGTTGAGTCCCTGGTGTCGCAATAACCAACAAGAAGGACTGTTTCGAAACGTTTCCAGATACTACAAGTTGGATGCAGAGCCAACATTGACATATTGTACGGTCTGTTTCCCATGCTGAGGCAGTTTTCAATATTCAAACGTTCCTCATAAAGCGATCCTGAAGGCATGTCATTGGTCAGAAATAGCAAAAGAAAGATGTGCGACTTATCTGCTAAACAAATGCGCAGATCGTTACGCCGGTCTGAGTTAAGCCGCCTTTACTCTCTACAAATATTCGGGATTAGACATTGATACTAGCAAGTAGTACAACACCGTTATTGGCTTGAAAATAGCACCACGGAGTAGCAGCGTGCAGGCAACGAGGGGATCGCTGCAACGACGGAACTGTGCTATGCGTTTGAAACCCATATGAACCATGAGGGGACCATTCTGAATGACGCCGATAAAGAGAATACACCTGTGTGCATACATCTTGGCATCCAGCTGTCTTGATCGTTTGAACGTATAGACTGTTGCCTGTTGATACGGGCACCTTCCCAGCATCAGTAAAAAAATATATTAAGAACATAGCGACCACCCACACGCATACGTGAATTCCGTAGTATCGGCAGTCTTGAAAAGGCTCTGAGTATCGCGAGATTGGTACCTTTTGTGTGTGACCAGCAAGTCAATTTCAGCGACTTGAGCAGCCCTTGCTACTACTATTCCACGAATGATCAGTTTAATCAGTTGCAACGAATATATATAACACGATACTGTTCCGGACCATAGAATCAAAATAGCCACCGTTCGAGAAGGAAAGGGACATCGCCAACTTGGTTCGAGCACAAGTGGAAATTTACCAAGGTTGCCACGTGCAAAAGCTCCAATTTTCGATTTGAGTCAAATTCTGAATCTGCAGCAATCGACCGAGGCAGTAGCAATTCTCGGGGTATCCAGCCTTGTCCTCTGTTCTAGAGCAGCCACGATGTTCGACGAGGCCCTTGCTGTTCTTTCTTTCGGCTATACTCACTTTGCCTGGAAAGAGTCCAGCTGGCATTAGGATTCCTTTATCGGGTGATCCTTCTACTTCCTTCTATCAACGGCGCTTGCCACACGCCAAATCCTCGAGGCTCAGTGGGGCAGAAGGATTTAGGCTCGACATAGCGCTGTGCTGGTCTCCAACACGATTTTTTCGAGATGTTGTTGATCCATCCATCCAGCTCTTGCGATGTCTGCTACGAACAATTTTTCGTTGACGGGACAGACTCGGCGCCTCATTCGCTTCCGTGTGGACATGTATTCTGCAGAGCGTATGTCATTGCTCACTCATACGAGCACCGTTCCTTCTGATTTTCAGCATATAGGTGCTTGATGTCTATACCAACACATGCACGGATATGTCCATTTTGTCGACAGTCGTTCCAACTGAGTGGCGTCCGAAGATTGCATTTAGCGCCCGTAGAAGAGACTGATAAGGACAGGGAGGCAGCTCTTCTGGAGAGATTTTTACTGGCAGTCGACTCGGAAGATCCAAGCGAGCTAGAGAGCATTGTAGCTGAGGTTGATGCGTGGTTTGAGCAAGGCAAGGTTGTGTCATTTGCTCTTCGTGGTTAGTGAGACTGACGGGAAACACAGGAAAGCCTCGTTCTGGAGAAGGCGCGCAATCTGCTTACCCGACACCAACAACTCAAAGCGCAACGGAAGCAGCATCGGAAGGAGGTGAAGGCATTGGAACAGACCGTCCAGCAACTGGAGGAGATACGGATGGGAGGCTCGACGATTGGCGAGGTACGGGAGCTACGCCGGTATGATGACTTTTCCTTGCTCTCGCTTTTGGTGTCTAACTGCCATATACAGACGGGCCAAACAGGATCGCATACTGATCGAGTCGCTTCAAGAACAACTCTATGGTCCCAGGCCCAATAACAAGGGCAAGGCGAAAGAATCGTGGAACCCTCTTCCGACCCCTCCTGATATACTACCATTTGATGAATTGACGGGGACTTATAACGACGGTGCGGGGGGATCACGGAACCCTATTCCCACCCCTTCTGATATGCTACCCTTTGACGACCCGGCACGGATTAACAAGGGAAAAGCGAAGGAATTGTATTCTCTACCAACCTACCCTAACATATTACCGTTTGATGACCGAGCACACAATGGCAAGGGCAAGGGCAAGGGCAAGGCGAAGGAATTGTGGAACCCTCTTCCACCCCCTCCTGATATGACACCATTTGATGGCATTGCACAGATGCTCAGAGATGCGTTGGAGCATGATACAGCTGCGATGGCTCGCAGACATGAAGATGGACAAAGTGCAGACCATCTCATCCTCCGATGGTAGCATTCCGACCCAGCTTTTGTACGTGTACTCTCTGGTAGATTATCGATGGATTGACTACGGCAGCACCGATACTACCCCGTCTTTACCTGTAGTTCTACATATATGTTTGTTCTAGTCATGCCGCCAAACCCACATGAATTGTCACCGCCTTCCTCCAGAATGGTCAAGTTTCTAGTGTCCTCGCAGATGTTCGGTGTCGTAAGTTGAACATTGCACCATTGTTCTTGGTATGTCACACTTCCTTTGTTCCATCAACAGGCACATTATTCAGCGGCGCTTGGAACGAAGCGCCCTCAAACAAAGCGTGCATCTGGCTTTCTTGTTTGAAGATTTACAAACGCCGGCAATTGAATTGAGTGCGTCTTTCCTGTAGTTCACCACTCCTCTCCTGGTCCCTGACCATGTAATTCTTGCTACCCAGCACAACCATGTCCGGTGTTCTAGTATTGGCGACTTAGGTAAGGGTATACGCTGGAGAACCTGAACTTGTTCTTACCATTTCTCACCCTAGGCGACACGCAGTCACACGAACAGATGCAGGCATCTACCAAACTGACATTGCTCTAGGAGGAGTGTTGCTCAAAAATTTCAGCATGACCATTTTTGACGATCCGACGCGTCTGAACAGGGAGCCTCCTCTTTGGATACTCACCACTCTCCTAGTCTGCAAACGCTGCAACGCCGTTGTCAAGCACCGTTCTTCTTTATGGACGAATATTATCGTCGACACTGATTCACCTAGATCAACAGATCTCCTGCACATCAAAGACGTGTTTCCGGAGATGCACAGAGCCCTCGATCGTTCAGGTTCTCGTGTCTGCTCTGTGTTACTATTGGTATGTGTTCGAACGTTAAACTCGTGAATCGTCACTGCAGATTATTATCCGACACTCTATACGTGCTCGCGCCACGGATACGAGTATTCTTGTAACTCGTTCACAGATACGTGGGTATCACAATAGCTCTCACAAAGCCAGCCGAAAGGCGTCTCACTGCCACAACTGGAATCATGGCAGTCAGTCTACCACATGGAAATGTCATGGCCAATGACGCTTCACAGCATGTACAGGGGAAACGAGGAAATACGCGAACGTCCATTACCCCTTACTGAGAGAGATGGCCTTGGTATATTATCCCACGAGCGTGGAAGCGTGTCTGCATTTCTATCTCACGAAGCTGACCATCGCATGGATTCCTATCCTTATCCGGCCAACGCTTCCTAAGCTTGTCAGAATACTTAGTGTTAGCTGGCAATGCTGGAGCTGATAGATGTGCTACCACCGGGAGATATTGTCAGTGATAAAAATATCGACCGCCTAGAATTACCGCACACCCATACCAAAGGCTTGGCTTCATAGAACCCTGTTGGATTCCACCGCTCCTCGGTGTCGTCGTGTTTCCTACGTTGCGGACATTGAATATCACCAATCTTGGACCCGAAGTTCTGTTGGTCACCGAAGAAAGCCAGGGCATGAAGATGGATTAATGAACCGGTGTTCAGTAAACTATCGGTTCATGTCGTATAACGAACTCCCCGCTTGGTTTTTCGTCGCATCGTTTCCCCGTGGAGGTGTGGATCCTTTCAGTTGACGAGCTCGTAGCCCTAGGCTTGGAAGCGCTGCGGTCTCTATCATTCTTATGGAGCCTTTTCTTTCTCAAGGATCTAGATCTCTACTCCCCCGATATTGTCTTGCTCTGTCTGGATTTTGTCAGTTCGAAAGGTGCGGAAATTGTTGATCCCGACGATATTGTATCCTTTTGTGATAACGCCCAAATTAGGGACCCTACGAAGTCCTTGCACAACCTTCGGAATGCTTTCAGAATGGTACATTCTTTCATAAAGGAGCAGTGCTGTCACTTGCATCCGTACGCTATTCATCGGGTGTCGTCGCTGTCACAATGTGAGCTGATTGTACTAGAGAGCTGCAGATTCACAACAAAGAGCCCCCGATATTTCTTTACTGTCGAGTTCTGCGGCCATTTCGTGAAGGATTGAGAGAACGTGGAAGACGAAGTCACAGATTGGGACTCGTTTGACAAGAATCGAGTGGGTGAATCTTTTTGTATTGGGCGAGATGATTGTTTTTTTCTGGTTTATGCACTATTGATAATTCTATAGTGCCCTCACTGGTGCAGGTTGAATTCCTAAGCCCCCGTTTATGTTCTCTGCCTTCATATCTCTTTCCCTGCCTGCCTTAAATGGGTCATTTTCAGCTTGTATACATATGCGAGTACCGCAAGTATCTATAAAACAGTCTCGCCAGGCTACTTCGCAGCAAAGAGTCGTTGATAGTCACGTGACGGTGTTCTGGTCAAATTCGGATCAAGATTCAGACTCCGACAAATCGACCTGGCTTTACACCACGAGGAGCTCAGTCAATCAACTTTTTATGTATGCCAGTATCCATACAGAATGCAACGCATCCCTACTGCCTGACTCTACTCGATTATCCCGAGTCCTTACCCTCGATAGCTAGGTGAGCGCGACCTCAAGACACCATTCCAAGCCTTTTCGATGCCCCATGCTAGATGTTCCATCCTGTGAAAAGTCTTTGCTGTGCGCTGTCAATCTCGTACCGTAGGCTGAATGGGTTGAACAGTAAATGGTGTCTCCACAAACAGTTTGTACTACGGTACCGTCTCCAATACATGCAGTCTGGGAATGTCCTCACCTGTTGCTCTAGTGTCCAGCTCGTCGGGACGGGTAGATGTTACTCTGAAGAATACAGGGATGCTTTGCGGGCCAATTGTATAGACAATTGCGATTCGTCAGCATTAGTCGATGCTGTCCGCGAGTACTTTGCTCACCTTGGCTTAGCGAGTGTGTATGATCCTTCTCTAATGTTTTCCATAACTTTATGCATGGTTTCAGTCACCGTGCGGTCTTTCGAGTTCCCAAATGATGTCTACCACTGATGGCGATGACGCTCCCCAGACTCCACAATTTTAATCCCTGGAAAAGATCCAAGACACTTGCAACGCCTTGATACGCCTAGTCACTCAGCACATCGCGCTTTCAGAGCATGTTCCCGTATCTTTCACCCCGATATCTGTCCGTGCCGTATTTATAGCTTTGTCGCACATCTTCGCATCATTGTTCTGCGTATTCGCCCTTCAAGTTCTCCCCAGGAACTCTCACATCGAAATCTGGCTTAAAGATGTTCAACGTCACAAGACGGAACTTGTGGTGGTAGCTGGAGATCTTATGCGGTCTGTGGGCTTTGCGTTTTGAGGACTAATGTGGAATATGGCGGCGCACGAGCAACGTTGTGTTACTATATGCCTCGCTTGTCCTGAGATACCCCCAACAGCCATACTGTCGCGAACTCAATGACTCTTCCCTGTTGTCAGTACACTGCATACGCCTGCTCACTGCCAGTGTTCGGCGCCGTGGCTGTTCGATCTTTCAAAGCCAACAACTAGCATCAGAATGCTTCCGAGTATTACAACTGGCGGAATGAAAAGAGGAAAACACAGGACCCAAGGACCTCCCTTGCTCCTTGGAAACACTCTTTGAAACATGTTGATGGTGTTTTAACTTCAATATTGTTGTCCTGAACTCATCCTACGTGCAATCAAGGCTACGAAATCCCGAATACCAGGACCCCGGATAATGCCCTTTGAGGCCTGATCCCAATCTTTCGAAAATTCTAGCATTTTGTCCGGACCAAAAAATTACGATTTTGGTCATTTTTGTCCGAATTGGCCTCAGGTCTGTCACCAAAAATCCGGCGTCGGGGTCTGTCGGCCCCTCGGCGGGGGGTCTTCAAGGGGTTGGATGGCCTAAAAAGTGCAGTATTTGTCCGGATTTCGATCAGGCCTGACTGCCAGCTGGCCCCATTTGTCCGGACTTTTAACCAGGCCTTGAGGGTCAATTTGGCCAAATTTTGTCCGAACTGGGATCAGGCCTCATAGGGTATTATTAAACCACCTTAAACCCAGTCACCCGTACCTGATGGAGCAGGTTAGGCGGACCCTTGACAACGCAATATCATTGGTAATCGCTAGGCTGTGCAAACTCTCCTCTCCCCTTTTAATGAAGCACATCAGCCGGATCTCCATACGAACGATGCTTCCCACCGAACTGTGCAACCTTGTCATTGACCATCTCCATGACTCCAAACCATCCCTCTTAGCATGCTCCCTAGTCTGCCGCGCTCGGGTCCCTGAAAGCCGTTTTCACCTCTTCCACAAAGTGCGGCTCTTTCGCGACACAGATCTATTCTTTCAGTTATTGGAGAGCCCACACGCTACGCTCGCTTCAGCTCATATACATGAGCTTGATGTCGCACAGAATGCCGTTACTATGAACGGAAACCTCGAAAACCTTGACGGAGAGCTGCTTGACCGTCAGATATTCCAAGGCGTCTTGGCCCGGTGCCCTGCAAATGTTTTCGAGCATGTGCGGAAGTTGTCCGTAACATGGGTTGGCTGGTGGATCCTAGGTGACGCGGAGAGACTGAGTATTGGGCATAGGTTCCAGAACGTGATCGAGCTCGCGTTGTGGATGGTTGTTTTTCAGGAGGACGAAGAATTTCCTGCTCTGATCGCTTCGTTCCCAGCCCTGGAGGTCTTGTCCTTGCAGACTATACGGTTCCGGGTTAAGGATTTGGAAGAAGAACACTCGCACACCGAACACACACTACCAGCCAATTTGCATACTATCTCGATCAACGATGTGTCTAACCCCCATGTAATACGTTCCTTGATTCCTTGTCCATCCCTTCGAGTATTCAAGTGTCATTATGTGAACTTCGGTGACTTCGAGCCGATATTGGCGAAAGAGTTTGGTCAGCTGCTGTTGTCTGCTGGCGAGCGTTTCGAAGATTTCAGGTTTACTATCCAGGCCGCAGCGATGCTTAACGACGGTGTTGATCTTGGTAGGTTTCGCCACACACTTACGTTGGCGTTCCTGCTAATCAGCTTTCGCAGATGCCTGATTCAAACTTGTCGAACTCTCCCGGATCCCCAATCTTCGACGGATCGAATTATGGATTGAAGACAAACAGTACCTCCTCCCTTTCCTCAAGCGCCTCACAGAGTCCGACATTTCTACTCCCATGCTGGAGACGCTGGACATACATTATCTGTCCGTGCATGATCTAGATTGGGAGGAGCTCGATGACGTCCTTCAGCATCCCCACTTCCGTGCCGTCAAAGAGATCAAAACAACCGTCCCGACGTACTTTAGCCTTGAAGATGTTGTTGGACAAGAGCCAGGATGGTATGTGAAGCCCAATGATGGATCCAACGCCCATGTTGAGATGGGGAATAACATCGCAAGGTTCATGGAAAAGTTACCAAGGTGTCGAGCGAGGGGGATATTACGGCCGGAGGAGGGATGGAGGTTTTTTGATAGTTCAATGTGGTTCGGATCAGTGGAACGGCGGACGAGGAGACAGAGACTTTTGGATAGGGTTGTTGGTGCAGTTCGTAGATTGAGTAGTCGTTGAGGTATGCGTCATTGTCGTGCCTCATACGTTGTCAGACTTCCAAATATACAGAGTATTGGAGTTTTGGACGAATGGGATTACTGTGCAGACAACTTCAGGGCAAGTCACGTTTATTTTCGGTCGAAATCTTCTTTCTATTGAACCGGGTATTCGTGTTACTGACGCTAAACGGCAAAGAGGGTCTTGTACAAACGCTGCTGATCGTTCTAATAGTATTTCGAAACACATGTACAGGTAGAGATCAGCTAGTATCAAATATGCTGGGTTCCTCTGCGTCATCGAACTGTAGACCACGATTATGCACCAGGTATACCGCAGCTCTGTCTCTGAGATCATATTATACCTCGGAAAACTCAGGGCGTATGCTGGTCGCCAATTTGCTTGACGCGAGCTTGTGACCTTGAACCAAAAATTTACTAGATTCGGATGGCATACTTAATCATCGAAAACCGCAGATACTTTGATGATAAATTAGAAACAAGCACTGCATATGCTGGAGTCATTCACACAGCAGAGCGTGTTCAATGTTCATGGGCTCATAAGGCTTGAGCTTGAGGTCTAGACTTGATAAGTTGTCGACACGATGTGCCGTGATACCTTGATCGGGACCTTGTGCCGGTACCAACTTGAACACCGACACCAACACCACCACCGCCACCGCCAAGTTCAGACATCCCTCTCCCCAAACCTATTGCGCTAGCTGACAGGACCCCTGCAAATTCTTCTTCATAATACCCAAGCACAATTCGAAAAAACAATCGAACGAGTAGAGAAGCTAACGAAGGGCGTAGATGAGGCAAAACTGAAGCTGGGAACCACGAAGGCGCTTTTCCAGAACAAGAGCTGATGAATGGGGTGGGTGTCTCTACACCAGCATATATTTGCTTTTTACCAACCCTTTCCGTCAGTCCTAGTCAGTGTTTCAACGGATGCCAGGCTGAAATAATGGATGCTAGATGATTACGCAAGGGTGAGTCGGTAAATTCTTGCCTGTGTGGATTTGTTCTAAATAGCTAGCCAACCTCGAAGTGTTTTGTAGAACGTTGCAAGCCAATTTCTGGCCCTCCAGACGATTCAAAACCAACAAGACGATGCCCCTTCTCCCTTCCCCTGCACATCGAGACAGCTCACAACTCTATCAAGGAAACAATCGTACAGACCTAACGCCTAACGATTGAAGCGGGTGTCAGTCTGCATCAGGTTGTCACATGCGAACAACGACCACTACTGTCCGCCCGAAAGGAAACGATTCAGTGAACGGGAACACATCCTCCATTCCCGAGGATCAACTGTGCCTTACCTTTGACTTCACAATGAGCACTCCAATTTTCCGAGTCCGGAGTGTATGCAAGGACAACTTCTCAGCGATGATGCATGATGTTTCATTCACATGCAACATCCTGTTACACCCGGCGGGGGTCAGTTCAAACGACGCAAAGACCGCTGCACCTGCTTATATTCCAAGTGATTGAAGAGCGAGGTAAAACACCCTAACCCTAGATATACGAACATTAGACCAAACAGAAAAAGAAGTACTAGCCACGTACTGCGAGGCCCTTTGGAAGCCATCCACAAACGTCGATTGATTTCCCTGATATTCCCGCGTTCCTGATATACCCCCGCGATTTTAAGGAAACATCGGATGTTGTTCCGTGACGCTAGATAATTATCGTTTGTATCTAGGAATAACAAGAAGTCCCCAGGAACATGCGCCCTTAATAAAAAGGCTGGACATGGGTACCGTATGTCAATCAAAAAGACATATGCTTCCAAGCCGTGTCTTCCCCCTATGATATTCATCATATTCAGGTTCCATAGACAGGTATCGGTGGTAGCAGACACAGACGGGAATATGATAGAGCTGCGGAATCTGTGCAAAAGTGATGGTCCACCAGAGCACGAAAGAGAAATGTGTAACGAGAGGAAAGAGGGTTTTAAAGCCAATGTCGTTAGGAAGGAAGAGTAGATAGCGATACACTCTTATAACTGCTGTCTCCATTGCACATTCGTCGAGGTCGATGAAGCAGGTGAGGGTGCGGGTAAGTCTGGGTATTAAGTCATGGTAGATGATAGATTTTCGGTGCTGGGCTACGTCGCATAAGTAGTATATGTATGCGGGGTTGATGATGTATATATCCTGAGAGGCAATGGGGGCGAAGACAGCTTTCCATGTCCGGTTGATGCTGGGGCAAGTAGTCATGAAAGTTATTCGGATGTAGGATGGCATTTCAGAGTGCCAGGCCTCATATATGATTAGCTCTACAAGCTCTGGAGGAAATGCGGTCATGGTGGGAGGATAAGAGAATTTGGGTGTGAGATCGTATAGGAAAGGCGATGTCTCGTTCAGGAGACTCGGATCGGAAGGTCGAGACGCAGCATGAAAACCGACTCTGAACCGCTACTATTTTCAGAGAATTTTTTCTTTCCTTTGAACCAGGCCTTTGTATTATTGGCACTAATCTGGCCATCTTTCCCCAAAGAGTATCTTGTATATACATTGCTGACGACACGAATGGCGCCGTTTTGACACACGGGGAGAGGTTCGCTAGTATAAAAAATACTAGGTTCCTTCGCACCATCAATCTATAAGCCGCGATGCAGTACAAAGAATGACGAAGCGTAGATGGAGACACCTGTGAAATCGGCGAGGTATTGTACACTGGAAAAGTCCGAGCGTATACTGACTGGTACACCGTCGTCGCCAAGTGAGCTTGTGACCTCGAACCAAAAGTTTACCAGGTCCGGATGGTCTACTCAGTCATCAGGCACCACAGCCATTTTCGATTATGAATAGAAAACAAGCGCTGCATATAGACAGGGTCATTCACATGGCAGAGTGTATTCAACACTCATGGATTGTTGATCTTAAGGCCTGAGGCCCGTTGGAAGCATTGAAAATCAGACTTTCTCGGGTACACTCAGGTTCACTTCAAGTCCTACATTTCCTGTTAGGAAATTCTGAGAGGTATGTAGAAGAGCGACTGGCTGACCGTGTTCTTGTTTGATGATATTCTTATCCCGCTCTTCCTTGCTGATGGCGCCGAAAATAACGTCCATGTCTTCAAGACTGCGGCCTTTCGTCTCCGGGATTAGACTTTATGACTACGGTCAGCAATGAAATTGAGATACGCATGCAGTCGATAACACGTGCCTCAAAAACAGGCCCATTGCACCGATGTTTACAGTAGCAAACGTTATGAAAAACTTCCAACCCAGATTGCTGACCATGTCTGGGGTAGTTTTGGACACGACGAAACCTATCGCCTGATCAGCCAAACGTAAACAGATAGGTAATGCGAACGACCTACTCCACAACCACTGGGATGCAGTACCTAATGCTAAGCCGTAATGTCTTGTTCTTGTCGGGAAGATATCTGATACGTAAACCCATGGGAGTGGTCCCCATCCCAAACAGTAGAAGCATACATATATGTATATCATAGCCGCCGTAGCTTGGCTGACTGCATCGGGGGATAATGCTGAAGCATTCGTGGAACTGGTCACGAGTGGCGGGCGCGTCTTCAGAAGTGCACCAACGATATAGAACAAGGTGCCCATTCCAAACGCAGAAATGATCAGGCATAATTTTCGTCCAAGCCATTCAATTCCGAAGAAGACGAACAACGATGAGGATACCAATTTGACAATGCCAAAGACCCCGGATGCTAGAAGAGAGTTTTTTGTACCGGTATAACCGATGGATCCAAATATCTGGGGTGCGTAATAGTTCACAGCTGAAATCGTCGGAATTGTGAGTCAGCTAGAGAAAATGAGGACAAATGGGGACCGTACAATTTTGACCCGACCATGCCTGTAGGAGGAATATAACGAACGCTATCACGAAGCGAATCAAGTTTCCCTTTCCGAAAAATGCTTCCTTCCACTGCAGACCCTCACGAGCCAAGTGTTCTTCCTCAGTAACGGCTTCGATTTCGGCCATCTCGTGCAGGACTTGCTCGGAGGTGGGTGGGAGTCGTCGCAAATATGCGAGGTTCCTAAGGGCGTCATCTTTTCGGTTAACTGACGCGAGCCAACGAGGCGATTCCTGGGATTAGCTCTACGTTTAGCTCTACCTATTTGAGTACAATAAGTATCGGAACAGGCACACCTTGATTGTCAGCAATCCAAAGGTCATGATACCAGCCGGTACGAGTTGGACGCCGAATGGGATCCTCCATACATTCGCGCCACTAGAAATATGAACGCCAATACCATCTTCGAGTGTATCATTGTTAGTGGAGGTGATGGGTGACAACTTGAACACACGCACAATTTATGAAGTAGGATAACACGCCTCCAGTGGCCAACATGATCTGGAAGAGCCCGGTGATTCGTCCTCGAACTTCTTTGGGCGAACACTCGGAGACATAAGCTAGAGCTACAGCCGAAATACCACCTATTCCAACACCGGATATGACCCGCCCGGAGTAGATAAGGGCAAGGCCATTTGATGTGGATTCTGCGGCAGTCGTCAGAATCTAAGCACTCGTCCCACATTGAAAGATGGGACAAAGATGTAACAAGGAACAGGCATACTACACCGACACAGAAGAGGACAGAATACATAAGCAAAGTGTATCTTCTCCCGAGCTTGGCTGATACAAAAATGAACTTTTCAGATGGAAGAAGCGCAAGATAAGGGCTTACGAGATATCGGAACACTACCCAAGGCACCAAAGAAGGCTCCGGCTTGGAAAGAGGACACCACATTGGATGAGATGTTGTTGACTTTATGGGTATTTTTCGTCCCATCGGCATTGTACATTCCGAAATGGTGTTGGAAGTACGGGTGATTGACAATGCCGCCGCCAACGCTACTAAAAGTCAAACAGAGCATGAGCACCTGGCTCGAAAGGCAGTACTCGAGAATATCCACGTACATATTATATCCGAATAGCACAATGCCCCAATATACGACGAACGCGAGCCCTGAAACATGAGATGAGTAAATAAGACAGAAAAGATGGTTTGGAGACTGACAGTAGACCCGGATATTCTGGAATCTGCTGCCTCCCTCCATGGCGTATGTGCTACGTATGCGATGGGAACAAACCACGAACACATGTGTAGTCGTACGGCAGCGACAACCTTTTTATATAGAAATGAACTGTTTAAAGATAGCAGGCTCAGCTGACCGGGAACGCAATTTTGAGAGTACCTTCTATAAGTCATATCGCTATACGTTCCCGCGGTGTTCAGAGACGAAAGTTGAAAGATGAACCTGGGTACTTAAATTGCGAAACAGCTCGTCTGAACGCACAGGCCTCAGGTTTGGCATATGTAGTTGACTGGGAAAAGTCGATAACAGATATTGCATCGTGGTGTGCAGTAGAATCTTGAATTTTTTTAATAGGCTGTTCGAGAATTCCTATTAATAACAGGAACACTAATATTGTGAGAATTCCAACTCACCGAGTTCTGTGTTCTTCTTTACGACGTTTGTGAAGTTTAGTCCGTTACCTGCCAGTCGCAAGTAGGCTTATCCAGTGGACCTACAACTAACACGGGTTCAGGTCAAGAGCTTAAAGCGCAACCCAACCTTGGTCGCTGGAAGGCTTGACCCATTTAGCTTGGCATCCTGATGTCTGGAAAGTCCTATACATAAGCATCTTGAAAAACTAAAAGCTGGCATGACGGTTCAAGAATAAGCGCCGGTACCCGGGCCGTTATTAGTCTTTACATCTTATTTTATTTTATTTATTATCATTTATCGCAGAATTTTCATTTTTGCTGGCCTGTTCTTGACCACCACCCCAGTTGACGCTTCTCCACCTGCTACGGCCACTCGGATGCATGTATTCTGATCTGCTGCATATCGAAGAGACGGCATACGGAGGACGTGGCCTATTCGCAACGACATCTATACCGAAAAACGCCCTTATCTACACTTGTTCATCGCCCTACGCCTCCGTGATATACCGCGTATTTCGCAAAGAAGTCTGTGGCCACTGCTTCTCATATGCATTCGACAGCAATCGGAACGCGTGGAACATCCGACGTGACGGTGCCGGAGTATGGTTTTGCTCCATAGGATGTCGTGATGCCTGGCAGGATGGAGATGGTTTACTGGGGAAAATGCACGCTGCGGTCGATAGACTGGTGAGATCGCTCAAGGGTGAAGCAAAGGAACCTCGCTCCAGGAAGGTGATTACCAGCAAGAAAGATCTAGACGCCGCTTGGGCGGCATCCACATTCGACGTTGAGCCTCTGACACAGCTAGAGCTTGATACCGTACGATTTCTTGCGTCTGTTCTCATGGTGCGATACACGGGCGGGGGTGAATGGGAAGATTTCATACAGCTACAGGATAACGAGCTCGAGTACATCCGTGGGCGCCCACAGGATCTTGACTCTCAAATCCGGGTATATGCGTTCCTCCGCAAAGCGGCGCAAGCAGTGCCGGATTTCTACGCATATGTGACAGTGGATACTGTACGTGCTATCCTCGGGCGCGACCAGGGGAACGCCTTTGGGCTGTACGATATGTCCACGTCGGGGGATAGCGAGATGCTGGGATTCGCGATGTACATCAAAGCGTCGTATTTCAACCATGGTAAGTGCCTAGCCTTGATCTCTGTTGACTTGCTTACATTGCCTGCAGATTGTTCTCCTAATGTCCGCAAGCAACGGGAAGGACGCTCGATGCACTTTTATGCCGCCCGGGATATCGAAGCTGGAGAGGAGCTGTGCATTAGCTATATAGATGTGAGCGATCCCGTTGGGAAGCGCCGGGAGGAGCTGGCTAGAGATTGGTATTTCACTTGTTTGTGTCGACGATGCGAGAATGAGTGAGTAGACTTTGACTTCAATTTTCTACTATTTCCCTCAAGGCACCCTTGAATTCCCACTGGCCTGATTGTCAAATGCCTATCATGGGTGTGTCTCCTGATGGATGATACCCCATCAAAAGTGCGTGAGAGGCGGACTGTCCGAGGATCAAGACTCCGAAGTACTTGGCTAGAGAGAGACCATTTGGCTATCATCTGACTCGGCGCTCCTTGTTGACTACTCGTTTGGTAGACTCGCTATCCGTAGCATCCACCATTCAATATCGAGACTCTCCATTGTGACTACGTCCGAATGGACCTAATCATGCGATGTCCTACATATCACCTCGCGGACGTTAGACGGTGACTCGTAATCAAAAAAGGCTGTGCTTGAAGTCTACGAAGTCTTGTTTTGGAATGAGATACGGGACTTCTCTTGATCCGTGGGGCTTAGAAGGACGATGGGCGATTCTATAAACCGGTGGTGTGCACCCTCCTGCCCTCCTGTTTCCATGGGCGCCCTCATCGAATGGTCTGTAGATGCCCTGGCATTACCAGGGCTCAGCATCCCGAGCTTTATCGATTTCTCTGAGCTGTTCGAAGTCGGTCTACCCTTCGTCCACCTAGATTCAGCCGGTGTCATGCTAATTTGTAGGTTTCCGCACCGGGTCTTGCGTACATAGTTCTGGGAGGTTTCGTGGTTGCTGTATGCTTATCGTTCATCTATGCTTGGCGCTTGTTCTGACTTTTATAGTTTTCCGTAGTCTCGCTGCTTGTCAAAGACAAGGTCTGTCTCTCTGTTCTTCGCTAGGGCTTGTCTGACCTTCGCTATGGTAGTTATCCATCAGCGAGGTTGTGCTAGGGACCGCTTTCGGCGTTCTTATGGGACCGTATGGCTTGGGTGTCTTTGACCCTCGCTCTTGGGGACTATCCCACAAAGTTACCCTGGAAGTTATGCGGATAGTGCTGGCGATTGGACTGTTTGCGATTGGGGTCGAGCTGCCTAGGAACTACATGAAAAAACACGCGAAGGGACTGCTCGTGATGGTTGTACCTACTATGGCTTTCGGGTGGGTAACTGTTGCGTGTATGTTTGGAGTACATTGATCGGCAGTATTAGTGATTTATTATCCTAGGTGTTCTGAGGGTCTTTTTCCATAATTTGACTTTTGTGTCATGCTTAGCTATTGCAGCATGCCTTACACCAACAGATCCTATCATATGTGCAGCAATTGTCGGTGAGAGGCCTCTTCTCTTCTCTTTTCTTCGACTTTGCCTGCTTACTTGTTTCTCGTAGGGGGCCAGTTCGCCTTGAAACACGTCCCTGTCCAACTTCGACATATGTTGTCTGCAGAGGCTGCAGTGAATGATGGGCTTGGTGAGTGGGTTGGGACTGGAACCTTTCACCCAGGACTGATTCGGAGATTCTCCAAGCGTATCCCTTCTTGTCGATATCGATCTACCTCACTGTTGAATCTTCGAAGCGAGTTGCTGTTGAGAAGTGGCTAATCATCGGATGGTTATGCACGTTTTCTGTCATGCTATTTACTGACATCATATTAATTTGACCATCAGACGAAGTAATTTTGGGAGTTGCCTTGGGCGCTATACTGGGTAATACTATATCTTACCATACACAGGGTTAGATCTCATTAATGAGGTTCCTAGGTCTGACGTTCTCCTGGTTAATGAAGACATCACTGCGCAAGGGCTATATCGACCACGAGTCATACATTGCACAGTATCTAGCCCTGACATTCTTTACCGTCGGAATTGCAAGCACCGTTGGAAGTGACGATTTGCTCGCTGCATTTGCTGCAGGTATGTATTCTGCATTCTAGATTCGATATATCGTCAACCGAAAGTGATTATATTTAGGCACCGCTGTGTCGTGGGATGGAGATTTTAATATACAGACTGAAGGCGAGGCTTTCGCATCGGTTATGGATCTGATGCTTAACTGCGGGTGTTTTGTATATATCGGGGCATGGCTGCGGTTTGAAGTATTTGACGACCCGTTGCTGGGGATTACACCTGGAAGACTGGTGGTTCTCTTCATCGTGATACTGGTGTTGAGAAGGGTTCCTTCGCTGTTGATGTTGTACAGATGGATACCCGAGATTAAGTCATGGAGGGAGGCACTCTTTGTTGGACATTTTGGTATGCGTTAGACGTTGGATCTATTTTGATGTTCTGACCAGCGTTCTAGGACCTGTGTGTTTCACGATTTACCCTTTCTGCATTGTTTTTTGACCATGGTTTTGGTAGATGGGAGTCGGGGCTATCTTCGTTTCTACGCTTGCCTTGACGAGGTTGCCGGAACCTCAATACCCTCCGCAGAACCAGCAGGAACTCTTAGCGGCTACGCTGCAACCGATCGTTTCCTTCGTGGTGCTGGGAAGTATAATCATACGTGAGTGCGATAGGCTTTTTTAATTAGCAATAGTCGAGTGCGATAAATTTTCAGATGGCCTGTCGATTCCATTCTTTTCTTTTGGCAGGAAATTCTCGCGTACAATAGACCCCTCGGCACAAGATTCGCCTCAGTGGCTGTTGCCGGAAGGTAATAGTAACAAGGTGAGCCTTACGATCATGTCACCATGATGAAGTTGGAGGTCATCATTTTTTGTCGCAGAGTTCAGATTTGGAGGATCCGAGGGCAGAGGACGTACCGAGTCTGTCGAGTCCGAGTGCTTCGCCTTGAAGTACAGGACAAGTATCTGTTCGTTGGAAAGTCGTGGTGTCCGGTGAATTTCTGCCGTATGAATCGAGGATGGGAAACAGTCCCAGGGTCGTCGGTAGGACCCTGGCTTGGTCACATCACATCACCTATACGATGTCGCAATGATTTATCAAATATAGTGTTCCATTGTAGAAATACCATTTATTATGGACAGTTCAGTTCATTCCGTTTCCCGGGTATAGAGAGCCTCGAGGGAGAGGACGCACCTTGGTTCAGTTACGCTATCCACGCCCCGGCTTCAATACTTTGGTACTCGGGACCTTCATAGCACTGACAGGCCTTTCCCGAGGTTCAAAGCAGAGTTGAGCAAACACGACCTCACGATATGATTGGGGGGTTTACTACGTCAGAGGCCGCTGGGGAAATCAGAGTTCTCTAGAGATTTTTGTGAAGTTTCCCATGTGTCGGGTACGTGCGGTAGTACCTCCTTGCTTCTTTGATAACCAAAATAACCTCTGTGTTTAGGTGTACGCCGAGCTGATAGGTAGAGATTTTTTTGCTTGGTGAAAAGGGCGCTTTGAAAGGACGCTCGTCAGTGATTGTTCCTAGTATACGACCACCTATCGAAACCTCTGATAATCACAGAAGAGAATAACGAGAGATATTCCGTTCTTCTCCCCATTCTATGCCTGCCGGTCACTTCACTTCTTTTCAGGCTTCGCCCGTTCATTAATTATTCCATGTAAACCACCGTTCTCACATCTGCTTTGCACTATCACGGATCGACACGTCGGAATTACTCTTGGGGGAGAAAAGGGTGGTACTTCCTCGCCTTGGCGCCTCTCTTCGCCTAACTCCTTCCAGCATTCTGAAAGACCCTATCTTTCGCAACCCTCGTCTACCCTATTTCTCACTGCCTTGTCAGAGAAGTAAACCAGTTCAAGAGTCAAACACGTGTTTACCGCGTTTTCAATCGGTTCTTTCGGCCGCTAGCGCCGATTTCTTCTCTCCGGAGAGTACTCTATACTCGATCTATTCCTAGGACGTCGAGAATGAATGAGGGTGATGATGATGGTTAGACATGCTGCAGATGCGTGCCATTAGACACCTGGCGTACACACTTTCGAAGGACGATAAGGTCTCCGATTTAGCAAGCACGAGGTAGAGAAGAAGAAAGAAGAAGGAAATTTTCCTTGCGATGCGCCCAGCCAAGATCTCGCGGATAGAATCCGAGAGCTGGGTTATTGACCCGGGATCTCTATAAGTCATAATGCAAGAGGTACTAAGAGGCTTCGCATTATCAGCCTGAACTCAAGCGGAAATGACTTGATGAACATGCGCTGTTCATGTTAGTAGGTAAGGAAGGTAACATGGCGACCAAACATACTTAGTGTCAGGCGAACCTTGCACGGCCTTGTCCTGTGCGTGTTATCGTAGACCTGAACCCTCAACCGTGGCGGACATGCAACGGTGTTTATGTGAGTGGGCCTTGCCAGATCGTTATCTGGAAGAGTCGTGGTAGATTAGCTTCAGCGCACGAGATTAGATGAGATGAGATGTGCATATGTGATATGAGGACAACAGTGAGGTAAGTACCTCGACCTTGACAAGACGTGGGTGGTAGTAAGTCTGAGCAGAGGCGATAGGTGGCTTCAATATCGGAAAGGTCTGATGCGTATTTTTCACCGACAAAGTTGCGCGCGTCCCAGCGAATTTTCGAATCATCTGCTCCGGAAAAATGTGAAAAATTTGACAATCCCTGGGCCTGAGATCTTGAGAGTGTGAATGTTGCTATACTCTAGCCGTGTGTTTTCATTTCGGACAGTTTCATTTTGATACCCCAGACCATGTAATCCGCATCAAAAGGAGTGGTATAAATGGTCGAACAAGTACGTTTTGGGATACAATAGGGTGGTCGGCCTTCGACACCTAGTGACCCTTTACCAGCCCCTCCGAATAATTCGATTACTTGGTGAATAGACGGATGAGTTTTGCCGAGATGTGAAGGAAAAAGATGGAGGCAATGAATGCTATCGACAACATAAGCACGATGAATGGGTCGCTGGAGATTTCCATCGTCGTCAAACATGATAGCCAGTAGAAGAACGGGTGATCACTCACACTCTCAGTCCAGGAGAGTCGTCGGTGTAGAGCTTCAACATCGTATTGGAGGATCCACCAGCGCCTGCCGCACGGCTCGAATTGGGTCTTGATACTTGTGAATTGTTTGCTCGGCGTCTTGGAGAGGGTGAGTCCACGTCAGTACACGAACGTGTCGTATTAAGCGTACCGAATCTGAGCGCCAGGTGGTTTTGCTACAGTCGGGGCCTTGCCACTTGTCTTCGGTGAGTCTGAATCCGACTGGAGGGAAATTTCAGCGTTGTAGGCGAGTATTCAAGAGGAGAATCCATACCATTACGATAAAATAGAAAGAATAATGGTGGAAAGGACGAAAGCAATGAGTGTCGAAATTCAGCCTGGCAAGTCACTGCACGTGACAATGACACGTATTTCCTTGCCCCATCACGGTCCTCTCTCGTGCCTCGCCATGCTGGGCACAATATTGTCAATATTGCTTTTAATGCGAATATTCATGGTATATGATGTTCTTCCGAATGCTTCAACACAGTCATGATTATCGGTGGCGATGGAAACGGTGAGCGATGTCAGCAGTGAGCTTCAGGACAAGGTATTTCTTGTGGCCCGATACTGTATCGCCGGATTTCTGACGTGTTTCTTGCAGCAAACTACGTCTCGAGTTTTAATATTTCCAGTCCGTTTCATAGCGAACGGCGCAAAGAGATGATACAAGAGGATCCGTATGGGATGTCCTGCTGACACGGAGCAACTGGATACCGAAAACAGTATATCCTATCTCGAAGAGCCCTACAGCACCAAGTACATCCGTTCTCAAGATGGGTTCTCAAGATGGCCAGGGTCACCGTCTTCTGTATCACGCCTGAGCATAACATTGTACGGTAGGTTCACGTTCTGACAGGAGCGAGCCAGTCAGGGTAACATTACTCTTCTAGGATTACGTTGATTCAAGCCGGCAAATTCAGCCTAGCAAGCGAAGAAGAGTCAGCTCTGCTGCTTTACCTTATCGTCCCGTTTCTCCTATAAGCTTCAATGCGCCACTCAGCTGTTCTACTCTCCATTGCAGAGCAAGCGTTTAACCCAAAGACAAGTCAAATTTAGCAACATCGCTCCATTGAGTATGGCTTTCGAAGCAAGCGATTAATCGCTATCGTCATGTATGATGTGAGGTCCTGACAGTTCAATATCTCTCATCGCATTAAAGCGCTCGGATTCGATATAACGAGAGCGTCTTCTGGACCCAGAATTCGGTTCACAAATAATAATAAAATTCCTCTCACGTTTGTCCATTGGTGGGTCTTCATTCTGATGGTCAATCGCCGATAGTCTTTCCCATCCTGCGCTTTAGCAGAAGTCATTCTCGAAGTCCCAAGGATCGCCTACACGCAGGCACATTGTTTCCGCCTTGAGCTTTGTTCCGATCCACCCGGCCCGATAGTCTTTTTTTTTTTTTACAAAGAACGATCAAGGTCGGTGGAAGTGGCCTTCAAGAGAGAGCCTGGGTCATATCCGATGTGCTCTCCACCACCATAAAGCCCAGCAGCGGTCACGCTCTCCAAAGTGTGCACTGAACAGTCGAAGTGACTTTTTAGATTCGAGCTAGACCCATCCCGGTCACTGATGGAATGTGACCAAAGGCCCGGCTTGGCTCGACCCAGTTCATCTGACCGGCTTCAAAGCAGCGGCCTCGTGTTTCCGTTTGGCTCATCCAACATTGATATAGTCGCCATGCTGAGTGGTCCCCTGTTCTACCCCGATTGTTCCACCGTATCGTTGGCCATCAACGAAGTCTCCCACGTGTTTTCGGCTTGTACATGATATTCACCCCGCGTTTCCTTCAAAAGGGTACGCTGCCTATCTATTTCCAGTTCTTGAGCCCCTTCTTTCCGGCATCCCTCCCCATCTTTCATTCATGCTTTGTCTTGGGTCTGGCTCGACGTGCGACGTTTGCCTCGAACCCTTTGGCAACGACACCAAAGCACCCTGCTCAATAGAGTGCGGACATGTCTTTTGCCTGAAGTGAGTCGTCTTCTTTGTTCTCGCTGCTAACGTTCTCAATTCTTTCACCAGTTGCCTCAATCAGATCACGCGTCTCAAGTGTCCTCTTTGTCGAAGCCGCTTTGAGCCGCAGGGTTTCGTGAAGCTTCATATAGACGTGGACGATGTTCGATCATCGTCTCATTCTCCCGAGCGACCACCCAGTGCTTCTCCAGCTGAGCTGGAGGCTCGACGGCTGCAGGAGGCCATCGCGAACATTGCCAACGAAGGGTCGACAGAGGCGAGCCTTCGACAGCTCATCCAGGATTGCAAGTCCTTCCTCGCTGGGCAGCCGCGTAATCTGGTGCGTCATGCTTCATGTTGGTTTTATATCCCCTTTTGCTCATGGGCGCGTAGTTTACGGAGTTGCGGTTTATTCATCGAGTAGTGTCATATCTATGCGACGTCAAGAGCGATTTGGTAAAGACCAAACGAGAGCTGGCGCATCTGACGACGGAGAAAGCTCGATCAGATCAGATGGTGGCTGATCTTGAGGCAGACATGAAGAGAGATAGGAGGAATGCACAGGCGCTGGAGGATAATTTACGGGACTATTGCAGCAAGGCTCAAGGAGCGTACTTCGGCGTTGCAGAGTGAGCCGTGTCCTTGTCTCCAACATTCCTATCACTGACGTGTTTCTCTATTTCCTCATCATCACCAGGCTAGTAAGTCTATTTCCGTCGATCTACGAGTCAGGACGGCTACTTATAGTTCTCCGTATAGTATCTGCATGCCGAAAGCGAGAGGACTAGGTTGAGAGACGTGTTACGTCAATACGGCATCACTGATCCTTTATCCCAGTCTGAACAAGTCCACAATGCGAGCGATGTACGGCCTTCCACCGAAGCCGCACAAGATCAAGATATCCTCTCTCCTCTGACCACACAGCTCCTGATCTCCCCTCTACCAGAAGTCGCTGGTACGATCCCCCAGACTTCAGCTATAGGAAGCATCGTGGCACTCCCTGATGTCGAGGAATGCTGCGACAAGAAGATTCCGAAGCCTGAGCGGTGTGGAGCCGTAGGCTGCCCTTTCTCTTGCCAATGCCGATCTGTCGATCTCTTTGATGATCCATTTCAAAGCCTTACTTCCGTGACTCGCGCCGCCTCAGGGTCTTCCTCACATGAGCCGGCTTACAAACCCATTGCACCTCTTGGCGCAAGTGGTCTGTCGTTGACTGCTCCCGGTCCGATGACGAGCTCTAGCGCAGATGATCCACCAACTCGCCCAGCTTCGCCAAGTCCTGGTGCCTCTACTTCAGAAGAACCACCGCGGATCAAAATACCCGCACCCCCTCAGAGGCACAACTCTTTACACCTCCGAGACCGTCTATACGATTTACTGCAAGAAGAGTCAGGGTCTTCTCCAGCTTCGTCGTCCATGCCAAATCTCACATCTAGTCACTTTCCTTCAACACTCACTTCTCAGCACGCTTCTACTAGTACCTCGACTTCTCAATCTCGTTATGGATCCCTATCGCACCCCCCTCCCTCGCGTGCTTCCGAGATATCGGCCACCTCGGAACAAGTGCTCGGCAAAACGATCACTCGTGCCAGTGATGCAGCTCATGCCCTCGAAAAATCTCAGCAATTGGAGAGGGGCCGGTCTTCTCGTTCACGTTCACGTTCTCGGCGGAAGGAGGGAGAAGACAATGCGCCTCCCACCCCCGAAAAGGACGATTATACTTCCCAGGCGCCGGCGCCTTCTACATCCCGTAGACCTGAGACTCCCAAGACTTCTCGGAGCCGCAGCACGCGGCGTGAAGAAAGTCAAAGTCGTCCGCGCCCCACCCTATCGTATTCACAGTCCATCACAAACTTCTATTCCGCTCCCCCTGGTCCTTCACGTACTCCCATTTACGGTCATTCTAATTTGAAGACTTCGAACTCCTTTCGAGCGACACCCCTTTCGTCTTATCACTCATCCATTGGCAGTGGTAAGGGGAAAATGATAGCTACATCGATGGTGCCCAGTGGTGTCACCTATGCTTGATGGAGCTCCTGTACTATACGCTTTCGAGATAATATGGTATCTTCCATCCGATAGATTGGAAGGGACATTTACGGATTTGGTGTGTTGTTATCCTTTGGTTTCAATCCCCCTCCCTGCCGCTGTCGTTTGTCTTATGTTTATTGTCTCTTTGCCCATGGCTAAGAGCCGTTCTTCGTTTTCTCACCATATGATAGCACACTCGTATTGTCCTCTATTTATCTTTCCACCGGAACACATATGTACTATAATCGCATTTTCGGAATTCACTCGTTTATATATTCAAGCGGACCTTTCTATTTCACGTCTGAATTTCAGAGACCGCGAAAGGAGACAATTTCACAATTTCTGGTTGTCACCGGAACGATTAAAACTGTCTTCGCTACCGCTGCGTAGAACCTTCCAATCTAGGTCCGTCCGCCCGATCTTTATGCTGCATGGTACATTCAAGGAGCCGTTGCATATGCGCATTGCGGATATGGATGGTTTGAGATAGGCCGGATCTTATTGACATTGAACATTGGACATTGAAGAATAGAAGGTGTCATCATATTAGCTGCCGCTGGGTTCAACGGAGAGGACATGAACCCAGCGTCTCCGAGCTCCGAGCCGTTGTCCGCTTCTATTAGTAGACTGGTGACCGTCACCCTTTCCTGCATGCAACGCCAAGTGTGGTCGAAGAGTCTTCCACCATGACACTCTAGATTAGATCAGAGACATTGATCCGGCATTGAGCTCGGAGAAATGACGGAATTGACTTCCAGGAAGGGCAGCTCCAGTATCGAAGACGAGGATAAGTATACGAATAGCAGAAAGAGATTTCTGCCGAAGGGGAGCTATAATACAGAAGACTGACCCACTTGTTGAAGAGTGTAGGCGCTTGTTGATCTCATTTATAACTGCGGTTAATCATCGGTGAGGACTAATTTTAAGCGTGAGTCCTGGGGGAACCCCGGATCCTAGTTGTTAGTAAGAATTCGAATTCCAGAAAACTGCCACCACTGGAGTCAACGAACGTGCTCTGAATGCATGTTTGAATCACGAGTACCGAAGTCCTTTCTTGACATATTTCCCAGACCTAATTCAGTTTCGTTTTGACGGGTCGCACGATGTCCCGCAATTTGAGGTACGCCATCCTCCGAAACGTCAAAAGAGTAGCTTGCGGAGCCACAAGAACAAGATAGAGGTTCATCAAGTAACTGATATGAGAGTTTGCCCGTCCTAGGACAAGCGTAATCAGTGAAAGAAATTCTGGTAAGTAACGATCCAGTGACCAGTTGATGGCGCGCAGTATCGGCAAGGGCATTTACTTAGCTAGTCACCAATAGCTCGCTTCTGAGTTAAAACGAAAGCGACCCTGAATTTCGGAGAAACCTTTGGATTTCAACTGGCACGGCTGGTCCGTGCGATTTGAAAAGGACAAGTCTCGTTGATAACCACACGATGATACTTCATATGAAAGACTTCCAAACGGTATAATGCATTGAATAAAACTGACAAGGGAAACTATTTTGTCATCTATAGACTACGAAGGGTTTAGTGTGTTACCACGCCGTCCCCCATGAGTGTAGACGCGTTTGTGCGAGTGGAGTCGACACCGATGGTAATGTACCCAATAATACCGTTCGCGTAATCCTCCCCATCCATAGGAATGACAGCCAACTCGGGGAACCATCCGTTGACAGCCTCAGCTGCATAAATGGCGTCCTCTGCGTTGGTAGTCCTCTCAATCTCGGTGTGCGAGACGTACGGTTCATACGCCATCAGATACTCCGACAAGTCATCCGACAAGAAGATCTGACCCGTGTTGGCAGTGGTATCAGTCTTGACGGTCCCGTTGGACTGGAGCACCCAATCTTGGTGGACCTGCATAGTATTATTATTAGCTAGAAGCCCGTATCGAAGAAATTGGATGCCAATTCACCTGAACGTGAATATGCACGGTCCTCTCAACGTAGAATCCTGGAACGATCGTCTTCATCTCCATCACACCGTTGGCATCTGTAGGCCACACTCCTCGGAGGAAGGTGGTGTCGTCGGTGTGAAGATCAAAGTTATCATCGACGATGGTATAGTTCAGCTCCTCAAGCAGTTCTTCGAAAGGAGTATTGGGGGAGAGTTTGGTGAACGAGGAATATGAACCCGTGGCGTTGCAATGCCAGAGGTCGACGAGCACATTTTGCATTGGCTCGCAGGTGTTGATGTCGATCACACCAATGTCCTGGATAGACGAATTAGATGCGAGTGATACTATGAATCAGGATCTCGGAGCGTACCATGATCAAAGGAATGCCAGGTTGATCCTCGGTCATATCTTGGCGCAGAGTCTGGGAAACTTCCCAGATGTAAGGACCAGTGGTGGCCTCGGGAGTAAGGATACACGTCTCGTTCTGAATCGTAGGGTAGTACGGCGACTCGGTCGTGATGGTAACCGACGAGTTGGTGTCGCTTCGCTTGGTCAGAACCTGCGCGCGCTTTTCTACGCGTCGCTTTTGCATCTCGCCTACATGGCGCGCGCACTTGTTTGAAGCGAAGTCGCGACGGGCCAACTCCTCTTCTGAACGCTTGTTGGGCGCATGGAGGCCAGGATGGGCAGCAGCAAGCAAGGCAGAGACGAGGAGGGAAGTGAGAGTAGCAGCCTTCATGTTCGCAATCAGTGGGGCAATGCGATGGGAATATACGGCGAGCCATTTGTGTGTTTTATAGGCCAGAGGTGGATTGATTTTTGTTTTATTTTTTTATGTTGAAAGATAAAAAGAGAAGTCCGTCCTTTCGCTCGTAGAACCGTCGAGGCAAGTACGCGGATATTCCCCATCAGAGGCAGTTGGGGATGTACCGTGTGGTGATCCAGGGTTGTTCACCATATACCAGGCGCCTGTAGCCAATAAGGACCGAATTAGTTACTAATATCAGGCTGCTAGAGACCAAAAATGACATCACCAGCAATCTACAGACCAATCGGAAAAATGAGGTACGCAAGTGCGAGAGGGCGGGGACGCAATGATCCTCAGGCGAGTGAAACCCCGGTCTTTGCCAAGACGTTTTAGTGGTTGACGTACAATTTTTTAACCAATTCGCATACATTCAACCCGGCCATTGGGTGTCGTCTTGATTGAAAACAGAGCTCCTCACGACGGTCAAACGACAGTGAAATACGGCGATCTCTGTCTGCCGGGTGCTCTGGCTGTTGGCAGGTCCTTCAGTCTTACATGAGGCATATGGAGCTAACACTTTCGCCCGCGCAACCTCCTTGGTAAGAGGGTGTTCTACAGCAGTCAGTATCCACGAACCTCCCCGCCCTCCCCGCATCTGCGGTTAGCTGCCGATAATTAGATACTCATGGTCTCCTTGGCAGTTGTTGCGGGAGTATCGTGCAAGCAGCTAACGAGGATTTAGTCATAAACGTCAAGGAATTTAATGAACTCGAACCGTCTAACAACCGTCTAACGAGGCCGTGTAAGTTCCATAATGGTCACCTGTTCAGCACAAGGATGGCTGGTATCACAAGGAGTCGCAACGGCGCGACTTTGACATATCGGCCCGCGATTCTAATATCTAATTGAAACTTCCATTTCCCATTCGATTTTTGAGGGTAACTCTCCGCGACCGTGTCAGTGAAGAGGAGGTCTTTTAGCCTAGCGAAGAAGAAAAAACCATGTTAGTGCGTCGTAGCTTCTGAGAACTAGATTCTTTATTGCTCCAGCCAACCCTTAAGCGTACGGGGACAATTTCGAAGTTCGAACAAACGTAGCGACGCCAGTCTGTAGGCTCGCCCGACGAACCGCACCACAGCATTAGTACCGTCGAAGAGCACAGAAATAGCACATTGAATCGGGAGATTGTAGTATCAGATCTTCGCAAATTACCGACCCACGAGAGAAGGATCAAAGTCTAATGTATACCATCCATCATGGTAACTGATTATTAGAGTCGGGGAAGTCGAAAGGGAGTATAGCAACTGCAAGCCTCGAGCACACGTAGTGAGAAACGTATTCGCAGCAGGTACTTGTCAGTTTGAGTCGGCACCGATGTGTATCTTGTTGTATGGTTGGCTCAGTATGGCGAAGGTTTGAAGAGAAACTAAGAGAAAATGCCGGTGCGGACGATCGGGTGTTAGAAGCATGCAAAAAGAAAAGACAAAAGACCGTCGAATAGGCCAGAGGCCGCTTGATTGTGATTCCTTACAGTAGACATAAAAATAAAGAGGGTGATCAGTCCGTCCTTTCGCTCGTAGAATCGTCGAGACCAATCCGCGGACATTCAGCATCAGAGAAAGTGGGAGTGTGCCGTGTGGAGACCTACGGCTGTTTTGTTCAAAGCGTCGGTAGCCAATGAGAACCGGTTTAATTGCCAATAAACGGTCCCAAGAGATGAAAAATTATATCATCCGTCAAGGGCAACATCTGCAAAAGAATTGGGAAAAATAAGGCTGAACAAGTGCGAGAGGGCGGGGGCGCAATGAGCCTCAAACGAGTATCTTGTGCATGTGCGACTGAAACCCTGGTCTTTTTTGCCAAGGCGTTTTGACGAACGTAAAAATATTCACCTATTATGGTTCGGGCACTGGACGACGACGATAGTTCGCATGGAACCTGAGCGCTTCACGACGAGGGAAACGGGTGTCGTTCTTTTGCTTGCTTGGTCAGACTTGCAATCCTACGTGAGATCGGAAGAGCTCATGCTTTGTCTCGCCCCTGCACGGGAGGGTTCTAGGGATAGCGGCACTGAGAACCTCCCCCTTTTGTTCTTAGAAGCAGGTAGACGACATCGTGGTATAACTGACCTCGCCGCTCGGATTTTCTTGGTGGTTGCGGCGGCCAGGATGTTGTGGGCAGACTTTCACGAAGAGCTGGCTAACTTGGCCCCACTTAAGGAATGGAATTTCTACCCTTGAAGGGACAATCACCGCGGGAAAAAATCAGGGCGTGACTTGTATAAATATTTTGAATTCGTACCTTAGTCTCTAGTTTCCCAACCATGATGTACGTTGAATCGTATGAAAAATTCAACCTCAAGGATATCGTTCAAGTCGAAGTTTCGAACCGTGGCTCGGACTTTGCCACTCAGCGGTCCGGACTTTCCCGCACGTTCCGTCGGCACAAGCCTCCAAATTCTCCAAATTTGGACTTCTACCGCATTCTTGTTGGACAGCAACCAGCACGTCGACATCTGCAGGCAGCAAGGATACAAGGCAGTCCATGCTGCGAGTTCATCATGCCGCTCATTATACATGCTGCTAGCCAGTGCGACATCTGCTTCTCGACCTATGCTTGGGACGAGCCGGATCAGGCGCCTCATGTTATCCCTTGCGGCCACACTTTTTGCAAAGAGTATGTGTGGCTCATTGTTTTTTGGACCGATGTTCGACTCACTTCTTGGGCAGTTGCTTGACGAATATCACCAGTATCGCAGACAGGCCGCCAACGTGCCCTTTGTGCAGGAAAGGCTTCAAGCGAGATCCGGTCAAGTTTCGAAGGTTGCATGCAAATGGCCCCCCTGCAGATGAGATGAAACACAATGATTTGTTACAGAGATTGGTCCTCGCTTGGAAACTGACGGAACCAGATCCGGAGTTGGGCGCAGAGATTCAACAATTCCTCGAGGGAAAAGACGAGGACCAGGTATATATATCCGCTCTATCGTCCATGTTTGATATCTGACCATCCACAGTATCAGCCTCTTCGTAACGCGCTTGACGGGACGGACTCCCTCCGAAAGTTGAGACATAAATACGAAAAAACAAAGGTTCTGATGCGGACCGCCACACAGAAAGTCAAGGCGACCCGTACTGAAGATGAGCGGAATAAGGATTTTGAGGCCCTGCTAGTCAGCGAAAATGAGCAACTTCTATCGTACGTATTCACCTTCCTCTTTTCCCGAGTCTTTCTGACCTTTCAACAGGCAGGTAATCCGGCTAAAATCTATGTTCATCACATGTAGTAACGCTATGTTTCCAGATGCGAAGATACCGAGACGAGGTCGACCACCTGCGCAAACAACTTGCCATAGTTAATTCATTCTTTGATGATGGACCCACCAAGGGAAAGGGAAAGCAGAGACCGAACCCTTTGCCGACTCCACCCCAAGACATCTTCCAACTACCCGAATACCAAATGTTGAACAATCAGCCATCTTTACCCACGACCGCGGGCACTAGCCATACCCAGCCTTATCCTTCAGTATCGTCGAAACTCTCGCAGGCGATTCAGCAAGCGCAAAGTCAATACGATCCTGCTCTCGGAAGGCAGAACGTCATTGTCGGTGGTGCTCAACCAGAATCCCGTGTCACTATCCCTCCGGAACAAGAGTGTCATGATGGGCCTTCTTTCCTAGGAGCGGGCAGGCTGATCGGATATCTGCGAGGAGATGATGGTAGCTTCCATCTTGGCCACTTCACGGAGCAATCTCTTCCTCAAGCTGGACCCTCAAAGCACTCGAATGCTTTACAGACCACTGCGTCGACGACGTCACTTTTGTCTACAAACTCCGGAGCATCGTCTGAGGGGCGGCCTCATCAACGCAGCAATACCTTTCCTCGCGTCAGCTTCGACACCTCTGCTAACTCCTCCCAACGCAGTCCGGAAAATCCTGTTTCGAAGACTCAATCCAATTCATCAGTCACAGATTCTCGAGCAGGGGGCCGTGGCAGTTCCCAGCAGATTTCTGAATCTACTGAGTCTCGTGCTAGAGCAAGGCCGCCTGAGCAGCCTCAATCGTCCCAAAGTGGATCGCAGCAGCGTAATGCTAGGACAGGCGGAGCAACAACACGCAGGCGAAGTTTCAGCACCGGAATACGAATGCTTCTTCAAGACCAACCGCCTCCCTCGGCCTCAGACAACATTTCTATCGTGTCGTGGGGTACTTCAGCAATTTCCGATGGCAGCTCGTTGCGCAGCATGAATATTCTATCCTCCTTTGTTCCAGCTACTCCTGGTGCACCCGAGTCGTACGTCGTGCCTGTAGGAGACCCAAGCGCGTTCCTGCCTCTTCGAAATCCAGCGCGCGAGGAAGAGGGTGGTGTTTTGTCGCCTTTAGAAGTTGAATGGATTCCTCAAACGAGGCCTGCCCCGCGCGGACGCCATCGACGACTTTCTTCTGTCCCGAGTCTTCCTCCGGCTTCGCGAGCGACGGTCAGGCCCACGTCGGCGGAGGGCCTTGGTCGGAGGGGATTGGTTGATGAGACGGCAGAGGAAAACGATAACGCGTTGGGTCTGGTGGATTTAAGGAGGCGTGAGGACTCGCCGTTTATTGCCCAGCCTACGCCGATGGTGCCTGCAGCGCACTTTCTGAGGTCTTTCAGCCACCATGCAGCGTAAATTTTTCTCTTTTTCATGTCCAGGACATTCTCTGCAAGTCATTTCTCGTGTTACCATCGCTATCACTCAAACACTATCATCGGGAACATTCAGTCAGTCGCACATCGCATTGCTTTGTATCTATCGTTGTTTCCGCATCAAAGGAAAATAGTAATACCCGCTCTATCATATATATAAGTAGTCAAAACATACTGCTTCGCCACTAGACCAATTCATGTGTCCAGATGACTGCGTCCATTCATTCTACTACAACACTTATCGATTTCCGGGCAATCACCGAGGATGGGGTTCAAAGCTAAACTGTGACCTCCGGGAGCGCAAGATTGGTGGCGTTAGGGTTTAGGCGTTTAATGCGCGTTGTAAAATGAAAACAATGCGCAATCGATGTCACTATCGAAGTTGGAGTATGGGAAAGAGAGTCCAGCCCAGATTACAGTATCAGTGTATGGAGCCCTGGTGCCTGCGTCGGTTGGCGGATCAGAGAGATAGACGTCCAGGCGAGGACTATGAACCGGTTCATAGCTTAATGCTTGTTCCTATGTGGCTCACGGATAGCACAAACAATATAATCGTGCCCATAGATCTTTCTTCTCTCCCTACCACCAGACGCCAGTTATATGAAGATGAGCTATCAGCTTGCCTTTCGATTGAATAGTTATGTTACAGTCTAGTACAGTACATCCCCCGAGTCATAAAAAATAACGAGTCCATGATACATAATAACTCTACAGCGTTAATGAAGAGAATCTACAGCAGCCGTCGTCAATTTCGAAATATCAATAAACGCGTCAAATAAGGCAGGAACTATAAAAGGTACCCGACACTCTCGCCGAATATCCATCAGGACCGTCTCGCACTCAATCCTCTGCTTCCTCTCTGCCTCGATTTCGAGTTCAAATTGATCCCGGGATACTATTAGCCCACGCACGTGAGTGAATGAACTAGAAAACGATTGAGGGTAGCATACAAAAGTTAGGCTCAGGGACAGTCTGCACTCCCATATCTTTGAGCTTCTCCCGTATCCTTGACTGCCGTGCGGCAAGAAACATCATCGCTTCATCGAGCGACCCAAGCTCGTGCAGCAAGGAGAGTTCGTCGTCATCGGACGGGCTTCTGCTACGACATCTTTTGGCTGACGGTGGGGGGGACACCGAGTGCGAGGTTCGCTTGCCGATCACGACCTGAGGGGCGGTCCATTAGCAAAGACTCTCGTAAAAGAATTGTATCAACGCACGGATGTCACTTCTTCCAAAGGAGTACTCTGAGGTAACGAGAGTGTCTCCGGTTGATGCACGGGGATAGAATATGGGCCAGGCATCTCAGAGGACATGGGTACCGGGACCTCTGACTGCGAAGGTACTGGACCTGGCATCGTATATTGAGAATATGGCACGTCCATCTGTGCAATCCGGGTATGATCCGATGGAAATAATTGTGATGGTGCATCCAAAGCACTCTGTGGGATAGTTGTCATCTGAGAAATGAGAACCGATGGGGGACTATGGTGTGCCACAGGTCGAGGCGGAGGGTTGGTTTTCTTCTTTGGTCTAGTTAAAATCAGTTAAGAGCACCCAGACATAACGGGATGCTCACTCTTTCAAGGTAATAGCTGAGCTGTTCAGCGGAATAATGAGACGACTCGTTGACGTCAGATATTGATTCTGTGCTTACATTGACAGCTTGGACATCTGTTGTCGCGATGCGTCTGATATTCTGCTCTTCAGAATTTCATGGAATGGCTATCACTCATGTGGTGAGACACAAAATGCGAAGCCATTTAGACAAACAAACATACGCTGCCTAATTCTGTCTTCCAGTAAAACTTGACAACACCCTTCGTCGGGATCTTTATAGAAGACACTTTGGGGAGCGGGATGTTCAGAGACGTCAAGTCCTTGCGGAGCTTTTTGATCACATTCTTGGATATTTCTGGTCCGGGAGCGAAGGCAGCAGCCCTTGGAGGCAGATAAGTCATGCGAACAGTAAGAAGAACCATGTAAGCCACGTCGCCGTCGGTAAAGGGTACCCAAAGTCAGATCTTCCGAGTACCAGTATAAGTGGGACAGCCAGGACACCGAATGGTAAGTGTAGTTCCAGACACACGACAATAGGTCGATAGTGAGAACCGTGGTGGAAGTGGTAGGATACGTGATGTTCAACATTCCGCGGCGTCCATCAGCATCGACTGATCTGACAAAGAAAATGATATATGTAGATGGATTCTTTTACATAAACTGAATTAATCTTGTGTGCGCCCAGTCATTGGATGTCGTTGGCTATCCGCGTAGAAAAGGGGTACATAGCTTGTAAAGCAGCGAAACCGTAATGGGAGCGAAAGACAAAGGAAGGACAGAGGCTCTGGACTTTGGTAGTGAAACTGACCCCATAAATGGAATGCCGTGTTCAAGTGGCGGATCAGAAAGATAGACGTCCAGGCAAGGACCATGAACTGGTACACTAGCTTTATTCTCGTTCTCATGTGGCTCACGGATAATGCGATCGTGTTCATAAATCTTTCTTCTTTCTACCTCCAGACGCCGACGATATGAACATGAGCTTTTCGATTGAATAATCATGTTAATCTAGTACAGTACATCCTCCGAGTCCTAAATAATAAAAAGTCTATGATACATAATGACTCTACAGTATTAATGAAGAGAATCTACGACAGTCGTCGTCAATTTCGAAATATCAATAAACGCATCAAACAACGCAGGAACGATAAAAGGTACCCGACACTCTCGCCGGATATCCATCAACACCGTCTCACACTCGATCCTTTGCCTCCTCTCAGTCTCGATTTCCAACTCGAGATCTCTTATTTGGTTCCGAGACACTATTAGCCGAAGTGCATAGGTAAGTGGGGTAAATACGACAGAAGGGACGTACAAAAGTCGGGCTCAGGGATACTTGACACCCCCAAGTCTTGGAGCTTCTCCCGTATCCTAGATTGTTTTGCAGCGAGGTACTTGATTTCTTCACTGAGTGACCCAAGCTCATGCAGCAGGGAGAACTCGTCGTTATTGGACGGACTTCTGCTACGATATCTCTTGGCTGGCGATGGTGAGAATAACGAGCAAGAGGTTCGCTTGCCGATCACAACCTAAGGGCGCTCAGATTAGTAAATATCATAAACGGATGATCACAACATACGGATGTTGCTTCTTCTTTCACCGAAGTACAGCGTGATACAGGACTCTGAAGTCGCGAAAGCGTTTCTAGTTCATCTGGATATGGTTCGGCGGTACCGGACGTGGGCACCGAACACTCTGACCCGGCGTATTGAGGGTATGACGAGTCTGCACTTATTATTTGGGCTGAACTAGATGATTCGGATGGTGCACTGCCACCCAATGAACTCTCTAGGATAGGAACAAAGCCCTGGGGACCGAAGACTGAATCGGGAACATGCTGTGGAAGCAGGTACTTTATATTAGGTTGTGGCGGAGGATCGAGTTTCTTGCCTGGCCTGGTAAAAAATCAGTTAAGATCACTATATAACAATGCCCTCACTCTTGCTTTAGACTCATCTTCGAGCTAACAGAATGGTGAGGCATGTAGACGACCGATACGGATGTTGTCATACTAACATTGCTCGCTTGAACAACTCTCCTTGTGACAATTTTGGGATTCTTTTCGATAGTTGCGTATGGAGTGTCTACACTAACATAGTAAGACACGAATTGAGTAGTGAAGGGATACAAGCAAAGTGACGTACACTGTGCATCTCAGTTTCCCAACAGAATCTGACTACTCCCGGGGAAAGTATCTTTATAGTATACGCCTTAGGGTGGGGGATGCGTAGAGATGTCAAATCCGCTCGGAGAACAACGATAGCAGCCTCCAAGTCTTCTGGAATGAAGATGGCAGCCTTTGGAGGCAGATAAATGATGCGAACAGTGAGAAGGACAGAGCGAGCCATGTTATACGAGTTGGAGCTATGTCGCTGTCGTCCAGGGGAGGTACAGTATTCTGAGTAGCGGTGAGTTGTCAAGAGAAGTCAGGGGGTGGCAGAATTGTCGGTCCGCTGCCGCGGCATAATTCGGCATCGACCCGAGTCCATACTTGCTAGAGCATCTCTTCGATACAGTTGGGCAGAAGTCGGGATTATGGGAAATGCATAACGCGTTGCGCGGAAGTTCGTTAACCCCAAATTTATCCTGTTCATGCGCGTCCAACACGTCCAATGCAGCCATTAACTATTCCCGTTTACCTTGAAGGCCTTTGGCTAATCTTGTGGCAAAGTGGTCTTGTACAGACAGCTGCTGCTGTTGGCGCTTGACTATCTCCAGTGAAATGCTGAGATAAAGCAGGGAAACCGTAATGGGGGCATGAGACAAAGGAAGATACAGGGCTCGGGACTTTGGTAGTCAAATTGACCCATAAATGAGATGCCGTCATCAAGCCGAGCGGAATTTTGTGTGGAAGCGCAAGACACAAATTGGGTCCTTCTTGACACATCTCTCTCACGTACTACTAACGACCCATAAAAGGGAGTACCTAGTAACCTCCAGGACGTTGCTAAAAGAACCGCAAAAAATGAGACCCCCCTCGCCGCAACTTGACCAGTTTCACCATCAGGACACGTCATATACACATACAGCACCTTATCTTCCTCGTTGACTCCGAAAAATCGCGTCTTTATGGCTCACACTCTGTCCGCGTACACTTAGTACTACTCGATCAATCATGTTACGATCTCTCTTTTTGACTTTTATTCCAAGGGTTTGAACTGAACTTCAAGTTCAATGGCTCGTTGACCCAAGCTGGAACTCCGTCTACGGAAGCGTCTACACCCATTTCTTCCTATGCGTCCTCCCCAGCTCCATCTCCTACTAGCCAATCGGATGAACCTCACATACCCTGTCCATCGAACTGCTTCTTGATATTCCGATCGGAGTTTCTGGCTCTTCATAAAGAGCCGAGTCTCTCACAGAAACAAACCAAGGTCAGTGTGTTGGCTGCCGGGTGGAGTAAGCTTCCCAAGGAGAGACAGGCTCACTACAAGGAGCTCGCCAGGTGCAGAAAGGAAGATCATGCTCGCAAGCATCCTGGATATATATACAAGCCTCGCCGCTCCAAAGGTGAGAAGAAAGCGCACGGACGCAAGAAGACCAACGCGTCGCAAACGCAATCAGTCTGGATTCGCAGAGGTTCTTCCACGCTCTTCCGAGCTCGATCCCCTCGGCGCCTGAGGTTCTCCAGTCTACTGTCCATGTTTCGTCTCCCATCAACGACCCAACTCAGCCTTTCATGGCGAACGGGAACGAGAATGAAATCTCCCCCGGTCTTGCTACGAGCCAGGCTATGTACCTGATGCAGAGCCTTTATCATCCTACACCTTCCACTTCGTCTCCCTCCGTCGAGCTTGATATTCCTCAGACTGGGGGGCTCGACACTATGAGCGAAAACGAGGACTTTGGCCAGTTCTTGGCCAGGTTGTATCGTCATGATGTTCGTCATGATTCCATCTCCACTACGAGAACAAGCTTGCTTATGATCACTTACAGCCTTCTTATCTCGACATGATTACTGATCAACTTAATAGAAGCCTTTACAATGAATGGGGATCTGCCCAGGACCTGGTTTATTCTGCTGCTGACGACCTCATGAATTATTCCTCGCTCCTTCCGGACCTCTCTTCCTTAACCTTGTCTTCTATCGCAAACGATAGAGCGGCGTCCGCATTTTCTAATTTGTTTGGGTCGTTCTAATCCGATTCTGTAGCTTGTTTATACAACCAGACCACACATGCTACATCCCCCATTCCCTTCCTACCAACATCTTTTGTCAGATGTAACCATGATCTCTTCGTTAGTATTTTTTTAGTCTCTCGAAGGTGTATTAACAATATGTACCACATGTAGAAAAATATCATCGGGGCTCACTCACAACATTTCGAGTTTGCCATTTTCCCAAACTACAGTAGTATGGGAAAGTAACATGAACTTCCCCAAACAGTTATTCTGCGTCGGCCGACATCAATGTCACAACACAGAAGTACTTTCCCATGCGAAAATGAGGACCTCTACCAGTCCTTGATGATGTTATATAATCCTAATGTTCGTTATAATTCTACCCTAACAAATGTCAAATACAAGCAGACTCATGCCGCAGCCCACTTTATAGCTTTCTTACTTCGACATTGTTCCTGACCATCTTGGGGGAAATCTGGGCAACGGCTTGGAATTTTTGCTAATTGCATCGGACCTGGGTTCGGCCGCTTAAGGACTTCAGTCTACGGATTCTGTTACGGGACTATTGACTGGGTAAATAAGGCGTCGAATGGGAGGCTTCAATAAAACACACGATACGTCGATAAAAATTCAGTCGCGACACGGTGTCTACAGGAGCCAGTCAAGAAGTCACAGCGCATCGTTCCCCAAAAACTTGAGGGAAGGTACACGCCTCGATCCTTCCAGAGAATCGAACCCACCTTTGGAGCGCAGCTAGCCCAAGTCGATAAGTAATGGGTATGTACCTCATTCATTAACATGCGGAGGGCCACCGTTCTGGTGTGGGTCCATAGTCATACTATAGATTTTTCTCTTGTGCTCTATTTCTGTTGTGACTTGGGAAGCTGATGACAACAGTCTGGATCGGTGAATCGGTGAATTGCGAAATGCCTCACAATGGGCGAAGACGCCGGGGGTATAGTGCTCTCCTGTTATGTATACCACCATTCAACGTTATATTATTCTGCTCCAAGTCAACTCTAGGGACGTAAAACTCTCGGATAAATTTTTGTGCAGCTTTTTGTGGTCCAGAATCCAGATAGCCGCTCTTCGAAGTTGCATAGATCATACTACTTAAGGATTGAGAGAGAGAAAAAAAGGGCCAACAAGGGGAAAGGGGGTAGGTCCCAGTGGCGTTTTTACGATAATGTTCTCTTCTATCCATCTTTATCCTCCTGTTCATGCGGCTCTGGTTCGTCTTCCCATAGCGGCATTTCCACCTGTCGCCCTCAGCGGAGTTTCTGTCTTCGTGAAGGCTCCAGACATCACTAGGAACCTTGAGACCGCTTCGATGTCCTTTGTTATGCCAGAGATGGTCGCATACCACTAGGTTCTGTGACCCTTCAATCGTGTATCGTGTAGATTGCGTAAATAGTTGTCGTATCTCGGGTAGTTTCGCATGCCATGCCTTCATGTTTGTAGTCGCCCACCACATTCACTATCGGTTGTCGTGACTTGGGGAGCGCTACTCATTGTACGAGTTCCAAGACGCGCGTGTTCTAACTTTAGGCGCTTGCGATATAACCTAGGGATTCTTCCGAAGAAGGGGGATATAGAATCGTCCACGTGGAATTGCGGAGAAATGTCGGGATATCGCCGGCCGTTCCTTCAATACCATCATGCACCACCACTGAGGATACTCAACGGAATACAATATTTTCCCTCCCTCTACATCTACATAGAACGAATTCCAGCTCGGAACCATATATAAAGGATGTAACTTGCCTCTGAATTCCATCAGTCGCTGTAGTTTTACCAACATGCGCGCAGAGCTCTCCCATCTACTCGTCGTCCTTGCCTTCAGCAAGGACTTCGGTAAAGTATTTGCGGCGCTGACTACGGGCGCGACTACTGGGATCACTAGTGCTACCGCTACCTTGACCTCAAATTCTGCTGCCTCTACGGTTATTGCCACTCAGACTAGTAGTTTCCCTCCAGCTAGCTCTAGTCTTTCTCGGGACTACTCATCGCAAGGTCTCGAGAGACTATGGGATATGGTAGGTGCACCACCCCAGCCGGATAAATATTCCTATATAACAGGATTGGTTTCAGGTGGGACCAGTAGAACCTCCACCGTTCACTACTACCCGAGTTCCCACTGCGTCCGTTACGTTGCCTCCCTCTCCTCCGCCTTTATATCCGACATTCTACGCCCCGGCTCCAAAAGACATCCTCCCCGACCTGAAGTTCCCAAGCGGCTTCTTATTCGGTGTCGATACTGCCGCGTACCAGGTAGAAGGCGCGACCAAGATTGATGGCAAGGGCCCAACGACGTGGGATTGGGCGTCGAGGCAACCAAACGCGATCGCCGATAATACCACAGGTGAGATTATGACTTGACCTTGAGTGTTCTGTCAATCATGATGCTGAATCGATCCCTATAGCGGACGTTGTCGACCTTCAGTACTTCTTATACAAGGAAGATATCGAGCGATCTGCTGCGCTGGGGGTCAAAGCTCATTCGTTCTCGTGAGTATTAGGGGAATTGAAGCATATACAGATCTGACTAGTTCTCAGCATCTCGTGGGCGAGGATATATCCTTTCGGTGCAGCCGACTCGCCCCTTAACCCTGCTGGTATAGCGCACTATTCTGATGGTATGTCCTTTCTTGTGAAAACAGGATGTCGTACTGATAGTTGGACAGTGATTGATTATCATTTGGCTAATGGAATCGAGCCTGTCGTGACGTTATGTGAGTAGTGCCATTTCATCGTCACTAACGTGTCTTCAACGTACGGGAACAGTCCACTGGGACATCCCTCTCGCTCTCCAGTCTCTTTACGGCGGTTTCACATCCCCGAATATCGTGGACGACTACGTTAAGTAAGGTTCAACGCAGTATGTCATTTACGCACCAGCTAAGGACATCACTAGCTATGCAAAGACCATCTTCCAAGCATACAATGGACGCGTCAAAACATGGTGAATGTCGTTACAAACTTTTGCCTCAACAATATCTCACACAGTATAGGTATACTTTTAATGAACCACGCGTCTATTGCGGTCAAGTTGGTTCTTACCCCTTCAGTGAGCTTTGTGAAAAAAGCACGTCAAATTCATGGACTTACCGTGAGATTAGCCGCAATGCTCGCTCCAGGAGTCAATGCATCAATGGCCCCGTACCAGTGTTCATATAATCTGCGTATGCTTCTTTCACATCGTTGCTTCTTCCTTGCAATTAAATTCCCTATTCACAGTGAAAGCACATGCCGCAGCCGTGAAAGGTTTTTATCCATCCTTACCCGTATCGGGTTCCTCTTACGATACATTGCAGCATTCCGAGAGATGGGAATATCCGGGGAAATTGCTCTCAAGAACGACGATTACATGTCAGTATACCCCGTCTTGTTCTTTCGAGTTATCAGGCGCTGAGAGCAAATCTACGTAGAGGTACTCCCTGGCGGAGTAATTTCACTGAAGACGCGCTCGCTGTCGAACGTCATGCAGCGTTTCAAATAGGCGTCTTTTCCGACCCAATATACACTACCGGCGACTGGCCTGAGATCTTAACCGACACACTATCACCCGAGTATCTCCCGCGCTTTACCGATGAGGAAAAGCAAGATATCTTAGGTTCAGCGGACTTCTACGCCACCGATTGCTACCGTTCACAGTTCATTCGAGCGCCGCCAGAAGGTATCGATGCTTGCGTTGCCAATACCTCCCACCCACTATGGCCAGTCTGCAATGACCCGGTGTTTTATGACTCTGGGTATGGCTGGGCTGAGGGTCCCTCTGCAGATCCGTTGTCGTCCTGGCTCCAGGCGACACCAGTAAACGTCCGCGATGAGTTGAAAGAACTTCACACGCGGTGGCCGACGAATAAACTCGTAAGCTCTTCAATATTCTATTTTGTTGAATCCATACTCATTTGCCTTAAAAGTACGTCTCTGAAATTGGATTTGCGGAGCCTTTCGAAAACGATTGGACTGATATGTATCGTATCACAGAAGACGTCGCTCGAACAAGTACGTGAGAAATGATCCGTATGGCGATGGTTGACTGACTGATGTCCTAGACTACTTCCTCACGTATCTTGGCGAAATCCTGTTGTCGATTCACGAAGACGGTGTCCCTATCGAAGGTGTCTTTGCTTGGGGTGAGATCACGATGAATGCCCATGTGCTAAATGCTGACAACTCATAGCCATGATTGACAACGCGGAATGGGCTAGCGGACTATCTGCTCGGTAAGTCGCTGTCTTTCGTTTCCGTTACCGCCTGGGATTGAAGCGGAATTAGGTTCGGGGTACAATACGTCAACTACACTACACTGGAGCGAACATTCAAGCGATCGGCGTTGTCTCTGTGTGCGTATATTCATTTACTGCAGCATTTTCAGTCTTATCAAGCACGAATACAAATAGCCGAATTCTTTGGCTCTCACCTTCAAGACTAAAAACATTCCGAGCCGAGGATTTTCTCGGCAGATTGTTCGATATTCATTTTCACTTGTTCTACTCCAATTATGTTCATCCTTGCGCTGCTCGAAATACATAGTGAAAGTCAGACACCTCTAAATTCATTCCCGCCTCGAAGCATGACCAGAATGTTGTATCAACTTAAGTGACGACTGATGCATAATTACTTTGCAGGATTCAGCAGACCCACCACAAACGTCGTAAATTTGAGATATTGCCTACAAAGTAATACCAAATGGCTCGAAGTCAAGTCTCAAAAAAAGGCCCAGCTCCAAACTTGTTTCCTTTCGTTGAACGTTGAACGTTTATATGTAAACTATAGTAACTAAGAAAAAAAGAGACTATATATAATATATAAATATGTGTATCGTAGTAGTTCGTAAGTAGAGTTTATATATATGCATCTGAGTTGAACGCTTCTTTTGGTTTGCTAAAACAGTGTGCGCCCAAAGGACCTGACCATGCTCCCCTCAGAACCCTTTCCTTTACCACATGCCTCCTTCCCAATAACGTGCTGATGCCCCTGAAATAGAGAGCTGGTTGACAACTCTGGAATAGTATAGAGTAGCCTCTTCGTGAATTTGAAAACAGTGAGATGCGGTACTTTCGACGAGAGGAAACGAGCGCGTGGACGAGGCTGAGGCTGGCGCGGTGGTAATTTCAATGGAGGTTGGGAAGTGAGACGACAGAGGTCAGAGGAGATGGAAAACGAGGATGTGAGCATGCCTATTCCCGCCGACTCCAAGGATGTTGGTGATGATGATGGCTGTGGTGATGGCTGTGATGACGATGGTGGTGGCGAAGCAGCGCATAGGGAACTCGATGGAGGATGCCCGAGACCTAGACCAGCTGGGTGTTTATGAGTGCGTCGTTTTGGCTTGGATGTGGGGGAAGAAATTTGCTGAAGGATGGGAGAAGTGGGAGACATGTCCAGCATAGCGTCGTCCTCGCCCCAGCCAGGGAAAGTGCCTGAATGACTGTGGCAGATACGGATTCCATTTCTCGTAGGTGGGGCGCCAAGGCCCAGTCCGCTGTACCGCTTGTAAATGACGCCAGAAGCTACAGATGTTGTTAAATGCTAGGGAATTTAGAAAATATATATACGTACCACTAATGGAAAGGGTGGGCTCTTCTCCAAGTCTCGTAGGGAAAACGCCGACGTCTAAGACACCGCGGCATTTCGAAGCAGTCGTAGCCACTATAAGTTCATCGGTTAGACGATAAAATTTCTAATTGAGAATTCATGCCTTCATCAACAAAGGCTGCTTTGGAACTCGAACAGTCCAAACCAATATCTTGGTACGGCACTGGAAACGCATAAGTCTACAAGTGGGGGCCGAGAATACGAAACAACATACCTGTTTCGGCGGCACAAATACGACACGTGGAAGCAGTAGAATATGAGGGGGAAGTGGAAGTGGGAGAAGACGGATTAAGACAAAATTTGGCTCTGGACCGTGACGTGGGTGGGAAAGCGATTCGTGTCTCCTCTTGAGAAGAAAAGTTGAAGGGAATTAAAATACCAAGGCCAACAGTTGCCTTGGGTGCAAAGAGCAACTAAAAATGGTGTGAATTAGGACATTGTATGAAAAGGCGAAAGGCGACTGACCCCTAAAGTCGTCCCTGCCGAAGAAACCGCACGATGGCAAGCAGACATGGTGACAGAAAAGAAGTAGAAGATGGTGAGTGTGGAGATATATGCAGATGTATGGAGTAGAATAAAGAAAAGGACTACGAGCCGGTCGTAGGTGGTGGTAAGAAGGCAAGAAGTGGAATGGCAATTACAGAAGCGCGTGTCTTGGTCAGCACTTCAACCACGTGACCGTGTTGAGGTTAGGGTTTCCAGAATCCAGATTTCTCAGCAAGGCCGTCACTCAGCTCTGCGCTCAACTAAGCTGCCTGTAGAAATGGTCGAATGATCTTTCTGCTGGCTTCTTCTGCATATCATCTGACTGCATGGCGACATCAAGAGTAAGGAATTCGAATGTTTTACCCGTTGGGAAATTTTATTTGGTGGTGGCCACTGGCATCGGCTGGTATTGTGAGTTACTCTGAAAACTCGCGCTCAGCATAACGTGTAACCCTTTGACAGTACTCTACAGTGGCTGCGTTGTTGTTTTCTTACGTCTTTATAACGAATCTCCCGAATTTCCCCCATGAACGAAAGTCGGCCTCGCAAGCTTCTCTTTCCTAGTATCGGACCGTTTTTCAAGTCATCTGCGCTCGATGCATTTCTCATGACCGAGTAACCAAGTAAAAACAAGCAGATGACTCTGCATGGCCTCTTCTTTCGTGAAAATGGTTATATACAGCTGGACATCCTTATGGCCATTACAGGAGTTCGATTCTCTTGCCCCTTCCCCCCCAAGATGCTCATTGAAGTACTGTTACTCCCGTTCGTCTTCCTCAGTAGGTGGAGCGGAATTTCTGTAGCGCTCGCAACGTCGGCCACAAGAACAAGCTCTTCGGGAATATCAAGCGTTACCAGTACACTGGGTCCTACAAGTATCCCACCTGCCACCGCCAACTTTCCTCCAATCGGATCGATTCCTCGCGATTACACGCCGGAAGGACTGGAAAAACTATGGGATATTGTCTGTATTCTTGCTGATCGTCCTAAAATGTGGCCTTCTTAACTTATCACTGATCTGCAGATCGGACCTGTCGAGCCACCTCCATTCACCACTACCCGCATTCCCGGCGCAGCAGTCACCCTACCGCCCTCTCCCCCGCCTTTGTATCCGACTTTCTATACCCCTTTGCCAAAGGACGTCCTACCAGGCTTGAAATTCCCCAAAGGCTTCATATTCGGAGTCGACACGGCTGCGTACCAAGTCGAGGGCGCTACGAAGAATGAGGGCAAGGGTCCGACTATGTGGGACTGGGCTTCCAGGCAGCCAAACGGTGTATCCGACAATACAACTGGTAAGTATGCATTACCACTACAATGTCGATCATGCGACTGAGTTTATTGTAGGTGACGTTGTCGATCTTCAATACTTCCTGTACAAAGAAGATGTTCAACGCTCCGCTGCCCTCGGTGTCACTGCGCATTCTTTCTCGTATGTATTGGAATCCAGGTGACGCGACTTCTCTGAACAATGTCTCGTAGTATCTCGTGGGCAAGGATCTACCCATTTGGTGCTGCTGATTCTCCTATTAATACCGCGGGAATTGATCATTATTCCGATGGTATGACTTCGTGCTAGTATCATAAGAGATATTGACCGCTGTGACTACAGTCATTGATTACCACTGGGCTCATGGCGTGGAGCCTGTTGTAACATTGTGTAAGCCTTTCTCTGTTGCATTCAATGCTCCACGTTTACCGCCAGAGAAATAGTCCATTGGGATACACCTCTTGCCCTTCAGGCTTACTATGGAGCTTTCACATCTCCAGATTTAGTCGACGACTTTGTAAAGTAAGTGCTAGAAGGATTCGACAGTTTGTGTACTTACGCCACTTTCAGCTACGCCAAGACCGTGTTCAAGGCGTACAACGGCCGTGTTAAAACTTGGTGGGTGACAGTGGTTTCTTAGCGCCACAATAGGCTCAGCTGCTTCAGGTATACTTTTAACTGAGCCGCGTGTTTATTGTGGCCAAGTCGCATCCTATCCTTTCAGTGAATATTCTATTTATCAGACACCTTCCGCAAGCTTACCATTAAGAATAGATGCCACACTCGCCCCCGGTGTAAACTCGTCTACCGCCCCTTATCGATGCACATGCAATCTATGTACGTCCTGCTTGCATTCCTTTTCACCCCCGACCTTGACCATTTTATAGTAAAGGCCCATGCAGGAGCCGTCAAGGGTTTGTTTGCGCATCATGATAAGGACCTCCTGCTAACGAACTTCGTTTCCAGCATTCCGAGAAATGAATACATCGGGAGAGATCGCCTTTAAAAACGACGATTACGTGTAACTATGCCCCTTCTTTCTGCCAGCACCCACTGAACATTCCCAGAGGCACGCCTTGGAGAAGCAACTCTACTGAGGACGCACTTGCTGTCGAACGCCATGCAGCATTCCAAATAGGCATCTTCTCAAACCCCGTATATAAGACAGGCGATTGGCCTGACATTGTCAAAGACACCCTTCCCTCCGAGTATCTCCCGCGTTTCACTGACCAGGAAAAGAAGGACATCCTCGGCTCCGCGGATTTCTTCGCCATCGATTCCTACCGCTCGCAATGGGTAAGGGCCCCGGAAGAAGGAATCGACGCATGCGTGGCGAATACTTCCCACCCATTGTGGCCCGTCTGTAACGAACCTGTACTGTTCGACTCGGATTACGGCTGGGCTATAGGTCCTGCCGCTGACCCATTGGCTACCTGGCTTCAAGCAACACCAGTGGCCGTTCGCACTTTGCTAAAGGGTCTCCACTCGCGATGGCCAAGTAATAAGTTGGTGAGTGTGAGGACTTCATATATATTGGCAATCTCTGACTGCTAGTACACAGTATGTTTCTGAATTCGGCTTCGCGGAGCCTTACGAAAACGAGAAAACGGACCTGTCGCAAATAAAGGAGGACGTTGATCGAACGAGTAAGCCTATAGTCTCATTTTGGGGTATCCGAAGATTCATCAGTGTTTCCAGACTACTTCCTTACGTATCTCGGTGAGATGTTGCTATCCATACACGAAGATGGGGTTCCGATACAGGGCGCTTTCGCTTGGGGTTAGTTTCAATAAAACAAGACATAACATATCGTTGCTAACTCATTGCAGCAATGCTCGACAATGCGGAATGGTCAAGTGGAACGTCCGTCAGGTGCGTACTCTTTATTCAGGGTTCAGATATTTTCTTGTCTTAGCATGAGTGCAGGTTCGGTATTCAACACGTCAACTACACAACACTAGAACGGACGTACAAGCGTTCGGCGCTTTCCTTAGGTCAGTTGTGCGGTGCTTTGCGACGAGGCTCGAGACCTTACAAGTAAAAATAGCGGAATTCTTTACGTCGCACCTTCAGGATTGAGCTCCGTGTCAATCTTGGTTTCCGTCGAATGCGAATTCAAGAACGATGAATACCTTCTCCAACAGCTGCAAAATACAGACTAGTCACCAATAAAGCCTCCCAGAAAGACAATTTAGGCAGATCTTAAATGTATACTCTTTCCGGAGATTTTTCATCGTCTTCTCCTTCGTATCGACAATTACAGTGGGGTTCTACTCCTCATCCATTTTGATCTACTGCAGCCCTATAAGTATGTATGTGAATGTTGACTTTGTATCGAGTTTCATGGGAGAGAGCAATTTTCAAGTTCGCATTCAGGATTGGTTCGTTATCGTCGCGGCCCGGTGTTGCCGGTCTCCTTTGCGCGAATTTTTGGCATGTTTCAACGGTTGCTTCCGTTTTTTGCGTTTTCAAAATGATATAGATTGCACTCACACTTATTGCTGATATGCTAACTCTACAGACATTATGCGGTGTTTGTCCTGGTAGCACCGTCGACTAGTGGCAGCGTCGCGGACATGACGGCCGGTAAATCTGAGGCTGGTTCGCTTAATACCAGCACGGATTTAGGTTATGTAAATTTGACGGTCCATTAATTAACTTCTTCAGTAAGTGGCTAGCCAGGCCTTTGTTGTGATCAGGTGCCATCTTAGTAACAAGCACCAATAGGCGCCCATCGATGCCTCAAGGTCTTCCTTCTCCCATACCTTTCCAACATGTCCAACCGACGGAGCAGACAAATCTGCAGATTCTTCAACACTCCTGGTGGATGCCGTCATCAGAACTGCAAGTTTCTCCACGAAAGAACAGGAAGTCCAACACCTTCGTCGCCGTCAACCGCGCCACATTCTCCCAGACCATCAGGCAATTCTGGCAGAATGACAGCTGGCCGAGGGAACTGCGAGTTCTTCTGGACTTCGGGAGAATGTCGACGAGGATTTAATTGTACATTCCGCCATGTTCGCCAGCCGCAGACTCAGAATGCTGCGGGGGTGCCTGTAGAGACAACGTCTCTAGAAACCGACATCCTCGACTTCCTGACGACCGAAGGACTTGCTGGCATTAACAACATTTCCTTGGACAAGTTGCATACGTTGAGCCCGACGGAGGCGCATAACATGCTCAGGGCATTCAATAGCCCGACATTCCAGTTCACAACCCCTGATCAAGTCATTAAGTTCGTCCAGATTCTAGCTAGCGTTGATCGCAGAAATCCGCAATGGGTACTTTCTTTGCATTAAGCCAGCTCTTCTTCTAATCATATGATCTCTAGGATACCGTTCGGGCCCAGTCATTTCTTGAAATGATAGTCGATTTGAAGGTAATGTTTTTGTAACTCTCTAAATAATCGTGTTCTTATCAAGCTAACTAGCACCATGTCCTCGCTCGCATCCGCGAGGTCTTGCAATACTCCCCTATCGCTTGCCGTGCTGGTACAGGTTTCACGGTTCTTTCGTTTCAAATCGGATACTTCCCGCTTCTTCAGGTAACTAATATCTCTCCGTCTTTTACTACATCTCTCATCAGAACTCCAGTTCTTTGGCTCAGACCTTATCCTCAAAACCAATCTCCACCATAATATCCAGTATGCCGTCTCAAATATATGTCCGCTCTCTGTCAAACTGACGTCCTTTAGCGCCTTGTACAGTGCCTTGGATAGTGGACTCGATCATATGTTCGATGTCGTTTCCTCATGCATGGAGCAAATGATCCAGAATCGATCTTGGAAGGATCCTACACCAGCCCTCCCTGCCATGCGGCAAAGCAGCCTTTCGGGAGTGGTTGTTTTCGGCACGATCACTACCCTGCTTACTCAGTAAGAGCTTCTGTCTATTTTCAGTCGCTATGGTGCTAACGCTTCTCAGATATTTTCAGCGTTTCAAACATGCCATTAATAATCATCCAGATATCGTCGTATTCGTTGGCAACCTTGTTCGATGGTACGATGAATGGGCGAGACTGATTGCAACGTCGAGCTTTGAGGATTCCATTGACCCAACCGTTCAGCGGTTGACCTTGGAACAAATCAAAGAGTCTATCAATAGACTTGACGCAATAGTAAGCCGAGAGCATGCGAATGCGGAGAGAAGACGAAGACCAGCGCAGCCGCAAGGCCTGAGAGAAGAGCATAGATCTGAAGCATTACAGGCTCAACTTATTCAGACTTATGACGGTCCCGGTGATCTTCGTCTTCTTGGTCCCCGCCATAGCAATGATCACCGTGACATAGCCGACATACATATCATCCCTACCCATGACGAGATGATCTCTGCGAGTCTTCCATACATTCCCGTTAACCGTCCGGATGCTCCACATCATTTGGCTCCAAATTCAATGGAGCGACATCTTGACATTCAGTTCGTCTCTTGCGTGAAGAACTCGTGTAAGTCGTCCTATAGTGTTCTCGCGATGTTTACTGAGATATGTGTATGCCAGTGCCCCCATTCGCGCGTCTATATCTACTCTTCAGCTTGACTTCGATGCCATGCAAGCACCAGCTCCAAGACGTGAGGCGCAGCCAATCCAATTGGAAAAGTTAATCAAGGCAAGGGGAGGCGTGTATCGAACCTCTGGATATAACTCGACTATGTTCCATATCTATACAAATGTCGAATACTCTCCTCTTCAAGCAGAGCGACGTGGTTTCACGGTCGGTCTTGTTATCGATGCACCTCCCTCGGACCGTGCTCGACACTCTGATCCCAAAGTCAGAAAAGAGTTCTGGGAGCGTGCTGGTTCACGACGTCTCAGGGCCGGCAGCCTCATCGTTTTAGTCATCGCACATTCGGGTCGTCTAAAGATCTATGTTGGCAGTGTGTCTTCATCGACAGATGACATCATCGAGTCGTCGAAGGTCCACGAGAGCCGCATTGAAGTTCGCGTCAAATTTTTTGATCCCGACGTAGAACTTGGCGCCCTTCGACAGGAAAAGATCACTATTGATCAGCATCGATTCGCGTTCTTGGTGGACAACAACATTATGTTCGAATCTATCAGGCCATTTTTGGAGAAATTGCGTTCTGTTGAACCTACTTCCATTCCATTTTCCAATTATATCTGTGGGGGAACTCTGAGAGGAGTCATGGTTGCACCTCCGAAGTACAGCCGACAGCCGACTTTCCGATATAACCTGGAATGTCTATCGAAAGATAGGGTCAGGGAGTATGTCCATCCATTGAACGCAGCCGACCCTTTATCAATCCGGAGAGCCCGACTACAGCTGAAGTCGTCAAGCATTTTAGATCCCAGTCAATGTGACGCTGTGGTCGACGCTTTGACACAGGAAGTTGCTCTAATTCAAGGGTATGTTCTTGCTATCATCTACGAGTTGAATGATGCAAACAAGTTCCTTGGGTTCTAGACCTCCAGGTACCGGAAAGGTGTGTATTATTGAACCATCAATGTGATGTGCGTTCTAAGAGCAGGCATAGAGTTTTACCGGCAAAGAGTTGCTTCGGGTCTTATTCGCCAGCAAGGTCAAACCTATTGTGATGATCGCTTTCACAAATCATGCACTGGATCACATGCTGCTATCTCTCTTGGACGCAAAAATCACGACGAATCTTGTTAGGTTGGGATCCCGGTCCTCGGACGAACGTATCAATGGATATACCTTAGACAAGTTAGAGAGGATGAAGGATGGAGCGTCTTCACCCCTGGATCAGATTGTGCGCAAGGAGTGGTTTGCCATGGACCGACTAGAAGACGAGATGAGAACAATCCTACGGCATATCCAAACACCTTCGCACACCTGGGAGACAGTAGCCAACTATCTGCAAGAGGCGTTCCCTGATCATCTTTTCTCATTCATGGACCCTCCTTTCTGGATTGATCAGCTAGCAGAAGATCTTCGTCAGGATATCGAAGCAGAAGGGGAATGGAAAACCGTGAACACGAAGAAGAAAAGGCGCGATGTCGATATCCCGAATACCATATATTCCTTTTGGAAAACTGGGCAGGATATCTCGTTCCTACAGCCCCCACAGCCTCCGCTGACTACCGCACGGTCATCTAAAGGAAAGAAGGGGAAGCAGCAGCAGAGGCAGGCGCAGGAACTTATTCTTGCAGCGGAGCTCCAGCAGGAATATTTGACACGCATGAACAACCTCTTCGTGCCGTTGGGATATCCAGAGGGTATGGTTCCGCCTATTCCAATGACTTCCAGACCAATCGACGAGCTTCTGATCACCGATACTATCTGGAGCATGTCTGTCGAAGAGCGACATGCACTGTCCGCATTCTGGGAGGCCGAAATGAGGACCTTTGCGTATAACGAGCACAGACAGGATTACGAAGAACGGCGGGAAGAGTATGAAGCCGCTTGTAAGCGGTTCAACGATGCCAAGGACGAGGTTGGTAGTGACTCATGAGCATGTTGCAGTCATTCAGCTCATAAAAATCACAGAGTCGACGGCAATTGCTATCTCGGATTGATCTGATTGGGTGCACCACTAATGGCGCTGCCAAACTTACCTCACTGTTGACGGTAAGTACTTACAAATTACCCTCCCATCCTTGCATTTTTCTAGTATTCATATGGAATTTCAGACCATTGCGCCCAAGGTTTTGATAGTGGAAGAGGCAGGACAAGTCCTAGAGGCCCATATCTTATCTTCTCTTGTGCCATCTGGTGAGTGAACGATGGGATCTGCTCTTGCCGAGTCAAGCATTAATTGTTCGCCAGTGCAACATCTTATTTGTATAGGTGATCCACAGCAACTTCGTCCTACCTTGGCAAATTTCTGTCAGTTGAATGGGCAGCGTCTGATTTTTAACTTCACTGAGCCGTTTTCTTAGCTCTCTCTATGGATAGTGCAAGAGGAAACGAATTGTACAAATTTGACCGTTCTTTGATGGAACGACTGGCGGATGGTGGGTTCCCAATGTCCCAGATCAACGTTCAGCGGAGAATGCGTCCAAGCATTTCTCATAACATTCGGTTTGTTACATCAGCTACCAGTTTGGAAATCAGTAATTTATGTCTCCATCAGAACAATTTTGTATCCTAACTTGGAGGATCACGACCTCGTCAAGAAGTACCCTCCCATTCAAGGGATGGAACGCGACCTCTTCTTCTTTACCCACTCGAACCGGGAGAAAGCTGCAGATGAAGGCTCGGCATCTAAAGTCAATATGTTCGAAGTGAGTTGACTTCGCCTTTTAGAAAGAAAAGGGAGCTTACACTGAGAATAGGTTAAAATGATTGTTGATCTCGTTGTGTACTTTTTGAAGCAGGAGGCTTATAGTTCCCCTGGAGATATTGCTGTCCTTTGCGCGTATTTGGGCCAGTTACGAGAGCTGAGATCTGCCCTAGCATCCCTCAAAGTTGCTGTTTCCGTTGATGAACGCGATCAAGATCAGCTAGCCAGAGAGGGAATGGACGATGAAGCATATATAGAACAAGTTACCGTGTCCAAGCATGTACGACTTCCTTTGCCTTCTTTGTTATATGGGTGATGACACTTTCTAGGTTCGTCTAGGCACTGTTGACATTTTCCAGGGCGAGGAAGCAAAAATCGTTATTGTTTCTCTTGTCAGAAACTCTGGATCTTTCGATAGCGATGAGTCAATTGGCTTCCTGAAGGTAATTTGGACGCTTCTCGTGATTCCCGTATTCAGTTTATTCATGTGGCGAATACTTTTAGTCTGCCAATCGAATTAATGTGGCACTATCGCGTGCTCAGCATGGACTGTATGTCTTAGGAAACGCCTCCAACCTTCGTCAGAATCCGACCTGGAAGACCATCATAGACGAGATGGAGCAGCGGGACCAGATCGGGTTCGGGTTTCCAGTAATATGCCCTCGCCACCCAGAACAGAGAAATACAATCACGGCACCAGGCCAACTCAGTGTCGTTGCACCAGAAGGCGAGCAGCTACAGACCAACGACTATGACCGTCAGAATTAACCAATACTACCTGTAGGTGGCTGCTGCTTGCCTTGCGATTATCGTATGGACTGCGGCCACAATTGCCCTTCGATGGTATTTTCGATTACCTATTCTATGTGCCGTGGATACTCAAGGTTTCTCATTTTATTAGTGCCATCTCGATCTCGATAAACATCGCAGCATGCGGTGCGATATGCCATGTCTCCGAGCCCCATGCCCGCGTATGCATCCATGCGATAAGAGATGCTCGGACAAATGCGGCCCTTGTGAATTTCCCCTTTACAACATCGCCCTTCCCTGTGGTCATGTAGCATCAATCCTATGGTACGAGGAACTACCCTCACATTGGAACTTGACTCACTTATGGTCTTCTTCTCTACTAGTCATCAAGCGGAAAATCTAGCTTCAGTTTTCTGTCACGAAAAGGTCTCAAAACGGTTGTCGCTTTGTGGACATGATGCAATAATGCGCTGCTCTGACGATCCTCAGAAGCACAAATGCATTAAAGCTTGCGGAGGAACTATGCCGTGCTGCGAAAAGACGTGCAAGTCGTTTTGTGGGGACTGCACAGGACTTAATTTGCCAGGAGCTCTGGGAACCCATCGCCCCCTGAAAATCGAACGCACCTTGCACAAATCGCATCAATGCGAGCGACTCTTATTCTGTCAACACAAATGCGGTCTCGACTGTTCGAAAGACCACGAATGTAATACGTCGTGTAAGCAGCAGTGCCGCCAACGTTGTTCCCATCACAGGTGTCCAAAATCTTGTGCCCAAGACTGTGCGCCCTGTGCCGAACCATGCGACTGGAACTGCCCTCATCTGTCTTGTCCAGTGTTATGCGGATCGGCAAGTCATATTATATTTATTTCCTCTTCGTAGTTGCTGATTTTGTCATAGATATGTGCACGTCTACCATGCGATGAACCATGCCGTAGCATTCTTCAATGCGGCCATATCTGCCCTTCAGGTAACGGATACTTCTGTCGGAAACTGCTACCTAAGCTGAGAACGGCTCTACCACAGTATGCGGCGAACCCTGCTCTCAACAGAAGTGCATCGAATGTCTCTTAGACGACGACAAGATGGACATCGTAGATTTTATCATGCAACGAAGGCTTACCGACATCTCTATCGGGTCGGACGATATCAGCGACAGGATCATCACTCTGGATTGTGGGCATATTTTCACAGTGGAGACGTTAGACGGTCATTGTCAAATGACTGACTATTACGAGATCAACGTAATGGGGTCCTACACGGGAATGAAAGCACCTCCTACCGAATTTCAACGACCACCAAGCTGTCCAACTTGTCGGGCCCCCATTACAGCTCGGCGCTATGGAAGGGTCCTCAAGCGAGCGAATCTCGATATCTTGGAACAGAATGTGGCCAGTATGATGTCCCAACGTCTGGCTGAGATTGTTCCATCTATTGAGACCCTCAGCAACGGTCTAGAAGAACTAGCAGCCCAGGCTAAAAAACTTGAAGCCGCGCCGAATTTTAAATGTCACCCTGCTGATAAGTTTGAGCGCCTAGTCGAAGAGAGGAAAGGTTTCATGACGAGGAAAGCAGACGATGTGTTGGACCATCGTATGCTCACTCGCCATGGTTTGTCGGAGTCCGAGGCCAGATCATGGATGGGTATTGTTGGGGATCTTCACAGAGTTTACAAAATGGTAGCTGATGTTACAAAGACGCGATCCGCCCACGTCCGTGCCTACGAGTCAGCTCTTTCTACCCTTTATCGCTTGGAACTTGCAAATCTTGCTGCCGGACCCACCATCGGATATCCGGGTCCCTCCTGAACACATTGCAATGAGCAATGTTGACCGGAAGATTGGACAACCTCCTCACAAGGCTGATCGTCGCTATCATCTCGAAGCATTCATATTATCCATCGAGTTGAGGCTCATGTTGGGAAGTGTTGCTCGTTCTCGGTTTGAGGCACTTCCAATGACATCCAACGAACCTGCAGCTCTCCATCATCGTAAAGTCTGGTACTCGTTCACGTTGTTCATCTATCAGTCATGCATTGCCGACTGTCAAAAGGCTATTACCATCGCTCACGCAACTTCTTCATCACGTTTGGCCGCTCGTTCTGCCAGCTTGATGCTCTGTTCAGAGTTTGAACAGTTCCGTTTTTCGATGTTGGAGAAACGCAGGGACGTGTTCAAGGAAGGTGTATTGGCGGAAGTTCGGGATGGCTTGGTAGCGGAGATCCAGGCTGACAAGAAGAAGTTGAAGAGCCGTTTGAGAGAGCTTGAACTATCATACATCGCAAGCCGTCCGTCGAGTGATCTCTCCCAGATCAGTGAAGACCGTCGGTGGTTCAACGGGAATTGTGGGGCCAAAATCGAGCGCTGCTTCACAGAATATGAGAAATTGGAAGATCATCTCTTAAAGAACACTGTCTATCAACCGATGTCCCTTCAGGAGAAACAAGACATTGTAAAAGCATTTGGATTTCAGCCTCAAGGTCATTTTTACAACTGTGTAAATGGCCACACATTCGTTATCACAGAGGTATGAGTATTGTCTAATTGGATGCCTGACCAGTTGGAACATCTTTTTCAGTGCGGCGGAGCAATGCAGGCTAGTCAATGGTCAGTTTTCCAATTGGAACAATCATTGTTTTGCTAACATTAAGTACTGTTTTAGTCCCGAGTGTGGAGCACGGATAGGCGGAGGAAACCACATGCTTGACCCCTCCAATACTCGCGCTCGAGAATACGAGAACATCGTAATGTAGCAAGACGGAGCAGCAAGCCATTAACATAGGCAGCGGGTTCTTATTGAAGAAGATGGAAATAGGTAAAGATCATGATGATAATCACCGTATGTAGCAGAAGCATCGAGTTTCAAACAATTTATGATAGCAGAGACTAACTGTTTTAATCGACCCTCTATACGTGAATATCGGGCCTTCCATGATCGAAGTATGCTTGCCTTGCAAGCCATTAAATCCCGCATCCTCGTAGGAAAAGTTTGAGCCCACCGGCACACGAGATATACTGGTGCCTCGGCCATCTTGTTGAGACTTTTCCGCAACCTTTACAAACAAATTTATACCTGTCTGCTGCGAGGAGTTGCTCGGCCGCTGAGTAAATGTTACTGTGTGGTGTTCCGTTTCGACTTGACATATCCCAGTCTAGCGCTCGGGCTTGGGTTTGGCGCGGACTCGTCATCTGTGGATCCCCAGGGGGAGGAAACAAAGTCCTTCAAGTTTCAACAATGCTGAATGACTGCGTTTGCCGATAGACGCCAAGATACATAGTTTCCGACCGCTCTCCAGCACCTTATACGCGCTCATGCTAACACAGTCAACGAACTGCTTCATGGCCTCGTGATCTGAAATGGACCATCTTGTAACTGCTGTGTGGCAGGCATACTGAAGGTCGACGTTGGAAACCATGCCGATAAATTGGGGTACGTGAATGTCTGCGAGAATGGTCTTTAAATAAAACCAAACGTAGTGCAGACCATAGACCCACCACTGCAGAGACTATTCCAGTGAATGTTTGGCGAAAAACTTGTGGGAGATGAATTCTGTAATGCTATTTCTTCCCTGGAATGGGGTGTCGACAAACAGTCTTCGGGGATCCCTGTAGCAGAACCAACTTGAAGCCGGAACCCAAGCGTACTTATTTGCAAGAAGTCTCGGAATTCGAAGTGAAATAGTAATGGGATTATTTAAGAGGACGTATCTCTGGGCATAGAGCATCTGCTGGGGAAGATAGAGAGGAAAACTGATGCTGTCAGACATAATCCTCACCTATGTCCAATTGACCATGAACCATTCCATACCTTATCGTCCCCATACTCTGCCAGTCTGTCTTTCATTCACAGATATTATCTTCATGCTTGATTTTGGAGCAAGAATAGGTATGGGTCATGCGATGACTAGAATTAGAATTTTCCTGCAGGCGGAGATGTGTTCCCATCAGCCGCCTAGATGTCAGCCTGAGAAGGTTTATCTACCCTTGGGTGTGAGCAAAATACGTATGCAAACAAGAGGTAAAGCAGTTACCGATACCTCCGTGAAAAGTAACTTCTAACCCAGTTAAATTACGCATGATTTGAGAAATAAGAAGGGATTCCAGTCCTGTAGTCAGTGAGTGGCTACTGTGAATAGTAGGATAGGCCGTTTAGATTGGGTGCAATAGTTCCTACAGGGTGGTTCTTGTTCGGGTGACGAGGCAAATACAACTTTTTAGAGACAGAACAACTGAAAATAACTAAGTAGGGCCGACAAGCGGCAAGGCCCGCTACTATGTGCCACATGGGCCAGACCAACGGAAAGGGCCGCGGTTCATTTGAAGGTCAATAATTCAAGACAGTAGTATCTGGTATTTTGTAGTACAATGGTATATACAATTGTCATAACAATTTTCACGGCTAGCAGAGCGAGGGTTGCCAAGTGCCTTCTGTATCACACTGCACACCGTAAGCAGAATGTATGTGGTAAAGTGACAGGGCCTTACACAGGTGCGAAGAACATATTCATGTTAGGATCGAAGTATACCTTGTAATTGCGCTAGCCTATGTCTACCGTCATTGATAACATTAGAGCTAGAGGAGCTGTTAGCATAATCCAAGAAAGATAAACAAAGGTACTGCACCAATATAGTGATGGTGAAGAAGACTTAATTAAGTCTGCTGAGTCCCTGTAAGAGAACCGGAGACCCGGTACGATGTGCTCGGTCGATTACTTACTCGTTGGACGAGAACAATATATGGAAAAAGAACAGGCCCTCTGCAGACCGTACAAGGCACAAAAGTAAGCGGATGGATTGAAGGCAATATAAAGGTCGTTAGAGCAAGCACGATCAGGACAACGTACCCGAATATTGCACACACGGCGGTTCCTGAATGGACACAGAACTGTAAAAAGGTATGTTAGCCATCAGGACATCAATTCCAGGTATCAAGTCGCAGTGAGGGAGGCTCGGCTCGAAATATACGTACAGCCAGAGGGATAACAGGAAACCAGGAGAGGACAGATGCGGGGATCTTCAAGCAATGCGTGATCAATACAAGTGAGAGCCAGCCTTCTGTAGACGAACAGAGATTCGCACGATGGAAGAGAGATATGCAATGTAGAATAGAAGACAGTTAGCGCCGAGCAGCAAGAAGGCAAGGTGAAGGTCGTTAGAGTGAACATGAACAGGATAACGTACTCGATACTTGCGTTCTGCGCACACTGGTAGATCCTGAAAGGTCAGAGAACTGTGACGTGCATTCACCATAGTATATCGGTTTCACTACCAGATCCACTACCAGGGTAGGTCGCGAGGGTGGCTTGTGACCTGATAATATGTGTGTGCTTAGTGCGAGACAGACAAAGTATATAAATCTTAATAAATGCCTATGAATTGGATGATAAACGCAATCTGCATAGAAGAAAGAATGTACTCACATATACACTATATAAAGGAAACTCTCAGTCCTCTTTTAATAGAGATTCCCAGCGGGGGTTGCGGGAAGATAAATCATTCTTCAAGGGATCGGAGCAGTGTAGCGTTAGCCTGGCAATTGTTGTGCATTCGAGAGCACGACGACGGGATTTCAGCATATGGCGTATGTATGCGATATCCGCCTCTTTCTGTGGATCCCACCACACCAACGGTAAACCTTCGGAGGAATCGCTATCTCAAAGGGTAAGACCTGTGACAGTGAGAAGCTCAAAAATACAGTCGAACTGTTTAATGTTTGCATCGCATGTGACATCTAAACAGCACAGGCCATTCAGGGGAAGCCAACTGTGTCTGACTGAGCAACGCCATGTCCTTAACACTCTTCTTCATATCCGACGGTGGCACCAAAATAAGAATAGATTCCAGGGACACGTTGAACAATTCGCAATTCGCGACTAATATACGAAAGTGCTTTATCTACGGACATATACATCAGCAAATGCGCGTGCAGAGAGATGGCTACAAGTATCTTAAAAGTAATCATGCATAACGCGCCTCCAACTGACCTCTCTGCTTCGGTACCATGGCAATGACACGTCTACTCAAAAGTTCTGATGTGTATCGGATCAAGATCATATTGTGAGGCGACAACATTGAATGCATGTACGTGTCCGCTCAGGACAACGTAAGACGACGTAACGGGTCAGAAATTACCGAACGCTATAATATACGGATCAACAGAAGTTCGTGGTACAACAAAGATGAATAACACCTTCGGACGGAATATATTCGAAGTCGTCCTGGTCGTCCATATGTCTGGACTGCTGACTATGAGCAAATCATTAGAAATTCCGTCTGTTCGTCACTATCGCGCGTCTTCCAGCATCGACAGTCCCAATCTTCTATGAACAGCATACCGACAGGTGACTAGAAGTGTAACCACCACTTGAGCTTCTCCATAGGTTTTGGATGGTTCTCGTTATAATCACCAAAACCAGACAGTTTGTTGTACCATTCCCCAGAACGAGCGATGGCAACGAAGGTGAAGGTAACGATGTTTGATCTACCACCGGGTCGTATTGACCGCCTGCAAAGGAAATGCACTCCATCAACTCGTCACCACACAAGTTTGCCCTTTAGACCAGAACACCCGAGATACAATCTGTCCTGCATCACATTATGACGACGAGACACCAATCCGAAAGCATCTACCATGACTATCAAAGTAAGGGAGGGACGTCCGCAGACTTGATCGAATTGAAGGTAGGCGGATATTAAACAGGAGATCCATTCTCATAATACGCAACTCGATAAGACACTAAGGACAGGAATCATGTAAGCAAGATTGATTAACCTTCGACAAATAGCAAACCCACCTAATTATGACCGCTATGTGAAAAGTAAAACTCCGCGAGGAAGTCCAGACAGCCAACGAGTACTTCTGAGATAAGGCTATCGACCCATGACAAACAGTGACCCAGAAACAGATGCTCCGAAATCATGTTCTTATACCATCCAACACCCTCCTCACCCGAATACTCAATGCGATGAGCTCGAGCTACGGCCTTCAAACGGGTGAGGTACAGCCGCTTGAATTCGGCATTCACGACGCGCAGCAGATACGATCGTCGACATCATATGGCATATACCGTACACATTCAAGTCGGTTCACGGCCCCTGAACACGCTGCCCTGTGCTTATTCCAGTGTGCACCAGCAACGAAAAACGGAGCAAAGCTGTCCAGACACTGCATATCAGAATTCCCAGTGATGTCGGACGACATAACACAGCAACAACACAGGCAACGAAGAAGGCATGGGGATATTTCGACAAACCTGCACGACGTCCAAGCAATAAGACCCCCCCCCCCCCCCCCCCCCCCTGCAAAAAGACCTGCCAGCAGATGTTCGATAATGCGAGCACGACGATACGAATCTTGGCAGGTTGTACCGACCACTAGCATGCTCGAATAGATTGGCAACAACGAAATCATCAGAAGCGGATGGAATGAACAATGTAGATGACGGCTGACACTATCTCGCATGTCTAACAATTGATGCAACTGTGTCCAAGGTTGAGGCGCGTCTTAAAGGATATAAGTATCACTATGGCATAAAACTTCCTGCGTGGACTCACATTGATGTTCACATGCATGTCCAGCAAACGACTGGAACCAATCAAAACCCAGGACGACGTCGGTAGACAGATCTCCATTCACCTCCAGTTCCAGCTGACAAGAATGGATGAATAATCCTGTATTAATGCACAACTCAGCTACTCTCCCACTGAGAACGTGTACGACAGTAGAATGGCGAGAGTTTGGCCGCTGCAGAGTGATGGAATAGCTATATCGCTCATCCCCCATAATGCACGACAACGTCGTTTGCCAAGATAATAAATCTGCGGCCGCAAGCCATTGATCATCCCATGCCACATTTCAGTTAGGGGCACACCAGTTGGCTGACAGAATGCAGCGCAGTGCCAAACGGAAGCACAATAGGGAATTACCTATAACCCACTACCAAGGTAGCGGGAAGAAATGCCCTCTCATTTACAATAGACATTACCAGGATTTGAGCCTAGACTGCAAACGACGTTTCCCCTGCGCGTAGGGTATCGTTAATAAGTCTCGGAGTCACATTAACGGTTAGTTAATAAGTCGGCAGGCGGAGGGCATGTTACTAACTTGGGTAATAACAAAATGTTAATAACACGTTAGATTGTATATAACAACCACGTTAAATTTAATTCTAATGTTAAATGGTGTTAAATGGTGTTAAATACTGCCTTGCATTCCTACCAAGCCCAATCCACGTCCTCCAGATCATCCATGTCACTCAAGGATGATACAGGAACTTTGTCTAAAGAGGACACCTCTACAACGGGTTCGGAGCTGACAAGGTCCAAAAGGGATGGTGATGCAAGGTCAATATCAGGATCTATCTTGAATTCCTTCTCACGCGGTGCCTCAACCGTTGTATTTCCGGAAACTGCGTCGTCGTCGTCATCGCTGTCGTCGTCTGTTTCTGATTCTGCATCACTTTCTTCTGAAGTACCGCTTTTCTTGGTATTAGACTGGATCTTCTCCAATACATCCTTCTGGATCTCGCGAAATTTGACTGCTGGGCGCCGACCCGGTTTCTTGTCAGGCTTCTGCAGTGCCAATAATCAATAATACATCAAATAGAAGATGGAAGTGGATTTACCATGTGGATACCGTACCACTGTCCCACCTGAATCATATCAACAACTGTTGATACCTTCTGGTTACCACGAAGAGGAGAGTTGAACCATGTAATCATCGAATTTGTCCGTTCAGCGCCGTTTCTTTGTGGCATCTTCAAGGGAAGATTTTTGAACAGCTGCCGAAGCTTTTCAAGAATGGTGTCCATCTCCTGGTAGTCAGGCATGTCAATAGTGCGGAGCCTATTGCAGGTACGAGAATCGCGGAGAGTTGAAGTTGAGTCGCGTAAGGTCACAGCTGTGACAGTACTAGCCACTGCTTGCCTTGCCGACACTTCGGCAAGCGATTTGAACTTTTTAACACTGTCTTAGTATTTAACTAGGGGTTTTGAGGCCCCCTTTCTAACGTGTGTTATTAACAATATTTAACATGGAACATTAACCGATGTTAGGAACAGGTCACTTATTAACGAAACCCTACCAGTGCGCCATACCACCATGAAGTTTCAAGCTGAAACTGGGTGTCCAGGACAATACGCTTCGACTTGGAGGTTGTTATTTAATCGCTAAACAAATGTATAAGTGCAAAAATACATACATACTCCAAACTTGCCTCCGAAAACGTCATCGATTGACTGTATCCGGATTCCGCGTTCTGGAGCTTCTTGACAGTGACTACCACCAACGACGACTACTACCTATGGGCAGCTTTCTATGGTTCGTCGCTGGCGCAGCTGCAGCCGCCATCTACTACAGTGGTCGTATACAGGCAGGGTACTAGGCCGCCAACCCAAATGGATACTACGAACGAGGGTGGACGCATCAGAGCGCACCTCTCGATCCCGAAAGGGTGCCGGAGGGCAATAAGAGGGAACGACGGTATGCGTATGGAGCTGGGGTGTGGCTGGAGGGTCAGCGCTTCAGCAACGGTTCGGATTGTCGCTACCCCAACAGCCTTGAGAGAGAATGGAAGCTCCGGCACCACCAGCACCCCCACCTCAGCAGGAGGAACAAGCCTCGCTTGAACATGCCAGAGAGCTCAGTAAGCAAGCAGACGAGGTTGTACGTTTCCTACTTTTTGACGTATCGTAGTGCTGAATCTCTGTCCTCCTAGATGTCTGACTTGTCTGAAGCTACACTCGATTCTCTCATGGCGACTATCGTTGCGGTCAAGAACGTGCGTTGATATTTCCATTCTTCGAAACCTGGCTCTGGACTGATGTGCTCCTAGAAACTCGTAGAGCGTCGTGCGCAGCGGGAACAGGAGGAGAAGCGGGCGTCAGAAGCGAACGAGTTTCGCCCTCGCTACGTCTGAGTTTCATCGTTGGCAACGGGAGTGGATGGCACGGGCTGGGCTCTGACTAGTGACTTGTGGTACGAGTCATCTCTGTTCCGTTTCGTTCTTAGTTCTGATTCTCGATCTTCGCCACTAGCATGCATCCTCGATGCCCTTTGCGCCTGTGTCTCTCGAAAGCGGGTGCACAAGTCATTGAGTGCGTTCGGGATAGCGGTTCATGTGTGTCTTGTTCATAAGATTGCGGCATCGCTAGATTGACGTGGGAGTCAATACGGGGTTTTTTTGGTGAGTGTAATCTCAAATTTTATTCTGCCTTTTTTTTTCTAACAGCATAGCGGGCTGCTAGGCGGCTCGGTATGGACCTACTGAGACACAAGCTACCTCGAAGACGCAATGATAGAACCCGAAAATGCTTTGCGCATTGGTGTCACTGCCATCCCTGCACTACGCTTCAAGTCCTAATTTCCAACTCGTATCCTCTATTCACAGTGAAAACACACGCTGCGGTCGTGAAAGTTTTTTTATCCATCCTTCTCATCATACCAAGTTTTTAAGGTCCATTGCAGCATTTCGAGAGATGGGCATATCCAAGAAAATTACTCTCAAAAACGGTGATTATACGTGAGTATACTCTGTTCCGTCCGTTCAATCAACAGGTGTTTAGAGTGCATTTATGTAGAGGGACTGTGGCGAAATAATTCCACTGAAGATGCGACGCTTGCTGTCGAACGTCACATAACGTTTCAGATAGGCGTCTTTTCCGACCCAATATACACTACCGACGACTGGCCTAAGACCTTAACCGACACGCTATCATCCGAGTATCTCCCGCGCTTTACCAGTGAGGAAAAGAAAGACATTTTAGACTTTGCCATCGATTGTTACCGTTCACAATTCACACGAGCCCCGGCAGAAGGTATTGATGCTTGCGTTGCCAATACCTCCCACCCACTATGTATGGCTTGTCTGCAATGATCCGGTGTCTTATGACTCAAGCTATGGCTGGGCCGAGGGTCCCTCGGCCGATACGTTATCGTCCTGGCTCCAGGCAACACCAGTAAATGTCCGCGCTTTGTTGAAGGAACTTCACACGTGGTGGCCGACGAATAAACTCGTAAGCTCTTCACAAATTTCTTCAACCCATACTCATTTGCCTTGAAAGTATGTCTCTGAGATTGGTTTTGCGGAGCCTTTCGAAAACGAGTGGACTGATATGTATCGTATGAAGCGGGGGGCCAACGGGAGCGTGGCAAGTCCGGGTCCTCAACTGGTTTTGGTAATTGAAGTAAAGCAGTGAATCGGGAATATTGATTCGGGTCGACAGTCTCTCAGAATAATGACATAGGTCATCGGATGATTTTTGACACATGTTACAACGTTAGAGACAGTAAGAAAGGCCCGATAGGTCAGGCCGACTTCGTCTACCACCAGGATCAGCCGGGAATACGTGCAAGACACCGTCGAAACCAAAACAACATCTTCCTCAGACAACCCTTCGGATGTCGTAGCCTCTGGCGCTCCCATTGGGCCATTCTATTCGTGTAATGTATCTTAACAATGAGAAATATAGTTAGATAGGTGGAACGTATGCTCAATGTTAACATGGATGACGTATAAACCAACTTTCTTGAAGTTGTCAGAGCTTGTACTGGCCGTATGATGATCGATGAGATACCTTGCTGCGCTAGGCAGGTGAGGAATGTGGGCGCATGGTGAAGGTAGATGGATGCACGTGTGAATGACAGACTTGGGCGGGCCTACCGACAATATTGTTGTGTTACAAGATATCGCAAGAGTGGTATATAGACGGGTGATATTGTTGACATGCACGGGGAGGAACAGGGCAAATGAGTGGCCAGCGATGTTGTTAAGCATTCAGGAGAGGGATCGCAAAGAAAATATGATCACACCGTGAGTTCCCCGGTGTGAAAAATGGCGGTGTGGATTCGGAGGTGATCGTATGGCCAGGGGAAAGGTTAGAACGGCGAAGGCAGTGAGGATAGGGGGTAGTCATTGTCGTCGGCGGCCATAGTGACGTCCGCGCCACTACAATCTTACATAACTTGATCCTCTATGGGAGATACATGGGTTATGGGGTTGAGGCAGGTGGTACACCCCAAAGTTGTTTTTAGGCGAGGGAGGCAGGCCGCAGTAGCGGGGGCGTCTGTGACGATATTACCATCACATTCGAGGCGTCCACCGTACCCTTAGGTGGTTAGTCAATGCCAAAAGAAGCGTTATTGTCACCTCCATTGTTAACTGTCGGGATGCCTAGACCTGTGACCGGTCCCCTACAATGAGCAAGCGTCGATGTAGGGGACCTGTAAAGCTGACTTTTAATTAATAGGCGACATGGTTAGGCATTTGCCGAGGCCCAAAAAGGCCATTCAAGTCGTTGCCATATTGGGGTTTTGGTGGTGATCGTATTGACCTCGACGCGTTCGACACGACTTTGCTCTGTGCTTTTCGTTAGCCATGATCCAGCAATCGAATTCATTACCAGAAAGAGCACAATCCAATAGCCTTGTTCTCAATTTCTGCCCCCAGCTACTCTCAGAAGTCCAGTACTCTCGGTTTTCCGGCCTCTGGGCTGCAGACACCCAATCCCTGCACCGACTTTCGACGACAATTATGCTGCATCTGACATGTCTTCCTCGCTTCTCTTTTCTGCTGCTGCATCGCTACCACATCCAATGGACACTCCCATGCTCTCTGTCGTAACCCATGCTACAGACCATTTATCTTCTGCACTGCCCAGTCCTCTCTCTCCTTTCTTCTCTGACCTCAGGCTTTCAGACGACACACCATCAGTACATACCCTTGCCAATAATTCACCTTCTGATGATATTCCCAACAATCCAACTGTTCTCGCATCGCCGTTCATTCATCCTGTCAACCTTTCACAATGGAACACCAGTTTTTCATCTGACGGTCTTGATGCGGAAACTGATGTCACGAGAAAAGCCAAGAGAAAGAAGAGGTAACAGATGAGTTGTTGATCCTTGGACAATGAGGAGATGTACGTGAGGGGGACACGGTCTGCATCGATGGTTTCTGTGATTTGGTGGTGAAGACTCGAGACTCAAAAAGCAGGCATTTTGGATAGATGCCAGGGTGTCAGACAATGTTTGTGCCGTTAGAGCAGATTCCATTGATTATATGGATTTTAAGGAGGGTAATATGAAGTTACGACGACAGATTACATGGGTTCACGTCGAGACGCGATGGTATCTGAACAAGATCAGTGCGATCACCACCAAAACCCCAATATGGCAACGACTTGAATGGCCTTTTTGGGCCTCGGCAAATGCCTAACCATGTCGCCTATTAATTAAAAGTCAGCTTTACAGGTCCCCTACATCGACGCTTGCTCATTGTAGGGGACCGGTCACAGGTCTACGGGATGCCCATCTTGTCTTGGCCTTCCGGCTTTCTACCCTTCCTCGCTCACCAGCATGTCGTGCGCACTCTAGAAGTGGGCACCACCCTCATGCACCTACTTCCATCCCAACTAAGTCCCACCAACACATAGGCACACCACCATCACTGTTGTCATCGTCGTCGAGCTCCCGGTTGAGTTTCCAAGTGTGCATACTGGCCCACATTCGCAGATGTCATCCAATTGCCGATGTCGTTGCGTTATTGGCATACTCGAGTACTTTGACTATCGTGATTTGTAGCATTTAGGGTCGATTCCCATACGGGTGGTTGTAACGTTGGAGGCAAAGTTGGTGAGTGTGCTAAGCGAACGGTGTTGGAACAGTGGCAATGAGAACCATCCTGAGTGATGTCTAGCATAGCGAGCGAGTTTTCTGGAAGTCGCTCATCATGTGAATGATGCGCCGCCTCGTTCGAGGGCTTATGTCGTAGGGGGATATTCGATGGACTCGGTCAAAAAATCTAAAATATAGATGAGTATTACCAGATAAAATAAAGGAGACATAAGTACCTTTTCCCAATGATTGTAAGCAATGGAAGCGAGATATCGGATTTCAATTTCAAGGCACCATCTCCAAACCAAGAGCATCCAGCCGCGTCATTCAAGTCATTCAGTTCTGCAAGGATTATAGTTAGCAGTGATACCTCTAGTAGAAGATAAATCCTACATACGTTATCAATTCGACTGGCCGAAAAAAACCGACCCCAGACCAACCCTGGGCTTCATTGCCCCTTCCTTCATTATGCAATGTCTGCCAGCTTGCCATTTAATTAGCGCGAAAGTCGTTGCGGAGACCTATGGTTGGGGGACATACTACCGGGATCTAAGGTGATAGGACAAATATCCCATGGCTTTATGATCCAAAGAGGTAGCGGTATTGCTGTTGAACGGCGGGAGACAGCCTGAGACTCGAGAGCAATGGAGGCGACAAGAAAAGAAGTAATCAAGATGACAAAGGATAAAATGCACGTGCAACCCTGAAGGGGAATATTCCGATTCGAGGAGTAATCAACAAGCACAGCCACGGTCCACCCCAGAAAGCTCAAGTTGGGTAGACCGAATCCTGTATACACAGAACTCAGAACGCGTTCGTACTGGAGTCCCGACCTAACGACCCAGCGCTTCCTGAAAGATATCCGTTCTCATGGCGAGGCTTACTGGGCAAAACACGAACCAGCATGAATGATCGCCAGCTCCTTAGGCGCTGGGTTCCGTGATACACGAATCGGCCATAGGGCTGTGTCCATTCTACCACATTGTCCCAGGCGCTTGAAGAGTTGATTCCGTTGATACTTCCGTGACGGCATCGCTATTCTTCGTTGAGGATTTTTGAAAACGTTCGTTAGACACTTTGTTCCCATCCGTTCTGGTACGTTTTGCGGATGTAAAACTGGAAAACTGGATTGATTTTGTGTGCACACATAGACCGGTCCGATCGTTCCGAGTGTCAGGGAGGAGGAAGATACTACTAGGATCGATGGGAACGAGACTACACTTTGTGACGGTAAGCTTGTCTGTGAAGAGAACGGATGATGAATCTTTGCGAGTAGAACATTAATTGATATAGGTCGCAGAAGCAAAAGTGCCGTCCTATAAGATGTCAGTGACCACTGACAATTTACCTCGTGAGCAGATTTCTGACGTGTATGGCGGTCGCAGGTTGCTTCATTCATGTCTAGAACAAGATCGAGGGTACTGGCAGGAAACAGCACGGAAATCGTCTACGTGCAAAAGCTTATATAGGCGTGCCACGGCCTGTTTTCGTATTGCAGTCTCATTTATGCGCTCTGCCAGGATTTACGATTGTTCTTTGTTCGCCTATATGTCAGTGTTGTGCAGAGGTACGCTTGTACAATCAAGACTGGAGACCAAGAAAGGATTGAGGTATAATTGTCGGATGCACCGGAGCAGCTCGCGCCTAAGGAAGGTCTTTGACTCATCTAGTTTGATCGTGCACCACCGAATCAAGTTCAACGGCGCTATTAATATGATTCCATGCTTTCACATCATATAGAAACGGGGACGTACCAGTGCATGCCCTAAACCTTAACAGTGTATGTGAATCGCCACTTCCCGAAGGTTCCTTTGTCTTCATAACGCCAGTGTAAATAAAATGCTAATTCCTACTTCTAGCGTATCACGCATTCAGATTTCAATTGCTGGGTCATATCTACCTCATCGATGACTATCTGGCGCTAATGTGTGCTTCTTCTTAACATCGTTCCCAGTGCTCGACACGGAGAATGAAAGTAGGTGAGAGGCAATCTAATTTCGGTGTTTCCGTTCGTTGATGGAATCATCGTAGAACAAGCACACGAACTCATGTAAGGCGCTCCGCATGTGAATACGATCTTCACTTTTCAATGCACTTAGTCACACCAACTCCCGGAATTGCATTGCTGGATCCCCATGGCAGCAGGTATAAATTGAGTTATTGATCATGCAGTCACATTTAGAGAGATGGTTTACCGCATTCTTGCGTTGCTCCTGACCTCTGCCTTGAGCGGCGCTTTTTACCTACGAATTAAACGACCTGTTCAGCATTCCACTATATCGTCCATCCATTCCCTCCTGAAGCCCGCTAACGTTCGTCTGGCTTCACTCCTATATGCTCGCGCCCGTCCTAATGAACGCCTTATCAGGGCTTTCGCCCTCACCAATACTTTTGTCAAAGACGACGAGCTTTCCCATGCGCGATTCCGAAACAGAGCACAGGGTCTTCTTAATAAGGCCAGTGACTGGCATCGTTTCAAACGAATTGCAGACTATGCAGTCCTGTCGTCTCTCCCATCCACCGTAGTCCGTGTTGACACGTTCGTACAGGCGGTGACGTTACGAGTAATCTTAGTAGGCTTGCTTGGCACCGAAGACGCAGAGGACGCCTCTTTTCCTCCATCTTCCATCGAGACCGTTTCATCTCTGATCACAAAGCTATGGGCTCTATCCAAGCACCCTAAACCTATTGATCCCACCCTCTTACCCCTTCTAAAGCGACATCTACACGTGCTAGTGCCAGATACCGACGCCTATCCCAACCCCCTGGATTTCGTTATACCTACCTGGGAAACGACTGTGGCGAGTCGTCACCACGACGTTCGCACACGTTTATAAGGATGATCGGTTTAGGTGCGTTCTTGAAGAACTGCATGCGAACCCCTGCATAACCCAGTTCCGCTTTCATGGCTGTGACCCAAGTGCGGAGAGTATCATCACTGAGGCAATGCGTCTTCATCCCCCATCCAAACACATCTCGCGTTTGGTTTCGTCTCTTCCCTCGTTCTTACCCCGCTGGATGTCGTCGCGCTTCTTTGAGACGCTCCACGTTGCGGATATTTGGGCAGTGCATTACTCTCCAGCCATCTGGGGGTCTACAGTCGAGACGTTTGATCCTTCGCGTCACACGATGCGTACGCCAGAGCAGGAGGAAGCCTTTCTGGCCTTTGGTTATGGCAGGCTACAGTGTGTGGCCAAGAATTGGGCACCGATGGCTGCTGCAACTATCCTGTCATCCATCCTTGCTGGCGTTGACGAGAATTACCGGGTCAAAGCAGGAAGAGGTATCGGAGGAAGGGATGGCTGGGATGGCTGGGAGATCGTAGCGTTGACCGCCGGTCTCTAATCAATAATTATGGAGAGGTTCGGTCGACGTTCTCACTCTTCTTCCTTTCCATTTTCGGTCTTCTTGGGCGCTCTCTTCAATTTTAGATACCTACTTTGTATTTAATTGCGTGATCACTAACGCAGCCCTCCACCATACAATTTTCGTCGGCGTACCTCAGTTTTCTACTACCACTATCGGGTGTAGACTGAGGTACATTCTTTCTCTTAGCCTATTCATTTCGTAGTACCTACGACATCATAGGTCGTTGTTGTTTAACAGTAATCAAGTTTCAATCGTTTGCTGTTGTACTCCAGGTTTTCTATCTTAGGAGCTTTTGGGCCGAACTGGTTGAATATTTGTATGAACACAGCTCAGACGCACTTGGGCTCTCGTGGCGCTCCCGCGCTCGCTATGCAGACCAAAATGTTCTCTACATTCTTCTTGACTGATAATACTTGAGTCCTTACTTCTTTCGCCAAGTATGTTTTTGACGTCTTTCTAGTCTTTAACTGTACACTGTTGTATCATCCGTAAATACTTTGGTTCTTGAAATGCTACTTTTTCGTTCTCCTCGGCCACGATCCTGTCGCTTTTCTGACCACTTTAGTACCCTGCGAAGAGTCTCTACTCCGAAAGACGCACTCAACAGTGTGATTACAATGGCACGAGCCTTCGTAGCCACAGCACATGGCTCGCCATGTCAGGGCTGTGGACCCGGCCGTTCCTTATTGGGACCTGGCGTCGGTAACACCACCACCACCACCTGCCGCATTGTCTGTGCTTACCCCGCCCTTGTCATTGTCCCGGCGATCTCTTGTTCAGGATGCTACCCTGCAACCTTCCTGTTCCTTGATACCGTGTCCACCCTATTCAATACTGCTCGTTGGACGATTCCCCTGTACACTGGGCTGTCATGCGTTGGGTTCTCGTTTGGCACGTTAATTGGCAGACGAGGATGCTGGAGGACGTTTACTATAGGACATAAAAGTGGGGCTGCCCAGGATTTCGACGTATCAAACAATATCGAGGTCCCAGATATATCTATGAGTGCGTGCATGCCGTCTTGCCTTTAAATAGAATATCTACTCATGTATCCTTAGCTAAATGTCATCCTACGTGAAAATAGTTCGCGTCTCGCTCCTTGATATCAATACAAAAACTTGTGAACAAATGGACTGCAACTAGCATTGAGGTTACAAGTTTCTCAGCTACTCCGAAGCGACCATCAATGCGACCTGGCTAAAAATGCACCATTCATACCGGCTCCTATGCTACAACACAGATAGGGGGCAAGGATGGGCATGTAGAGCGTTTAACCTTTGACAATGCTACAATCCACGATCTCCCTGCCCCGCCAACAGGCTGCCGCCCGTCATTCGAAGTCCATCGCTGGCTCGACCTACATCTTCACCTAGGCTATATCCCGATTTTTTATCTCCGGTAATGGTACGTCTTGTCTCTACATCAACCTATTAATCAAATTAATGGATCCTATGTATAGGTACGCATGGGTTCAAGACCCAGTAAAAGTACCTATACCGCCTATAAACTGATGCCGTGCAGTCGTCATCGTCTACTTCACTTGGTCCAAAGTCCTCGTACGGCAAGCCTTAGGCTCTACGGAATGTTTTATATGTTGTGTTAATGATTTCACGGGTGTAGTTTTACCAAAAGAGAACCACTATATTACAGACTACAGATTAATACACGAAGAATCAGTAATGCGAGTCATCAAATGTTGAGTGTTGGCTTTTTGCGTGTACCTGCGGATGAACGTTCAGTTACGATTCCTTTAATAGCAAGATGCAAGTCATCCGATAAGTCCGAGGAGGTTTTGAAAGGGAGAGAAGAAACTAGAACGTGAGCCTCTTCCACTAGTTTCCTGAGTCCCTTGCCGTCGCAACGCTCATGGAACGCAGAACTCGGGCTAAGATCCGTTTGGAGTTTGATTACATCCTTGTTCGCTTTGCTGTTGAAAAAGCAACGAATCGTGTCAGTTGTTGCTAGTAGAAGTGACGAGTAATACGTACTTGGTCTGTGTTAACAAGTCATCAAGGGTGGCGATCTCATCAGGACTGGCCTCGTGCCCTTTAAGCCCATTTTTCATCTTCTTCTTCTGGCTGAGTGTATCGATACGGATTATTTCGAGGCAGACTAAGATGTGGGGCAGCGGACCCAGAAACAGGCGAAGATATAATCCTGGGTTATCACCAAGCCGAGATACTTCCTTGGTGCATGAGGCGTATATTTGTGCGTGAAGACCCGCCCTCCCTCTCTTAGCTATACCTCGCCGATGACGGAGGACCCTCCTGTATACTCGCTGAATCAAGAATGCGGCAGCGATCTCTCTTTCCGTGGGTTCTGGCGCTGTCATATCTTGCACTGGAATGGCATTGACAGCCACAGCATCATCGCCTGCAGTCTCCTCGACAGCTTCAGCTTCTTGTGCATCCTCCATATCCTCCACTTCGCCATCGCCATCAGCCACCTGCCCAGGAACCTCAAGATGTGATGAGGTAGTCGGAGATGTTGCAGGCACAGCCTGAGTGAGACCAAGCTGCGCTTGGATATCTGCGAAATCGCTGTAGACAAGCTGACGAACTCCCAACAGGGCATGCCTCTGTCCCGGAACCCTGCTCTGGTGAATGAGCAGTATCATTTCATCCATGGTGTCGGATTGCAGTGAGCGACGAATAACCTTTGCAAGTTTATCCCACGAGTCGCTGGCTGCATCGATGTATCTGCAAGGGTGTTATATTACACAGGCACCTCTAAATCAGAGACTTGCATACCGATCATAAAGGGGAGATCTTTCTTGACTAAAAGACAGTATCTTCTTCTTGATATCGCTGCGGAGAAATTCATCGCGGATGTTGTAGCCCACTACATAGCAAAATAAGCAAGAACACAAATCACAGAGTAAGCAAAAATTGACATAGACAGACAGCCTTGAATCTAATAGAAGGCTGATATCAGAAAAGAAAGCAATGGCTCATTCGATAGCTGACTTACATCCTTGCGATGAAAACATGACGAACTCGGTATGACACGTTTGAGAGATTTCGCTTAGTCCCATACAAGAGATGCTCTGTACATCATGAGGACGAGATACTGAAGGAATATAATGTTATGAGGCTTACCACAGCTTTGACTGGCACGCAATTGTTCTAGGAGATCCCGCATAGGCTCCAGAAGGGTGCGATAATAATTTGTCTGTATCCCTTCATTGAAGTACGGCAGATCATAACGCACAAAGCGCAAGAGCCAGCTACGAGGGACCGTTACATTGGGTGATAATAACATTCCCGAGCGACGGCCGCAAAGAATGACAGAGCTGCAAAGAAAATCCACAAAATCGCACAGATCACCTATCTTGATGGGCAATCTTTGCTTTACAACATGCCTGGAAAGAAGATCAACCTATAGTAAAGATCTGCTGGATCCAGACTTACTCGACAAATAGAAAACCAGCAGTAAGAGACCATATTTGAGATCCCGACATTGAGTTCAGAAGATCACGAGGAATGAAGACATTGCCTCGGCGAATGTAAGTGGACGGAGGGTATTTTTCACGGAAATACGCAGCATTTCTGAGATAACTTGCTTGACTTCGATCAAACGTAAAGGCCAAGGTAGCTGTCCGCATCACATCCGCGAGGAAGTTCGTCTTGGGGTGACACTTCCGGTCATAAACGACGGTTCGCACCCAATCTTTCACGACGTTTAATGCTTTTTGAGCTTCGGGAATTGTAGAAAGTGCGAGATGGGAAATGGAACCAAACTTAGGATGAGGAGGATGAAGAGCATCGCAAAGACGGTTGAGCCAGAACCTATATCGAAATGAACACTGAAAATCTGGAGAACAGGAATGATAACGTACTTGGTTCCTCTGTATTCCACGTCTGCATGAGCGTTCTCCCTAAGCGACTGCAAGATCAAGATTTGTTGTAGGTGCAAGCGGATACGCATATTATAGTAACCAGGGTTGATCACCGAAGGTGATACGTGAGCTTCCGGGCATTCAGGTCGTTTACAAAACCCAGATACGCCAAAAATGAGGCAAGGCCGGAATGCCTTGCTCTTTGCGCATTCGTCATTTTCGGTCGCAATCCTTTCCTTAAGATGCCTTCTCAGAACTTCTCGAAATAGCACACGAAGTTCGAGTACTGAGAGCCTGAGATTGAAGTCGGAATCCCTAAGCATATTCCTAGGTCGAAGTTTGAGAACTGCGGAGTGCATCCAAGTATTCTGGAGCACAACAAACTCGTTCTCTGCCATCCACCGAAAACCAAACAATGCCGCAGTTGCTACATCTCTACAAGGATCCATTCGGAATGCTGCAGCAGAAAGGAGGCCGACATAGGTATAAAACAAGCTGAGTTCTTGAACTGCGTCAACAAGAGTCATGTTTTGAATTCGAAGGGACCGAGAAAAATATTGATCGAGGCATAGCAAGGCTGCTGAACTATGGCCCATCTTGTGGAATTCCAATCCCAGTTCACGCAGCCGAGTTGCCTGGTCCTGTGTGATGGCCACAAACATTGACCGCTGAAAATACATCAGTATAAGCTGTGATGAGTAAAAAGTGAGGTCGACACTTACTTCAGCTGCTTTAGTCCACTTCGTAGAAGTCGCATCAAGTCGTGAAGCAAAGCGCATTAGCCGTAAGACAGTGGGATCTGATCTTACGACATTAGGGTCAGCGCCAAAAGATATACTATGCCAAAGCTCTTCGAGAATGCATTCTTGAGCTCGACGCAAAGCATCTGTGCTTTTGGTTTGACAGAGGAAAAGCTCAATAGCCTGTTCTTTGCGACCCTCGGAGTAGTGCAATTCAGCAGCTTTGCTGAGTCGACCTTCTTTCTCCAACAAGTCTGCAAGAGCGACATCGAGGTCCCTCTCTTCTAGATACTCTACTTCTTCTTCGACTGACTGAAATAGTTCGCGGGCCTTTCTGTTTAGGAAGGTGAGGATAGTTGGTCAACATGCCTCGGGAAAAGACGTACGTCATCTGATGGTTGGAGAGGTATGCTAGTCTCGCAAGCTTGATGACATTTTCGACAACCTTCGACGACATTTCATCCTCATGGGCTTTCACAATCTCGACCGCCTCGTCAAATTTGCCAATGTCTCTATACAGTTCTGCCGCGTGGGTGTACTCCTGAGCACGTAAGAATACTTGGGCAGCTTGATATTTCTGGTCAGCTTGTTCAAAACATTCCCCACTGATCCTGAGATAGGTCATGGAGTCTTTCAAGCCCGCGCTGGCCTTCTTAGCACATTCCAAGAACGAAATGGCTGCCTCTGCAAAACAAGACCGTCGTTCGAACACTTTTTGTCTTGATATGCCAGTGACTTTACGGGCCTTCGCTCGCAAATCATAGGCATGTGCAACAGATGCAAGGAAGGGGAAGTTGGCCTTGATATAACAATACTTGGCCTGCGAGAATTGCTTCGCATTGAAAAGTTCACGTCCCTCTGTAGCCCATGCTTCTGGTGTCGATGAAGACGCAAGCCGAGGAGCACCAGACCTCGGAGTGTAATTGTTAATCAAATCTTTGCTCGTCCAAAAGAGCTTGATGATTCATGATAAGAATACCATCTGGATACTGGGACAGCGCCAACTTACTCTCATGAGTTCCCCTATCTCAGATCCATCTGCGATCCAGATATTTTCACGTGCTCTGGTGATTGCGACGTACAGCGATTTTAGCTGGACAATATCATCATTCTAAGGCTAAGTAACGACACACAAAATCACACTCACCTCATGACAAATGCTGGCATGACGAATACGGTTAAATACAGGAGACCGATTCTTAGGGTCCTGCTTGCTCTCCTTGATGGCGTTCAGCACAAAGCGCCATTGTGCGAGGTCAGCCGATGAATCAGCAAAGAAGTTATAAAGCAGGACCTGAAGGAACGTGATGCCATAGTGAGAAAATCATATTGTAACATAGTGTATTAACATACATCATTGAATTCAAGCCCTTTGCATTCGTATACGGTGCTATAATATTGACCATCAGTCTTAGTTAACATAAAAACAGAGAACTCATACAGCACAAGACCAACCTCACCGACTTTCTGTCGGAGTCTCTCTCTTGCCATTTCATTCCTGACGATGATGCCTTTGCATGAAAACTCGGAGTCAGTTGGCTTCAATGCGAATAACAGGAAACTAACATTGCTGTGCGCCAAACTCGATAGGATCACCGCCGTCACCAAAAATGAACTGCTCCAGCTGGGCGCGATCTTTATTGTTAAAAAAGACGGGCTTGGCCCCGCCTACAATTCCCATCTCAGGAGAAAGACGATCAATGGAATCGTTCCAAAAAGTCATGAGAAGGTCGATGATGGAACGCGCGCAATCAACAATGCCTGCATGGGACCTATAGTTGACAGCAAGTTGAAACATCTCAGGCGGGTGCTGAGCCCCAATTCTATGCTTTCTTCGGTACTTGTCCTGCTCGTCTAATTAGACTCATGCATGAGAATTCTTCTGAGTAAATCCTACCTCAATATTCCACTGAAATGCTTTCAAAGCGCTGAAACGGAAAGAACTTCCAACAGAGATAGTCTGTGCAGTGTCTCCCGCCCAGAAGAGACCATCCGCATTGTGACATAGTAGCCTCAAGACTAAATGATGAGTCAGTTGATCATGGTCCATGTGAGACGAAGATTAGAGATGAAATTTACCCATAGTGTCAATGAGCATGTTATCCTGTACTTCGTCGACATATCTGTAACAATATTGATAACGGATAAATAGTACGAGCAGAAGGCTCACAAATGATCGAGTCCTTGTCCCGGGACACCTTTCTCCATGAAATGTTTCAAGATACTATGGGTTCTAGACCACGATTATCTTCTACTCGTGGAATTTCAACGAAGACCTTACCGATCACCAGTGTCGTACTCCCCCCGGAACTTCTTCTTGCGCATATACAACTCGAAGAGTCTGTACACCTCACACCTTTGGTCAGAAAATGTGGAGTACTGGCGTTTACTGAGGTCAAGGTAAGTGGCTCTGCTAAGATAACGCTTCTCTTCGCTCAGCGTCTCTGCTGATCCTTCAATGACGCCTGAACGGAGACTCAGGTCAAGTCCTTTGACACAAGATATAGATGTGTTACCTATGAATTCGCTGAATACCGAAGCAGGATCTGAATAAAAACTGTTTTAATATCAGCATGCAGACAAGAGAGAAGCAGAAACCTAATCTGCTATTGTAACAATGCGGCCAGTAGAACTCGCAAAATGACTCAAAAGTGATGATGCGCTTGGTGTCAATAGGACGTGTGACACCCATGTCAGCTTCCAACAACTCGCAAAGCTATAACCAGGAAAAATGAGATGTTTAGATAAAAAAAGAGAGGTGCAGCTTACACCATCAAATGTTATAAATAACGGGAAATGCCTGTCTTCAAGTTCACTATACTTGGCTGGCAAATCAGTTCGCCAATCTACAATATCATCCACATCAATCAATCCTAAATCAGATTGGTACTGAGGAGCTCTCGGTAGGTTTGTGACGTCAGCAGACGGTTCTGACGCTATTGCCAAGGAGCTGACCAACTTCGCAAAGTATTCTTGTACTTTCTTAGCAAGCATTCTAGACTTCGTGACAAACACCTGGCGGGGACGAGGTAAATTCGACTCCATGAGTTGGAACGTCCGCTCGATGAGCAGCATCTTGAATAACATAGTAGTAGTTTTCCTGCATTAAATAGACGTGAGCAAGAGAATGACACCGGCGAAATGCTCATGCATACCCTGTACCACTGCGACCTATGACGTAGCAGGACTGAGGATGCTCTATGATACGTTTCTCTTGAGTGCTATGAATAAACGCTGTTAGCAAATGAATAAGGAGAGCCAAATACAGCAACGCACGAAACCGTATGAGGAAAAGTCGCATCCACATCTGCTAGGACAGCTACCAAAATGAATTAGGTCTGGCTTTTCGGACAACATTACACCGATACATACTATTCAAAAATGGCTGCACGTCTTCATGGTTAGATCGTTGGTTCACGGATATTACAACAACATACTTGCGAAAATGTAATGTATTTCTCAACACTGTGGAAGGGTTAGCGACTGGAACTTGGCTCTTCTCTATATGACTTACACAAGTCTTGAATGAACCTGAGTAGAATGGTCAGCGTCTAATTCAGAGGAATGAAAAGCGTTAAGTCAACCTGGGCCGTTTCGTCAGGACGTAGATCTAGTATGTCTTCCGATGGCAATACTTCAGGTAGTGGGGCAAAGAACGCTGGAGTGAAAATGTTCTTCGAGGCATAATCTGCACGTTTCCTAACCACACATCTACGCCATCACATTTAGGCTACAGGCATTCAAGCTACAGCGACAAAATGATACCTCTTCTGATATTCCTTTCCCTTTTTGCGAAGTTGAGTGCTGATAGAACTCCAGAGACGATTGTCGATTTGAGCATGAGTATATATACCGAAAATCTTGATAGCTTCAAGGACTGTGAGGAGCAAGCAAAGAGGTACTATGAACATTAGCTTACCTTGCTGCTCTACACCATCACCCGGGATTATATCAATCTGATACTGCAAGGAGATGTCAGCGATGTTCGGGACCGATAAGAAATAGATTCCCCACGATGAGTCTGAGGTTATGAGATATCTTAGCCTCGAACACGGGGACTTCCGTCGCGTTTCCACTTAAACGCCTTTGATTGTTGTCGGAAAAGAGACCACATGAGAGTTCCCTGCAGTGCAGTCAGACAAGTACACTTTATATACTACGACACCTTATAATCCGACACGTACTTTATCTTCTTCAAGGTGATGTTGAATATGGAGAAATCCTTTTTGTGGGCGCTCCGCAAAAAGTTGTCAGCGTCTGCGGATATGGTGACTCTCCATTCTCCGAACCCCTCGGCGGTATCGAAGTGTAATGCCCTTGATAGATATCAATGTGGTATGATTTCGCGAAGGATATGAAAACATACGACTTCATCTGCTGAACAACCGGATACGTAGAGGGTAACTCGACCACAGATCCTGAAACGTCCTTTCCCTCTATGGTGGACGTAGAGGTGATACAGCGTTCCTTGAGAGATACAGATATCTCAGAACGACGGAGCAGCTCTAGATAGAACTAGACACGCCTCAACTTTCGATAACAGTATGCAGACGGAGTGACACTCACCCTGAGAATATCCTTTTGACTCTGGAGTATATGATCCATGAGGGCAAATGCTTCGCTCGACGTTTCAGGCATATCGACGTTCAGGACATCGAAATACTTCTTGACCGAAGCTGTAGCGCCGTCATCTTGCTTGACTTGCTGAAGTTTCCTCTGGGACCGTTTGGTCTTGCCCTTCTTGTTATGATGCTCCGATCCGATATCAATGGGACGAAGCAAGGAGACGAGATACTTTAACACCTTGGGCGTGAGCTGAGTTATCTCGTGGTATCGCGCACATAATTTCTTGTCTTCAACAAAAGGGGAGGAAAGAAACTCTGCAGAAAGACAGGATATAGCCTTGTAGTGGACACTCGCATCGTAGTCCGCAGGTTCGGAGGGAAAAGACTCCAATAACCACGACGTCAACGAAGTTGTCTCACTCAACGCTGAATAAGATGTAAGAGCCTGAGAGACCATCAGATAACATGACAATGTCGACTTACACGACAAGACCAAGAGAAGAATATGTGGGCTTTCGTTATCGAACAGCTCTTGAAAAACATGCTTGAAATTATCTATCGTGAGGAGGTTTTGCAGCTCCCACAATGCAGATTCAAGCGCATCCACCGAGGCGAGCTGCTCTTGGGAGAAGAGATCGCTGCGATATATGCGTTTGCGAGGCATGGTTGCATCATGGCAAAGGCATTCTCTGGTTTATATGGGCACGGAAACACACCTCCTGCAAAATAAAGACAAACTCAGACCCCGGCGAGAGCTTCAAAGGGTACATCAATCAATCACAGAAGCTTCCTAAGCGCCTAAATAACCTCGAGACGAGTAAAACTCAAGACAAGATCCCAGCTCTGTACTTTGGTCGCGATGTGTTCTGACGATAAGTATCTGCATAGCGTCTTGGCTACTTCCTGAGAGACCCAGCAGGTGGAGCGTAGGAACGAGCCGAAAGAAAAAATTCCAAGTCCCGGGCTAGTGACCGAAGCGTGAACAAGCTGAAGTACTGAAGCGTGCCAATTGAATTCAACCAACGAATTGCCTAATCGGGAGCATGGGACTCCTGCCACCTGCTGTCGTTTGATCCGTTCACAACAGAACTCGAGCCGTATCCACCAGGTGAATTCTCGAGGACTGTTCGAAATTTTCGCCCAGCACATGTCACGATAGCAAGCACGAAGATGGAGAACGTGGGTATTTACAAATAGACTAGAATAAAGTCATCAGTCATGATGTGTCTTTGATCACCAACATAAAAATCATGAAGACCCCTGGGTAACTTTCGTCTCCGCAGCGACATCCTCAGTTGGACGTATGTGTCCTTTATCATCCATCCGGGCGCTATAAGCAAGTTCATGAGAAGCCATCAAAGTCAATGAGACAGATGAACTGACATGGTCTCGTCGTCTAGGTTGGCATGATCCTTGATACGTATGATAACCATAGGCAGCGCAAACACGAGACCTCCGACAAGGAGAGCCCATTCCGAAATGAACATATTCATGTACCTATACGAAACATCAGGATGCATCACAACAAGCATCAGAGAAAACATACGGAATCTTGACAGCATCTGCATGCCATATCCCAGCTGCCCCAGACGACTGGATCGACTTGTAGAACCAGTAAAGAATGCCAGCTCTGATAGATCGTTCGACATCGCACCCAGGGCCATAAGCCAGTAAGCTGTCATCTGCGTGCAGCATGAGACAGTCACATGAGGCTAACAGATTCGAGACAGGCTGTCTGTTTACTATTTTCTTCCTGGTGCCCTTTGGTACTTAATGGCAGGGCGAGCACGCCACCAAACCGACTGAAAGCTGGAGCAAGAAGGGAGGTATCGGCGGCCATCAAAAACAGAGTAGGATAATCTGGACTGTAGGGGGGATTGCGCCTCTCTACCGGGCTTTTGGAGCTGACAAAGTAGGGAGATAGTTTAGTGTCGCGCCGTGGGGCCCGCCCCAATGCACAATAATATTGAATCAAAAAAAAAGCTGTCATCTGCCACATCACATCCAGAACCCCGTAGAAGATGTAGAACCATACCCGACCGGCGTATCCGTAGTCGTAGATATCCATTTTCTCCGTCTCTGGTGCGACGTTCTCGCGCGTGTACTGCTTTTGATAGAAGTATCCCCAGATATGGATGATGAAGACCATTAGGAAGAGGACGGTCCAGCCTGTGTAGACACGGATGTGACGGCTGATAGATTTTCAGTCAAGGAGGAGACCGATGAGGACAGACCCGATGATTTGGGAGATCCAGTAGCAGACGCTGTTCAGGCCCCAGGCACGGATGTTGAAGATGGCACCGTTGAAGCCGCTGAATTCTGGATAAAATGAAAGCATCAGTTAGATAGCTCCAGAGAAGGGAGGTAGGTACTGACGCCATGGCTAGAACCAGTTGGAAGCAAAGAACATAGGGAAGAGAAGGACGATCATTGGATCAGTCTTCAGCGTCACGAATAGACCTATTATCTCGGTTTTCCAAGAGAGATGTCCAACATCCCTCGGGGCATCGTAACATCTGTTTCATCAGAACGAATCATCTTGTCAGGGTCCGCCATTAGCATTGGGATCGAAACGCCGATGAGTGTAAGGACAAGGAATCCAATCTGTGGATGATTTAAGTAAAGAAAAAGATGGTGGAAAATACTAACGCATGTAGGTTCCATTATCAACAGCATTGGCCTGTAAACATGAATGAACATGCAATCGTGTGTTACGATAGTTCAGGCGCTTACTTGTTGATTTCCAGTTTCTTCCAGCAGCAACAGACGCTCCAACGACACCGTCGAGGTTGAAAATAGACCAGAAAATCCCGATAAATTTCCCTTTTTGCGTTTCAGTAAGGTATGCTATCATCAGTGAGCTCTGTGCGGTCCGTAAGAGACCAGCGCATATCCCAAGGATAGCTCCTGCGATGATGACAAAACTATTAGTGTCGGAGTGAATGTTTATGGCTCTAGAAATAGCATCAGTATCGATTAACTAGTGATGAAGGGGGCGGTAATCACAGATAGGATCCGATATACAGGCTGTAACCCATACTGCTGACCAGAAGGGTGAGTCTTGGTCGGAGCATGTTGTTGACCGATCTAAGGAAACATATATATGGATAAGTGGGCCAAAACGTGAAAGACAAAATATACTCACCCAGCGAAGAATCCCATGGCAGCAAAAGTTGAATACAGAGCAGTATTCGCATTAGAGTTGGTCTTAGAGGCCATGAATGACTAAGGACCAACTGATAATGGCGCGCCGCCACAGCTGACATATGTGCCGTCCGTGTCCCGGCTTCACATCCCCCAGAGATGGACTCTCGGCGCGTCATACAAGCCCATCGTAACAGCCATCAGGAGCTCAGTGTACTGGCTCTCCTGCACGCCAAAACAGTCCAGCACATCAGCCTGCTGCAGGACACTACTATGATCAAATGGTTGGGGTCGCTTGGTCCAGGGTCAATAAAGGTTCAGGGTGAGACGGACCAACCCATAAGACGTGAGCGCGTCCTCGCCCTTCTGAGAGCGTCGAGCATGTCGAGGGTGATAATCGAGGGTGCGGTTGTGAGAAAGAGAAGCGTCGGAAGAGATTCATGATGCCAAGTGTGAGGTGCACGCGTTGGGGGCCAGCGAGCAGCGTAGAGTCTGGTGCAGGAGATCTGGGTGTATTTGGCCAAGGGGTATCGACAGAACTGCCGGCTACCGGACCGGACAACCGGCAAATCCTTTACTCCCCAAAATTCAGTCTCTCCTGCGTTCTCGTCTCTCCTTGTCCCGACGCCTCGTCGTAAGGGCAGCTGAACCTTCAATCCGCCCTATAATAACACCAATACTCTCACCTAACGACGAATCTATGCTACAAAGGCCCAGTCAACGTCGTTCCTCAAACTAAGCTCCCAACCGACGTCACCGAACACGAAAAATGCCAAGAAAAAACGAAATCAACGATGAGACGGGACTGCTGACGCATCTGCAAATGCTTCCAGACGTGTGACGCTCGCTTTACTCGCCAACATCCGTGTCCAAGGTCAGGAACCGGAAGACATCGCCATGGTTGGGTTTCAAGATGGGAGTATGCTCGTGGTGAGAGGACGTGAGTGTCTCAGCTCTTCCTTGATTTAGGCTGACGAAAGTAGTAGAATTTCAAACACGTCAAGGCTGCGATATATGATGCCAAAATACCGTAGAGGCAGGATACACACGGACATTGAGGATCCTCGTGCCCAAGCCGACGCTAGATGCCAAGTTGTCGGTCATCGCTGCTGCAGGGGAAAAGGCGGAGGAAGCCCGTGTGTAGTGTCGCAAGCTCCGTGCTCCAACAGACAAGCGTGAAGAAGGGTAAGTATGAAAAGCAATCCGTCGAGCTCAAGGTGGTGCGCATGCCTTGCAGTTCCTTCCTATCCGTATGCTGAACCCCGAACAGTTTCAAGATCTGCTTGACAAGTACGTTGCCGAGATTGACAAGATCCTGGAGGACATGAAGACGATGCTAGGGGTTCAAACATTCATCGATAATAGAGGGTAATCCTTCACGACAACCGAGAAATGGTAGTCAGCTGGTTTGATTATGAAAATACTGCTCTGCCTCGTACTTGCCCCGCCCATGTCAACCGTATGCACAACCCATACAATGAGTATGTTTTTTTTCCTTCTTTCCTTCCTCATGTAACCTATTTTAAAACTTGAATCCAGGCTTGGGCGCGTACTGGTCACTCAGACTCGACGTTTATCATTGAGCCAAGGCCGACCCCACAGCATGCTCCAATCCATGTATCGCTCTCTTCTTCCATCCCTTCTGCCACACACCGGGATAGATTCACCAAAAACACTTTACATCAGTACACCGGGGTCCGGAGGTTGCTCTCATTCACTGTTCGAACATGCGTGTGATGTGCCAAGTTCTCTCCATCTCCGCCTCTGACACTTCCCAATCCCAACCACCCAGAACAACGAATGATTCCCCTGCTCATTCTTCGCTCCGGTATCTTCAGACGCCAGATTACGAGAGAAGTCAGCCGCTGAGACCCATAGTTCGTGGCTTATCCTCAAGATACGGGAGCTGCTCCTCGATTCTCCCCCTCCCTCCGGCATTAAAAGATATTTTCCTCTTCACAGCGATGGCCTATATCAATATTGTCAGACATGCCATTGGGGAACGCCCCGTCCTTCTTTGACGCTGTTGGGTGCGCTGGTGACAGTCAAGTCGACTTTCGAACCTCGGCTTATCTTGGTGGGGCCCTAGCGGCGTATTTTGGGAAATGGTGGGGAGGCGAGTCGGCCGACTTGGATGACGATGAACATTTGAGAAAGGACGCGTGAAGAAAGCGTGGTCGGGCATTTTTGGCATCTCTGCGGATGGACTGGTAGTGTTCCCTCGAAGGTATCGGGCAGGCCGGGAGGAAGTGAGTGGATCGCGGCGGGGTATTCACGACACTAGAACGGATGTACAAGCGTTCGGCGCTGTCCTTGGGTGGGTTGTGCGATGCCTTCCAATGAACGCCAAGATTTACGAGTGAAAATAGCGGAATTCTTTGCGTCGCACCTTCAAGATTGAGTTCTGTGTTGTACGGTACGGCCAAGGTTGGTTTTCGTCGAATATGAATTCAAGAACAAGGAATACGTGTAGCCTAATAGCCATGCAAATAAAGACTAGTCACCAATACAACCTCCCAGAAAGACAATTTAAGCAGACCGTATATGTATACCCTTTCCAGAGATTTTCTTCACGTCCGACATGTTTATCTTCAACGACAATCACAGTAGAGGCATCGAGGCGTTACTTTTTATTCATCCTGATACACTGCATCCTTGTCAAGATGTATATGAATGTTGAGTTTGTATCGAGTGTTAGCAGGAGAGACAGCACTTTCCAGCTCAATAGTTTGAGATTTTGGTTCGCTGACATCTCGGCCCGGAGTTACCGGCCCGCCCTTGATCTTGACCGCCGCGAATTTTCGGTACGTCGCGACAGCTACTTCTATTTTCCGTGTTTTCAAAATGAGCGAATCGTACTCACACATTTTGCAGGTGTGTTGACTACAGAGACATTATGTGACATTTGTCTTGGCAGCACTGTCGACCAGTCAGGCCTTACAACTGGCAAACTCGTCTGAGGCTGGCTCACTCAATACCAGCATAGATTTCGGTTATGTAAATCTGATAACCCATTAATTAATTTCTTCAGTAAGTGGCTAGCCAGGCCTTTGTTGTGATCAGGTGCCATCTTAGTAACAAGCACCAATAGGCGCCCATCGATGCCTCGAGGTCTTCCTTCTCCCCATACCTTTCCGACATGTCTAACAGACGTGGCAGGCAGCTGTGCAAATTCTTCAACACACCTAGGGGATGTCGTTTTCAAGACTGCAAGTTTCTCCACGAACGAGCCGGAAGTCCGACGCCTTCGTCGTCGCCATCAACTCCGTTGCATTCTCCCAGACCATCAGGCAGGTCTGGCGGAATTACAGCTGGCCGGGGGAACTGCGAGTTCTTCTGGACTTCGGGAGAATGTCGACGAGGATTTGATTGTATATTCCGCCATGTTCGCCAGCCGCAGACTCAGAATGCTGCAGGGGTGCCTGTAGAGGCAACGTCTCCAGAAACCGACACCCTCGACTTCCTGACGACCGAAGGACTGGCTGGCATTAACAACATTTCTTTGGACAAGTTGCATACGTTGAGCCCGACGGAGGCGCATAACATGCTCAAGGCATTCAATAGCCCGACATTCCAGTTCACAGCCCCTGATCAAGTCATCAAGTTCGTCCAGATTCTAGCTAGCGTTGATCGCAGAAATTCACAATGGGTACTTACTTTGCATTAAGCCGGCTCTTCTTCTAATCAAATGATCTCATAGGATACCGTTCGGGCCCAGTCATTTCTTGAAATGATAGTCGATTTGAAGGTAAAGTTGTCGTAATTCTTTAAACAGTCATCGTGTTCTTATCAAACCAACTAGCACCATGTCCTCGCTCGCATCCGCGAAGTCTTGCAATACTCCCCCATTGCCTGCCGTGCTGGTACAGGTTTCACGGTCCTTTCGTTTCAAATTGGATACTTCCCACTTCTTCAGGTAACTATCATCTCTCCGTCTTCTACCACGGCTCTCATCAGAACTCCAGTTCTTTGGCTCAGACCTCATCCTCAAAACCAATCTCCATCATAATATCCAGTATGCCGTCTCAAATATACGTACGCTCTCTATCAAGCTGACATCCTTTAGTGCGTTGTACAGCGCCCTCGATAGTGGCCTCGACCATATGCTCGACGTCGTTTCTTCATGCATGGAGCAAATGATCCAGAATCGATCTTGGAAGGATCCTACACCAGCCCTCCCTGCCATACGGCAAAGCAGCCTTTCGGGAGTGGTCGTTTTCGGCACGATCACTACCCTGCTTACTCAGTAAGAGCTTCTACCTATTTTCAGTTGTTATGGTGCTAACCCTTCTCAGATATTTCCAACGTTTCAAACATGCTATTAATAATCATCCAGACATCTTCGTATTCGTTGGCAACCTTGTTCAGTGGTATGGTGAATGGGCGAGACTGATCGCGACATCTAGCTTTGATGATTCTATTGACCCAACCGTTCAGCGGTTGACTTTAGAACAGATCAAAGAGTCTATCAGTAGACTTGACGCAATAGTAAAGCGAGAGCACGCAAATGCAGAGAGAAGACGAAGACCAGCGCAGCCACAAGGTCTGAGAGAAGAGCATCGATCTGAAGCATTACAAGCTCAACTTATTCAGACTTATGACGGTCCCGGTGTCCTTCGTCTTCTTGGTCCTCGCCATAGCAATGATCACCGTGACATAGCCGACATACATATCGTCCCTACCCATGACGAAATGATTTCCTCCAGTCCTCCATACATTCCCGTCAACCGTCCGGACGCCCCGCATCATTTGGCTCCAAATTCAATGGAGCGGCATCTGGACATTCAGTTCCGTCTCTTGCGTGAAGAACTCGTGTAAGTCGTCCTATAGTGTTCTCGTGATGATTACTGAGATACGCGTATGCCAGTGCCCCCATTCGCGCGTCTATATCTACGCTTCAGCTTGACTTCGATGCTATGCAGGCACGAGCTCCGAGACGTGAAGCGCAACCAATTCAACTGGAAAACTTACTCAAGACAAGAGGAGGAATGTATCGGACCTCTGGATATAATTCGACTATGTTTCATATCTATACGAATGTCGAATACTCTCCTCTTCAAGCGGAGCGACGTGGATTCACAGTCGGTCTTGTTATCGATGCACCTCCTTCAGAACGTGCCCGGCACCCCGATCCCAAAATCAGAAAAGAGTACTGGGAGCGTGCTGGTTCACGACGCCTCAGCGCCGGAAGCTTCGTTGCTTTAGTCGTCGCACATTCACGTCGTCTAAGGATCTATGTTGGCAGTGTTTCTTCATCGACAGATGACATCATCGAGTCGTCAAAGGTCCACGAGAGCCGCATTGAAGTTCGCGTCAAATTTTTTGATCCCGACGTTGAACTTGGCGCCCTTCGACAGGAAAAGATCACTATTGATCAGCATCGGTTCGCGTTCTTGGTGGATAACAACATTATGTTCGAATCTATCAGACCCTTTTTGGAGAAGTTGTGTTCCGTAGAACCTACTTCCATTCCATTTTCTAATTACATCTGTGGGGACACTCTGAGGGGAGTCGCGGTCGTGCCTCCGAAGTACACCCAAAACCCATCTTTCCGATATAACCTAGAATGTCTATCGAAAGATAGAATTAGGGAGTATGTCCATCCGTTGAACGCAACCGACCCTTTATCAATCCGGAGAGCCCGACTACAGCTGAAGTCATCAAGCATTTTAGATCCCAGTCAATGTGACGCTGTGGTCGACGCTTTGACACAGGAAGTTGCTCTAATTCAAGGGTATGTTCTTGTTATCATCTACGTGTTGAATGATGCAAACAATTTCCTTGGATTCTAGACCTCCAGGTACCGGAAAGGTGTGTATTACTGAACCTTCGATGTGACGTGCGTTCTAAGAGCAGGCATAGAGTTTTACCGGCAAAGAGTTGCTTCGGGTCTTATTCGCCAGCAAGGTCAAACCTATTGTGATGATCGCTTTCACAAATCATGCACTGGATCATATGCTGCTATCTCTCTTGGACGCAAAAATCACAACGAATCTTGTTAGGTTGGGATCCCGGTCCTCGGACGAACGTATCAATGGGTATACCTTAGACAAGTTAGAGAGGATGAAGGATGGAGCGTCTTCACCCCTGGATCAGATTGTGCGCAAGGAGCGGTTTGCCATGGGCCGACTAGAAGACGAGATGAGGACAATCCTACAGCATATCCAAACACCTTCGCACACCTGGGAGACAGTAATAACCTATCTGCAAGAGACCTTCCCCGATCATCTTGCCTCATTCGTAGACCCTCCTTTCTGGATTGATAAGCTAGCAGGAAGAGCTTCGTGAGGATATCGAAGCAGAAGGGGAATGGAAAACCGTGAACGCAAAGAAGAAAAGGCGCGATGTCGATATCCCGAATACCATATATTCCTTTTGGAAAACTGGGCAGGATATCTCGTTCCTACAGCCCCCACAGCCTCCGCGGACTACCGCACGGTCATCTCAAGGAAAGAAGGGAAAGCAGCAGCAGCAGAGGCAGGCGCAGGAACTTATCATTCCAGCGGAGCTCCATCAGGCCTATTTGATACGCATGAACAACTTCTTCGTGCCGTTGGGATTCCCAGAGGGTATGGTTCCACTTATTCCAACGACTTCCAGACCAGTCGACGAGCTTCTGGTCACCGATGCTATCTGGAGCATGTCTGTTGAAGAGCGACAAGCACTGTCCGCATTCTGGGAGGCCGAAATGAGAACCTTTGCGTATAACAAGCACAGACAGGATTACGAAGAACGGCGGGAAGAGTATGAAGCCGCTTGTAAGCGGTTCAACGATGCTAAGGACGAGGTTAGTAGTGACTCGTGAGCATGTTGCAGTCATTCAGCTCATAAAAATCACAGAGTCGACGGCAATTGCTATCTCGGATTGATCTGATTGGGTGCACCACCAATGGCGCTGCCAAACTTACCTCACTCTTGACGGTAAGTACTTACAAATTACCCTCCCATCCTTGCATTTTTCTAGTATTCACATGGGATTTCAGACTATTGCGCCCAAGGTTTTGATAGTGGAAGAGGCAGGACAAGTCCTAGAGGCCCATATCTTATCTTCTCTTGTGCCATCTGGTGAGTGAACGATGGAATCTGTTCTTGCCGAGTCAAGTATTAATTGTTCGCCAGTGCAACATCTTATTTGTATAGGTGATCCACAGCAACTTCGTCCTACCTTGGCAAATTTCTGTCAGTTGAATGGGCAGCGTCCGATTTTAACTTCACTGAGCCGTTTTCTTAGCTCTCTCTATGGATAGTGCAAGAGGAAACGAATTGTACAAATTTGACCGTTCTTTGATGGAACGACTGGCGGATGGTGGGTTCACAATGTCCCAGATCAACGTTCAGCGGAGAATGCGTCCAAGCATTTCTCATAACATTCGGTTTGTTACATCAGCTCCCAGTTTGGAAATCAGTAATTTATGTCTTCATCAGAACAATTTTGTATCCTAACTTGGAGGATCACGACCTCGTCAAGAAGTACCCTCCCATTCAAGGGATGGAACGCGACCTCTTCTTCTTTACCCACTCGAACCGGGAGAAAGCTGCAGATGAAGGCTCGGCATCTAAAGTCAATATGTTCGAAGTGAGTTGACTTCGCCTTTTAGAAAGAAAAGGGAGCTTACACTGAGAATAGGTTAAAATGATTGTTGATCTTGTTGTGTACTTTTTGAAGCAGGAGGCATATAGTTCACCTGGAGATATTGCTGTCCTTTGCGCGTATCTAGGCCAGTTACGAGAGCTGAGATCTGCCCTAGCATCCCTCAAAGTTGCTGTTTCTGTTGATGAACGCGATCAGGATCAGCTAGCCAGAGAGGGAATGGACGATGAAGCATATATAGAACAAGTTACCGTGTCCAAGCATGTACGACTTCCTTTGCCTTCTTCGTTATATGGGTGATGACACTTTCTAGGTTCGTCTAGGCACTGTTGACATTTTCCAGGGCGAGGAAGCAAAAATCGTTATTGTTTCTCTTGTCAGAAACTCTGGATCTTTCGATAGCGATGAGTCAATTGGCTTCCTAAAGGTAATTTGGACGCTTCTCGTAACTCGCGTGTTCAGTTTATTCATGTGGCGAATACTTTTAGTCTCCCAATCGAATCAATGTGGCACTATCGCGTGCTCAGCATGGACTATATATCCTAGGAAATGCTTCCAACCTTCGTCAAAATCCGACCTGGAAGATCATCATAGACGAAATGGATCAACGGGACCAGATCGGGTTCGGCTTTCCTGTGATATGTTCTCGTCACCCGACTCAGAGGAATATAATCACCACACCGGGTCAACTGAGCGCTGTGGCACCAGAAGGCAAGTAGCTGCAGACTTATGAATCCGACTATCAGAGTTTACAAAACTAATTATATTTATAGGTGGTTGCTGCTTGCCTTGTGATTACCGTATGGACTGCGGTCACAACTGTCCTTCAATGGTATGTTCAATCAACTGTTTTATGTGTTTTCGATACTCAATTTTGTCGTTTCATTAGTGCCATCTTGATCTCGACAAGCATCGCAGTATGCGGTGCGATATGCCATGTCTCCGAACCCCATGTCCTCGAACGCACCCATGCCCTAAGAGATGCTCGGATGAGTGCGGTCCGTGTGAATTTCCACTTTACAACGTTGCGCTACCATGCGGCCATGAAGCATCAATTCTATGGTACGCTGATTAACTCCTTATGTTGACGCTTGCCTGACTTCAAGCTGTTCTCTCCCAGCCATCAAATGGAAAACCTATCTTCAGTTTTCTGTCATAAGGAAGCCACAAAACGGCTGTCACTTTGTGGACATGAAGCAATATTGCACTGTTCCGACGATCCTCGCAAGCACAAATGCCTCAAGGCTTGCGGAGGAAGTATGTCGTGTTGCGGAAAGACGTGCAAGGCCTTTTGTGGGGACTGCACGAAACTTAATCTTGAAGCTCAGGGGATCAAGATAGCTATCGGCTTGAGAATCAAGCGCAGTTTGCACAAGTCACACCAATGCGAGCGCCTCTTATTCTGTCAACACAAATGTGGTCTCGACTGTTCTCAAGACCACGAATGTAATACGTCGTGTAGGCAGGAGTGCCGCCAACGTTGTTCCCACCACAGATGTCCAAAACCGTGTGCCCAAGACTGTGCTCCCTGTGCCGAACCATGCGACTGGAACTGCCCTCACCTGTCTTGTCCAGTGTTATGTGGATCGGCGAGTTGAATTATATTTATTTCCTCGTCGTAGTTGCTGATTTCGTCGCAGATATGTGCACGTCTACCGTGCGATGAACCATGCCGTAGCGTTCTTCAATGCGGCCATATCTGCCCTTCAGGTAACGGATACTTCTGTCGGAGACTGCTATCTAAGCTAAGAACGGCTTTACCACAGTATGCGGCGAACCCTGCTTGCAACAGAAGTGCATCGAATGTCTCTTAGACGACGACAAGATGGACATCGTAGATTTTATCATGCAACGAAGACTCATTGACATCCCTATCGGGTCGGACGATATCAGCGACAGGATCATCACTTTGGATTGTGGGCATATTTTCACAGTGGAGACGTTAGACGGTCATTGTCAAATGACTGACTATTACGAGATCGACGTAATGGGGTCCTACACGGGAATGAAAGCACCTCCTACCGAATTTCAACGACCACCGAACTGTCCAACTTGTCGGGCACCCATTACAGCTCGGCGCTATGGAAGGGTCCTCAAGCGAGCGAATCTCGATATCTTGGAACAGAATGTGGCCAGTATGATGTCCCAACGTCTGGCCGAGATTGTTCCTTCTATTGAGACCCTCAGCAATGGTTTGGAAGAACTAGTAGCCCAAGCTAAAAAACTTAAAGCCGCGCCGAATTTTGAATGTCACCCTGCTGATAAGTTTGAGCGCCTAGTCGAAGAGAGGAAAAGTTTCATGACGGGGAAAGCAGACGAAGTCTTGGACCATGGTATGCTCACTGCTAGGTCTATGGTCACTCGCCATGGTTTGTCGGAGTCCGAGGCCAGATCATGGATGGGTATTGTTGTGGATCTTCACAGAGTTTACAAAAAGGTAACGGATGTTACAAAGACTCGGTCCGCCCACGTCCGTGCCTACGAGTCAGCTCTTTCTACCCTTTATCGCTTGGAACTTGCAAATCTTGCTGCCGACCCACCATCGGATATCCGGGTCCCTCCTGAACACATTGCAATGAGCAATGTTGACCGGAAGATTGGACAACCTCCTCACAAGGCTGATCGTCGCTATCATCTCGAAGCATTCATATTATCCGTCGAGTTGAGGCTCATGTTGGGAAGCGTTGCTCGTTCTCGGTTCGAGGCACTTCCAATGACTTCCAACGAACCTGCAGCTCTTCATCATCGTAACGTCTGGTACTCGTTCACCTTGTTCATCTATCAGTCATGCATTGCCGACTGCCAAAAGGCTATTACCATCGCTCACGCAACTTCTTCATCACGTTTGGCCGCTCGTTCTGCCAGCTTGATGCTCTGTTCAGAGTTTGAGCAGTTCCGTTTTTCGATGTTGGAGAAACGCAGGGACGTGTTCAAGGAAGGTGTATTGGCGGAAGTTCGGGATGGCTTGGTAGCGGAGATTCAGGCTGACAAGAAGAAGTTGAAGAGCCGTTTGAGAGAGCTTGAACGATCATACATCGCGAGCCGTCCGTCGAGTGATCTCACCCAGATCAGTGAAGATCGTCGGTGGTTCAACGGGAATTGTGGCGCCAAAATTGAACGCTGCTTCACAGAATACGAGAAATTGGAAGATCATCTCTTAAAGGACACCGTCTATCAACCAATGTCTTTGCAAGAGAAAGAGGACATAGTGAAGGCCTTCGGATTTTCGCATCGAGGACATTTCTACAACTGCATAAATGGTCACACGTTCGTTATCACAGAGGTATGAACACCATCTAAATGTATGCCTGACAAGCTGAAATATCTTTTCCAGTGCGGCGGAGCGATGCAGGCTAGCCAATGGTCAGTTCACCAGTTAGAGCCATCGTTATCTTTGCTAATGCCAGGTTCTGTTTTCAAAGCCCCGAATGTAGAGCGCCCATAGGTGGTGGAAACCACAGACTTGACTCTTCCAATACCCGTGCCCGAGAGTACGAAGATATCTCACAGCAGCAAGGTGGAGCAAGAAGCCCGTGGGCATGGGCAGCCGGTGCTTGAATAAGGAAGAAATGAGAGTAGACAAAGATTGTGGCTGATAATCATCGCAGAGGTATCGGGTTTCAACTACTTTGTAATAATAGAGGACAAACTGTTTTGATGAAATAGGAAGAAATATATGGCTACCAGAACCGGACATTTTGTTGAGGTGGAGACGGCTGGTCTACTCTCGGGTGTGAGCAACCTACGTATATAAACAAGAGGTAAAACACTCGCCTGCATCTCTATAAAAAAAAAAGTGACCTATGGCCCTCCCGTCCCAGTCAAATCATACGTAATTTGAGCAATGAGGAGGGATTGCGCCCTGTAGTGGGTCCGTCCAAACTGGGTGTTCACTTCGACTACGAATAATGCCAGATAATAGATTGGGTGCAGCAGGTCCGACAGTGATGGTTCTTGTCAAGTGACAGCGCCAACGAAATGAGAAAGTACAGTTTTACACAATATATAATTACCATCACCAGTTTATTTCGAACAAGAAAAACTACATTGATTGGCCACCTCTGCTGATACAGCTCAGGTAAATAAGCGTAAACTAGTCTACCTCGGTAACTCGTTGTAAGTAAGGTTACACGTATTAAGGAAAACGGTCAAAAAGATGAGATATGTGATAAAAAGGACGGTAATTGTATGGCTACGGTGTTGGCATTCTTTTTGGTTGAGGCTGGACGTACTCTTCGTTTGTATTCGGCCCAAATTCTGCCGGCCAGACGTATGTACGTTGTATGCCAAGTATGAGAGATGTGAACCAACACACGGTTTGTTTTCTCTCCTTTTAGTCCAGGGGGTGTTGGCAAGGATGGCGTTAGACCGAGGTAGAAGCGAGACACCGATTGGGGCCATATTGAGCCATCTTCAAAGAGACGTTGGACAATATGAAGAAATGCCCTGCAAATCAGCAGGGGCACTTCTGCAGAGTCCAGGATACGAGATGTCTCGGTGATGAGTGTTTGAGCGGCCTGTTGGCGGAAGGAACGATATGTAGGACATGAAATGAAAACATGATGGACCGTTTCAAGCGCATCGCATCCGCTAATACACATCGGAGATACGTTTCCGAAACGTCGGAATCGTGTGTATGCTGTGTCCAATTGGTCTAATCTCGCGTAGAGCTGCACCAAGGTCGAATACGCTGAGGAGGCACGCAAATAAAGGTGCTCAGAAGGAGTGTGCTGGTCGTAAAATGGCAAGAGCATCGTCGTGGCGGGGCAGGGCGGGGCGGAAATCTGGGCTAGAATAGAGGACGGAAGTGAGCACGGACAGCATATAAGAAGAAACACTTGTCTTGACGTAGTCGTCGTTTTCTGAATAAAGCATAAAGGAATCCATGAAAAATGTAGGTAAAGGTGCGAGAGGTGGCCAAAATTTCGAGTGCTGAGAACCGGAAGCAACACGATCTGCGATTGCATTAATCTGGGAAGCGATTGACGACGAATTGGTGTGAGCGAGGGTGTAGACGATAGATGGAGGATGATGTGGAGGCGGGGGAATGAATCCCGGGCTATCCCGGGCCGGAATTGCCTCTGAGTACGTCATCGATCGACTGTTCGATTTGCATCCGAGTTCTGACGAGTTCTGGAAACTTCTTGACTAGTGACGACCACAACACTACTACCAATGGGCGGTTTTCTATGGTTCATCGCTGGCGCAGCTGCGGCCACCATCTACTGCAATGGTCGCATACAAGCAGGGTACTATGCCGCCAACCCGAATGGATACTACGAACGAGGGTGGACGCGTCAGAGCGCACCTCTTGACTCTGATGAAAGGGTGCCGGAGGACAATGAGAGGGAACGACGGTATGCGTATGGAGCTGGAGTAAGGCTAGAGGGCCAGCAACGGTTCGGATTGGAGCTACCTCAACAGCCCCGAGAGAGAATGGAAGCTCCGACACCACCACCGCCCCCACCTCAGCAGGAGGAACAAGCTTCGCTTGACCATATCAGAGAGCTCAGTAAACAAGCAGATGAGACTGTACGTTTTCCACTTTCTGAAGCATCGCAATACTGAATCTCTTTCTCTTAGATGTCTGACTTGTCTGAAGTTACACTCGATTCTCTCATGGCGACTATAATTGCGGCCAAGAACGTGTGTCGATAACTTCATTCTTCGAAACCTGGCTCTGGACTGATGTGCTCCTAGAAACTTGCAGAACGTCGCGCGCAGCGGGAACAGGAGGAGAGGCGGGCGTCGGAAGCGAACAAGTTCCCCCTTCGCTACGTCTGAGTTTCCTCGTTGACAATGAGAGTGGATGACACGGGCTGGACTCTGACCTGTGGTACGACGCATGACACAAGACTACCTCGAAGGCGTAACGACAGAACCCGAAAATGCTTTGCGCATTGGTGTCACTGCCATCCCTGCACTACGCTTCAAGTCCTGATTTCCAACTCATATCCTCTATTCACAGTGAAAACACGCTGCGGCCGTGAAAGGTTTTACCCATCCTTCTCATCGTACCAAGTTCTTAAGGTCCATTGCAGGATTTCGAGAGATGGGCATATCCGGGGAAATTGCTTTCAAAAATGATTATTACATGTGGGTATACTCTGCTCCATCCGTTCGATCAGCAGGTGCTTAGAGTGCATTTATGTAGAGGGACTCCAGGGCGAAGTAATTCTACTGAAGATGCTCTCGCTGTCAAACGTCATGTAGCATTTCAAATAGGCGTCTTTTCCGACCCAATATACACTGGCCTGAGATCTTAACCGACACAGTATTGTCCCAATACCTCTCGCCTTTACCGATGAGGAAAAGAAAGACATCTTAGGTTCAGCAGACTTCGCCATCGATTGCTACCGTTCACAGTTCATACGAGCCCCGGTAGAAGGTGTCGATGCTTGCGTTGCCATTACATCGCATCCACTACGGCCTGTCTGCAACGACCCGGTGTTTTATCGAGGCTCCCTCATCTTTGAACTTCTCCTGTATCTTCGCTTGTCTCACAGCAAGGACCTTCATCTCTTCGTTGAGCGATTTGAGTTACTGTAGCATGGAAGTCTCGTAGTTATCATATGCACCACTGCCACTACCGGAGCCAAATTGAGATGTCGGGTGGGTGGCTCGCTTGTGGATCAGCAGTCTGTATAGGAATTCGCACCAATCATTGAACTACGATGACTGAGGAAGAAAGAGATGGTGTGTAATATATATATATATGTGTGTGTGTGTGCGTGTGTATGTATGTATTGTAGTCCTCGTACAAGTAGATGCTTGAATTTTTCTCGTTTTTTTTTGAGTTGGTTATTCTAACCAACAGGATTCTTGTTTTCTTAAAACAGCGTGCGCCCAAACGATTTGACCTTTTCCCCTCGAAAATCTTTCCTTCATTATAGGCATTCCTCCCAATAACGCACCGATGTCCCTGAAATAGAGAGCTGGTTGACGACTCCGGAATAGTATAGAGTAGCCTCTTGGTGAATTTGGAAATAGTGAGGTGCGGCATTTTCAACAAGAGACGAGCACGAGCGCGTGAACGAGGTTGAGGCTGAGGCTGTCGAGGTGGTAATTTCGATGGAGGTTGGGAAGTGAGACGACAGAGGCCAGAGGGGACGGACAACAAGGATGTGAGCATACCTATTCCCGCCGACTCCAAAGAGAGTGGTGGTGGCGCGGCGCGGAGGGAACTGGATGAAGGATGCCCGAGACCTAGACCAACTGGATGTTTATGAGAGTGTCGTTTTGGCTTGGATGTTGTGGAAGAAGTGGAAGGCATATCCAGTATAGCGTCGTTCTCGCCCCAGCCAGGGAAAGTGCCTAAATCACTGCGGCAAATATGGCCTCTATTTAAAAACATACTTTGCAAAGGAGCAAAGAATATCCGTATCCTCTGCATTGACAAGCTGTCGTATGGTATCGAACCCGGAAGAGGCAGAGAAAGAATGAGAGCCGATGCTCGTCATCATCATCATGCTGCTCGTCTGCATCTGAATGCATCTCAGACCCGCCCAAATCAGCTGAATATTCCTGGACAGGTGTCTGTACTGTTGCCGGTCCCAACTTCGGCAGATTTTTGAGGTCATCAAGAAAATCCTTCTCGGTACTGTTGTCAGCCATGGAGGGCGTGAGAGATGTAGGAACAATGGCTGGTGCCTATTATAGTCACTGGGATACGAAGTGCCAAACCGATAACCGTAGCAAGAGTCATGGGTGTCATCTGGGGCGGAAATGGACCGAAACTGTAGCAAGAGTCATGATTGTCGTCCGGGGAGGAAATGGACCGAAACTGTAGCAAGAGATGATGCATGAGTACTGAGTGGTCAAGCATCTGTGTGGACGTACCGGATGTCATTGGTGTCGATAGACATTCTGCTCTTATCCACGTTCCGACCAGATTCCCAGAGGCGAGCGACATCCTCTGCGCCGTTGTTGACGGAACCGTTCTTGACGAGTAGTGCGCTCCCACGTTCTGTGACGGTATACAGGATAGCACGGTCTACTGAATCCTTGTTGATGAATTGGACTGTTCGACCTTCACGACCCGGAAGAGCGCGCGTCTTCCACAAGCGCTTGACGTAGTGGTGCAGTTACTGATCACCGGCTGGACACGGTCCATTCTTTGCAGACCAAGCTATGGATTTGTCAATGGTGGTCTTCCGCCAGGATCCTGATGAACCAGTCAATGCGATGAAGGTGGTGGTGGTGGTGGTGGTAGTTACATGTGGTGGTGATTTCAGAGTAGGCGGTAGCGCTGAGTAGGAGGTGAGTATGGAGACCGTGTGGGTGGTCGAGCTGCTGATAGTGAGTCTGTGGGTGATGTCGCGTTGAAGAAGCTGAGGGTCAAGAAGCGCAATAGGACGCAGGATTTAGATAGAACTGGATAGCGTATGGGTGGATCGGTTGAGGGAAGGAAGGGTTGTGATAATCGATGTCTGCCTTTGGATGCGCACTAATCAAAGTCGTTCTCGGTGACGTTCGTTGTCGGATTGTTGACCCAAGGTGATGCGGTGCTGGGTACTGGGAAGGAAGAAACGCCGAAGATCCAGCATGTAGCATATAATGCTAACAGTGGAGCATGGCCCGACATGTCCTTCGACACTGGAGTCGTGGTGCGAGTTTCGTTGGTTGTGACTCGTCGCAGCCCGGTGTTACTGACCTGTGACCACCCTTGGTCGGGCCGCGAAACCTTTGGTACGTCCGACAACTGCTTTCATTTTTGCGTGTTTTCAAGATGAGCTGAATGGCACTTACACTTTTTACTGGCGTTTCGACTCTACAGACGTTATGCGATATTTGTTCTGGTAGCATCGTCGACCAATGGCAGTGTTTAGCCTTAACGGCTGGTAAGCTCATCTGAGGTTAGTTCGTTCAATACCAGCATGATTTTGGACTATGTCAATTTGATAACCTATTAATTAACTTCTTATTACGCGGTTAGCCACGCCTTTGTCCTGATCAGGTGCCATCTTGGTAACAAGCACCAGGAGGCGCCTATCGATGCCTCGAGGCCTTCCTTCTTCCACACCTTTCCAACATGTCCAACCGACGAGGTAGACAAATCTGCAGACTCTTCAACACTCCTGGGGGATGCGGTCATCAGAACTGCAAGTTTCTCCATGAAAGAACAGGAGGTCCAACACCTTCGTCGTCGTCAACCGCGCCACATTCTCCCAGACCATCAGGCAATTCTGGCAGAATTACAGCTGGTCGGGGAAACTGCGAGTTCTTCTGGACTTCGGGAGAATGTCGACGAGGATTTGATTGTATGTTCCGCCATGTTCGACAGCCGCAGACTCAGAATGCTGCCGGGGCGACTGTAGAGGCAACGTCTCCAGAAACCGACACCCTCGACTTTTTGACGACCGAAGGACTTTCTGGCATCAACAACATCTCCTTAGACAAGCTGCATACGTTGAGCCCGACAGGGGGTGCATAATATGCTCAGGGCATTCAATAGCCCGACATTCCAGGTTCACAGCCCCTGATCAAGTCATTAAGATTCGTCCAGATTCTAGCTAGCGTTGATCGCAGAAATCCGCAATGGGTACTTTCTTTGCATTAAGCCAGCTCTTCTTCTAATCAAATGATCTCATAGGATACCGCTCGGGCCCAGTCATTTCTTGAAATGATAGTCGATTTGAAGGTAAAGTTTTTGTAACTCTAAATAGTTGTGTTCTTATCAAGGCAACTAGCACCATGTCCTCGCTCGCATCCGCGAGGTCTTGCAATACTCCCCTGTCGCTTGCCGTGCTGGTACAGGCTTTACGGTTCTTTCGTTTCAAATTGGATACTTCCCGCTTCTTCAGGTAACTAATATCTCTCCATCTTTTACTACATCTCTCACCAGAAATCCAGTTCTTTGGCTCAGACCTCATCCTCAAAACCAATCTCCATCATAATATCCAGTATGCCGTCTCAAATATACGTACGCTCTCTATCAAGCTGACATCCATTAGTGCCTTGTACAGCGCCCTCGATAATGGCCTCGACCATATGCTCGACGTCGTTTCTTCATGCATGGAGCAAATGATCCAGAATCGATCTTGGAAGGATCCTACACCAGCCCTCCCTGCCATACGGCAAAGCAGCCTTTCGGGAGTGGTCGTTTTCGGCACGATCACCACTCTGCTTACTCAGTAAGAGCTTCTGCCTATTTTCAGCTACTATAGCGCTAACGCTTCTCAGATATTTTCAACATTTCAAACATGCCATAAATAATCATCCAGACATCGTCGTATTCGTTGGCAATCTTGTTCGATGGTACGATGAATGGGTGAAGCTGATCGCGACGTCGAGCTTTGATGATTCCATTGACGCAAGCGTTCAGCGGTTGACTTTGAAACAAATCAAAGAGTCTATCATTAGACTGGACGCAATAGTCAAGCGAGAGCCTGTAATACGATATAGACATTCGCAGCCGCATCCAGGAAAGAACAAGCATGCTGAATCATCACTACGGAAAGCAGCGCTCGACTCTCGCATTCAAAATACGGCTCAGTCTGCGAATACAGCAACCAATGCTCATTTCAACTCTGCTACAAGCATGCGAACTTCCCAACTAAACCCCCATCGACATCGTAGACATGCGGACGCATCATATATCTCACCAACGGTGGATCCTGACAATCACGCTACCACGGATAGCAGTCGTTTCCAACGTGGTATCCGAAATGATGTTTCTCCTGGCGACTGTACAATGGAATATGGACTTCATCCTCGTTATGCAAGGGGCTACCTATGGCAGGATCCTGATTCTCTCAGCTGGCATACACCAATGACAACTGCTACATGGACAGAGACTTTGCCTCCAATGCCGCAGCCACCCCATAATGAACTGAACAATCATATCGCCCTCCGTACAATCAAATCGCACCCTGCACTCTTTCGCATTGTCACACCTATCAATATCATGCGCTTTCGGAAACTTCTAGATTCCCATCCGAATCGGGAGCTTGTGTCTTCTGTTTGCACAGGCTTAAAGATTGGGTTCTGGCCATGGGCTGATACCAACAATCCAGAATATCCTATCACCAATGACAATTCCTTTCGCCCCCTCAAGGATCATTCTCATGTGGAGTTTGTCAGATCACAGAGAGACACTGAAATAAGCCTTGGACGGTTTTCTCATTCTTTTGGATCAGAACTACTGCCTGGTATGCATTCTGTGCCAATTGGTGTTGTCTCCAGACCACATTCGACAAAGCTCCGCATGATTGTTGATCATTCTGCTGGATATTTCTCCCCCAATTCCATGATCCCCAAACATGAGGTACATGCTCATGTTGATACTCTCAAGCATCTTGGGAGTGCTTTGATTCAGGCTCGACACAAATATGGCAGGAATGTCAAACTTGTCCTCTTCAAGTCTGATGTATCAAAGGCTTACCGCCAACTGCCAATGCATGTCCTTTGGCAAATATGTCAAGTTGTTACTATTGATAATCAACATCATGTTGACCGCTGCAACAACATTGGTAACCGGGGGGCTGGCCGCATATGGGGCACATTCTTTGGTCTTGTACTATGGATTGCCACATTTGTTAAGTTGTTGACTGATATCTTTGGCTATGTCGATGATAGCTTCTCATGGGAATTTGCTGATAAAAAAACTTGGTATGGCCCTTACCAGAAATATCTCCCAACCAAGCAGACTGCACTTCTTACCTTGTTTGATGAACTTGGAGTGCCACATGAAGAAGAAAAGCAGCTGCATGGTTATATTCTCACCATCATTGGTTTGGATGTGGACCCAAATGCAATGACTATCACCATGCCTGATTCTTCCCGATTAGAACTCATCTCAGCAATCCGAAATTTTGCAGTTGTTGGATCACAACACTCATTACATGACTTTGAAAGCTTAGGTGGTTGGTGCAATTGGTCTTTCAATGCATATCCTTTACTCCGACCTGGCTTATCTATGTTTTATGCAAAGAAACATGGAAAAACACAGCCATTTCAACTCATTGGAATTAACAAAGCTTTATGCCATGAACTCATTTGGATGGCTGAACATCTTGAACACATGCCAGGCATTCTCTTGTTAGATTCACTTGAGTGGGGTCCTCACCTTGCAGATATCTTGGTACAAACCAATGCCTCCTCTAAGGGTCTTGGTATTTGGATCCCACAGTTGGCCACTGGGTACTATTCACATGTTACAATGCCATCAGAAGAGGGAACCTTTTTCAATGAAGCACTAGCTGTTGTCTCTGCACTTTTGATGACACTGGATTTGTCTTCCAGACCCCATCGTATTCTCATCTACACTGACAACACAAACACAGTTGATATTTTTGACTCTCTACATGCCAAACCCCTCTATAACCCACTTCTCATCACAGCTGTTGATGCACTAATCACCCACAAAGCTCAACTTCGTGTCCTACATATTCCCAGATCTCAGAACACAATTGCAGATGCTTTATCCCAGGATAACCATGACTTTGTTCTTGCTCAGCATCCCAATGCCAGAATACGTAAATTCAGTCTTCCACAACTGAAGTCTGGATCAGATAATGTCAAATAGTTTTGTCAGAATTACTAGTTCATTGTGAAGAGTCTATTTAAAACCTGATCTGGTCAAGGTGATTCTGTATGACTGTTAGTGTAATTTCATGTGATTGTACTATATGACTCAGTTCTACTCCTTATGACCTTCAATGACTCTTTACCAGTAGTATATAAGTAGTTGAGTAGTAGGAATTTGATCATCCTTTCTTATCCTCTTTCTCCCACTTGTGTGATTTCTTGTTAGTGGACCTGTGTCAGGCTAGAGAAATATACAACAGGAGTTGGACATCATAAGAGACCTCTATATAACTACTTAGTATATCAAGCTCATCCTTTAATCTTAGCACTTGACCTTGCTGTTAGCCCTTGTTGTGGCTAGATGCTTACATTATATCATTGATGTCACTTTAAATAAATCTCTCCAGTAGTTTGCTAGTATTTTAATTAAACTTGAGGCAGCAGAATATCTATTGTGCCTCACATTCATACCCTGGTTAAGACTTCTAACTCATTGAATAATGACTGCATGCTCCCATCATCATCCTTCCTCATTTTATCTTTCTTAATTCACAATACTCAAATCATACATTTTTCTCTAGCCTTTTACTATACTCATGCAATAATCACTCACACTCAGGCCCTGTTGCTGATCTTAAGACAGGGTCACATATTGGCTAACCTCATGTGAATTGAGACCCTGTACTCACACAGATGAGCAAGGCAATTAGATGGGTTTAAAACTTGTTTTACACAAGTCTAATTGCTGTGAGTGCATACAAGTTGGGGGCTCTGTCCATTCCTGGCTCAAAGGACTGGAATCCTCATCAGAGACACTCAAACCTGAAAGTCATAGTTCAGAGCATCAGCAGCACCTGAGATTTGACGTTGATGAGCCTCAAGACTCTGTATGCTCAGAATTTGCGGATTTTAGCATTATAATAATGTCTTGTCCACTTAGCGGACTTTCACTAAGTCAACGATTGCAATCATGGCAATACCCACTCTTACTGTCAACTATCCCTCCCAGCTTATATTCTGTATCAATATGTGCCACTTCATTAATGCTGCCAGGCACCTGATTGCAGATCTCATGGATTTAGGACCATCATTGATCATCCAGCACAGCCATCAATGACATCAGCATCAAGCATCATTTAGAAGAATGCCACAGTCAAAGTACCAACTCCATGGCAAAAGACCTAATACCGTGACCTTTCCACTCACTTTACTAAGGCTGTTACAATGCCAAGATAATGCCGCACACATCTACTTTAGTACACTCACTTCAATGTACTTTGCCGCAACAATACAGCAGCCCAAATGTCCATATGTCGGTGGATTTCTTTCTAATCACTAAGACTATATACGGTAAAACCGTGTGGGTGCTGTTACTTTAGAACTTTGGGAGTACACATTTTGTATCATTTCTTACCAATCTATGTACTAAGGACTTACTAAGGACTTGTTTTGGAACCCAGGCTGTAGCTGGGAACACTGAACATGCGCAACAGAATAGGAATCAACTCTGTTGTGCAGTACAAACAAGAACGTAACTAGTCAAGAAGGTAAGTGATCTTGATCTGTTCGAGATCCATGGAAGTATCTAATGGTCTAGGTAAATAGCAGTATATAATGCATAATCCATATGGGTTACACCCACCCATACTTCAAAAATTTGCTCCATCATCTCGGGTTTTCCTCAAGCCAACGATTGAGAGCCTCATTGTCTTCTAGTTCTGCACCTGGCAACCATTCATCCTCCTCAGGCCCGTAACCAACATAATGCACCAGATACTGCCATCCTCTACCCCAGCGTCGAGCGTCCACGATTTTCTCAACCCCATACTCTTTTGCTCCTTCAAGGGTGATAATTGGTCCTGGTCTAGGATGTTCATGATTTGGGAAAAGTTCAGAGTCATTCAGATGGTACGGCTTGAGAAGTGAAGCATGGAAGGTTGGATGAATGCTGGAGGAGGGTATATTCAGCATGTATGTGGAAGTTGTAGGGTTTGCGTCGAGGACTGTGAAGGGGCCATCAAATCTTGGCATGAATTTCGTGCATCACTTTAAACCTCAGTGGGTGTACTCCTGTCTTCGGTTTGTAGTGGACAACATTACACGGTCGCCAATCTTGTATATGAGTTTGGGCACTCTTGATCTATTAGCAAAGTGGGACTGCTCAATTTTGGCAGTCAATAGGGAGTCAGCGGCTTCCTTAATATCAAGGTCGAGGTTTTGCACAAAAGCCTTAGCATCGAAGGGAACATCAACACCTGGTTGTGTGACCAGAGGTGGGATTATGTGTGGTGAATGACCCATTTTTAACTGAAATGGTGAGAACCCAGTGGAAGCGTTAACAGTGTTCATGATAGTGAACCATACGAGAGGGAGCTTGGCACACCAGCCCTTCTGATTCCGATCAACATAGAAATGGAGTGCCTGCACGATAGTTTTGTTAGACCTCTC